AGGATCGACAACTCCTGCAACCAGTTAGCGCTCCACAAGGATGATCGTGATGCGGCAAGGCTCATATGGTTCAAAACAGACGTTCTCCAACGAATTTTCTCCTCTCCAGATCCGTCCGGAGCAATCGAGCTCGAATACACCCAGAACTCCCATTCGGACCTCACAGAATACAGGTTTTGCCGGGTGCCTTATGGCCTAACCAGTTCGTCATTTCTGCTCTCTGCATCTATCCAGTACCACGTCAGCGAAGCAGATATCCCAGAGCAATTGAAGCACAACTTACTCCAGAACTACTTTTTGGATAAAGTCACATTGGGCTTCAAACAACTCGACGACGCAATGGAATTGTACCAGGATGCAAAGAACTTATTCCACCAGATCTCCATGGATCTTTGCGGGTTCAGTTCCAATTCAGCCTCCGTCCTGCGACAGTTGCCAGCAGCAGACCGAATAGATACAAAGCTCAGGGAATTGCATGGCTTGAGGTGGAACACAGAAGCAAACCAGATCAACGTGATTGGACTGAGCAAGTCATTCACCCAGACCATCTTCGATACGGAATCCAAACCCAGCAAAGTCGAGTGGACGAAACAGGAAGTTTTCGGTGTGGTCGCGACCATTTTCGACCCACTGGGATTCCTGGCGCCGTTCACTCTACAGATGCGACTTTTGATCCAGGATATTTGGCGACAAGTATTCAATTGGAGCGACCGCATCCCAGACCTGCTCACACAACGCTGGCTTATGCTCATTTCTCAGTTCGTCGCAATACAAGGAAAAGTTGTCATTCCTAGAGTGGCAATCTTGACACAGGACGAAGAACGTTTCTTCAGCGACCCGCAAGTCATCGTTCACGTGTTCACAGGAGCTTCGGCTTCTGCGATATGTGTCGCGGTTTACTTACAGTCGGCCCATGAACCAGATCGCGCACTCGGCGCTCAGTTGCTACTTTCTAAGTCTCGGCTTGCTCCCCTCAGAGGCACTCCTCCATCGACACCAAAACAGAAACTTCTTGGTTTAAATCTTGGGATGGAGTTGGCCGAACAGGTTGTCCATGCAATCCAGAGCTGCGTCAGAATTCAGAGCGTCCAGTTCTATTCTGATTCCCGCCCAACTCTATCACAGATCGCCTCCAAGGAGCAAGCACACACAGTCCTCTATGTACGCCACCGAGTCAAGGAGTTTCGCGAGGGTCTAGACCGACTGCAAGAAAACTACAATGTCGAGGTCCGACATGTCCCTAATGCTCTCAACACCGCCGATCTCGGGACCAGAGCACCAGCATCACTCGACAAGACTGTTCAGTCAGGGTGGTTCACTGGACCATCCTTTTTGTCACAGCCTTCCAGTCACTGGCCCGCGTCGTTGCAAAAACAGTACATCATTCCGCCATGCGATCCAGATCTACAGGAAGCCGTTTCAAAACCAGCTACAGCTGCGGTCAGGATGGTTCCCCAAAGGAAGTCGAAGACATCCAAGAAAAAGTTGACCTAAGCTCCGGCAAAACCCCATCCCAGAGCCTTTACGAATATTTGCCTTACATCCAGCATTGATCGCAACGTTTGTGGTATTTCCTGCCACACAGCGCGCCTTCAAAATTGTTTTACAACCAGGTTTCGCAGGAGGACTTCGTGGTATTCTGTTCCACGCAGCTCGCCCTGCGCCCGCTTACACACAGAGCTTGTTTTTAAGCAATCGCATTACACCCAGTATCGGTAAGAAGGCTTTGTGGTAATTTTTCCACACAGCCCGCTTTGCCTTCGCCTCACCTTCAGTAATTAGTTGCCTTACAATCAGTGTCGACAGGAGGGCTTCGTGGTAGTTTTTCCGCACAGCCCGCCCTGTTTCCGCCTTACCCTCAGCCACGGTTCATCACTACCGCGTGCCGTTGCCGACAAGTTCTCTTCACAAGCCGGTCAAGACAGCCACCTGCGTCGCCCAAGTCAAGGTCAACTCAAGTCAAGCCATGGTCAAGCTCGTGCGCCGTCTCCACCAAGTCTTCGTCAAGTCCACTTCGTCGCAGCTAATCGAAAAGTATGTCTTTCCCTTTCCCCAGTTATCTGATAGGAGTACGGGCTCCTTAGCATCAGTTAACTTCCCTCCCTATTTTTATCTGTACCTTACCCACAGCTGGCCCTTCCCCTAGGAAATAACCATATTTTCTCCCCACCCGTTCCCCGGCACATTATACTCCGTCCTTACGGATCCACCCGTACACCCCCTCCACACCCAGTACGATTAGACTCACCCTATCTGTGTACCCCCAGGTTGTGGAGTTCAAGCTTTTTTCGCCGGGCCGCAGGTCCCACTAGCCCTCCTGTGTTTCCCTTTGCAACCTCACGCCTTCCAGCCTAACACTAGACTGAACCGAGTCCCTGTATCGCCCAAGTCGTGATCACCAGACTGGTGTTATCGATGTAAGCACCAACCAGTCCTTCCTCGGTTCAGACCCTACTAGCTCTGATACCTCGCGGTTGAAGAGTATTCTACAAGGCTCGGCCTCTCGGTTCCCTGTGGGCCGGGAGTGTCGAAAGTTCTGTACAAAGTACAGGACTTACGAGGTTTATTCGCATTGGGGGACCCGGGGGTTGCTGGCTATCCCGCGCCCCTCTCCCCGCCGCCTACGGTAGGGGGGAGCCCAAGAGGGCGCCGATTTATTGCCAATTTACCGCCAACTTCTTCCCGAAAGGGAGTCGTTGCCGCCAGTCGTTGCACCGATTGGTTTGGTTATTTCGGTAAGGTTGTTGGCTAATGCCACTTCCTGTGCTTGATTGGCTAGGCTTGAATACTCTTCCAACCAGCCCTCTCTTTTCCCATTGAGCTCTAATCGTTCCTCTTTTACTCCCAGTGTTACCCTTGGATCTCGTGTTCATACATTCAGTACTGCCTCTTTCTATATACTAATAAACCTTTTCCTATCTACAAGTCTCTTATCAGTGGTAATCGCATGGGATCTTATTCATGGTCTGCAGGGTCTTCTCAGAGGCCTAAATTAGTCTTACAGACCTCCGCTGATCCGGCTACCCGTGTTAGGGGATGCGTTGAGGGTCGTAGGAGGAATAGGTGGCAAATCCCTCGCGTGGGCATTATTGGGATTTATTCCTAATAGTGCGGGATTGCTATTCCTTTTCGACAGAGAAGATGGAAAATTTATGTTTTCAAGGAAATTTTGTAGAAATGCCAGCCTTTTTTAGGAACCATTTAGTGACAGTCCGCAAATTAGCAGGCATTGTTTAAGAAAAGCAAAAATAACGGCGTTTCAGAAACAAAAATCCGAAGCAAGCTAGCAGAAATTCTTCAGGAATGAGCATGCCAGAAATGGAAATTTAGGAAAGCAAAAACAGCGGGATGCTAACGACTAAAAAAGACAAATCAGGGGTAGATACCTTGGAGGACTAGCTCTTTTAATTTGTGTAAATTTAGGAAAGCAAAAATAATAGGATATCAGATTCCAATAGGCTGTTTAGCAGATATTCACACAAAGGAAAACCGTCCTATATAAGGCCAGGCTAACAAAGATTCTTCAAGAATACTCTAGTTGGAAAGGGCAAACTAGCAGAGAATATTCAGGAATCGTCAAGGCTGTAAAAGGGCATCCTCGCAAATCCTATTTCGAAATGGGCAGCCTTTTTTGGGGGAACACTGCCAGGGCACTTCGGGTCCCACTGGACTTTTAGACAACAGAATTCTGCATCCTGTTTAGAGGAGGGGATGTTGTGTCTTGGATGTTTACCCTCTGGGGGCAATACGGACAGCTGCACTTTATTTTTCCCGTGGTCTGGCACCTCCGCAATCCCCCCAAATTCTAGTACCGCCCAGTACAATCCGGGGGAATCCAGAATATTCGTGATTTTCGAGGGGGAATTTTTGGAATTAGGGGGTTCGAAGGGAATTAATTGTAGATTAGGAATTCTTGGCAATATTAAGGATTTGCAAAATTTTTTGAGGTTTTCGAATTGGTTTGAATTCGAAAATTGGTTTTGGAAAACCGTTCAAAAATCTTTTATTTATTTTTTCTATTGACGCTGAATTCCCCTTAATTCGGTATTTCTGACATAGAATTTTAAAATATAGGTCGTAAATGCTAGATTAGCTTTTTACCACTTTTTATCTAGTTAGTTCACTCAATTTTCGGCACACTACGCTACACTACGCTACAATACATTACGCTACGCTACGCTACGTAGCAATGCCTTGTACAACCTCGGGAAATTTTAAGGAAAGCTAAAAGCTAAAAAATTGATTTTTTCTTGGAAAAAAATTTATGCACAATCGACGTTCAAACGATTATTCGCTACGCTACGAGACGATACGCTACAATAAACTACGCTCATTACTCTATATTACGTAAAAATAGTAAGAATATTAGTATCGTAGCAACACTCAAAACGAGAAGGCATACGATCCCTCCTCATTTTTCTTAAATTAGAATACGGAATCTGGAAAAACAACGGCCTTTCAAGCGCTCCATACAATTCTAAAGCTCAAATACACCCCGACAGCTCGCTGGGACCATTTTGGGCCCCTGAGCCCAATCGACTGTTTGCCCCGCCGGTTGGCCGGGCGCCCGAGGGTAAATAGGTCCCCAACACCAGCCCGCTCCCATCGGGGGTATAGCTCAGTGGTAGAGCAATCGGCTGCAGTCCGATAGGTCCATGGTTCAACTCCGTGTGCCCCCTACCTTTTTTGCTTTTTGGAGGGGAGCTTCGGGATTTTTTTAATAGCCAATATGGAGTTATAAAAGCTGAAAAGCTGCAAATTAGTTTGGTCGGATGGCTTCTCAATAAATTAAATCTCGCAAAACGCTAATCTCTTGTGATTTTCAGACGTTAAGGTTATTTTCTGGAATTTTCACCAAAAACGTATCATTTCGTAGCGTCTCTTAAATTTTCATGGCGACCGGTAAGCTCCAAATTACGATTTTCGTAGCTTATTGTACCTCGTCGTATCACTCTCGATAAACGGTGTCGGTTTTTTGTAAAAAATCTTTATCCAAATCACAATAATTGGTAGATGAACATGGCGCAGAAGATCAGTGTCGCCAGCGGCGAGTTGTAATTGCCTAAATCAAGATATTAAAAAATTACAAAGTTCAAATTACCGGTATTCAAATAGGTTTCACGAAGTTCTGGCCACGATTGTTCGTCGATCGGATCCTTGTAGTTGATAGGGTGATACTAAAAATTCATCGTTGCCCTAGACTCTCCAGTTGTCCAGGTTTTAAAGGGCCATCGAAGTCAACTGCAGCTACCGGATCAAGTTCGCGAAGGGTAGGCGCTTCCTCTTGGTGCGAATAAGTCGGCGTGGAGCCGGGAAGGTCGGCCATCGTCAGAGTTGGCGGATCATTTGTCACTAGAAAGGGTACGTGTAGGAGAAAGAGAGCGAGAGAGCGAGAGAGGGAAAGATAGAGAGAGAGAGAGAGAGAGAGAGAGAGAGAGAGAGAGAGAAAGAGAGAGAGACCTACATTCGTATGCAATCCTGCCGATCACGCCGCCGATCGTGTTGTAGACGATGATCGGCAATATGTGGCCCTCGGAGACGAGCTCCCGGCCGACATTGGACTTTTGACAAAACCTAAATATGCAAGCGTTTTTTCAAGTTTTTGTATAGAATTGAAAATTTTTTAAATACCGCGTTTCAGTAGTTGAACACCTACGTGGCGCCCGTGTAACGATGATCCGAGATCAGCTTGAACTCGAGCCCACAATTCCGGCAGCCGCGGCCGCAGTCCTGGAAAAAACTACTTCTCGATTTTTTTTGAATTCGCTTACATCCCGAAATTTGTGAAACTCCAGCCCCTCGATGGTGACCTTGATCCGCGAGCCGGGTGGGGCCTAAATTACACTTTTTCAAACTTTTCGAGAAAGATTTTACCCTCAAGAAGTAGGTACAGGTGCGCCGCTCCTCGTGCCGGATGTAAATCGAACCACCAGACGCACGCTCGTCATCGAAAATGTCGCGGAACCTGACAAAAAGGTATTTTGAAGGTGTTCATAAAAATTTCAAATCTTAAAGGTATTAAAAGTATAATCGATTGTGACTATTTCCAATCCCAAAGCCCACTTTGGATAGGCCAACTGGAAAGATCGGCGGTGGTGGTCGACCTCGATGGCACGGCCGCATTGAGTGACCTGCAATGTACCGTAATACTGAGTGTTTTAACAGTGTTTTTAGTAAAATCTAACAATATTTCAGGTAGAAAAACTATCTCAAACCTTCGGAAATTTTTTAAATTCCAAAATTTGTCGAAATCTGTGTTTTTCTATTCCTTAAAAATAATAAGGTTGGCACATTTAAAAGTAGAAAAAGGTTTAGAAACACTTCCTCTCCTTATATAAAAAAAATCGAAACGTAGTAAAAGTAGCTCTGCGAAAGTGCCGATTTATGACGTTTTTTTAACCAAATCAGTAGTTTTTTACACCAAAAAAACTTCTACTTACCGCCATCTTGCACAGCGGCGGCGCGAAGCCGACCGGACAGATACAATCTCCGCGGCAATTCCTCGGATTGTTGATGCCGCCGTTCTCGCATTTCGGAAGTTGATCAGGTGCATATTTTTCGGGGCAAACCGCTAAAAAATAGTTTTAATCTTCATTCATTCCCTGACAAAAGCCTAGCAAAAAACACTTAAAAATCATAAACCATCCGACACTCACTATGACAGCCGTAGTGCCGATGGACGGACATAATATCGTAGAGCGTCGGCAGCCCGTGGCCCATCGTGTCGTGGTACACCTCGAATTTTGGCAGAGGGTTCATCGTCTCGGCGCCGTGCTTCGCGAATCTAAATTATCATCGGAGACTCAACTTTTGATTTTATTTTTTGTTTGAAATAAAAATTTAAATCATTAAAATTGATTATTACAACAATTAGGGTACCCACGCCGCGGCCGAGTAGTGCATCGTGCTGCCGAACTCGTACGGAAACTCTGCATAGCGGTCCTGTGTCCATTTGTGGTTAAAATTAGCGTTTTTCTCGTTGGGCAGGTGATACTGAAAACGTAGAAATTCAAACAGTCACGCTCGCTTAAAAAAAAACGTTGTGCAAACTCACGTGCGCAATGTCGATTGCGGCAAAATCCACGTGTATATACTCATCGCGATCCCCTCGCATTTGCATGTGAAGCATGCCGAGGGTGTGGCCGAATTCATGGATGACCGTCATCTGAAAAGAATCTGGCTTTTCAAGGTTGCTGTCCCGTTTATGATATGACGTTACAGGCGTGTAAGTTATACCAAGGTACTCGTAATTCTAAGACGAACATTTTCGTACGCCTTACATCCCTGTAGCATGAACGGCAGCCAAGAAACAAAAGCTCCTTTTTCCTGCTTACCGGGCTCGCCTCATCACCGAGGTGCATCAGATTTGGCGGTAGATGGAGGTCCGCGTCCACCGTGTGAAGCCATCCGATAGTCGCGTGGGCCGCTTCGCGTACAGGCAGATGTTGCGAGAACAGGAAGTGATGTCTAGGAAAATGCAAGCATAAAATAAAAAAAACAACCCAGGATGGTGGTGCTCATGGCCATGGTCGCCTCTCCACCATTCGACGTTTTTTAAAGCCTGTAATGATTTTTAGGGGTAATGCTCAGCACCTTACCTCCGATCCGCTGACCTCTTGAAACGGAATACACATCACGCTGTCCCAAAAGCGAGCAGCAGCCCGCATCGCGCGTTGGGCTTTTGGTGCTGAAAGTTTATCCTAATGATGATCTCGAAACAAGACAAATCGCCGTGAATAAAACCCACAAATTGGCGTAAATTCTTTAATATTGACGGAGCCATCGTTCACCCAGTAGTAGATGCCGTCCCACAGCTTTTGATTTGGCTTTCTATCGAACACCGACTTCAGGTTTCGGTCGAGGCCATTTTCGGGCGAGCGATGGGTCACTAAAAATGCATATTTTTTAAAGAGTGAATTAATAAAATCCATCTAGAATGTTTTTGCAATTTTTACACGGTTAGAATCGGCGAACGAAAGCATTACCCTCATCCAACGGCCGGTTGCCACCTAGGAAGTAGCTGACCAGCCCGTGGGGTTTAATTTTTGGAGGCTAAAATTGTTTCAAAAGTAGAAGATCAGGCCCTAAAGTACCTCATTCATAAACGGGTATTCCGAAGAGCCATTTGAGATCTGAAACGAGAAGAATCTTCATTCTTGCATCCCAGAACTACCTCGCCAACAACAACGCCATACAGCAACAGTACAAGAATTGAACGGAAAAGTTTCTAAAGCCAAGCTCTTGCACTACTAAAAGCTACCCACCGCCATTTTTGCAAAAGAATATGAAAAAGTAGTCAATACAAGGCGGACAATCTCTACGTAGCTAATCACCTACTAGAATCTGTATTCAAATGTGATGTCACTCCCACGCATTTTCGCTTTTCACAAAATTCTTTATTCACAAGCAGTAGTGTGCCTAGGCCTAACGAGGCCAGGCAATACAAAAACCAATCCCCGAAATGTGAGAACAAAAAAGGCCCCCCAAACAGTGCGATGGGCTGGGGGACCACCCGAATGTCATTGGCCCGTGTGGTGTGTGCGACGTATTTAGAGTTCGTCCTTCTCGTGCTCATCCTTGTCCTCCTCATCATCCTTCTCATCGGCATCCTCGTCCTTCTTGCTCTCCTCCTCCTCAGCCTTCTTCTTCTCCTCTTCCTCACGCTTCTTGCGCTCCTCCTCGTCGGCCTTGTCCTTGGATTCCTTCTCGGCGGGCTGAAAATGAAAGCGTAATTATGTAAAAAGTTATAAACCAGAAAAGGAAAAAAAATGATAAAAATCTACCTTCAACTTGTCGAAGGTCTCCGCAGCGTGCGCCTTGGCATCGTCGAGCGAGTCGGCGATGAGGATGTTGTCAAAGATCGTGCCCGACTTGACCTGCCAGATGTCGATACCAACAGCTCCAAAGTCCTCGTACAGGTACAGGTTGTCATCAGGGGAGTACTCCGGGTTGTCAATCTCGGGGTGCACCCACTTGCCCTTGTACTCGGGGTTCTTGATCTGCTTCGGCTTCCACTCGCCCTTGTAGTCGGGGTTGTCGATCATAGGGGCCTCCCAGTCTCCATCCATATCATCATCCCAGTCCTCGGGCTTCTTGGCGTCAGCATCAGGGATGTGCTCGGGCTTGTCCCAGTCCTCCGGCTTCTTGTCCTCGGCGTCATCGATGTACTCGCGCTCATCCCAGTCCTCCGGCTTCTTCGCGTCGGGGTCCTTGATCTTCTTGGCGGGGAGGAGGTCGAAGTCGGCCTCAAGCTCTCCGCTCTCGACCTTCTCGCCGTCGATCTGGACCTCGTAGGTGTTGTCGGGGTTGAGGATGAGGGTGTAGAGATGGGTGAGCTCGTCATCCTAAACGAAAAGTATTAGCAACCCCTAAGAAAATCAAAAATACATTTTTAAAGTAAAAAACCTCACCTTGCAACGGATCTCCTTCTTGATCTGGTGGTTCTTGCCCTTGTACGAGAAGATGACGTGCACTTTCTTGGTGGAGCCGCAGATATCCGGGCCGAACATGACGTTGTACGGGGTCTCGCCGTGGAAGTCGGCCAGGTCCGCGTCGGAGCGCATCACCTTCAGGTAGCCACCACCGCAGTCGATGCCCTGCTCGTGCTTGACGGTGAACTGGATGACGACGCTCTTGCCCTTGTTGGAGAACTTGGGGTAGGAGACACCGCGAGAGTAGAAACGAGCATCCTAAAAAAACAAAGCTAAAAAGAAGCGTAGAAAATGTATACCTGAGAAGTTTTCAGTCCCTGGTCACGCTTGGCGTCGCCAAAATGCTTGCCGGCGGACAGCTTGAACTCTCCGAAGTCGTCCTTGTGCTTCGACTGGACCCATCGTTTCTCCCAGGAGTCGTCGTTGAACTCCTCCTTGAAGTAGACTTCGGCGGCCACGCAGGCCACGACGGCCAGCAGTGCGAGGGCGGCTTTCATTGTTGATGAGGTGCCCGAAGTCCTGGAAAGAAGGAATGAAATAATGAATTCTCAAAGCAAAGAAAACGAAAAGTTAAGGTAGCATATAGAAAAGGAAGAGTTTTCCTATTGAAAATTAGAGGAATTTTCAGCTGCAGGGGCTCAACGTTAAAATAGGAAAGGAAGCTATTGGTTCAAGCCGCGTTTCCTGGTGTGTGAAAGTGTCCGATCAGCAGAATAAATATACGGGCGCCGGGGCTTATGCAACGGGGGGCTAAAGCGAACATGGCGTGCAGCGATTGGGCCACGCCCGCCGAGCCAATCGCGGCACACCAGCAAAAGCCCAGCAGGAGGGCAGGGCAGACAGGGCCGAATGGCATGCGGAATTAAATGAAGTTGCGAGCAAAAGAGCCTGGCAAACCGGACGGGATTTCCAAACAAAAAAAAGATTTGTACGAATCGGCAAAGCGCTGGGCGTTTGCGAAGGGTTAGAAACGAAGGAAATCTAGTAAAGTTACAAAAAATACGAAATACCAAAGTCAAAAGAAAAGAATAAAAGGAAAAAGAAACAGAAAAACAAAAAGGAAATTCGGTTACTGACAATTTTTGCAAAAGTTTTTTCAAGTTGCCATCGAGTACGAAGCAGTACGACCCGGGGATGTGTAAATTGGCGTCAAACGGAGCGACTTCCGGAATTTTCCTTTTCCGAACCCCGCACTCGACAAAATTGGTAAATTTTAGTTTTATATTATTTTTTCAAAGATGTGTTAGGACTTTAGAGTGTTTTTAACTTTTCAGTGTATTTCAGCTTCAAATAAAAATATTTATTGAGTGTGAAAATTGTTAAATCTAGAAAAAATCGAGGGTTTTCTTCTGAGAAAAGTAAAGCCTAGTGCTTGCTCGCCGAGTATGAAGTGATGCGATCGAGATGTGTACCCCTAAATTTAGATTCTTGGATTATTTTTCATGCTTTCTGTACCCAAGGCTTTTCAGGCAGGTGTAGTCGCGGATAAAACGTTGGACTTGGCGTCGATAGTCCGCTGAAACAAAAATTTTATAATTTGTGTTATTTAACTTACTTATAAAAGAAATTAAGATGATCGGGTCGAAAAAGGGAGGAACAACGAGAAAGCAGTGATAAAGCAGCCCCAGGCGTCCTGTATTTATCCCAAAAGCCGGGCAGATGAAGAGCAGCGTCATCGGCCCGTAGATGACCATCAACGGGATTGTGGTCTAAAGATTTCAAAAGTTTGTTTTTGTTTATTTAAAGCTTTTGAAGTTAAGAGTAGTGTTAAAACTAACCAAAACCACTAGGGATATAAACAGTTGTCGCTGCAGTTTTTTAGTTTTTGGACTTCCAACTGTTCTCTTCATTCCCTGATACGTTTTATAGCCGCAAAAACACATCTGAAAATTGGGTTTTGACTTTTTTCTAGGTTTTAGCAGTTTTTAGGATTTTCTACTTATTTTACAAGTTTTTACCACATTCAAAGGCACACAAGCTGCACAGGAAAGGCTCAGCATGCCAAACATGTCCCGGTAATTGAAGACAACCTCGGAATTACTCGTGATCTAATTTTTATATAATAAATATAAAAAAAAAGAATTTTATAATCTTTCAAACCCAATACGCCGGGCCGACATAGCCGCGATTTCGCAGCGAATGGTTTGAGAACGTCTCGAAATCGATGAGATACACGTCTTTTTCAGGGGCAGGGCTGACGAGATTTACACAGGTTACCATCCAGATACCGAAACCTAAAGGGGAAAATAAAATAAAACCTATAAAGCGTAAGCTATAGTGTATAAATTGAATTTTAACGTATAGTTTCGTGTAACTTACAAATTAAAACAATGGCAAACCATAGCAGCTGATTTTTGCCGCGAAGTAGCCGATCGCGGTGAGAACTGGAAATATGTTTTTAATGTTTTTTTTTCTTCATATTTTGGAGGTTACCTTAATTTATATTTATCATTTCATTATTCAACTTTATGGTTTCCTATTTCGAGGCGTTTTTAAAAAAAACGAGCTTATCATAGTGTAGGTTTTGAGCTTTTAGCATGATAAAGCTTACTGGCAAATTTGTATATAGCGAAACACGAAGTGGATCGCCAATACGGTATTATTAACGCCGAATAGCGACGAGATAATTGCGCCTAGCAGTGTTTGACCTAAAATTAACACTCTAGCATTGTAGAATTCGATCGATTTCCATACCTTGCTGATCCAAAAAATCGGACAGCGCCCCGGTGGGCACCACGAAAAAGTAGTACTGGCCACCATAAACTTTCTAAAAAATGAGTTGGATAAATTTATCAAACTCTTTCGATTTCCGTTTTTAAAACCCTGTTATGAAGTCCTTACCGGCAGTATGAGGCTGTGTGCGGTGGAATAGATGACATTAAAAATAGCCAAATACTTGAGCAAATTTCGATACGGCCCGAAGTCGCCTCGGCTCTTGTATTTGATTAAATATAGCAGCAAAAAGTTTAGAGAATACGTTAGAAAGGTCGTGAAATAGGCGTAGGGTTGGTGGTACCTTAAAAAGAATTACGTTAGTGTATATAATCGTAAATTAAAATGGTATAGATTTTTTTAAAGGTTCAAAAGGTTATTTTTCAAGTAGCTAGTCGAATCAAACTTTTTTAGTTGTTTTTAATGAAAATTGGCAGCGCAGAAAGTGTAATTACCTCAGAATTAACGCCCATAGCCATTCCAGCATATCTTCAGGTTATAAAATGCCGTTTTTCGAAGTGTAATCTGGAAAAGGGTACTGTAAAACGCTAAAATTTCAATCTTTCGCAGCTTAAAAGCCTCAGATTCCGAAAGTCTGTGCGGTGAACTGACAGAAATTCGTGAATTTTGCGAATATACAAGGAAAAAAAATAGGGATCAAACTTTCTCCTTGACGCGATTCGCAATTTGGTTTCCCGAAGGGAAAAGGCTGCGCTACAAAAATCCGCTCTGATATTGAAGATCACAAAATCTAGTTAGAAAAAGGGCAGGTCTGAAGCGAAGATTTAATTAAATCTGTGTTGAAAATAGCCTGATTTTATTCCCTAGAGGTTTTTGAAGTTCGTTAGGGCCGAAGCAAACTGGAATCGAACATTTCTTTCCCTAATTGCGGATCGGTTTTTCGAGAAGATATTTACGAAAAAATGCGTACACCTTGAAATAAATAAAGTTTGATGGAAGACGGAGAGAGAGGGGGAGAGAGAGAGAGAGAGAGAGAGAGAGAGAGAGAGAGAGAAAATATAGTTTAGAATCTAGCTAAATATTTATTATCCCCTCGCTTTGAAAACCGGTGAAAAATGACTGCCGGCTCCGCGGAACGTTCCCAACGGCTACACAAAACCGACCCACGACTTGGTCAAGGCACAAGCAGTGATTGGACAGGGAGCACAACAAGACTTGATCTCCTGCGCGCAAAAACAAAGACACTAACTACCAAGATTAAGGTACAATACAATCCACATGACGCTCAAGGGCGGCTGGCAGAAAAACTGTTTTGAAAGGTACAAACCTTATTAGGACCTTAATTGCGGTTTTTTTTGGGAAGGCAGGAAGTCCCACTAATTTTCGGATTCACTGAAATTAACTCCCTTTCGGGCATCTCGTGAAAACTTTGTATCAAGGTTCTCTCTCTGTCTGTCTCTATCTCACTCTCTCTCTCTCCCCCTCTCTCTCTTTCTCTCGTAGAGAACCTTTTGGAAGCTGTAAGGCATATCGCCAGAATTCTTGTCTTCCTACTTCCTTTAAAACTGGCTAAAGCACGTTTTCGAAAAAGTCTAGTGATCTGTTGGCCAAAATGTTGGCTAGACCAGAATAAAAATCACCACCTTCAGGAAAATAAACATCTCCGGTTTTCGCACGACAATGAGAACACGTGGGTTCAATGAAGTTGGGGAAATTTTCGAATTTGCTGGGCGAGAACTAGATAAAGAGCAAGAGAGAAATAGAGTGAGTGAGAGAGAGAGAGAGTAAGAAGCGGGAGCATGATTTAGGAAATCATGAACCTTTCGAGTCTATAGCAAATTGGTCTCCATAGCGAGCCGTGCCCTGCCGCCTGTGAAAAAGGTCCGGAAATCTGCTTACCAGTTTTTTCAAATCGGGGGCGTCGTGCTATTTTGCGCACGTAATTCTATTCGCCAATAAATAATGCACAAAAGTCTGGACAATGATTAGATTCTCCGGCTTATTTAATCCCGAAAATGCATTGTGTGCAATGTTCACAAGAAAAGACAGGGGCTCGCGTTTTTTTTTTGTGATAAATACTTCAGTCTTTTTTACTCAGGGCAAGGCTGGAAAAATATCAGGTTGGTAGATAAGTCCTGTCACAAATTTTTGAAATCGCTCTATAAAGCCGCAGAAACGTCCAATTTTCACTTGCGATACATGATTTGATAGGTCTTGAGATGCTCTACCGTGGGTGCAGTCGGATAGGGTCTGGAAATTGTGGGTCGCCGAGATAACGGCCCTTGAAGATTTTTGAATAATTACGCAAAAGTGTTTTAGCGAATTATCTCTGCATAGAGCAATTTGCATGCGATACCTTTAACACCAATCGATAGCTCTCGAGGAGTAGATATCGATAGATGTTGAGATCATCAAAAACGGATATCGGATGACTGAGATACGACCCCTTGAAATTTAGCCCATTTCTTAGAACTTTTCTCGAAATCCCATACAGGGTGTCCCAAAAAAAACGACCCATCTGGCATTTCGCCGTGTTACATCCAACCGGCCCCAAATTTGGACCAGAGGTGTATCATAGCCTAAATAACAACAATCCTGACTTACAGCCCCATAGCTACAGTAATTTTAAAGTTATAACGAAAATACTGTTTTTCCCGGAATTCTGAACAGTTTTATCGGCTATCTTTTTCGACTTTGCATCGATTTGCATCGACTTCCGGCTGCGAATCCCTAATTTCGCTTATGAACTGGGGGTAGTTTTGCGTTGTAAAAATTGCTTATATCGAAGCTTATTTAATTAATTTTACTCTGGAAAAAATTTCTTACGGTAAAGAAGGCCTACTGGATCATTTTCACTTAATGTTTAGGGGGTCTAATTCCACGAAAACCCTATGAAAAATGGAAAATAAAGTTTGTTTTTGCTATAACTTTAAAACTACTGTAGCTATGGGGCTGTAAGTCAGGATTGTTGTTATTTAGGCTATGATACACCTCTGGTCCAAATTTGGGGCCGGTTGGATGTAACACGGCGAAATGTCAGATGGGTCGTTTTTTTTGGGACACCCTGTACATTTTGACAAAATCTTCTCGGTGCGTGCAAAAACAAGGCGGCAAAGTTTGGCCCAAATGTGCAAAATGTATGGGATTTGATGAAAAGTTCTAAGAAATGGGCTAAATTTCAAGGGGTCGTATCTCGGTCATCCGATATCCGTTTTTGATGATCTCAACATCTATCGCTACCTACTCCTCGAGAGCTATCGATTGGTGTTAAAGGTATCGCATGCAAATTGCTCCATGCAGAGATAACTCGCTCGAAAGCTGTGACTAGATTTTGAGCGAAACTTTTCGAAGCTGTATCTCGGTGACCAGCGACTTCGGGGTCCTAGGAGGGTCATGCTGACAAGGAGTGCTTTTTTTCGAGTCATCTGCAAAACCTTACGAGACCTAGCTCATTCGATAGCGAATTCGATTCTGAACAAAACCCCGTTGTTCTTTTTTGCAGAATGGCTATCCCTGATTTTATAAAATTGTAAAACTGCACCCAAAAGCCTCTCTTTTGGCTCGAAAGGCAGTCATGGTAAGGGACGGACACTAGTATTTTAATTTTATAAAATCAGGGATAGCCATTCTGCAAAAAAGAACAACGGGGTTTTGTTCAGAATCGAATTCTCTATCGAATGAGCTAGGTCTCGTAAGGTTTTGCCGATGACTCAAAAAAAAGCACTCCTTGTGAGGTAGAGCGTCTGAAGACCTATCAAATCATATTCAGTGGCTTCATAGAGCGATTTCAAAAAATTGTGACAGGACTTATCTACCAACCTGATAAACAATTTTCTGCTGCTCCATGCGGAAGAGTTTCTAAGAGCATTCGGTGTAAATTTCGTATTGTCCGATTCATGTTGTTGAAATTTCATTTTGTCGACTTTTATTCATCTCAAAAAACCAAAAGTTTAGCATATTGAAATCCTTACAACATGACTTTCGACAAAATTAATCTCGACGTGCGACAAATTTTGAATTTCCGGCAAATTGAAAATAACCTGGAAACGCAAAGAAGCAGAGATGCCTTAGGAAACTTTTCAAAGGCGGAAGTACGTTAGATTTTTGGACAACTCGCTTTGTAGTTGGATTCGTGAAATTCACCTGAAATGACAACGCGATAATCCCAAACAAAGTTCAGCACACAAATTAAATCGAATGAGTTAGTTATCCAGCATCAGTGACTGGTAACAACGAAATCCGCACTTTTGGCCACAAAAATGACGCTGTCTCTTGGGTTTCGACGAAGTCCGCAATGAAACTTACGCAAGTGGTTGTAGTTTTGGTACAGTACTCTTTTCATTATTTTTGTGCCTGGATGTCACAAATTAGGCGGATGTCTGCGGGGAGAGAAATTCGACAATTTCGTCATTTTACTAATTTTCCTATTAAAAGCGCCTTACAGCGCAATTCGAAAAACTTTAACCTGTTTCGCTGAACAAAAAGGTAGCGATTTGCCTATCACAGGATCTATTAGCATTATACTATTTACGGATTTTAAGAAATTGTCCAGGTCGTCGGCGCCGAAGAATAGACAGCAAGCCCCTCTTCAGCTCTATTTTTATTCCTCTTTTGCCCCTGAAAATTGAAGCCCGTCAGTTTATCGGGTTTCAATAAACAAACACCACGCGGCAGCTGACTATTTTTCCTCAGAGATTTTGAAAACAACAAAATGAGGTTGATTTTTCTTCTATTGATTTTTACTTCTATTTCTTTTGCCGCTGATGGCAATTTTGAAGCTGCAAAGATTACCTTCGTCGACCTGATTCCGAAAGAAATTTTTGGTATATTTTGTTGGATTAAAACCCACCAAGTTCAAGGAGTTCAGCCGATTTTTCGACGGATCTTCAGGATTTTCTGAAAGGTCTTACCGATGTGGATTTGGCATATCTGTTCGGGTTGACCTGGAGCCAGCAGGAGTTCAAGGGGAAGAACTTCGAGGAGGTAGAGAGAGAGAGAGAGAGAGAGAGAAAGAGAGAGAGAGTGAGAGAGAGAGAGTGATAGCTATTTTCTAGGTCCTTCAAACCCTGGAGAACGGAGCCAAATCGGATGCCGAAAAGGCCACGATTTTCAAAATCGGAAAATTGATGGATGCGTATAAAAAGAGGTACGATCGGATGACGCCTAAAGCACAGGAATACGTTGATGAGGTAAAGCATACATGATACAAAAATTTAAGGCAAAAAAATAGGTCTATGAATCCTCCAAATCCGGGCTGACCCTGGATGACGAGAGGCGAGAAAGATGGGTAATATTTTTGAGGGTTTGCAAAAAAATAAATTAAAATGTCGAGCTTTTAAGGGATACGGTAGCTTATTAGATTTTTGAGACTCGCTTTTTTCAATGTTTTAGGTTCGAGAATGCCGACGAAAGTTCAGAAAACTGTCACATGAAGATCGGGAGAGTCTGAAGCCCAATTTCCCCCTGGTCTACAAACTGTTCCGAGGTAGGTTTTTGGAGCCAAATTAGGCGTGTTCACCTGCCAAACGGCCCCCAAAAAGCTCCTTTAATTTCTTTACAAAAAAGAGAACACGACATCTTTCTTGATTTTTTTTGTATATGAGCTCAAGCTCAAAATTTCATTTTGAACCCGATGACCACGAACTCGGAACCGCAAAAATACCTGATTTTAGACAACCGCTTCACGTCGAAGCTGGAGACGCAAATCCGGAAGCTGATGAGCGGAGCGGCTCCATTTACAACTAACTAAGCTTGCCCAAAAAATCCGAATTTTCTTGAAATTGAATAAAAATTTCTATTTGACGTAGCAACCGAAAACTTCTGCACAAATTTCTTAATTTGAATCTGAAATCAATTTACGGGGTGATTTATCTTGCCTAGATTTATTTGAATCCGGAATTTGCATATCGCAGAAGAATCGATTTTCCGTCTCGAGAAAAGAAGCGCATTTAATCATCTTCTTACTTTTCGCCCCGATGGCCGGCAGACAGGTATTCGGATAATCCATACCCCGATTTTTGTATGCAAATTAGGGCACGATGGACATGGAGACGGTGCTGTCGCAGATCCGCGAGAAGTTGGCCGCTACCCGGCACCACGGCGGTGAGATCGAGATCAAGGTGGGGCGAGCTAGCCATGAGTTTTCAGGATTTTTTGAGACTTGTAAGGATTCGATTTTTTAGGTCAAGATCGATTTGCGCGGACTTGGGACTTGTGAGCCGCTGACGCAGCCAAAGCCGGCCAAGTCGCCAAAATCGCCAAAGTCACCGAAGCCCGAGAAGTCGCGAAAGGAGCGCAAATCAGAGGATATGACCATCGACATGTCGCGCTCGATTCGTTCTTCTCGCGTAAGCAAACTTAGTTACCTAAGCCTAAGCCTGAGCCTGACCCTAATCCGAACCCTAAGCCTATCCTAATACTACCGCTAACCTCAGCCTAAAACTAAGCCTAACCCGAAGCCTAGGCCTAAGCCTAACCTAAGCCTGACTTCGGATTCTTGATTCAGGGCAAGAAGTCGCGAAAGGAAAAGGAAAAGCCCAAGTCCGAAGACCCGACGATCGACATGTCGCGCTCGATTCGCTCCTCTCGAGTTAGATGGCTTTAGAAGCCTCGTTCTCACTTCGAAATTTAGAGCAAGAGGTCGAAGCGCGACAAGTCGGGCAAGAAGCGCAGCCGCAGTCAGTTGAACAAGAAGAAGGAGCGTAGGTCTTTGATCTATCTATCTCGCTCTCTCTTTATCTCTCTCTCCTTCTCTAACCTCCCGTTCAGGCGAGCGCGAGTCGCTGAAGCAGCTGGCGAAGGAGACCGGCGACGACGACGTGGAGTGGGGCAAGGCCGCCAATGTACGTGAAGCTTCAATGACCCTTGAAAAATGAAATTTCAGAGCGACTCCCAGGTGACGATCTACGAGAACGCCGTCATCCTCAACACGGACCCGCTGCCGCCACCGCCCCCCGACGCGTCCACCATCGCCCCGCATCTGCTGGCCCGTTCGGAGGTGTGTTTCGGAATTCACCAGGGATGGTAAATCCTTAATATTGTTTACGATACGATACGGTACGGTACGCTACGATACGATACGATACGATACAAAAAGATTCGATTGGATATCATTTTTTTCAGGATGAGACGAGCTCGCACGGGACGAGCAGCCGGAACAGCCGCGCGGCCAGCAACCGCAACAGCCGCCGCGACGCCACCGCCTCGCCCGACAAGCACCCGTGCACCAAGCGCAACTGCCACTGCAAGAGCTCCAACCGCCGCTGCATGAAGCGCAAGTAGCCAGCCAGCCGACCGACCCACCGACCGACCGATAAATGTCCCCCTTAAAACGCAATCAACCCTGATGCTCGATTCCGCCCTCATGCTCCTAATCCCGCTCGATTCTCTCGTATCTGCTCGTATTTTTCCTCGTGTTTTCTCGTGTTCGATGTACTTGACTGTCAACGAATCAGTTAATTGTCTTCTTTCCAAAAGCCCCAGCTGATCTGGGCTGGTGATAAAGAGTTTTTTTGATGAGATTTGGGACATCGGCATTACCGATTTTTGATGATTTCGCACTGTTTCAAATGGAATTACATAATTTTTTGGATTTCATCAATATCGTTATTTTGCTTATTTGCTTCTTAAGTTTTTGGCAGAAAACCGTAATATTTCTGGGTCCAGATGGGCCTAAATGTGCACAAATTTCGAAGGTATTACTGAAGAAACTTAAGGATTGAGAAAAAATCTACAAAAAAAAGAACAATTAAGAGAGTGTGGTGCAGACCCTTTACGCTAAAAAATGTTTGTTTTTTGTTACATCATCTAAGGCGAATCACACGTTCGTCAAATGCTGGTATTTACGCAGAGAATGAGGCAATGAGCGGGACGCAGGTGTTCATAGGTGTATTCGTACAACTCCCTGAATGACCGCTTTGTTTTCTGGCTTGTTTAATCGTTTATTTTCCGGAATAAAGTCTGCATAAGAGGTAGGTTAGTTCTATAGTCACCTCCACTTTTGAATTGTAAACGTATAGAGCTTTTTAAGACTTTAATGCGCCTTTGAAAATCTGTGGTTGAAATCAGAACTACCCGCTCGGCCGCCCACGTGTTTATGGAAAAAACTTGGTGTTTATATACGCGACGGTAGCGACAAAAATTTTCTGAAAGCTTGGGGTAGCTGGAATTGAATAAAATGCGACAAATCCTACTAACTACAACACTATTCCTACTTGCCAATGCTCAAATGGACGATAATGCCCTTTCGGAGGACAATCGTGCAAATGACGTGCCAATCGACATTAGGCTGCTGCTCTCGGAGGATGTTTTTAGTAAGGAAAAACTTCTTTTTGTCGTTCATATAGAATTTGTATTTTCTGTATTTTTATGGCATCCAAAATAATTTCAGAAGAACTCAGTTCCGATGTGCAGAATTCGCTGGAAGGCCTGTTCTTAAGTGATATCCGGAATATTGCGGCTTGGTCCCGAAAATTAGGGCAGTTTTCGGATGGCAAAGAGGTAGTCTAGCTCACTCTCTCTCTCTCTCTCCCTCTCTCTCTCTCTTTCTCTTTCCTAGCACTCCACTGTCTCATTTCAGGCCCTCCACGCTTTGAAGAAAACGAGTGAGACTTCATACAACTATATGAAAAGGCTCTACGACGTCTATACCTTTAGCTATCAAGGGCTGACCCCGGGTGCTAAGAAGTACTTTGATCAGGTTCGAGAACTTTAACTTTTTCATGAATTTGTACGCCTTTTTAGGGAACCTCTGATATCAAGAAGCTTCGTAGCACGGACGTGGAGACCAGGAAAAGATGGGTAACATTTCGAAAGGTTACTTGAAAGCCGAATTACATCAGTTTCTTGAAAAGCACGCCGCTTTTCAACAATTGTCCTTCGACGATCAATCTTCAATCGAAGACTTCTTTCCTCTGGTGTTTAAGGTTGCGACCGGTATGGTGTTAGCGGGAGCGAAAGAGTGAGAGAGAGAGAGAGAGAGAGAGAGACAGAGAGAGAAAGAGAGATATCTCCGCTTTTAGACAAGCCCTTCCGAACAAACGTCATCAAGAAGCTCGACCGCCTGATGAGGGACAGATTTTCACGCCAATTCTTGATTGCTTAAGAAATGAACTCCAGAATAAACTTCGAATCTTGCGAATTTACATCGAAACAGCCCCCAAATTTCACTGCTGAGCTTTCACGCGATGCTGATCCTTACACAAACTCCTAAGCCGCCGCCCTGAAGCCTAAGCATAAGCCTGAGCCGATGCCTAAGCCAAAGCCCCTAAAGAAGCGTAGCCCGAAGTCAACGCCTAAGCATAAGCCAAATCTTAATCATCCTACGCCTAATCCTACGCCCAAGCCTAATTAGTAAGCCCAAGCCGAAGCATAACCTAAGCCAAAGCCAAAGCCTAAGCCAACTCCGAAGCTTAATCCTAATATTCAGAAGCGCAAGCATTTCGAGCCACTTGATATGGTCATATAATTAACAGTGGGCCGGATTGGTTTATTTAATCGAAACGGGCGTGATGCTTGTTTATATATTTTCCCGGGGCTATCGCCTAGCCCACCGCCGTCGCTTCCATACTCTCTCAAATCCAGATTTACGGTTTTACGACCAAATAGTTCCTGTCGAAATCATGCGTACGCTGCTGTACATCGTCGCCATATTGTTTTCCTGGGCTCATGCTCGACCTGCTGCTCAATTGGACGACGCGGAGAAGCTGCCCAAAAGCCTAGATTTTATGAAGATCAACGTGAAGGAGATGATTCCGGAGGATATTTTTTGTGTGTTTTTCTGGGTTTATGGATCGATTGCCTTTACTGCCCCTTTAAAGAATCCGGGAAGCGCAAAAAAAATCAACGCTTCTAACGACTGGATCTTGATAATTTTTTCTGGCCATGGAACTCGACAGATTTTTAAGTTCAATAACACTGATTCAATCGTATTTGAGCGTGTAATATAGCTGTCGAGACCTAGTCGCTTTAGGGGTTGATTTTCGAGCTTATCAGGCCCCTTAAAACCCCTTCTAAATTATTTTATAGCCGAATTCTCCACCGACCTCCAGGAATTCCTTGAAAACCTACAGCTGCCCGATTTGATGAGCATTGGCGCGCTCGTGCATAAGGTTGAACATTTCGATGACGCCAATGATGTGGGTTTAAAAAATACATTTGTATAATTTTTAGACTGGAAAAATTCAAGAAAAAAATTCAAGAAAAAATTATGACTGGAAAAATACGCGGATTACGAATTACCAAAACAAAATACGCCACGACTTTTTTCTGTGCTTTAGATGCTCGAGGCATTGAAGGAAAGCAGCCCGTCAACCTACAAGAAAGTCAAGAAGCTCGTGGATGCCTATGAGCTTCGATATGAGGCCTTGACTCCTGGAGCTAGGGCGTTTTTTGACAAGGTACGGCAGGTTCCGACTTCCGCCTTCAAAACGTTAGAATACATAATTTAAAAATTTCATAATGTCGAAATTTGGGGACGTCAAAATTCAGAACGCCAAAATTTCATAACGTCGAATTTCTTAATGCCATAATTCATGATTTCAAAATCATACTGTCAAAGTTTCAGAATGTCGAAATTCATAATACCGAAAATGTCGATACCTATAGCAACGACAGGATCAATTTTGAAGCTTCCCGATCCCTTGAAACCACAAGTTTAGGTAGCCGCAGAAGATATCCAGTCGCTGGACGGTACGGAACGAAAAATTTGGGTACTATTTTTCTTGGATTTTTTGGGGAATATTTAATTGAGGCCAACTCGCAATTGGAGGAGTACAGAAAATTGCCTGAAGTCGACAAGGCATCAGTCGCTGAGAATTTTCCGCTTATACATAAGATATTTGGTGGTAGGTCTTTGTCTCTATCTCTGATTCTCTCTCTCACTCTCTCTCGCCCTCACTCACTCTCTCTGTCTCTCTATCTCTCTGTCTCTCCTTCGCTATCTATCTCGCTCGATCTCTCTCGCTCTCTCTCTCTGTCTCGCTCTCCCTCTCTCTCATTCTCTCTGTCTCGCCCTCCCTCTCTCTCATTCTCTCCGTCTCGCTCTCTTTCTCTCTTACCATTTTTCCATTGGATTCATTTAGACGAGGAATTCATGATGAAGCTGAGGAGCCGTCTGGAGGGCTTCTTGAAAGCCAGGCTGAACCAGAGTATGGCCAAGGGCGGCAAGGAGCTCGGAATCGGCGGAGATTTTTAACCGTTTTTTTTTGTATGATAAATGGTTTTATCATTATTTGAGGGACGGCAATTAACAGGAGTTACGAACAAATTCATACTCTCATTAATGCGCGGGTAGTTAAAGTTTTATTCATTTTGGCCGGCTGCTCCGAGGGCGACCACTTTCTCGCGAAAGTCATGACGAATCAAGGTCTTGACGTTTTCTTCAATTTTCGGGCTTATGTTGGAAAAGAAATCAAAATCTAAAAAAATAGAATAGTTAGTTGGATAAAAAGTGTGATTAAAAAGACCTGTAGCCAGCTTGTAGACGATGGGAAATTGGTCCTTGATCGATTTTCTGCCCTCCTCGGTCAGGTCGTTGAACGCAAAGATGAAGCTGGTGTACTAAAGGCTGAACACTTTGAAAGCTAACAGCTAAATTAAGTCAAATCGTTAATTTTTAGAAACTAGGAACATCCTAATTTGTGGAAACGACGCAACTTACTTTTATAGCCCGACTACTCGACGACAAATCGTTGAACCAGTTGACCCCCTTGAGAGCTCGGGGTCCCTAAAATTCCACAAAAAAAGCAACAGTATTAATAGCCATAAAATTTATCTAAATGGCTAATTCTTCCACTCTCACCCGTTTCCGGAACATCTCCTGGGCGTCGGGGGTCAACTTGACGAAGCGCTTTGCGAGGGCCTCCAAAAGCTGCTTCACCTTTTCGTAGGTATCCACGTTAATTGCTTTGAGAGCGTTAAATGCCTATATGTTCATATGGAAATTCGGGAAAAAGACGCAGAATTATGGGAAACTAGCCTCACTTCCTAGCTACTTTTTGACCTACCTGCTCAGGGAGCATTGGCCCTTTCTTGACATGTAGCTTCAAAAAAGCCAACATGTCTTGGTAATCCAAGCTTTTCACAATTTTTTTCAGGTCGGGCGATAGCTCATCTAAAAAAATGTATATAAATATGAACAAAAAATATATATGAAAGACGATCATCGAAAAAAAAAACCCATTTTCTGAAGCACCAGCAGCTGAAGCAGAAAATCGAGAAACACGTTTTTAGGTACGAGCTTACCAAAAAGTTCATCCGGGATATACTTTGTGAGGTTGAATTCTGTCGAGGAGCAAGCTGTATTGAGGTGAAGCTCCTGTGCTTTGACCATCTTCGAGAAGCCCAACGGAAAAAGCACGAAAAAGCGAAATATCGGGAGCTTCATTGTGATTGGTATTAACAATGTGCGAGAACCGCCCGCAGGCCAAAAATCAGGCGCTACTTAATAAACAGGAAGCCAGTTTCGCGGTGTAAACTGGAGCCCCGTGTACTTCCAATCAGTTATTATTGGATTTTTAGTGCATTTTCATGTTTTTGTGGAAAATCTGAAGGCTGTAAATAATGCAGATTAAATAGATATTTTATTCTAAGTCCGGCAAGGTCGAATCAGGTTTGATTTTGATATAGGTTCCTGTTTCGACGAGCATAGGTCGCTTCAGAAGATCCGCCAACTCTTTCTCGGCTTTTTCGATTTGGGGCACGGCCGCCTCAAGGAAGTCGTTATCTGAAAAAAATTTGCAGGGATACGAAGCGAGTTTGAGCCGATACCTGCCACAAATCTGTAGACGATCGTAAATTGCTCCCAGATCGATTCCTGGTCTTCTCCACTCAACTCGTCGAACGCATCAACAAACTTGTACCACTAAAATAGGGTAATTTTATAAATAGGGTTACCGTATCATGTTTTGCAGGTTATCGTTCATTTAGAATTTTCGACCCATTAGAAAAGTCGGTTTCGACCCAAAATTTTCCGGAAACTCATTTGTTTTTTTATTCATTTTTGGAAAGCACATTTGAAAATCCGCAACCGGCATCTTTGCGTGTTCTAACACCGCAAATTTTTGATAATTTTTGCCTAAGTTGTTTGAATATACGATTTCTGAAAAACCATACCTTTTCCAGACCATGTTCGACGGATAGGTTGTTGAAGACGTTCACAGCAAGAAGCGCGTCGTTCCCCTAAATTTTGGTGTATTTTGCGATCTTTATGGACTTCTATGTGTTACTAAGCATATTCACAGACTTACATATTTCCGGAAGAAATTCCGGGCACCGACGGTCATCTTGGCAAATCGCCGCTTGCAGACCGCAACCAGTTTCCGCATCTTCTTGTACGTGCTCGGGCTCATCGTCTTGAGGAATGCTAGGGCCTGAAAGAATGGATTCTTAGACATCTGCGCACTAATGATTTCCGAAACTTACGTATCGCTGCGTCAAAACGGGGTCCTGGTCCTTGAAGAGCCGGTCGAATGCGAAGATGTCCTCGAGGTCGAGGCTGTCCACGAAGGCTTGCAGGTCGAGGGAGAGCTCGTCTAAAATAGCGAGTAGCTTGCGCACTTTCTCTCCCTCTCTCTCTCTCTCTCTCTCTCTTTCTCTCTCTCTCATTCTCGCTATCTCTCACGCTCCACTCACAGGTCTGCTTTGTTGCGACCAGGACCAATATAAACGCGTGTTTTGGAGCGTGATGTAGCTAGCGGAACGAATGGGTGTATTTTAACACCCCCTTCAAACCTCTTAAAAAGCAAGCGCCTTACCGTATACTCGCTGTGGAATCAGGCGGTGCATGTCATATTTCTTGGCCGGGGTGACTTGGCTGGCGCGGTGCGGCTTCATGCTGGGCTTACCGTACACCATCGAGACCAGGGCCAGGAGCAAGGAGCAGATGAGGAACTTCATGTCGAATGGAGTGCTGTGAAAAACGAGTGAGCCTTGCATTTAAATAGTGTTTCTCGATCGTAAACACTACAGCCGTTTTTGACGCTCCAAACAGAAAAACCGTGACGTCGGGCCGTCTGCAGGCTGCACTTTCAAACAAGCGTGAGCCAATTTTTTTTGGTGCTGCAAAGGGCAAATGGACTTGATACAGAGCCGTGGGAAAATATGGGAAGGAAAAAAGGCCCTACTGAGGCAAGCTAGCGGAGGTTCTTAGAGGATTCCGATTTCAGGCGCCAGGAACAGGGCCAAGAAGTGCGAAAATCTTACCCTTTTAAATTTTTGCCGTCTTTTCCACTTGACATCATAATGTCGAAATTCGTAATGTTGAAATTCATAATGTCGAAATGTCATAATGTAAAGTCATGGAAATTCAGAAAGTCGAAATTTTTTGCCTAGGATTTGGGGATTTACCGGGATTACCAGCCTATGTAAATGTCGACATTCTGAGTTTGGACATTATGAAGTTTCGACTTTATCACATTTCGACATTATGAAATTTTGACATTCTGAATTCCGACATTATGAATATTCGACTTTATGGTTTTCGACATTTTGAAAATAAACCCTGGTTCTCCATAATAAAACGGGTAAACGATTTTCTTTTCCTTTTCCTTCTCTTTTTTCCTCTTTTTTTTTGGCGAGATCCTGGGCTAGCTAGCCGCGCTTCTTTGGGAATTTAGGAAATTTTTGTAAAGCCGCAGCACTGTTGGGTTTTTCATATGTTTTCAAGCCCAGGGCGGTCATTCCAGTACGCATCAGTACGCCGGGGTACGCTACGACATTTTCAAAAAGCCCAAATTTGAAAAATTTTATCTGGAAAATGGACCACCCCGGTGGCATGAAACTTTGAAATTTGAGGATACTATCGTAATTGTAGCGAGAATTCTGTTATCACCTTTTAATTTACGCTTCCATTTGCCCATTTCTATTCTCTCCCTGAACAATCTCTGCTAGCTTGCCCCCAATTATTCGTGTGGATACCTGATGCTCATTGCAAAAAAACATCTCACTTTCATTTGCAAATCCAGATTTATCAGGCTTCAATCGGTTTTCAGGCGGTGTCCATTTATTAGACCTCTTCTAGAAGCTGGACCTGGCCGCGCAGCCTTCCGACCTTTTTCTCAAATTGTCGCTGCAGGGCGAGGGTGGCCTTGAGGATGAAGTACGGATCTGAAGCCATATTTGGGGTTTTTGCGTGTTTTTGTTCCGAAAGTGATTTTTTTCGAATACCTGTGTTAAGCTTGTAGACGACAGGGAACTGCTCGCGGACCGACTCCTTGTCATCATCGCTCAGATTTGCAAACGCAAGGACAAAGCTGCCAAGCTGAATTCCAAATTATTCAGAGAGAGAGAGAGAGCGAGAGAGAGGAGAGAAAGTGAGAGAGCGAAAGCGAGAGAGAAAGAGCGAGAGAGAGAGAGAGAGAGAGAAATTGATAGGAGAACTGGCATAAATCTACCTTCTCTGTGCGCTCCTCAGTTGTCAAGTCGTTGTAGCCGTTCATCCCGCTCAACCCGTCGGCTCCCTATTTTAGTTCATGAACAAAAAAGGCGACCTGGATCCTACATGCTCCCTGAAGAGCTTCTGGGCCTCGGGTGTCAATTTTTCATAGCGTTGCTTGCAAGCCGTCGTCAGCTTCTTCACCTTCTTGTAGGTGTTCGGGCTGATTTCCTTCAGGGCGATGGGAACCTGGAAGCGGCTTTATCTCTCTGACTCTTCTTCTCTCTTTCTCTTTCTCTCTTTTTCTCTCCCTCTCATTCTCACTCCAACCCACCTGCTCCATCGTCTCCAACGTGTCCTTCTTCTGGTAGAGCATCAGTAAGGCGGCCGCGTCCACCATGTCAAGGCTTTTTGCGAATTCTTGCAAGTCCGGCGAGAACTCGTCTAAAAAGGTTACACTCTCTTTTTCCCTATGTCTCTCTTGCCCTTTCTCATCTCTTATTAGCTCTCTCTCTCTCTCTTCCTCTCTTTCTCTCTCGCTCTCTCTCACTCTCTCTTTTTCTCGCTCTCCCTCTCTGGTTTTGACCATTTCTCTCTCAATCCTTCCTTTTTGAGCAGTGAGAGAGCGAGAGAGAGCGAGAGAGATAGAGAAACAGAGAGAGCGGGAGCGAGAGAGAGAGAGAGAAAGAGAGACAAACAAAAGATCCGTTATTAAAAGTAAAATTCGCTTACCAAGAAGCTCCTTTGGCAAAGTGTCGGTGATGTCGAATTTCAGCCCAGTTAGTATGGCTTTCAACCCCGCCTGATTACTGGCAACCGGTCTACCGTAGGCCAGCCCACACAGGGACAAAACGCAGAAAACCACAATTTTCATGTTCTCGTGGATGGTAAGTGATCAATCGCAGGGGGCAGCGGGTTTAAATTGTCGCTAGAAGATAAACATAACGCCATTTGCAGGGTTCTAAACACCGCCCTCGTGCCCCCGCAGGACCCGATGAGTCAGAGATTTCATCAATTTTTTGCGATGTTGGGCAAAGTGCGGGGTACAAAAAATATAGATGTAGAGTGTAGTGTGTCGGAAACAAACCTAATCTCGTAGATTTGAGGATGAGCTCGGGAGACCTTCATGGTTCCTTGCTATAAGTAATACTGCAGATACCCTCTCCTGGACAACACAAATGCTATCACGTTGTCGAAATTTCACAGCGTCGAAATTCGCAATGGGGTTTATAATTCACAATCTTGAAATTGAGAAACCTTTATTAATCCAAATTCATTCCAATTTATTTATGGATTTTGTCGCTGATTTGTCTATGTAAAATAGATATTTTGAAATTTTCGACATTTCGGCATTGTTGATTACGACATTAAAAATTTCGACATGTCAAACTACGGGATTATGAAATTGCGGCACCCTGGAATTTCGATCTTCTGAAGTTTCGGCACTATGGAATCACGCATTATGAGATTTCGACACTGCCCCAAGTTCGACCTTCAAAAATTTGCAAATTTGAAATTTCGAGATTACAATTTTCGGGATGCTGAAAATAACTGCCTTGGCCTTAGCCTTAAAACCAAGCCTTTTTATTTATGCGAATTTCAAATTTATTCAGTTTCAACCGAGCATAATTTGTTTAGCTTGCTTCGAGGATGGCCAGTTCGCCGCGCAGCTCCCTGATTTGCTTCGCCATCTGTCTGTCCATCTCGGCAGCGAACTTCTTGATGAAGCGAAGGTCTGAAAATATCAAGACAGTTTCCCGAGCTTCCGGACCTGTGTTGAACTTGTAGACGCCGGGGAATTGTTCGCGGATCGATTCCTGATCTTCATCGCTAAGCTCGTGGAACGCGTCAATGAAATTGCCCAGCTGAAATGCAAATATTACGTGACGGTTTTTTTGTTTGTTAATTTTGATCTACAATCTATGTTTCCTTAGCTTATGACAGTCTTCTGCAAATTCTCAGATAAAAACATCCATGATTTTTAGTTGGATCGAAAAAATTGGGGTACTTGCCTGTTAACGGGGGGAGATCAGCTTTTTTCTTACAATTCATTCTTCCGAATATAATTCAGAATTTTCCCAAAAAAATTATCTAATTGAATGTTCCTAATCTTTTTTCTTTTTTCCAAGCATCAAAGCTTTAAAAATTTGATTAAAAAATACAAAAAAAAAACGTTTTTTTTTCACTTCAATAAGTGATTTTCAGCCAGAATTCCAAAACTTTTGCAATTTTAAGTTAAATAATACCAAATTTAAAAACACCAACAAAAATAAAAAATTAAAATTGTTAAAATTGAAATTATTCAAACCCACTGTCACGTTCAGCTCTGGAAGCCTAGCATAAAAAACACAGCACATACCCATACCTCCCGAAACTTTTCCAACTTTTCTTACCTTCTCTTCGCGCGCCTTCTCGGTCAATCGGTTGTAGGCGTTGATCCCGTCCAACCCGTCGCGGCCCTGGATTTTCAAAGTTCGGCTTTTCGGAGTTCTGGGCTGCTTACATGCTCCGTGAAGAGCCTCTGTGCGGCCGGAGTCAATTCCTCGAAGCGCAGCTGACATGCCGCCATCAGTTTCTTCACCTTCTTGTACGTGTTCGGGCTGATCTGCTTCATGATACCGGGAACCTGAAAACAGGCTTCTCTCTCTCTCGCTCTCTCTCTTTCTCTGTCCCGCTCTCTCTCCCTCTGTCTCTCTTGCTCTCTCCCTCACAGCGCCTAACCTCGTCCAAGGTGTCGAAAGTTGCCCGCTTCCCGTAGAGCATCATGAAACCCGCGACATCAACAAGGTCAAGGCTTTTTGCAAATTCCTGCAGGTCGGGGGAGAACTCCTCTGAATTGAGTTTACTATGTAGAACTAGAGTGAGAGAAAACACACAAGAGAGAGAAAGTGACCGAGAATCCGTGGCTGAAAAATCTGAAATTTCACTTCCTAAGCAGTTTTTGCGGGATCGTGTCGGTGATGTCGAACTTGGCGGCGTTGTCCATTATCGTCCTCAGCGCATCTTCGCTTGAAGCCGGGCGGCCGTGAACCAGGACGACAACGGCCAACGTGCAAAAAATCAGGGCTCTCATGTCGAATGGAATGAGGTCAGGAGAAACTGTATGGAAGCGATCGGTTTAAATTTTGGCAACGTGAAATAAACATTGCGGCTCTTTTTTGCGAGATCTAAACAACGAAAAGCCCACCCTGGAAGGGGCTCTTTCTCACGCTCTTCTCTTTCTCTCCCTCTTTCTCTCTCTCTCTCTCTCTCTCTCTCGCTCTCTCTCTCTCTCTTCCGCTTTCGCTCTCTCTCGCTCTCGAATCCTTCTTTGACAAATCATTTACCGTGTTTTCGTCTATATCTAAGAATTTATTCGAATCCACTTGGCGCTATTTAGGCAGCGCTGGCAATATCCTGTTGTTGCTTGGCGATCTTGGCGACGTAGGCCTTGCCCTTCTTCTTCAGCTCGGATTGGGCCTTCTTCAGGATTTCCGGTTCTGAAAATTAGTGTGTCTTAGGCGGAGAAAGAGCGAGAGATAGAGAGTGACAGAAATAGAGAGAGAGAGAGAGAGAGAGGGAGTTAGAGAGAGCGGGGGACAGACTGACCGTTGACCAGCTTGTACAGCAACGGCAGCTGCTTCTCAATCGACTTCTTGTCGGCATCGCTGGCCTTTCCGAGTGCTTCGCGGAACTTGTTTACCTAAAATATTTTGTTTTTGCTCTTTGAAACCGTTTAATTTAATTCAATTTGGATCAAAAAATTAGTTTCATACCATCTCGTGGCCCTCGGCGTCGCTCAGCGTCGTCAGGTCCTTGGTACACAGGCCGGAGAAGTGCTGGAATCATAATTTAAAATCTTATCTCTTCCTCTTTCTCTCTCCCCCTCTCTCTCTCTCTCTCTCTCTCTCTCTCCCTCTCTCTCTCTCTCAACATTTACTACCTACCGACTCCTCCAGAATCTTCTTGGCTCCGGGCGTCAGCTCGGCATATCGCTTCTTGTAAGCGGTGACCAGCTTCTGCACCTTGTCGTACGTGTCCTCGTTGGTCTCCTTGAGCGCGTCCATGACCTAAAACTGCCGTTCCCAAAGCATCTCTGCCGGGTCGCCCAACATCCTTGACCGTCTTGAACTGATCCTTCTGTCCGGCTAACGCCAAGAAACTGCTGGCGTCGAGCAGGGTGAGGCTCGTGGTGAACTCATTCAGCTCGGGGGTGAAGAGCTCTGAAAAATTACGTTTTAAAGGGACTTGGAAGGGTCAGAAGCGAGTTTTTTCAGACCTAGTCAAGAGTAGGGGTTGTTTTTCAAAATTCCCGATACCTTTACAGGTATTGTAATTCCAAAAAAATAAATCTAACTTACTCAACAAATCGTCGCTGAACAGGTCATTGATGTCCATCTTGATCTTGCCGAGCGCCTCCACCTGGGCCTCCTCATTCGTGGCCGGCCTGCCGTAGACGAGCCCGAAGACCGCGAGGGTGCAGATGATGAGGCTGTTCATGGTGGAGTGTGAAAATTCCGAAATGTGAAAATTGGCCTGCTGCACCGCTTTTCTAGGACCAGGAGCGTAAACAGGAAGTGCTAGTTCGTTTACAAAACGCTCCGAAATGTTCACTGTTTTTTTGTCAGGCGAGAAGCGGAGTAAGTTTATTGGTCTTTGATCTTAGTGGAGAATTCGGCTATCTTTTTTTCGTCAATTTAAAGTCGAAACATCGAGGTGAAAAACTTTATGTAAATCAGTGTCACCACACTTTTGGACGTACGTCGATTGGCGCTAACAAGGAAACTTTTTTCAGCCTCCACGGCGTTGCAAATTTGGGACCAAGCCCATCTTTTGCAGAATTTTTTCGCTGGTAAGAACGTACTCTTGTGCGAAATCCAAAAGTGTGAAAAACGAGCAAAACGGGCCTTTGTTGTCCCTTTAAAGCTATATAGCCTTCTTATTGGAATCAATTCAAAAATTCTAAAAACTAGATTTGAATCTCCGGCGAACGGGCGGTCGGCGCTGGCTTCATTAAAATCTTTGTCCGGGGCCGGCCGTAAACAGGAAGTGCCCTCTACAGGGTGTCCCAAAAAGTACATTAAGCATTAAACTAATTTAAAATCATTCCATTGCGATTTAAAGTTTTTCTAAAAAAACCCGCTAATTTTTCAAGAGGCATTTCGCATTTAGCATGCAGCTCTTGTACAAGTCAGCAGTTTTGATGGTTTTTGGACATAAAATTGGCAAATAAAAATACAGAATGAAACAATGAACGCTGCTTGTTTTCTCGCCTTTTTCGAGAGGCTTCGATCGATACCTAAGACGTAAATATCGGACACAACTGCGAACCGCTAGATAGGGGCAATTTTTTTGGGACACCCTGTATTTCTCAATTCCTATCACATTTTCCTGTGTTCCCTCTCTGCCGTGAAACTAACAAGTTTATTGTTAAGACAGTATAAAATAATGAAGCTAAGTTTAAGTTTGGAAAAAGGATTGCTGGAACGGAGTTAGTGGCCGGCTTGCGCACGGAACCGTTGCACCTTCGCCATGAACTCGGGCTTCAGCCGCACCATGAGGCTGGGTTCTGAAATTGTCATTTCGAAGCTTTTCGGCAACGACTTACCGGTGATGATCTTGTAAGCCAACGGGAACTGGGTTTGGAGCGATTTCCGGTCTTCATCAGTAGCCGCCTTGAAGGCGCGGCCAAATTTCGGGGCCTAAATTTGAGATATCGATTTCTCTCACTCTCTCGCTCTCTCTCGTCATGTCACTCTCTCGCTCTCTCTCGTTCTCTCTCTCTTTTTTCTCTCTCTCTCTCTCTCTCTCTCCGTCTTTACCATCGTCTCCTGGTTCAAGGTCGTCCAATCCAACGTTTCCCAGTCACCGGCGCCAAACTAAAAAGGAAATGTCACAGTTGGGCTCAATACAAAGTTTTTATACCGTATCCTCGAACATCTTCTTGGCGCCGGGCGTCAGGGCGGCGTAGCGCTTCTTGTAGGCTGTGAGCAGGGTGGTCACCTTCTCATACGTGTCACTGTACGGCTTCAGCGCCTCTAGAGCCTGAAATTTTGGGATAGGTTCGTTAGTCAGCAGAAACATGAGTCCGGGCGTAACTCTAAGACTAAGCCTATGCCTAAGCTTAACCTAAGCCAAACCTCTTTCAGTGTTTTCGGCTTGCTCTTGCCCTTCGCCACGAGCATGAAGCTGAGCACGTCCAGGGAGTCAAGGCTCTTCAGGAACTTGTGGCCCTCGGCGGGCAGGACTTCTGAAGAGATCACTCTCTCTCTCTCTCTCTCTCTCTCTCTCTCTCTCTGTCTAGCTTACTTACTCGACATCTCATCTGGAAGAATATCGTCGAGGTCGAATTCTTGGCCCCCGGTGGCGGTCGGAGCGCCGTAGACGAGACCGAGGAGCGCGAAGATGAAGATGACCAAGCCCCTCATGCTGAATTCAAGTTGACCTTCGGATGGTCTCGCCACGCTTTATCTACACTTTGGAACGTAAACAGGAAGTGGAAAGTCTACTAAACACGCAGGAACGGAAGTCTTTTTTGCGTGCCCCGGTTGAGGTTTATTTCCTTTTTGTGCCTGGCTACAATCAGGCTGCTCGGATAGAGGGATAAGGAGAGAGAGAGAGAGAGAGAGAGAGAGAGAGAGAGAGAGAGAGAGAGAGATAGCCAGGTGCGCAGGAACTTACAAGTGACTGAATCGACCTGAATTTCAAGTGTAAACTATCAGTAACCCGTAAGTATAAGATAACATAGAAGTATGAGTAATCCGCTTCATAATAATTTATTTCAATCATGCTTCAATGTTGCTTCTACAAGCATTTCAATGTACTTAGCGAGCTTCTGGCGGTATTTCTGTAAGCGCTGCAGCAGCTCGTCTCGGTTTTGCCTTACCATTTCCGGTTCTAAAATCGGTAGGTCCTTGCACTCCGTTTTTGTTTCAAAAGAATCTCTCTCTTTTCTCTTGCTCTCTCTCTTCCGAAAACCGACCCCACAAGTCATCGGGAGGATCCCCTCGAAGTCGAGCTTCTCCTGTAGGACGTGCGCTAATTGACGGACAGAGGGGCGCTGCAGATGAAGCCCAATAGATCGGTTATAGTGCGGATGATGCTTTTCATTTTTATTGGTTTGAAAGTGAAGCCCCTGCCAAGTTCGGCTGATTTATATGGCTCGGAGCGTAAACAAGAATAGCTTTGCTCCTCCCGAGCCTTGGTCCCATTTTTCGTCCTGAATTGGATCTGCCACTATGAAAACTACCCAAGAAAAAGCCAAAATTTGGATCGTTACAAATACAAAAGATTTATTCAAAGTTGATCATCCTGCAAACCACCGGCGCCGAATTTGGTCAGGTACTTTTTGACGTTGCGCTCCATTTCCGGTCGCAGGCGATCGAGGATTTCCGGGTCTAGAAAATGATTTTAAAGGGGGAGAGAAAATTGCAAGTTTTTCGCTATGTCTATGGTTTTTGTCGTTCCGCGAAACGGAACGCGCGAGCGCGAAATTTTTTGCATAGGTTTTATTGCCGGTGATCTTGCGGGCCTGGCCGCAACGCGGCACCCAACGCTCGCTCCATTGCCTCGCGCGTGGATTGAGACCTGCACGTTGCGTTTCGCGGGAGAAAATGCCATAGAAATCGCAGAGCGGATGAAATCTATCAAATCCTTTTGGGGTCTTTTTAAAGGAATAAAGTTGAAAACTAGCGCGCAGCAGTTTGCGTCGCGGTCACCGTAAATCGTGCAATTTCAAGGCATCTACGCTTCCTTACCGGTTATCAGCTTGTAAAGCAGCGGAAGTTGCTTTTGCATTGATTGCTTGTCGGCATCCGAAGCTTTTAGCAGGGCTTCACGGAAGTTTTTGGCCTAAAAAATAATAAATATAAAATTCATTGTCATATTATGTCATCCTCACATACATGCCATCATTTATATAAAATAATGTTTATGAATTTTTAATTTAACTTTTAACTAAGTAATTTCATCGTGGGCTTCAGCTAAAATAAAAATAAAAAATTACAATACTTTCTGTCCCGGATCGCCTCCAGCCAACTTTGACACCTCCATCGTGCCGAGATCACCGGTGACAATCTATAATTAAAAACCGATAAGTTTTTTGCAGTTTCGAATACCGAGTCCTCGAGCAGCTTCCTCGCTCCAGGCGTCAAATCGGCGAATCGCTTCTTGTAGGCCTCGACGAGCTTGTTGACCTTCTTGTACGTCTCCTCGTTTGTTCTCTTCAGGGCTTCCAGGGCCTAGATTGCAATTGGCATTCGATTTTATTACCTTCTAGCCTCTTTAAGTTAGATTATCAACGTCAGAAACCACGAAATTCTAAATACAAACCTGATTCGGGGTCTTCAGGCTGGCCTTCTCCTTGCCCAGGACGGTGAAGCTCATGATGTCCTGCACCTCGAGGCTCTTGAAGAAATCTTGGAGCTCCGGGGTTAGGATCTCTGAAAATGAAGAAAAAATTTCGACAAAGATAATTTTGTCGAAATTTCGTTTGTCGAATTTTCAATGTCAAATTTTTCTTTTAAATCAAAATTGGTCAAACTAAATTTATACTAAATAAGCTTATTTTCGATGGCAACTCACTGAACAGCTCCTCGGGGAACACCTCGTTGACGTCCATCTTGACGTGCATAACAACATCATTGGCGGTGGCCGGGGCGCTGTAGGCCAGACCCAAAATGACCAAGACGCAGAAGATGATCTCCATGTCCGAAGGGTTCAAAATTGTACGATGCAGTGCAGTTTTGAGCCTTTTATACGCCCCATATCATAAACAAGGAAGTTCCGGGCCGGTCGGTTTACACAAACGTTCCTGAAAGCTTTCTATCCAGGCCAGGGTTCAATTTGGAGCGGCGTTTCGAACAATGCACTTGATTTTTCATTTGGACATCCTAACAAGTGTTAGGTTTATAGCTATGTCTTCCATTTACCTTTAAAAGGATTACACCAGGCGTCCAACTAATCCATTTGTATTGAGCCCCAATTTCTTGTACAACACAACCAAAACCAAAACCAAGTACCACAACCCAAGTTTAGTCTAAGCTTAGGCTTAGCTTAGGCTTAGCTTAGGCTTAGCTTAGGCTTAGCTTAGGCTTAGCTTAGGCTTAGCTTAGGCTTAGCTTAGGCTTAGCTTAGGCTTAGCTTAGGCTTAGCTTAGGCTTAGCTTAGGCTTAGCTTAGGCTTAGCTTAGGCTTAGACTAGATTTTTCCAGGCTCAAATATCTACTAAATGTCTACGAAAGCTATGGCAATCCATTCTCTCTGTCTGTTCCTCCCGCTTTCGTAAGAATGATTGATGATGATAGGCGCTGATAGTGTCATTGTACCTTCTATAGTCTGCCCCAGCTACGGGAATTTCCTATTTACAGAGCCACTGCCCTGCAATACCTGTTTTCTCGCGGGCAGGCCCATAAATCTTGCAGTCATATCAAGATCTAGAGATCAACTCCAAGCGGCCGATCTCCGCCCCATCGACTACGTAGCGGTCTATGGACAGCCAGAAATCGACCGTTGTTATCTCAAATTGCAAGTGGTACCCCGTTATCACATGCGTAGAAAATTTCCGGCATCTGCCGCCTTATCTGGCCTTTCACTTTCCGAAAACACGAGTCAAGTTTTGACCCGTACGGAGTGGTGCTTTCGGCATTAATGCCGAGAAGTCTGATTACTCAGTATTTTGTTAAGTAAATTTTTTATGCCAAAATTAACGTTGAAACGTAGAAAAACGTTTTAGGTAAAAAAACTTTTTATAAACTTTTCTGGACTGCATATCGTGGTTTTTTGATGCTATCCGCCAGTTTCCTGTGAGCTTGCCAGCCGATTTTCACGAATTTACCTACTTTCGATTCGATTCGGTCCTAGCTTTGTAAATTTCTGGCCGTTATGAGCCTAGCGAGTGGCTCCTATCAGCCCTTTTACCACATTTTCGGTTCAGAAGAAGTGTTTTCGGGCCATCTTCGCTTGATTTTTCTGCATTCTTTTCTCTTTTTTCAACTTTCAAATCCACAATTTTTATTTTTCTAAAATTCAGGACTATTTGTACGTTTTTGGCACAATGACAGTGTTAAATCGAAGCGACGCCGCTTTATTGGCCTCTTGTGTTGGCGGATCAATTTTGTCGTATAATGTAGGTTTTGATAATTTTCGCTAATTAATCAATTTTCGGTTTCAGGCTATAAAAGCTCTCTACAATTACCTAAAACCAGAGCCCGGCTGGGTGCCAATTGGCCGAATCAAGGAGCTGTACATTTTCCCGTTAAAATCAGGAAAGGGCAAGCCGGTAAGTCGACTGTAATTTTGAATTTGCCTAATTTTCTATTATCGAAATCCAATCCGGAAGTACTAAAATACAAAATAAATGATTTTCCAGGTCTTTTCCTTATACTGTAACGAGACTGGTTGTTTCGAAAACGAAAATGGCGATAGGATGTTTATGGCCACGGATCCGAGCGGGCAGTACGTTTCTTGAAAAACTACTCCGTTTTTCACTTTTCATACGCGTTGTTCGTGTTTTGATAGATAATTTAATTTAACAGAATTATTGTTGATAAAAAATGAGCTTTTTAGTTTCTTCACCGGTCGAGGCAAGCCGATGTTGAATCAGATTGGGGTGGATGTTTAGTGAGTTGTTAATACTTTTGCGCTAGTTTTTTTTAAGTTAACGGTTTTCAGTAAATTGACATTTCAAATCAATCAAATTTTAGTGACGGCGTCGCGCACCTCACATTCAAAGATGAGAAAGTCGAGTTCCGGATCGATGATGTGAAAAATAATAATGCTGTGTTGAATGCGACGTGAGTTTGAATTTCGGAATTTTTTTGCTCGAATCGGGGATGCGGGTGAGAGAGAGCTAGAAAGACAGAGAGAGAGAAAGAGAAAGCGAGATATAGAGAGAAAGCGAGAGAGCGAGAGATTGGCGATTTTATTGAGATTTTTAGCATGTTCTTCCAAAAGCGCCACGACGGTTTCGATTGTGGAGAGGAAGCAGCAAAGCTCGTCACAAAGTGCATCGGGGAACGTGAGTCAGAAAAACGAGGCATTGAACTAATTAGATCTATTAAATCCAAAACACCTGCTTATACGCTCTCTTTAAAAGTTAGGTTTTTAGCCGGACGCCTCGTGCTCTACTCACCAGAGCTCTACAATGGACGGGAGGTGACGACCAATCCCAAATGGTGGAATAATAACCCAGTGCCGCATCGGAAGACAAAGGTCGAGAAAGAGAGAGAAAGAGCGAGAGAGAGAGAGAGAGGAGTGAGCGAGAGCGAGAGACCGAGAGAAAGAGAGTGTGAGAGAGCAAGAGAAAGCGAGAGAGAGACCGAGGGAAAAAGAGTGTAAGAGAGTGTAAGCGAGCGAGAGAGAGAGAGAGAGAGAGTGAGAAAGAGAGCAAGCGAGAGAGAGAGAGAGAGAGAGAGAGAGAGAGAGAGAGAGAGGAGAGAGAGAGAGAGAGAGAGAGAGAGAGAGAGAGAGAGGGAGAGAGAGGGAGAGAGAGATAGAGCGAGAAAAACAATTATTTCAGGCAAGATACACCAACCTAACTCCCCACATGCTTTCCACCCAAGCCTCCCTTGACACTTTGAACGATTTCTCGAAGAGGACGGGAGGGGATGAGGTATGAATTTATATCTTTATTTTATATAGATTTCACACTAAATACTCTTTTAGCTAATCGATAACTCGATAAAAATCGATGCTTTTAGCTCACAAACATCCAATTCCGCGCCAACATCGTCATCGAGGGTTGCCCAGCTTGGGATGAAGACAAATGGGATACCTTACGGTAAGAAGAGCAACCGCTAGTATCCAAAAACGGCTCTTTTTTAAGCCAATAAAGTTTTAAACGGACTGAAAATCGTGTTTTTTAGCTTCGGCCCACAGCCCATCAAGGGCGTCACGGAGATCCAGTGCATAAAGCCGTGTGAGAGGTGAGTTTTTTAATTTTTAAAATTAAATGTTGGCCTATAAAATATCCTGAGCATTCGCATGCAATAGATCAGTCTTACGCTTAGAAACAATCAATAAGTTGAAAATTTTTTTAGGTGCCTTGAAATTGACGCCGACCCGAATACGGGCATCCGGATGAAAGAGGACGCGCCGCTGGCAAAATTGAAAGAGTCAGTTGATTCTTCTTCTGTTCTAGCTTTAAATTTTACTTTCGAGATCTTGGTTTTAATTTTTTTACATGTTACAGTCATTTACAATCATTTTACAGGTTCCGAATGCCGATCGGCAACATGCTGGAATCGTTGGGGCGGCACCCGATTTTTGGAGTTCAGGTCAGTCAAACAAGTAAATGCTTCTCAAACTATAATTTATACACCTAACCTATCCTAAATTTGGGTGTAAAATAGCTCAATTAAAAGTTAGAACTCAACGTTTTATAAATATATTTTTACTCCTTTTCAGGCCGCCCAAAACGTCAACGGCTTCGTGCACGTCGGCCAGACGGTGTGGGCGAAATATAAGCCGGCCGCTTTTTGATTGTATAATTTTGTATTTGCATATCTTACTTTTTCACTGTTTCTCTGTATTTTAATAACATTTTTGGAATTGATGCCTTCACACGTTTCAAAAACACACAATTTGGCCTCCATTTTTAGCCCGTTACGTAGGGAGCTTGTGTAAATATTTGCCGTTTTCACGTTGGCGAGGCGGGGGAGTACAGTTCATGTATTCTTTAGAAAAAGACGGCGCGAAATAGAAATCAGAAAACAGAAAATAGAGAACATGGCGATTTTTGAAAGACGAAATGAAAGAAAACGGAAAGAAACGGAAACGGCTATATAAACGAGTTGGACTCTGGAAAACTTATTTTCAAAATGCTGCGACAACTCGCTATTTTCGGATTTGCACTTTTTGCAACATGTGCAGCTGATTGTGGTGCAGGTATTTTTAGCTTTGGATAGTTCTCTATATAAGAATCCTTCTTGAAATCGTATAGTGACGATTTTAATTTTTAGGTATTTGAAATGCAGTACAAAGCCAGGGAGCAAGAATAAGTTTTTCATGCCAAAAAAGTCTCTAAAAACAGTTTTGGGAAATTTTACATTTTTGCAAACTGCTTTAAATTGTCGAGAAGGCTTTTCAAGCTATTTCCATAAATTCCCATACAATAATGACATCAAATTTAGGTCGAGATCCAGGAAATGCAGCTTGCGCATCACCACAGGGTGGCCAGCGTTTTTATTTTGATGCACAACGCCGGGTTTGCCAGCCTTTTACATATCGGGTAAGTTTGTAGTAAAATCAGTATTTTAAATAGGTCATCCCAAAACTAGGATGTAAAAATGAAAAATAGGGCTGCGGCGGCAACGACAATCGCTTCGAGACCAGGGCCGCTTGCTTGCAAAGCTGCCAGAACGCGACGATTTCGCAGGCCGGACCGATAGGTATGGCATTTTTAATAGGCCGAATGTCCATAATTTTCATATTAATCTGCTCTCAGGTCTAATATTGAGTTTTATAATGCATACAAAATACAGTACAATTTTTAGCCCTGTGCCCAGCCGGAAATCCTGCCGCCGTCGACGCGGGTGAAAATCGGGTGAGCTGCCAGAACTGCCCGCATGGATATGAGTGCCAAGGAAATTTGTGCTGTGCCAACCGGGGTAAAAACGCAATTTTAGGTTGCTCTTATGCAAATTTTTGTCTTTAGAAACGACGTGTAGCCTACAGTACGATGCCGGGCGCTACGTTGCTGGGAGAAGCCACACGACAAAGTATGGTTTTTTGAGATCTTTTTGCTTAAATTGCCCTTAAAATGTTTTGTGCACGATTCGCGTGTGAAAAAATATAAAGGTAGTTGTAAAAGTAGTTAAATAGTTTTAAATTTAAAGCTTATGTAAAAAGAATCCATATATTTTTAGATACTTCTACAACCCAGCCATGCAGTCCTGCATCCTGTTTACCTACTTTGGGTCTCAGGGAAATGCCAATAATTTCGATTCTTTTAACCAGTGCATGCAATACTGTAAACCACAATAAATGTTTTAATATCGACTTAATTCGTTTTTAGGTCCAATTTGTATAATTTCACAAAAAATCTTGGTCGTGGTTGGTCATTAAAGCGCACGTTCAGGGAAGGGGCCGTGTACTCTGCCCAACGTGTACACCCTATGGACGTAGGCATCGCGCGCACTGCCTGCCCGTGCCGTGACAGGCCAGTCCCCTCCTTTGCGGCGTGGGGCGCCCCTCGCCCCCTCGCCAGGTTGTAGCTGTGGCTGACTGGTATCCATCCGCGCCTCCCGAGCGGTGGGACCGGGTTCGACCCCCGGCCGCGGCAAAAATCTTTGCTTTTTTCCAAAATTACGTCCCTGAACGTGCCCTTTAAAATGAACGCAAAAAATCTGAAACCCCATCTATCTAGTCTCCTAATTTTTTGAGGTTTGAATCTGTTTATTGGAGGTAAAAAAAGCCTAATTCCAAGCATTATGGTAGTAGCTAAAATAATGTGCGCTTTCGTCGATAGAGTCCAGCGGGTCGATTCGCGCTTTCCTGGCAAAATCCGGTATCAAGGAGGTGCCGAAAATTTTTCGTAGATTTTCATAGAAACCGCGTCTCCAGGGTTCCACCTTGTAGAATAGGAGCGCAAAGTAGAAGAAGCCGGCCCTAAAAGATGGCATTTTCGAAAAGCGATTTCCCTGCATTCCTAATAATCTCTGCTAGCTCTCTAAACAGTTCTCTCTCTCCCTCTCTCAGTCTCTCGATCTCTCGATCTCTCTCTCCCTCTCTTGCCTTCGGTCTCTCGGTCTCTCGCCCCCTCTCTCTCCCTCTCTCTCTTCTTTTCCAGTTTTCCGCAAAGATTCTCTGCTAACATGCCAGCAATACAAAGCTACAAAATGCGAACTAAAACCTTACAACGCCGTGCTGACATCAAATAGAATCAGCATAAATTGCGAGAAATTCGTGTTCGGGTTCGCCAGTATAAACTGGAGACCGATGAAAAATGTGCAGACTACCGTAACGAAGGCGTAGTATATTGTAATAGTTTTTACGAGCTGAAAAAGGTGCATTAATAAAAGGCATACGAACCGATACCTCAAGTGCATTCACATTTTCCTCAAGCTGAAACCTCCGGCTCAAATATCGATCATTTGCCGCCTTCACGTTTTTCATGCCAAATTCGCGCATTTGCTGGAGTTGACGCAGGTTCCAGGAGTAGAGGGTTTTAAAAAGCTATAAAAACAAAATGATTCTGGACAAGAAATTTTGGAAAACGCTTCTGGTTATCCGGTTGCTAAAATTATTTCTGGAAAAAGAAAATTAAGAAAATCATTTTATCTTTTTTGTTTCTGGCCTTAGCAAAAAATTAAGCATTTGGTAATTTTTAAGAAGCAGGATTTCACTATTGGACAAGATATCGAAAAATAATTAAAAAAGTAGAAATAGGGAAAACCAAGAAACTTCTAACCGTTGCTGAGATGGCCACCAAGCCGAGAATGCCGCCAATCATGCCCAGCACCACCGCCCAATACCAATCGTACATAACTGAATCAGGAAATAAAAAGAAAGGAGTTACATCTAAGCCTTAGAAAAATAAAAATAACAAAACACCAAGTTAAACATGGCAGTTACACAATTAAAAAGCTAAAATCTTGTTAGAAAAATGTTAGAAAATTTAAACCAACTTTTGCCGACGCAAAAATACAAGGTTTCGAATTTTTTTGTCTTACGAAGTTCGCGATTTTTTGGATTTGTCGAAAGTTCACAAATTGAAGTCGTCCCTAGCTCCGTGGCACGCCAAAGGACGCGTGCCAGCTTGCGTTCAGCTTTTCGCTTGACAACTACGCCGTGCCCAGACCAGACAAGGGGCGATATCGGTGATTTCGGCATCTTGGAATTACGACAACTTACACTCCATGACCAGCGTCAGCACGATTATAATCAGGGCGGCTTGTGAGAAGATGATGACCGTAGAAACACGCGTGTAATTCACCGTCTCGTAGAAGCCGATTTTTAGCGTAGCGGCCAAGCGCTCGACCAACACACCGGCGATGAAGAACACGTCCCAGAGGAGGGAGAACATTCGCAGATGGGTGGCCAAGAAAAGGATCCAGCGATCCTGGGCTGTGCCTAAGAAATATTAAGCTAAGGCTAAGCTAAGCCAAAAACACAAATTAACACTAAAGTACTCACCCGGAAATTGAAACGGCCCAAACTGGTAACCAATGATGATGAAGCGGCCTAGAATGGACACAAGTAGGCTAGAGCAGAAAGCGATGTAAAGACGGGTGAGGTTTAAATGGAAATGACGAGACCCGGATAGGGTCTTTATGTAGATTGGGCATAGAAGCAGGAGAGAGGCCATCACGATCCCTTCGATAATTGTAAGGGCGATGTAGGCGGGGTAGTACTCGGACTCCTAAAGAGAAGAAAATAAGGACTGGGGAATTATCAAATACTTACTGCAAGCCCGCCTAGCCGGCCTTTTTGCGCATTAGTCACTTCAAGAATTTCTGCCGGCTTGCCCCATTAAGGAAAAGGAAAGCGAGAGAGAGAGAGAGAGAGAGAGAGAGAGAGACCCACAGACAGGCAGTGAGACCGAGTGGGAGTAAGACAACGAGACAAGCGAGAGAGTCGTGGAGAGAATCACATAAAAACATAGAGCTATAGAGACAGATAGATGAAGCAAGAGAAATAGAGAGGTAGACAGAGAGCGAGAGAGAGAGAGAGCGAGAGAGAGAAAGAGAGGGAGAGAGACAGCCAATCTCTGATCGCTCGCCAAATTATAATTTGGGTCTTACCGCCAAAAACGTCTTGTTCGTCCACAACGCCACAGCAACATATCGATTCCCGATTTCGACGTAATTCATGAGATTCTTAAGAAGCTTAGAGTAACTGGTAACTATGTAAACACAGGTAGTGCTGGCACAAGATTTTTGAGTTATCGATTTTGGGAAAGCAATAGGGTCATGAAATGTGCCAGCCTTTCACCTGCTCTCATCATCGGACCACTTACGCACGCCACCTTTAAAAAAATATGCTTTTTTGCAGAAATAAGGGCCAAGTTGTGTCATGAGTTCTTAAATGAAGGATATATAAAAAAGACACGAAAAATAAAAAGCTATTGATTTTCGGAGAAGCCAGGGTTGTGCATCGTCTTTTTTAAAGGTCCTGTTTCTAATATGCCAGCGTATTAATATTGTAATGAGACATATACAACGTACAAATAATTGCATTTATTATGAAAATTTCGTATCAATTCCAGGCATTGTGATAGTAGCTGAAATAGTGTGCGCTCTCGTCGATCGAATCTCGCGGGTCGATCCGAGTTTTTCGGCCAAAATCCGGAACCAAGCCGGATCCGAAAAGTTTTCGAAGGTTTTCAGTAATGCCCAAGCGCCAGGGTTCCACTTTGTAAAGCAGGAGAATGAAGTAGAAACATGGAGCTCTGGAAAAAGTACGGTAACTGGACCCTGGATATAATTTTTTGCAAAAACTGTCAATTAAAAATAATTTTAATAATTAAATTAAATCATTTTAAAAAATTTTTAATAAATAAAAATAATTTAAAAATATCTCTGATCGTAAGACTTACACCGCTGTGCTCAAGTCAAAAAGAATGAGCATAAATTGCGATAAATTCGTGTTCGGATCGTCGAGCATCAACTGCACCCCGATGAACGATAGGCAAGCTACGGTAGCAAAGGCGCAGTAGATTGTGATCGTTTTTAGTAGCTGAAAATTGGCATTAATCGAAGAATGACCATCAAGACCTCCAGTGCATTCACATTTTCCTCGAGCTGAAAACGACGGCTCAGATATCGATCGGTGGTCGCGTCAATGTTTTTCATGCCGTATTCCCGCATTTGCTGGAGTTGACGCAGATTCCAGGAGTAGAGAATTTTGAAGAGCTAAACGACGATTTATATTAGTTTTTTAACAAGACTAAAGAGGCCACAACCGACATATCTTTTGGGTAGGTCTAGACAGCCATGAAACATAACTAAACGGTTTCTAATATTTTTGGAACTCCTAGAGGCGTTCTTGCGTAGTTTGGAGTGACGTGTAGCTGATTTTTGCCTAATTCTTCCAAGAGTTATAGGATTTCGAAACTGCTATGATTTCACAAACTTTTAAAAAATTGGTTTGAAATCAATACTCAAATACGATAAAGAAAAGAAAGAAAAATTATCTTACAAAAAATCAATGGAATTTTTCTATTTTTTGAAATAGATTTTTGAAATATTTTTGAAATATTTTTTGAAATTGAAAATATATTTCGATCAGAGTTCGAAAATAACAACCGTTAGAGAAGTCGCCAATAGCAAAAGTATCCCTCCAATGATACTGCATGCCACCGCCCAATAATAGTCGTACATACCTAAACTTACTAAGCTTTAATATTGCTAAATAAATCCTCTTAATTACGGATGTAAACTTACGCCTCGAAAAATTAATGCAAAAATCTCGTTTTTTATAGTTTCCTGCGAACAAAATCTTGACTCTCCCAAATCACTTACACTCCGTGATCAGTGTCAGCACGAGAAAAATCATCACAAAGTGCCAGACGATGATGCATGTGGAAACGCGGCTCAAATTGACTGTCTCGTAGAAGCCGATTTTTAGCGTGGCCGCAAGACGCTCGACAAGAACTCCGACAAGGAAGAAGACATCCCACATTGGGGAGAACATACGAAGATAAGTCGCGAAAATCAGAACGTAGCGATCGTCGGCGGTTCCTGGAAAAGTAAGGGATGTAAGGGAGAGAGTGAGAGCGAGAGCGAGAGAGAGAGAGAGAGCGAGCACTCACCCGGAAATTGAAATGACCCAAACTGATAGCCAATGATGATAAGTCGCCCGAAAATCGTAATCGGACAACTGGCTCCGAATGCAATGTAAAGCCGCGTCAAATTCAGATGAAAATGCCGAGAACCGGCCAGCGTCTTCACATAGATCGGGCACAAAAATAGGATGCAGCCCATGACGATCCCCTCGAAAATCGTCAGCATCACGTAGACGGGGTAGTAGATGGATTCCTAAATTTTCTCGGCTGATTGCTGTACTTCGCCTTTTGTTCATGATAACTGATCGACTTGGTGCTGAATTTTGTCCGAAAAAATCTTTTTTTGAAGAATTTTTTTGTATAGGTTTTTCCAAAAGTTGCACAGCTTTCGACTTACTCAAGTAATCTCTACGATATTTCTTTGAACCTTTAGTTAGGTTAGTTTTGCTTATCGTTTGGAAAGTTATGATTTGCACCAACTTTGGCGATAGAGCATCGCACAATGCCTTATTGAAGCTGAAATCGCGAGCGCGGGCACAATCCCCAAAAAAATTTGCTGGTTTGCCTTACCTCCAGAAACGTCTTATTCGTCAACAATGCGACGACCACATGTCGGTTCCCGATTTCGACGTAATTCATGTTACCCCGAAATCGAATTTGAGTCTAAAAAGTAGGAAAAAAACGAGAACGTAAGTGTATAAAAATGCAAAAGATAAACAGGCTCAGGCTATCAAAAAGTTTAAAAAAACCGAAAAAGGGGACACGCAAAGATATCTTAAAATAACAGAACAAATGTAATAAATAAAAACATAGAAATCCGGAAGTAAAAATTAACCCGAAGCTTCAAGATATCGACTTCTCCAGAGTAATGAGGCAACCGTTGTACCATTTGTTTCACCTGTGCCTAAAAACAAAACTACCGCGTGCGCCGTTTTGTGCGTTTGGGCAATGTTTTGCAAAACGTTCTCATAATCAAATGTTAAATTAAAAATGTTTATTAACTAAAGAAATGCACAAAACGACCACCCGAACATGTTTTAACAAGGAAAAACAATGAGAAAAATACAATGGATAGTGACTAAACACGAAAAAAGTAAAATTCAAGGATGAAATTTAATTATATGAAGCAGTGAAGTTTATATTAAGCAAAAAATGCACAACGCCGCCTGGAAAAAAATTTAGACAATGAAAAACGTCACTAAAAATATGCAAAAATAGTGAATAACCACCGAAAAATAGCAAAAAGCCACAACGTAATAATTCAATTCACAGAAAGAATTCAATAGGACAGTGCTCAGTTCCAAGCATTATTATAGTAACTAAAATAGTGCGCGCTTTCCGCTGCGGTATCAACCGGTTCGATCTGGGAGCTTCTCGTCAGCTCTGGCACCCAGTTCGAGCCGAAAATTTTGCGTAGATTCGCCATGAAGCCATTCCACCACGGCTTGACCCGGTAGAGCAGGATAAAATAGTACATTATGCCGGATCTGAAAAGAGTTACCTATTAATTTAATGGTAATTTTAGGATTTGAGTTGAGTATACGTGCGACGTGGCCGATTCGTGGGTGCGCTCTACGAGGGCTCTCTCCCCCTTAACCCCCTCCAGGCGACCCCGTGCCAGCAGGTCTCGTGGTGTAGTGGTTATCACATCTGTCTAACACACAGAAGGTCGGCGGTTCGATCCCGCCCGAGATCATTTTTGTTGCTTTTTGGGGGCAGGTTGTAGCAAAATTTCAGCGTTTAGGGGAGAGGCCGACGGATAGAATGCCGTCAGCCATAAAATTGAATCGCCGTATTACCGACAACCAAAACGCCGATAGCGAATCGATTGCTTGACGACATCAACCAGATGGTCTACCGGCGTTTTTGCATTTTTGCTTTCTGCGTTTTCCAAGTTTTTCTTGACGAATCGCTATGACTAGGTCTGACGAAGCATGGGGATTTCCCTGTCATCTTCCAGCTAAAGGGCCGCCGTCCAGATTTTTAAAAAACTTCTGCATTTTTCACCTGTCCGGCCAAGCCATCGAGCCGGCCAATTAGAATTTATCGCAATCCCAAGCAGGTTGAAAGCCGGCAAAAACCTACAAGGCCACTCCGACGTCGAACAACGCGAGCATGAGCTGGCAGAAATTCGTGTTGGGCGTCTCGAGGATGAAAAGGACGCCGAGACAACCTCCCAAAATTGACGTGGCAACGGCGTACCCGATTGTTAGCGATTTTACTAGCTAGAAAATGCTAGATTTACCTCTGGTATAAAAAATTACCTCCAAGGCATTAACATTTTCTTCGACCTGAAATCTTCTACTTAAATATTGATTGGTTAGGCCACCGATAACATTTTTCATGCCGGATTCTCGCATTTCTTGAAGTTGGCGAAGATTCCAGGAATAGAGAAACTTGAACAGCTGAAAAAACGCATTTTTGGATGTCGACAGGAGATAGTGAGGGAAAGAGCAAGAGAGAGCAAGACAGAGAGAAAAAGCGAGAGAGAGAGGGGGAGAGGAAGAGAGAAAGACAGAGAGAGAGAGCGAGAGAAAAAGAAAGAGATAGTGAGAGAGAGAGTGAGAGAAGCGGGGAGAAAGGCAGAGAGAGAGAGAGAAATATGATGGCGAGACTAAATAAACCAACCACCAAAGACCCAATGATCAATATTCCGGATCCGCCCATCACAAAGAACACGATGAAGAAGTACCAATTGTAAACGACTGAAACGGATGCAATTTTATTAAGCGGAATTAATCAAGCTGAATATCTAGGATAAATATTATGTTTTGTAATTTTTTTGAAAATGTGAAAGCCTACATTCCAGGGCTATAGTGAGTAGCACCACGGCGCTGGCTGCGTGTAGAAAAATAATGATGGACGACACTTCGCTGAATTTGATTTGTTCGTAGTCTTCGACCCATAATGTCGCGGCCAGCCTTTCCATTAGTACGCCGGCAATGAGGAAAACGTTCCAGACGATTGTGATGCCTCGTAAATAGGTTGCAAAAATGACAAAATAACGGTTGATTGGTGGTCCTGAAAATTCCGAAGGTATTGATTGTGGCCATCTGGAAGATTCGGTTCTGGACTGTTAGCCGGAAACCGGAAAAATTTTCCTTCTAATTCTCCTACAACAAAATGTAAACAATTTTTGAGAGTAATTTGCATTTTGGTAGGTATCTAAACAAGACTGAAAATTATTAAAATTTCCGAAAATGTTTGACTTTTTGGTGAAAATGTATGGAAAATGACCAAAAAAGATGAAAATTTTCGAACTTTCAAAATTAAAAATTTTTTTTATAAATGACTAGCAATAAAAAGCCTCTAAAAACACTACAAAATCATAATATATCAGGATCAGCCGGAAAAACACAAAGTGGTTCCTCTCCCCCCCCCCCCCACCCGCTAACGGTCCAGAACCGATGATTCTCGGTAGTTTGCTAGGCGAATTAAATTCCCCATATCCTTGCTAGATTTCCTTCCAAAAATTGTTCTGCTAAGTTTATTATGTCTTGTAAAAACTCACCTGGAAATTCAAACAGCCCAAACTGAAAGGCTATCAGTATAGCTCTGCCGATGACCGTCATAAAGCACGTCGTCCCGAAGGCCATGTATAATCTTCGAAGATTCAAATGAAAATGCCGGGAATCTATCAGCGTTTTTATATATCCCGGATACAGAATAAATAAGGTAATTAGTATGCTCGCTTCCACAGCGACAAACCCGACGTAGAGCGAGTAATATTCTGATTTCTGAAGACGGGTTTAATTAATTACGCCATGAAACTCTCACCTCCAAAAATGTTATATTCACAAAAAGAGCCGTAGCAACGTTTCGGCCACCAATTTCGACAAAATTCATCGTTTAAAAAAATTCAAAAAATCGAGAAAATGTATTTAGAAAATTTTGTAACGCTGCGAATTTTTCGCTTGTAGTCTGGACAACAAGCAAAAATTGGGGAATTTTTCTGAGCGCTTTTTAATGCCCAGATCATTGCGAGGGCAACCACCTGTCCGTTGAATCGTTAATTGGCGTCTCGTGGAACGTTGGGAATGAAATTTATCACCTATAGAAACCTTATGAATCGACATAGAAACGTGTGAGAAATAGTTTCAATCGCTAAAAATCGAACAATTAAAACACATATAATAAAAAATTCATATTACATAGATACCGGTATGCCCAAAAAATGCAGCAAAATAGATGAAGCTATCAAAAACTGTCTAAATAATAAATAATTATTAATGTGCCAAAAGCCCATATAAAATCTAAATCATTTTTTAATCAGCAAATCATAGCCCTAGCATAAAGATTCTCAGCTCCTCGCGCCTTTTCCACGGTATCCATAAACGTTCGGACGTCATTTCCGGAGTTTAGGACAATTTTTGCATCCCTTCTAGGGCCGTTGTCTAGCCAAGTCGCATTCAAGATTTGGATATTGGCCTGAACAGATAGAAATAAATGGTGTTTTCTCTCTCACTGACTCGTTCTTGCTCGGGATACGGTACGTTACGGTACGCTACGCTACGTTGTGAGACGTTGCTCTAGAAATGATATGTTACAACATATACGCTAGCTTACAATACGGTGAGACGCGGCACGCTATGCCAAATTACGATGCGGTACGGTATGATGTGATACGTTCCGATGTGGTACGATACGATACGATATCATTAGCTAGGCCACGTTACGCCACGTTACGATCCGATACGATAATTAACCTACCCCAAACTGGTGCAACATCGAGCCAATTAGAGCTGGAAGACCGGCACCTGTCACGTCTTCCGGTACGTTATACAAAATTACGCAGTGCGTACGCAGGGAGCCTTGCGTAGTCGTCTCCTTTACGCCAAAGATGAAGCCGGTCGCAGGGCCTAGGAAACCAAGTCAACGTACCAAAAGCCGATTTTCAATTAATGCTCAGCTATTAGGGCAGAATTAAAGGAACCAAAAAGCCTCAAAATTAACCAATATCGTTAACTAGGTCTCGACAAAAAGGTTTTAGTATTCTAGCGTACTTTAGAGTATTTCGTAGCTGTCTAGACCTATTACCATGAGAGTCGATTCTGACACCTTCGAGTAACTTTAAATTGCAAAATGTATCGTAAAAACTTACCAAAAGCAACCGTAGCCAGAAGCGCAACGTAGAAGCCAGCCATCGAAGCAGAAATGGCCGGCTCCCCGCCTTGATCCACCGATTTTTAATGACCAACCACCCCCCTAAATATCGACGCCAATCGCGCCCACGTCTCCGGCGGCTGGCCAAACTTATCGCCTTGCAAGGCAGTCGCTTTTTCTGCTAAACGGGATTAAAAGTGGAATTTGCGCCCCGACATCCCGGGTCGCCAGCGTGGGTCACCCATTTTAATGCGGATCTCTGTTGCGTAAAAATTCCACGCGCCGCCCCCTCGCACGCAAAAAAACGTGCGAAAATGGGAGGGGAAGTCCCGAACTGGAAATAGAGGTTGTGGGAACGGCCTTTATTTAAAACCTGATTTTTTTTTGGGGGGAAGCAGAATATTTTTCGAAAACTAAGGACGCTTTTTAACGCTGGTCCGTTGCTTGAAAAGTATTTGAAAAGACGCCATCTCAAACGATGCCACCATGAAATCTTTTACATAGCAAAATAGGTAAAGAATTTTTCGACAATTTTGCGACTCGAGCCCAATTTCGGCAAGGTGAGGCAATAGCGATAACTCCACTTAAAAGGAGTTTGGAGCAAAACTTACAAAAATACGACCAAATTTCCGCAAAATCAATTTTAGCGAGTAGATTTCTAGAATATTCGCCGCAATAAATAAGCTGTTGAAAAACACTGGCACCTTCACGGCACCTTTTTGAAAAATTGCAGATGTTTACTGGGTAGGCTTAAACCATGGTGCACTTTCTGGGCATAGCAACAGAAAAGGAGGAGGCATTCTCAAACTCGTTGTGGAGCTCGTTATCAAGTAGGCTCGCACTTTGGTACGGCATAGAATTTGAGCCTGAATATATATATTCTTTTTAGTGCTTTCGGTTGTCTCTCGCTTTCTCTCTCACGCTCTCTCTCTCTCTCACTCACTCTTTCTCGCGCTCTCTTTCCGACTTTCTCTCTCACGTCTCTCACTCTCTCTTCTCCTTCAGTCTCCCGCAGACGTTGGTTTTCCACTGTATTTTATCTTCCGTGCTCTGACTACAATAATGAAGGTAAAATCGTTTATTCAATTTATGCACAAAAATTGAAGGTATCCATTTAGGTGCTGGTGGTTCCGGTGGTGGCCCCAGAGGTGGTAGAGCCTAAAAATTTGTATTACCGAGATTTTCAAAGGTGGAGCTTCATCCTAACTCCTGACAAATCCGTACCAGTGGCAGCTGTCGTGCCCGTGGATCCGGTCGATCCGGTCGATCCACCGGTGGTCGATCCGGTGGCGGCGGTGGTGCCGGCCGACGTCGCCGCTTCGCAGGATCCGCAGCAGTATTGGGCACGCTGTTCAGGGGTGTAGGCAGTGTTGGAGCAGAAACCGTTGGCAACCCAGGTGGCGCAACTGGAAATAGGGGATTATGCCCGCTCTCAGCTAACAAGGGAAGTGCACGACCGGCCCACGAGAAATCGACACGAGACATAGTGGATCTGATAGAATCGGACACGGGGATTCCGAATCTGTAATCAGAATTTGCTAAATAAAACGGAGAAAAAAGTTATGAAGCTTCAAAGTTGGCAAAATCGCCAAAAACGGTACCTTTAAGGGCTCGTAAAAACAGGGGGAACGGAATTGAGGAGAAAAGAATTAGGGCATCTTGTTCAGCAAAAAAAGCGCTTTCGTATGAGCTGTAATACGTAGCATTTGCAAACAATTCACTGAAAAAAAGTTTTTTTGGATTCACGGGCAAGGGTATGGCCTGTCAAGTTCATAGACGAGGTTTCTGCGAAATCATCGTAAACTTGAAGTAAGATAGCTCTTTCGAAAGCGCTTTTTCTGCTGAACAAGATGCACTAATGGGTTGTGGCAAATTTCCATTCCCTGGGCCTTTACAGGCCCATAAAAGTCGGAATTTGGGCGATTTTACCAACTTTGAAGCTTCATAACTTTTTTCTCCGTTTTATTTAGCAAATTCTGATTACAGATTCGGAATCCCCGTGTCCGATTCTATCAGATCCACTATGTCTCGTGTCGATTTCTCGTGGGCCGGTCGTGCACTTCCCTTGTAAGCCCAAGCCGAGCCTAAGCTAATCCTAGGCTACTAAACCCGCCGAAGCCTAAGCCCCAGCCCAAGCCTAAGCATAAACATAAGCTAAGCCTAAGCCTAAGCTAAGCTCACGCTAAGCCTAAGCTAAACCTAAGCCCAAGCCTGAGCCTAAGCCCTAGGCCTAAACCTAAGCTATGCGTAAGCCTAAGCCGACTCCCCACGACGAATGCGCACTTACTTGGCGTTGCTGTCGCTGCAGGTGCTTCCTGTCACGCTGCCGCAGAGATTGCCTAAAAATTAGTATAACTTTTTGCTGTTTGGTAAGAGCTGCCATTGATGTAAAAAATTGTAAATTTCACTCACAAGTCGACGGGCAGTACTGCGACTTTTGGGCGGGCGTGTAGAAGCTGCTGGTGCAGAAGCCGTTCTTGCTCCAGTTGGCGCAGCTAGATTTATCGAAACCATATTTATCACGGCTTGGACTTACTTGGTGTTGGTGTCGGTGCAGGCAGAAGCGAGGCTGATGCCTGAAAAGCAAGTTTAGGTAGCGTTATTTGGCGTGCTTCGGAAACACGCAGTACTCGGTAGCCACGGTAGAGTACCCCAAAATGACCAAAACCGCAATACTCCCCTTTTTGGGGCTAAAACGCGTCTGAGCCCCAGTTACCGCAACTTTAGTTTTTTTAAGCTACAGCTAGAAACGTGAACTGGAATTCTATTTTTTGTCCTAGATACCATATTTCCAGCCATTTTTTCTTATTTATTTTTTTTGTCTGTAGGGTTTTCTGATTTAGATTGATGTTCAACGACTCGATGCTTCACGAAAAAATTTAGATCCTAAACGGCGCCCCAGTTACCGTAATCCACGCCGGCCGAATGGCATTTTTTGGGTTTAATGCACGATTTAGACGGACCGGGATTACAGTTACAATGAACCAAAGTTTAATGCAAAAAACTAGATCCAAAACCTCGCTCCGAGTTACCGTAACCCTAGCCAGTGCCCCCGATTACCGTACCAATAGCGGCGAGGATGATGGCGGAGTAGGCGGAGACCATTGTTGATGAAGTTTTACCACGAATGGGGTTTCGGAATTGAGGTGTCAATCCGCGGAATGCCAAGAATATTTATACCAACTTTGGCGACACCCACGCCCGGCCCCGAGTACAAGCTGCGCAAATGAACGAACGGTTAGAGAGAGAGAGAGAGAGAGAATGAGAGAGAGAGTGCTTCGAATTACTCACACTCGGGGCTGGCTGCCAGCCCCGAATTCCTGAAGTGATCCCCAACACATCCGCCGCGCTTCGTTTACGGTATCTGGTGGTTGATCATTGGGTGGACGGGTGATGCCAAAAATAGATGGGATTTGGATAGCTGTTTCGGATTTTTCATACGCCACGCTACTGGCTTTGCCCTACCCTAGTTCACACAGCATCGGACTTCGTGAGGGTGCTGATGTCACTTTTGCCTTACGCTTTCCGGTGTGTCATTCAACAGGTGACGAACTCCGTAGGAAGTCCTTTAGATGCAACCGCGACACGCAACGCATCCGCTCAACACCGCCAATGGTTTGTAGACTTTTTGTTACAGCCGATGCCGAAATCCATAGCCAGGCGGCTTAGGATTCTGCTTGACCCACTCTTTTAGCTTGCACTATTTTGGCACCTTAAGCGGTCTAGCAAGCGTTATTTTTCTACTTTTTATTTTCTACTGCTTGAATGGAATCAAAGAAAATTTCTATTAAAACATAAAAAATTATAATTTCAAGATTTTTAAATGCCCTTTACTTGTCTTTTCAACTTCTTCCAAACATTTGCTTTTGTCGTTTTGCTTTGCGCTTTGGGTGGTCGTGTCATTTGCCTTGTGCTCCGTTAGGGAATGGAAAAATTGCATTTGTATCTATTTGTCAATGGGGAAAGGCATCGGGGTTTGTTGCAAAGTAGTTTGTTCTTTGAAAGTATGATCAATTTTTTGGTAGGTGGAAGCTAATCTAGAAGCCGCTTGGCTCACATCTCGGTGGTCGTTGTTTCTTCAGTTGTCGTTTCTGAAAAATGCGTATTTCCTTCATCCCTAGACTTTTAGTATTGTGTCTTAAAGGGCAATCAGTCGAAGATTCTCAAAAATACAAAAATTCGCTGAAAATTACCAGTAGTCACGCGCGTGGTGCCGCCGGTAGTTCCGGTCTCTCCGGTCGTTACGCCAGTAGTTGCACTCGTAGCTGCGCTACTAGCTGTCGTTGTGGCAGGTCCGCAGGATCCGCAGCAGTACTCCGCTTTTTGAGCAGCCGTATAGATGCTGCTCGTGCAGAAGCCGTTGGCTACCCAGGAGGCGCAGCTAAAACGGGAGTATTACGATGGACACCTCTGTTTCCTAAGATACGCCCGTGCTACCGTGAGCCAAGCGATTTAGTAAACTGTTTCATTTTTAAAAATTGGGATTTTGTAAAGAGGTCGTCTTATAAATACAAGGTGGACGTAGGTATAATTTGAGGCTCACAAACCCACTTTGCATTCGAGTCGGAGCAAGTTCCGTCAGTGCAAAGGTTGCCTAAAATACGCATATGTGGCGATGGTAAGGAAATTGCGGCAAGCACGGTAAAATACGGCGAAAGTTTCGCTTCATTAAAAATCTTAAACTTACACGACTTTTGACATAGACTCGTCCGCTGAGCCGCCGTATAGAAACCATTGGTACAAAATCCATTCTTCGACCAATTAGCGCAGTTGGCAGACGAATCGGAGCAAGCTTCGCTCAGGGCAAGGACTAAAAGCATAACTGAAATTATCGATTTTAAATTTCGAGCGTTAAATTTTACAAGATTTAAAAAATGGAACCCGCCCTCTTGAGATTTCTGCAATTCACAACGAAGCGCTGCTAGCTCGTTCTTATGAAGCGCCAATAATAAAAAATCTCTGCTTGCTTGCCCGCCTCGATTTTGTCACTACCCAAAGAAACGCTGCTAGCTTGCCCCGTTGCCGTATCATTCTTTTGCAAAAGATCTCTGCTATCTCGTCTTATTGCGCTTCTTAACTTCTCAAATAAGCGTTGCCAGCTTGCCTTACTACACCTCGTGAATTTTCAAAAATCACCGCTAGGTTGCCCTGACGTCAAATTATTCTTTCGCCAAGAATTTCTGCTAGTTTACATTTTCTGAGACCATTTCGAAAATTTTTACGCGCAACCTGGCTGTTTGTTTTTTAGATCTTGTCCCAGAGAAACGGGAACAACTTCAAAAAGGCTTCTAGACTTCTAGCTGACGCGCTTTTTAGCCTTCTTAAATAGTCAGCAGCTTCCAAAACTCATAAATTCCTCACTCACCAGCCGCAAAAGCGATCAGAGTAACAACAGCCGTCTGCATCATTAATTTTTCTGGAAGCCCCAAAAAAACAAGCCATCCCTACGCAAATACCCGTTTTATAGGGATCGGCACATTGGGTGGTTAGAGGGCCCGACTTCCGGCCCCAGCTGGCCAAACGTTTAGGAATTGGGGTGATCCGCCGGGGATTGTCACAAAATAGGGCCCCCGGCTCGTTTATTTACATATCACCTAGATTCGATGGATTTTCAGGAATTGGGTCGGTCGGTCGTTTTTTAGGGGCCATTGTTTTTTGTGTCTCTGACTGGAGGGTTTGGTTGGTGTTGCGGTGTGGATGTTTATGGTGGCTTATAGTGCATTTGGAAATTCTGTAGCTTTGTGAGTCAGCAACTAGAAAAATTGAAGCCCAGATGAGGCCGAAACAGAGCTGCGAGCCGTCTGGGTCCTAGAAAGCTGAAAAGCCCGTTGCGGCGAAGTGTCAAGGATTTGCGCGTATGCAAGGTGTCTCAAAAACACTCTCCCCCTTATAACGCGACGCAGAAATATCGGATCGATATGATAGTGGCATCATTCGACAGCCCTTGAAACTGCGGGCCCGCAGCAATCTTCAAAACCATTTTTTATTTAAACACGGATTTTACCACGCATTTAGAAACATTATGAAACGACCTCTGCGGCTACTTCCGGTCGTTTTGCTCGGAGAACTGAGGCAAATTAGCTAGCCTGCAACCCGGAAAAACGCAAGGTTCAACAAAATCGCTTGTAAAATTGAATAAAAATAAAATACTGAAATAAAAACATCTTTTTACAGATAGCTGCGAACTCGCCGTTTCAAGTGCTTTCGTAGCATATAACTATCGTTTCGATCCATGCCTTTTCTGCCGTGAGGTCAGTTGCCAGGTTTTTTATTTGGACACCCACTCGTATCGTGAAATATCACCGTCCATTCTTCCGACAGTGAAGCTCATTTTTCCGTGCGAAATCTTGCCCGTAAGATACCTCAAAAATACAAAATTGACGTCACTCACTTTTTCGGGAAAAAGTTGGCCGACACCACCAAAATTTGTTTCCAGGTGCCTTCAGAAGCATTCTAACATTCTGAATGTCAATAACCGCCTGATTTTCGGCCATTCCCCTCTCTAGGGGGCCTGGACAAAAATGTCACCATTCCACGTCGTCCCGTGATTTTTGCCCTTTAAATCGGTTTTCACCTATAAGGGCCTCCGTTTATCCAGAGTATGAAATCTATAACCCGACGGTCCGACATTTTTCTCCATCCTGTTTAAACAGCAATTTGGGGAGCGGGGCTCAAATTCCGACACCATCCACCCAAGCGGCTCGACTTTACCCCCGACGTCTGTGAGCTGTGTAAACAGCTCGCAAAGTTGAGCCCGAAGTTTTTAGAATTTTTTTATTAGCTTGCAAATTTGTAGGCAGGCACGGCACTTTCAACTTTCAACTTGCATAAAAAGGGAGTGAGCAAAAATCGACACAAATTACGAAATTAGGCGGGCGAAAATGACAAAAAATAATAAAAAAATACATAGTTACAAAAAAAAACACGTTTTCATCACAACAAATTTTTTGGGGATATCAAGTACTGGTCAAGGTAAGCATTAATGGTAGGTCAAAAAGGGGCATTTCGAATTAATTGGGCGTATTTGGATTTGAAAAAAGCGCTAAAAAGGAAATTTTTCGTTTTTGAGATCTATGAGTTTTTGGGATTTTATATTAGATTGAAAATGGATTTGGGATGTTTTGAGATTCGAAGATAACACAGATTTTATGGAAAAACACAATTAAAAACGTGGAAACAGATAGAACGCTACAGTACACTACGGAAAACAGCAATTCGATAAAAATTGATAAATTGATTGAGCGGGTAAATTTTTAACTTTAATTTGTTTAATTAAAGCAGAAAGAGAAAATAGGAAAAATGATATTCTTACAAAATTAAATTGTTCGGATTCCGGTAGTGTACTATCTACAGTAATTCTTATCCACGATCCTTGAACACGTCTTGCACTTCACCTCGCAGCACCAGATGAATTTGCAGTGGCAGGGCTCTTCGACGACTTCGCGAACCGTCGTCCAACCTGGAAAAAAGAATGAAAATTGGCATATCGTGATCCACATTAATTAAGCAATTTGCGTAGATTAAAAATATTAAACTTAAAATTTTAAAAAACTTCAAGCCTTAAAAATTAATTAAAAAAATTTAAGTAAACGGTGATCTATCAATGCGTAGACGTGGGTTGATACGGTATTATCTTCTAACCTCTTCCACAGCACACCGATCGACAATTATTGGTGCATTCACGGCCTTCCGTCGATTTTTGGCAGTAATCCGGAGATGATTCCAGGAAGACGAGGTCGTTTTTGGGGACCTAAATATCACATAAATTAGCTCTTTGTACTCTTGTCCTTGGAGCTCCATTATTCATGTCTATTTCTCCATTTCTCGCGTTCGCTCTCTCCCTCTCTTTCACTTACCCTATTCCGCTCCTTCTCCACGTCCAAGAATCGGCCAACCCGGAGTCCTTCTACGGGAGGCGGGTCTTTTAGCACAAGTTCTTCACTGTGCGGAGCCGCAGCTACCTGCAAAATCACGTGAACTTCACAGCTTTGAAGCCAGTACACTCTTTGTCTAAGCCTAAGCTTCTAAGCCACCTACCTGCTGGGCAAAGTCGTATTTCTCTTTGAGCTTCATCGCGAACTCATCAAACTGGGGGACCACCTGGAGTTTCAGATGCTTACAAAAACTTAGATTTTCTTACCTTCCAGCACGTTTTCGTCACGCAACTTCCGGAAACTCCATGGCATTTGCATTCTTTACGCATGGAATTGGCGAGAAGACGACGGCCGACCCGATTGTTGTGGAGGTTCATCATCGACCTGAAGGAGGAATAGTGTAGAAAAGGCGAGATCGAGATAGAGAGAGAAAGCGAAAGAGAGAGTGAGAGAGAAAGAGGGAGAGCGCGAGAGAGAGAGAGGGAGATAAAGAGAGAGAAAGAGGGAAGCAAGAGAGTGAGACACAGGAGACAGCGGAAAGAGAGAGAGTCAGAAAGGCAGAGAGAGAGAGAGAGAGAGAGAGAGAGAGAGAGAGAGAGAGAGAGAGAGGAGAAATATCCTACCTTGCGTCCTTGTTCTCCTTATCGCTTGCATCAATGAACTTCCTTCCAAAAGTATTTCCATACTTTACATTATCCGAACACCCGGCCCAGATATATTTTTGGGACATCGTGCTCGGCATTGGGCCGCAAGAACAGTCGCCGATGACTCCCTAAAACAGATTTGAGGTATTTAAATAGCTGTAGAATAAATTGATGTCTTTCTTAAGTTACTAAGACAATCTTAAGCTTAAAAATTACCTTCGAACAAGCTTTAGCAATCGAGTGGGACATACCGGCGGCGGCGATGGCATAGACGTATGCGGATTCTTTGGAAGCAGCTAAAAAATAGATTATTTATCTCTCTCTCTTTTTGCCCTCCCCCTCTCTCTCGTTTCTCTGACCTTTCATCGGCTGTTCACTCCTCGCCGTCACCGAGCAGTTCCACACATTCGTGGCAAAGGTTCGTTGGCACTCATCAACAGCCATTCTCAACCCGGAAACGACATGATTCATCGTGTCGGTATTCCGGGCACACAATTCCTTCTGTCGTTTGTTCAGGCCCGGAATGAGGCCGCAGGTGGATGGGTGGATCGATGAGAGGCCCGGTGTGAGTTCGGTGAGGAGCCTGAACATTAACTTGTTTGTCTCGTCAACTGGAGCTTTCCGGAATTTTCGGTACAGGGCTGTTAGCGGGGGGGCGGGCTCTGTCTGCGATCCATCGAAAAGGGAGGTCCTGAATACTGGAATTCACCATAATTTTGTCAGTTTTTATGCCATTTTGAGTAAAGAAAATTTGTAAAATTATCCGGAGTTTCGAAAAATTTCGAGCTTTTCTCTCAAAAATGTTTGAAAATCATGCGATAATTTTTCGAAAAATCTTTTTTTTTTTGGATTTTCAGGCATCAAAAACCCGCAAAACGCTATAAAAAGAAACTATGAAACGCCACAAATTTCTAGATGCCACTAAATCGCAGCCACCCGAACCCCCCCCGTTAACAGTCTAGTACCCTAGAATTTTCTAGACCTAGCCCATGCGCTTGATTTTTGTGTTGGCACAACGGATTTGGCAATCTCCGGCGGCGGCAGATCTGGGCTGGCCGCGTGGCCATAAAATTTGGGTGGCGGGGATGCTCGTAAATTGGTATGGGATACAAGGAGGGGCCGACAAAGAGCGCGGGCACGATTTAAGACTACGAGGGACAACAGATTGCAACAGCCACATCACCTGCCCCGAGGGCATTAATCCCCCGGATAAAAGATGACCCCGGGGGGCGCAAGGGTAATCTATCGCTTAGCGGATTTATGCTAATTGCAAAATCAGCCGTGATGTAAACATAGTTAAAAATAGCTAATTTGATCAGCTATTTATTATTGCAAGTTGGAGCCAGTTTTGCTTTTCTAAAACTCGAATCATCACAAAAAAGTGATCGAAACATCCTCAAATAATCCCTGCTAGCTTGCCTCACTGAATTTTCGATCACCTAAATACCTCTAAAATATTTCCGGGCAACTTCGGTGCTAATTTGCATAGCTGTCTAACTCCATAAATTCGCCCAAAGACTCTTTGCTATTTGCCCTACCGAAACCAACTTTGTTTCCTCAATAATCACTGCTACCTGGCCTGTTAATTTGCCTCCAACTCGAGCTAAAGAAAACCGTTCAAAAACGCGGCAAGAAAAAAGAAAATGGTAAAAGAGTTCTGCTAGCTTGCCCTCCTTGTCTAAAGCTTCATCCACAAGACTCTCCGCTGGCTTGCCTGCCCATCCGGGCTGCAAAATTCCCCAATGGACCCCTGCTAGTTTGCCCTATTTAGCATAGAAAATAAAGCCGTGATATATTTTAAGTTTCGTTAGCCCTTCTTAACTCCCGCAAAACTCCCTCAGATCACGCTCTGAGCCCGAAATCAATCCTGGCGGCACGCGCCCATACACAAGGGGCCGATCCTAGGCAATCACATAAAATTGAGGAGTGTGCCCGGGTGGTCGAACAGTTTTCGTGGTCGACGTTAGGGGGAAGGACAACCCTCAAACGAGACCTCAAACGAAACAAACCGCCTTTTATTGGTTGGCCCACCCGGTGTGACCTTCAGAAACAGCCGAATTCCAGCGCATGAGGAAGAGAATTTTTAGGTTTTCCTCGTCATATTGGTTTCGGGGAAACTAGGGTAGCTAGCCGAGATTTTTGAGGAAACCTAGGTCTGTTTTTTCGGGAGCAGGTTAGCACGGAAAATTTGAGAATCCATTCCATATCCGACGTTCTGGGGTTTCGAAAGTGGCGCACAAAGAGGTATCTACAGATGACATAAATCGAATACCAAAAGGCATAAATCGCCGACGGCAACCATCAGATGGACGGTATCCAATTTGCTCGCCCATGGGGGTGAATCAGCCCTCATTTCGACTGGGCTCTGATTTATGGCTGCCCGGGGGATCGAGTGGCATTCAGAGAGCGATTTCGCAAAAACTGTGGATTATTTTGTGTACGTAGCGCTTCGTGGACATAAGAAATGAGGATAATAAAGTTTTGAAGTCGGGAAGTTATAAGGCAATTTTTTTTGAAAAGACGTATATGGTAAATTAGGGTAGCTTCTTCTATCTCTATTTTTTCTTTCTTTGCTGTTTTACCTTTTGCTATTTTTTTATGATATTTTTGATTGGCACCTCGTTAATTGGCGCCTTTAGCTGCGGTATTGTTCACTATAATTCCCTTAAAGGTATCTAAGCTACGGTAATTTTCATTACCACGCCGTTAAACATTTTTTTGAACTACGGTATTGCTCGTTACAACACCGTTAAAGGTAGTTCAAGCTAGAGCCTTCCCTAAAAACATCCCAGGGTATCTTCTTAAAGTAACCTTCCGTACCACTCCTTTAAAAGATTTTAAATACATCAATTTTTCAAACCCCTCCCAAATCCAGGTTTTGAGGTTGTCTTCCTCAACCTCCTGCTCCCCCTTTACCCATTTTGTCGCCCCGTTCCCAGGAGGGCGTAAAAACGGTATTGCTTGCTAAGGGGTGGGTGTGAGGATCAGGGCTACGAGCAAGAGGGGAGGAGGATTGCTCAACCAACCGGGTCATCGCACGCATAAACCCAAACAAGGGGAGGGCAGGGGATTTAGGTGGAGGTATCGCTGCACCTGGGGGGGGGGTATCAGCAACAACCTGGGAAGCAAAAAGAGCATGAAGGGGATCACAAATTGAAATCCCCGCCCCGGAGAAAACTCAAAAAGTTGCCAACGGTGGGAACGGGTTGCGGCGGCCCGGATCTAATTTCAGAACCGGTCGCCGTATATCGGGGTTGTGGTTTGAACATTGGGGAGTAGGAAAAACAGCTGAGCAGCTAGTAGGAGGATCAGAAAATGAATTTGAGGAGCACGACTCCTTAGATTTGCTAATGTGCATTTTAGCAGTGCGAAATATCGACATTTAGAAATTTCAGCTTAGGTAAATTTCAAAAGTCTGAAATTTCGACATATTTTAGACATTTTAAAATAATTCGATCACTTGCTGAATAAAAAATAATAATTTAGGATCGAGGAATAACTCGAAAGCCGCGAAAAAACCGTTTTGAAATGCTTAGATGTAATTTTCGCGATATTTAGAAGCGATTTCATAAAATTAAGCAATAAATAAATAGAGTCTCTATGCATTGGCTAATTTTAACTCTTGTTACGTCGAATTCGACTAGGCGCCTTCCATGAAGCATCGCATATTGAAATTGTTTTAGGAGACATCAATGGAACCTTCTCGATTCAAAGGAGGGTAGAAAAACTATTGCGTTTGCATGGCAAGCAATAACAAATCTTTTCAAATTATTTGGCGTAAAAATCGGAGCAGTTTTTATATGTTCACTTACCAATCATCAACCGTTCTTCCGGTCAGGGCTACGAGACCCGAAATTTGGAAATACAGAAATATGGCGTGATACAAGGAATTCATCGAGATCTTAGCTTGTAGCTCAAATCAAATCGAATCGTCAAGTCGAATGAATGAATGAAAAATGACCGATCAGTCCGACAATGAAGATGTGAATGGGCGGGCCCTCAGCAAAGACCCAACGGAGCGCCAGCGGATATGCCCTGGGGCCCCAAAACCGAGACCACCCGCATTCCCACGCCCCCGGCTAGGAGAGGCTGAAACACAGCCGCTGGGAAGTGGTCTGGCTCCACGGCAAGTAGAAAAGAGCCGACAACTAGTGGAGGTGATTGAGGTTGTCAACATGGGGATTTGAGAAAACTAGGGCCTTTGATGTCGTTAATTGGAATCTGGGAATTCAGGAGGTGAGGGCTTTGAGAGACCGCTTGAAGAGATGGCATTTAAATTTAAATATAAGACTGGATGCTATGCATGGAGAGAGAGAGAGAGAGAGGAGAGAGAGAGAGAGCGAGAGAGAGAAAGGTGGAAAGGCAGGATCGCCAAACTATGAAATTCTCATAAAAAAAATTGCCCTGGAGCGAATTCCGTCGTGAAATTCCGACGAAAAATCCCCGAGAAAGTTAAAAAAATTAAAATAATGGTCACGCTAAGGCTCAAAAAATGACTAAAGCTCACCACCAAGCTCCAGTTTCAGTGACGAAAAGCATCAATAGAAGCGTGTAAAGCTTCATCTTCAATCAAGTGTGTTTTGTAGCGTAGCGTAGCCTATTTTTGTCTTGGCGTAACGAAGCGTAAAGTCGCGTAACGTTTTGTAGCGTGGCGTATCCTCTGGTAGTTCCAGCGATAGATTTCTGGGTACGGTATTCCCAAATATCGAGGTCAGTGCCGAAAGAGGATCTTCTCACGGGGGAGGCTGAGGTGGGCGGCGCCTCAGATACCCGCAAGCGGCAGCCAATAGCCTATTTTGCGACCTCCTCCTCCACCTCCACGGCCTCCTCCTTCTCCGGCCCCGTTTACGACGCGTCGCCCGTTTTATGCCAAAGCTCGTGCTCCCGGGTGTCGGCCGTGGGGAGGTAGATGGGCACGGAGAAACACAAATATTTCGGCAATCTCCTCCGACCGCCATGTGACACTTTGGCGGTTTTTATGGACCTCACCGAGCAATGGAAGTCCGGTGTTTTGCTCCGCAAATTAAGCGAGATGTGATAAATAGGTAGAATTGAACCTGGATTCTAGAATTACAGGACATAAAGCCAATGTTCTTTGCCAGATTGCCTTAATCGGGATGCTCAAGAAGCTTAACTAATGCTCGTTAAAATGTAGTCTGGTAGATGAGACAGCCTTTTCAAGTACCACAAGATCCTCCAAAAATTTGTTGCCCGTTGAAACGTGGCCCAGCTGCCGTCGAAAAGCTTACTTTCTAGAACTAAGAACCAAAATTAATGTGATCTTTGTTACTTTGCCTGAAATGTCCTCCTTTTTCTATCACGTTTCCGGTTAGATCATCCGTTTTTTTTTCAGGGAAAGTCGGGGTATCTAGGACGTTTAAAAGTAGCCGAGCTCTCGTCTTTCAAGTTTCCTTGGCGGAAATATACCGTCAAAGCGTAGAAGTAGCTTCGTCTTGCCTCTTTTTTTGCGAAATCAGACGAATCAGTATCACAAAGGTAAAAATACACAGGCAACATCGAATTTTATTAACCGAAAATCTCTTTCGTGATGCAAGCACAAGTTCTAAGCATTATTCCATTAATTATCGAGGCGTTTCGATCAGTCGCCGCGACTTTCGGGTGGCTGCACGGCTTCGACGATCTTCGCGCCGGCCGACATCAGCTCGTCGGCAGCGCGCTCGAGCACGGGGGTTGACTGAAAATGGAAAATTAACGAGTTAGTTATGATTTAAGGTGATAAAAGCTATATAAAATCGAGCTGAATAAAGCAAGGCTTTTTCCCACGTCATCAGTGAAGATGATGGTCATCCACATGTCCCAGATGAAGGCGGTGAGCAGCAGGGCGAGCATCGCGTAACCGAAGCGCATCGTGTCCATCTGGTAGCCGTTCTGCTGGCTGAGGTCCTCGAGCACGGCGGATAGCTTAAAAAGGGAGGGTTGTAATTTAAACATAAGCTTAATACCTTGTTTAATTTCTTTTAAATATCGTCTCTAATAAATACCAAAATATTCTTCTCCTCCAGCCGCGTGTTCTTCTCCTGGAGCTCGCTGTTCGTCTTGCGCAGCGCGGCCACCTAGAAAAACGCTTGCTCACTTTCGATCGTTCCACCTGGGTCAGTAGGCGCTCGCGAAGCTTGGCATTGTTGAATTCTACATGGTTTTTTGGTTTATTGGTGTTTTTTACATACCGGGAGCGCGAACTTCGAGCGTGACCGTCTCGGAGACGACGTTCGGGTGATGCTCCCAGAATTCGGCCTTGGTCAGCACGAGCTCTGATGAAGAAAAATATTAAAAAAGCAAGTGATACACCGCAACCATGCTCGGAAACTGTGTGCGCATGGACGAGAAAACGGTGCCGATGGTCGACGTTGCCGTCCGATTGCACCATGATGTGCACCATCGCTCGGTCCTAAGCAAAGAGGATGCAAAACGCTTGCTCAACGATTACGCCTGGCTCGACAAAATCCCCATCCGGTTGCACAAAGTAGTCGCCCCGAGAATTGGACTGAACGCGGAATGCGATGCGCGACTTGGAGATGTTGAAAATCTGAACAAAGCTTCGACAAGGACACGGACACCCACTTCAAAATGTGCCGTTAGCTTCCCATCAATAACCTAAACCCAACAAATCAAGACAAGAAACAAATACCCAACCGTCGTGAAGTCAATGAAGCGATCCGGCGACACCAAGAAGACGGGCGCCTTCTTCCCCACCATCGAGTAGTTGCAAATGCCAAGAGTTTCAGACAAGTCAAGTTTCTTTTGAAACATTTATCATTAGGATGCAAGTTGGGAATGCAAGATAACACCTTTATCATCTCACGCCGATAACAAAAAGGTAAAAACGGTTTGAGAAACAAGGGAACAACAATTAGAATTTGTCGAAAGCTTTTTTGCTGCCGGGGCCTCGGTTCACTTTGACGACGTTGAAGGTGACGGTCTTGGCGAGGGGGCGGCAATGTCCGACGGTGACGAGGTCACCGACTTCGACGCTGAAAAAAAAAGATGAATAACGAAGCGTATAAACTATGTAGCAGATTAATAATTTAGACGTCAAGAATATCCAGAAGAACTAGAAACGCATAAACCTTTTGGCAAACTAATAATTTCTGTTTCATGAATATAAAAGCTAAACATAGCTGGTTGGCCTACGCTCACGCCGAAAATTGAAAAGCTACGCAAGGCAGTCCTCAAAAAATATATAAAACCAACCGGAAAGCGGGGGAGCAGTGGGCGGAGAGGTTGCGATGCCTCTTCTCGAACCGGCGGTACTTGGTGATGTAGTGGAGGTAGTCCCGTCGGATGACGATCGTCCTCTGCATCTTCGTCTTCGTGACGATGCCGGTCAAGATGCGGCCGCGGATCGAGACATTTCCGGCGAACGGGCACTTCTTGTCGACGTACTTGCCCTCGATGGCCTGAAAAGAAAAGAATATAAGCCATATCTGCCAATCGTATTTGAAAGCACAATCGCTGGCTTTCGGTCTGGAAAAAGCTACACTAAGAAATTTTGGAGAAAAGATCCAGTTCAAAAAAGGGCGGTCTTGGTGCAAAAATCACGCACAACTGTCCAAAAAGCAAAATTACTAGTAAGTGTTTTGGCTTCCTCATCGAGGGATAGATCATGACAGAAATGAGGCTTAACCAATTTGATGCTGAAAATCAGAAAAGCCAAACACACCTCAACTGGGGGCTTGAATCCGAGTCCGACGTCGCGGATGTAGCGTGCTTGCTTCTTGCCCTTGCCGATGCCGAGGATGCGGGCTTTCGTGTTCTGGAAGACTCCTCCTTGCTTTTGGAAGGCGCGCTCAATTTGTTCGGCCATGTTTGCCGGTTTACCTGAAAAGAAAAAGTTAATTTGGGTCGAGAATCGTCAAAAAAAGGCCGAAATGACCTGAAAAGGCAAGGAAAGTACGCAGGCGATGAAGAAGACCAATTTGGAACGATCACAAATTATTAGAATCAAACAAAATCGTCAAAACCGTCAATAATTTTCCAAAAGAACCAGTTTTAGCTGGGAAATATTCAAGGCAAAGGGGCCGGCCAAGCGGGCGCGGCGGGACCATTGAGCGGGGTACGGTTATTGGCGCGTGGTGTAGCAAGCAACCACCGGCCCTTCGGCTCGGAAATTGCAAACCGGCAAAAACTTTACAACACAAAATATTATTAAAAAAGAAGAAAATAACGTAGTTTTTTATTATAATTAATAGGAATGGACATCGGGCTTTAAGATAAGGCTTCTCACAATGAAAATGAAACTTTTCGGTCGTTTTTGGAGCTCGGAGAAACACTAGGCTTTTTGTGGCGTAATCGGTGGACTTGGATAGTGCTTTCATCAGCCAGAAAAACTAGCAAAAAGGCGTTTGATTTAATACTTTAATAATTTATGAGATTTTATTTACTGAAAACACGCGTCTTATTTTCCTTGCCTTGTTTCTCTGCGTATCCTTACAAAATCCCCTTCTTTCAGGTGATGACCGGCACGCAGGTCGACCGGTCGTTGCCGAAAACCGGGTTCCTCTTCCCTTGGCCCTTCCCGAATGGCGCGCCGTCGTTCATCTACCGGATGAAGAATTACGCCGCCCTGTTGATGGTCCGATGCGCGTCACGACTTCTATTCTTCGGCGGCGTCAATCAGCTGAATGTGAAAGGGCGCGAGCGGTTCGTGACGGCGCTACAAAATAGAAGCCGGCCGCTGATCACGATCACGAATCATCGCTCAAATCTGGATGACCCGTTGATGTGGACGATCCTGACTTGGAAGGAGTTCTTTCAAACGATCGATCGACAGCGCTACACCCTGACCGCGCACAACATCTGCTTCTCCAAGCAATGGCACACGACAATTTTTTCGCTTGGGAATTGCGTGCCCTGCGTGCGCGGTGAGGGCGTCTTCCAGAAGGGCATGGACTTTTCGCTGGAGAAGCTGAACAAGAACGGTTGGGTCCATATTTTCCCGGAAGGTCGAGTCACGGAAACGCCACTTCGATTCAAGTGGGGCGTCGGACGCTTGATTATGGAACCGGATGTCGCGCCGATCGTGCTGCCCATTTGGATGCGAGGGATGGAAACGGTTTGGCCGAACCATCCGCCTTACTATCCAAAGTTTGGCAAGAAAATCTCGCTGACAGTCGGGGAGCCGCTTGATACCCAGGAGCTCCGAGCGGAAATAAGCAAAGATCCAAATATGAGTGAACGACAACGGAGAAAGCTAATGACTGATCGAGTTCAGGAGCTGCTGTTCAGCCTTGGCGAAGAATGCGGCGATCTGGAGAAGGGGCTGACGGAGCGGTTGCGCAAGGAGCACGAACGGCATATTGACGAATTCCGGTAGTACATTTCTTCAATTCTAGGAATCTTGCCCTTACTTGCTATTTTACTTGAACTTTCTGTTTTAATTTTTTCATATTATAGGGATCCGATCCGCCTTTTTACTCATGTACTTTCGATTTGTTAATATTTGCACTGGCAGCAGGGTGCACTTGTGATTTACGGGTTTCCTGCTCGATTTAGGCACCGTTTGTTTTCGACTTGTGATCTGGATGATTTGTTCTTTCTCGGTTAATTTTCTTAGCAACTTTGCTAGCTAGCTTTAATCGTTACTAGTGGTTTCGTTCGGTTTTACGAGTTTTATTATCGATGTAAAGCCATTTGATAGATAAAATGCTTTAGATTTACAAAAAACCGCTCCAAAACATTTCAAACATAAACAATGCAGCAAGAAGATTAGACTTTACTAGCGTTTTATAGATAAAAGATTATAGATTTGGTCAGGTTCGAACCAAATTTTAAGCATAAAAGTAGTGCAACAAGAATATAGTATTTAAATCTATTTTTGAGAGTTTTCAGGCCTTCAACGCCATCAATCGTCTCATCAAAACTTGAACTCTCCAGCTGATGGCCCTCGCGTGTCAGTTGCCAGCTGGAACTGCCGCTTTTTGCGGTGACCCCCTGGTGGCGTCTTGTGGCCGGTGGGGCCCCCGGCAAAACTTTACTCAAATTTCAGCCGCGTGCCTTCGAGCCGGCCGTTCTGAGAGGGGACGTCCTCTTCTTCTTCTTTTTGCGTTTTGCCTGTGTCCCCCGAGGCTTCTTCAGGCCCTATTGATCGTGGTGGGTGGCCGTGGGCCCCTCTTGGCCCCTGACAGCCCATAAGGCCCCAATTAAGCCCCACGCGGCCGGCCGGCCGCCAAGATTCGTGCCACGCACCCCGGTAAGTTTTTCCGGAAATCCTCATTTTGTCCCATTTCCTCGATTCCATTAATACCAATTTCCGGTCACGGGAAATTCAGGTTAGATGTGAAAACATACGTACAGCGCTTGCGGAAAAACAAAATGTCATTCTTTAGTTCGACGGGCTTTCTAAATGCAATTTTCCTTCGTTTCTCAATGGGAATTTAATGGCGGTACCCTAAAATTACATGTTGCTTCCCGAATAAGCCTAGTTCCAGGATTTTTTTATTAATTTAATGTTCGGTAAACTTCGAAAAACAAGCCGTTGAAAGTTTTTTTCGTTGTTCAGCAATAAACTGCTATTTCAGGCCTAAAATGCAACTTCTTCTTCAAGAATAGTTCATCTACTTGTTTATTGAGATGATTTTGATAGATTAAGTTTTTTCCATTCCATTTCACTGATCACCCTTTCCGCAAGCTTCAAAGCCCAGCTCGGGGCAAATCAGAAATTCTGAGCTCGAGGCCCCTACTTTCTTTCACTCGGGGCACCCGGAAGCCGGGACCAACGGGTCCAAATGACGGCCGGCCGCCTATAGTTTGAGCTTGGAAATTGGAAGCTGACCTTATTGGGGCTTTTGGAGGGCAGGTTCCGGTAAACATTTGCCCTGGAACTCTTGCAGCGCGTGTTTTTTGGGGGATCCAGCTGGCCTGGTGGTGGCAGGTGGATCCGCGCGCGTTTCTGCACTTTGTGGGATGAAATACGCGCGGATTTTGCATCATAGCGTTTTTCTAGGAAAGTTAAGGAATCTACGATTAATGTGGTTTGATGAACTTTGCTGAAATGGCTAGGCTTGATGCTCAGCCAGGAATTTAGAACATTTGAATCAATTAAATTTTAAGGGAACCTTAGTGAACTTCTTGAACTCGTTACTAGATACTTGCAGCTTCATCCTTCCAGTGCTTTTTAGCTCGTTTTTTTCACTCTCACAATTCTATTACCGTAGGCAGTACATGGGTTAGATAAGTTTTAAAGAATCAGGAATTTCGTAAAATTGATCGAATTAATTGAGATAGTAGTGATAGTAGTTAACTGCTCGAACTCGGCGATACTCTCACATTTTACTTTTTATGTGTTTTACCCTTTCAATCCCTTTTTCCGATTCCACAACCAATTTTGAATTGAATCCGATTTCATCGCTTTTCATGAACTGCTCGAACTCGATGATCCTTTGACATTTTACTTTTTTTTTTATTCTCCCCTTTCGACCCTCGGTCTTTCCAGCCTCGCGACCCAATTACCGTAATCCTTCCCCGTCTTCCGCCCCCAGCAAATCATCCAATCTTTCTCGTAATCCCCTCCCCCTGCCAATCATCCCCCCGAGAACCCGATTGACCTTTAGAAGGCGACGGCTTCAAAAAGGGGGCTTCGGCTCCTTCTTCCCAGCTTCAGCGGCCCTTGAAAACAATTCCCTTCCTAGACGTCAAGCCCAGCGGCCCTGAAGCCCACCCGCTATTTCCAGAAGCCAATTTTGTGGGTTCGGGGCAGCTGGAGGGGGAGGACGAGCCGGAGAAAAAGAGGGAGCAGGAGGAGAACCAGAAGAACTGCGATAAATCCCTCAGAATTGCCTGCGGCCGGCTTCCCCCCTCGGCCGGCTAATTGAATTCCCGGGGTTCTGGAGGTTCTCGAGACGGAGGAGAAGAAGCCACCTGAAGATGTTGAAGTATTGCTTTTTTGGGGTTGGTACTGGTTTTTCTGCCGTAATTGGGTGTACGTTGGATGGTAGCGTAATGCCGTCGCACCGAAATTATCATGTATCGCATTTTGGTAGTTTTTGAAGCTTTTTACGGTAACGTTCACGTAGCATGGCGTAGCATCATCGAAATTATTTATCATTTTTGCTTTTTTGTAGTTTTTATCTATTTTACTGGTGAAAATTGCTGGGATTTGGAGTGCAGCGTTGTCGCAGCATTGCGTAGTCTCATCGAAGTTATGCATCATTTTTGTTTCTGCAGTTTTGGCCATTTTCCAACCATAATTTAGCGTGTCTTGAAGCGTAGCCGGCGCGGATTCCTTCTGAATTTTTAAACTTTCGAGTTTTCTGGTTTTTTCCATTTTTCGGCTGTAATTTGGTGTATTTTGAAGTGTAACGTTGTTTCGTAGCCCTAATTACCCTGCTTCCTCGTGCTTTGGCGAGTTAATTTACGTAGCATTCCATAGTCTAATTGATTTTTCGATATAAGGTTCTATCGTGTTTTTTTTCTAATTTTAGACGGTCCATAAGGACCAAAGAACGCTTCCTGGCACGATCTCATTAAAAGTGGACACGGAAACAATCCGAGATTTCCTGGAACCCAGCTTTTTCCGTCTCGCTCTCCTGGACGTTTTGTTGCGCGGCCCCGGAACGCGTGCATTATGCATTGGCGGCCATTTCAGGATCTCGCAAGAACCCCATAGGAATTTCTAAACGATCATCTTTTTTGGAGTGAGTTTCGATTCGGCTCCTACTTTAACTTATTAATTCGGGGAGCACCGGAAGCGGGAGATCACTTCCGAAGCGCTCTCCCTCTCCCTCTCTCTCTCTCTCTCTCTCTCTCTCTCTCTCTCAATCTCTCTCTCTCGACGACGACAACTTGAAAGTACTACAACTACATAGAAATTTTCCAAGCCAATAACGATACCGTACCGGATTACCGTATGCCTTCTCACACTCTCTATTTTGTGACTCACTTGAAGGTTTGCTTAGGGAAAGTGGTGGAGGGGTAGACAAACAACTTTTAATTATAGGGCTGAGAACCGGTATTTTGGAGCCAAAAATCAGCAATCCAACAATCGCCACGGAACCCTGGCTACCCGAAATGCTAAGCTGTAGTTTGTGCATTAATGATATCCAGTGAGAGAGAGCGAGAGAGAGAGAGAGAGAGAGAGAGAGAGAGAGAGAGAGAGAGAGAGAGAGAGCGAGAGAGAGAGAGAGGGAGTGACAGAAGGAGAAAGAAATAGAGAGAGTGAGAGATAGATAGAAAGGGATTGAGAGAGCGGGAGAGAGAAAGAGACAGTGAATGCGAGAGAGCGAGAGCGAGGCATCGAGGGTGTGATAGAGAGGGGGAGAGAGAGAGACAGAGAGAGATAAAAGCGAGAGAGAGCGAGAGCCTGGAATGCAGCTGCTCCTCAAGGACAAGTTCAGGCCGTTCAAAAAATGTACCAACCAATAGATTGTACCAAATTTCCTACGCTACGCACTTTCCACCATATTTCTTCGTGTTCGCATGGAACCCTAGGGCCCCCCGGGGGCAGATTCCCGGCATTACCCCGGAAACCCTGGGAATATTTTGACACGCGCTGCTGTCGACATGGCCCAGGGGCGTTTCGGCATTTCGTGTTTGTGCTAGCCAAATTTTGGGGTTTGGGCTGATTTTTGGCAAGGTGGTACGGTAGCTATGATGCATTCCTGATTATCGTTCCTGAAAAAAATGAGCAAATACAATGGAAAGTTTTGAAAGACATAAATTAAAGCTAATTTTCGGTGCTTTGTAATTTAAAAAAAACTTATATGACTACGATTCTGCTAAATACGTGAAATACTCTTTCCAGGTTCGCAAAGATTTAGGCCAAACTACCTTTTTCTAGACTTTGATTTCCGCTTTTCAGTCCTTCGGGGTTTCTGGTTTCTGTCAAACGGGCCTATCCTGGCTATTTTGCAGCTGCTGGAACTTTTTTGATCGTTGATTTTCTGGAAATCTAGCTGCAAACCACACAATTTTTGTCGGGAATTTCGGGACTTTTGGCTTCCTTTGGCCGCACCTTTTCCGAATGATCTCTGCTAGCTTGCCTAGCTAAGTGTCTAGATGGCCAATTGGATTGTTGCAGGCTCGTCTCCGTATCGAGTCGTGCGTAATCTGTACGTTTCCGTAGGCAGTCTGAAGGTCCAGAACAAGCAGTGTTCGATGCCCACAGATCCTCTGCTCGATTGCCTCTGTTGTTCCCCTTAATTTTTGATCCGCTACCAGGTGCAATCCACGTAACCATAATGTTCAGCCAAAAAAAAGAGCGCGTGGGTCAGGTGGCACTGGTACATTTGTAAGACCCTCGGATTAGCCGAGAGATCGATTATCTAGGCCAAACTTAATGGGCCTATAATCCTAATCCGGCCCTCATTTTTGAGGGTTATGAACTGAAAATTTGCCATAGCTTGGATTTTCTAAGCTTTATAGGCATCCTTGTTGCCTTAGACAGGTTTTCTGGCCGTTTTTGAACGACAATATCAGCATTTCTAGTAACTATTGAATTTTTCAATTCTTTTCCAACATTTTTTTTGCGTTCTTATTTAAATTCCGCTTCAGTTATATGGACGACATGATGGTGGAGGGGAAGGAAGAATTCACGTGGAGTCTCCTGACCTTCTACAACTTTGAGATGCTGCTCTCCATCGGAAGCCTGGCAGCCAACACATTGCTACTCTGTACGCTGAAGCGGTTTTCCGTCTTCCATGATCACCTACGGTACGGATTATCTAGATTTTCCACTTCTTTACGCTTTGACTTAGGAATCCAGCGATTCGTCAAAGCTATAACGTATGAAAAATCTCTAAAAAAGCCAATTTTCTATCGGCAACTAATACTAACTTTGGTCCCAAAAAAATAACGCGCTTAAAATTGATGAAATTGACGGAATACAAGGCGCCAAAATACGTAAGACGGAAAGAAACGGAATTTGGAAAAGCTGCTGCAATCGGAAAATTTGTGTTTCCCACTGTCTACCGAAACTTTCGGGTCTTTTTTGCTTGCTCTCTGGTTCCGCAGGGCAACAAATGACATAAGATCGCTTGGTATTCCGATATACTCCAAATTCCGTTTCAGAGTCATCTGCATCCACATGACGTTCACGATAATCCTCTCATCCGTCTACTCTCTCCTTCGAGCGATCGTGGGAACCTATCAGCTTTTCGTCCCTGGGAGCCAGATCCCGGATACGGTAAGTGGGGCGAAAATGGGAAAAGTTTAGCTAACAGACACAAAAAGAAACACTTAGCTCGAAAAAACTATGAACACATTTTGCAGGACGATTCCTGCGACCTATCAGAAGCGATGCCATTTTCACTATGCTTACAGCTCTGTATACTGTCGATAATTCTGAGCGTAGAGCGCTTCTACGCTACTATGAATTATCACAGATATGAGGATGAGAATGTGGAGAAACCGCTACGTTATCTGCTACTGGTTACGGTGGGTGGCAGAGAAAGAGAGAGAGACAGAGGGAGGGAGGGAGAGAGAGAGAGAGAGAGGGAGAGAGAGAGAGGGAGAGAGAGAGAGCGAGAAGAGAGGGCGGGAGAGTGATAGCGCAAGATGTGTGAGCGAGAAGGAGAGTGTGAGAGAGCGTGAAAAAGAGAGAGCGAGAGAGAGAGAGAGAGCATGAGAGAGGACAGCCTAAAATTGCAATTTTTTAGCTTTTTCAGTTTTTGTTTAGTGGATGCCCATCGTCCTCCCACTAGCCCACATCCTCTCCTCAGTATATTTCCACGAGGATATGCAAGCTTGCGGTCGTCGATTGAATACTCGATCGCTGCTCTCCAGAAATATCGGCATCGTCATCGCCATCATCTTCAGTTTCATCTTCACCGCCGTGTTTTTGAGCCTGAAAATGGTAATTCCAAGCTCATGCTCACTAAAGCTTCTCTGAATTTTAGCTCAACGGCCAGCGCCAAATCGAGTATATTCGGCATCACTACCGGTCGTTGTCGACGAGATTTCAGGTGAGCGAGAGTGAGAGAGAGAGAGAGAGAAAGCTGGAGAAAGTAGCTAGTAAAGACAACTTGCGAATTTCAGATCGGAGAAAACCTTCGCACCTGCGGGGTGATGTCCTCGATGCATCTGCTGAGTCTTATGTTTTTCGGGACAGCTTTTGCTCTGGATCTTTTCATTTCTGGCGATCCAAAAGCGACGGATTCGATGAGGGTGAGTTTTTCAGCGTTTTCAGGTAGTCATGGACGACCAAAATTTGAGCCTGAATTTTTCACCAAAAAAATCGCCAAGGTACTCAAGTTTAGGCCTGTTTTTTGACGGGTTTCGTATTTTTTGGGGTCTTCGGGGCGTGGACCATCGAAATATTTTCGTTAACATTATGCTATTTTTCAGGAATTTCCCCACATCCTGCTCCCAGTTTTCGCCTGCCTATTTCCGACCATTTTTGTCGGCAACGACAGGCCGTTGCGTGGGAAATTCACAGCCGTTTTCTCATCACTATTCATCGCGGCGCCGATCGGTGAGTTCTATCAAAGAATCTCTGCTAGCCTGCCCTGCAAATGACTGGTTCTGTGAAGCAAAATAGGATTTCTGTATTATATTAAAAAAACGGCAATTTTTTAGAGAAGTCCCTGATGGCAACGGCTTGACGTCCTGAAGTCGGTGATCATCTGCCTTTTCGTTGATGATTTAGTCTAAGCCTAAGCCTAAGCCGAAGCCTAAGCATAAGCGTAAGCCGAAGCCCAAGCCGAAGCCTAGGCGAAGCCGATGCTAGGCAGATGCCAAGCCTCTAACCCTCCCCACCTTCGTTTACTTAATTTATCTTGTATACTGTACATTGCGGATACTCTCTCTTTATTACGGTTTCCTATCGACATTTCATGGAATCTCTTCGTTTTTACAACATTGGAATCTCTCTGAACAACCGGTGGCAACGATCTGAAAACAGAACACAGAATTCTCGGGTATCTGGGCTAGTTAATGATTACTTGCTAGAACAAAACATCATTTTGCTTCCGGATATTTATTATGGAATTATGTACAATAAATATATTTACTAACCAGGGTTGAAAAGCCGCTTCGCGACTTTTCAACCCTGGCCCCGTCCGAGCCCATGAGATTCTTCGCATTGCATAATTCGCCGGAATTTCGATGAGAAATAATGAGAACTGCACTCTCTCTCCCGTTATATAGGCTGCCGCCACTTCCGGCGTATGCTAATTAATTTCTAGCAAAGAGGTCGCCGGATTTTTTAACAAAAACTTAATTTTAATGTCGAAAATAGCGTAAAATGCAAAATCTGATATGCGTGCAGTCATCTCGGGGCCATTACGCACCTAATGACGTATCATATGTAGCCTAAGACCGTTTCCTCTTTGAGTTATCCTCCGGACAGCCTGACGGAAGTTGCATGTAAAGTGGCACACACACACAGACACTATTTTTTTATATATAGTAGGATGAGCTTTTGCGTGAAAAACGCATTTAAAGGGACTGCGACAGTGTACGGTACCTATGCCAGGAATCGATATCTGCAAAGCGTGAGACTTACAGAAAACAATAGATGATTAAAGGGTGCTTTTGCATTATCGGGGGCGGGGGGAATCAACTTTTTCCTTGGGAGCCGGTTTTTCTAAATAAAATAGAGTAAGTGTTTCTAAGCCATTTTTATGATTCTTAAGTGTATATTGTTACAAAATTATCCTAAAAAAATCGTTTTTCGACCAACAATATTTTCGAAATTCGACCATAATATCAAAATTTCTAAGGCGTTTGGATAGGTTTTGACGTGGAATATCGGTAAGTTTTGTCTAAATGCATTAAAAAGCGCATTAGACATTTTTAACTTATTTGAAAAAATCATCCCCGACCCCCAATAATGCAAAAGAACCGATTACGGAATTTTTGAGGCGCAAGGAGATTCAGTTTTCAAACAAAACTATGATCTCGTTTTTTCCGAAAAAAAAATCAGATTTTTTGCAAAACTTTATTCAAAACACGAGCACAGTTCTACATGGCCATTTTACAAACAAAGGGGGGGGGGTTAGACAACTTGTTGGAGGGGGGGCACAGAAAAGAAGGGAGGCCAGTGCTACGGTAGCGGGGTGTCGACAGGTGTTCAGTGGACTGGCTGGGCGGTGGTTGGGGTTTCCGAATTCTTGAGACCTCCGCGGAAGGCCCACGTCTGCAGCGGGTCCTTCGCGTCGCACTCGCCCATCAGAACCACGAGCTCCTTGGCGCGCATCGTCAGACACTTGCCGGTTGGGACGTGGAGCAGTTGTTTTGACTGGAAAAGGGAATATTATGAACGGAGTTGTCTATATGAATGAGTAGTGCCGTTTAATAGTTTTTAGATAAATTTAGCAATCCATAGCAAAATTTCAAAAAAAAAAAACTACATCTTTGGGCGAAAAATTATCGAAGCAAATACCAGAAAGTTGCAATGGTCGTGGTTCAATCGCGTTGCGTGCCGCGCTATGTGCCGCGTTATGTGCCGCGTTGCGCGTCCCGTTTCCTATCGCGGCGCGGGTCGCCGTTCATGTCGCCTTGTATGTCGCGTTTCGTATCGCCATGCGTGCCCCGTTTCGTATCGCCATGCGTGCCCCGTTTCGTATCGCGTTTCGTATAGCGTTACGTGTTGCGTTGCGTGTCGCGTTGCGCGTGGCGTTGCGCGTGGCGTTGTGCGTCGCGTAAAGTGCCTCTGCGCTCCTCGTTGCGTTTCGTGTCATTGCCTATCGCGTTGCCTGCCGCTTTTGGCGCCGCGTACTGCGTTGCGCCTTTTTACGGTTAGCGCAGCCAATTTCGTGCGTGCCGTAGGTGCGAATAAAATACCTAGGAAATCCACAGCCAAAAACCATCCAATCTTAGCCCTGCCCCTGCCTTTAACCCACCACTTTGTCATACTTCCAGTCCTGGTTGCCGCGCTGGCCGTGGCAGGCAACCGACTCCACCTAAACTTTTACAATTAAACTTGCAAAGGTTTTATTCACCTCTTTCCCGGCATAGTCGAGGCACATGTCGTCGTGGCGGATCTCGCCCATCTTTGAGTACATCCAGAACTAAAAAAAGCGTATGGAAAAGCTATTCAAAGGCTGTACCTGATTTCCACCCTGACCATGGCAAGGGTAAAGCTTGACCCCGGAGCCACCGCCATCCAGGCACTGCTTCCCGTCGCCCAGGTTGCGGAACTGCAAAAGACGGGTACTGGGCTTTTAGCGGGGGGGCAAAATCTTATAGCACAAAATCGAGTAGGATAGCAATGACGAACTCATGATCAAAATCTTTGGCTTAGATTTCTCAAGCTTTTGCGCGGCTTTTGAGCATCAAAAATGTCAAAAAGTTGTTGCTCCCTTCCTAACCAATTCCCAGCTTTAAAAATTTTAATATCTAATCGCCGGATTTTCAGAGCATTCACCTCTCCAGAAGCCACGCTGTCTCCGGGGACGAACAGCTCGGGGTACACGTTGTCGAGGAACCTGGAAAACGTTTTTTTTTTACTCGACTCTTCGATAAGAAAATTGGAATCGACATCAGTTTAAATGCTGATAAACATCCTCGCAGCGGCTCAAGCTCAAAAGTCAGGTTTAAAAAGGTACCATTTGAAAGACTTGCAGCCGAGACGCTCGCGTAGGGCTTTGCGCTCGCTGACGTCGCCGTAGTCACCCTAACAAAGTCGAAAATTAAATAAAACGATAATTTTTACCAATTGGTAGTTGATACGTTGGTAGTGGTACTTCTTGTAGTCGTCCAGCCACACTTCAGCGAGACGTACAGTGTTTTTCTGGAAAAATAAACGGCGTTTGGGTTCGTTTCGTTGTCTCTCTCTCTCGCTGGCTCTCTCTCTCTATCTCTCACCTTCAACACATTCGCAGTCTTCCCCCAAGAATACGGGGACCGTTTCCGGAAAACGTGGCCGACGTGGGAGCAGGGGACAATTTCGAGTGTGCCGCCGCACATCCAGATCTAAAAAACGGAGTAGCCTACGAAACCGAAAAGCCAGGTGATACCTTAAAGGACAGCTCCAGGTTCTCGCCGCCCCAGATGTCAAACCCGGGGTCGTAGGTGCCGAGCCGCTCGAAGTAGGCGCGGTCGATGGAGAACAGGCCGCCGGCCATCGTTGGTGACCTGAAAATTATGGTTTTTAGGGGAAAGATTTTATTTCTGGTAGGCAAGATAGCAGAAAACTTTCAGAGCGGCTATCATTAATGAGTAAACATATCGCGTACCTAACCGGATCGATATCCCGCCGCCCCTGACGATCCCGAGCCGGAATTTGATGCCAGTTGAACGTCAGCGACCAATCGAACCCGCCGACATTCGTGTGGACAGCTCGGCTAAAAGGTACCATAAATGCGGTGTGGGGTAGTCGATCAATACCTCTGCTTGTACTCGAACGTCGTGTCGTCGATGACGTCGATGACCGGGCAGACGACGATCGTCGGGTTCTTGTGGATGCGGGCGAGAATTGGCTCCACCCAGCCTGAAAATCGAATCCATCTCTCTCTCACTCTCTCTCTCTCGCTCTCTCTCTCTCTCTCTCTCTTGAAACACTCTACCTTCCAAGCATTCACTATGCGAGTCGAGGAACGTCAACACCTGACCCTTGGCGACAGCGGCACCGGCGAGTCGAGCCCTGAAAACGGAACTTCTCAAACTTGTTGGACCTCAGCCACCTGATCAATCCCTCGCGCTGCGGGAGCCGGACGATGCGCACCTTTTTGTAGGCGCTCATGTAGATGTCGAGGGGTTCTGGAAAAATTGGTTCTGCAAGGCCCTCCCCCCGTTAATGCGAAAGTTCCCAAAATGAACACCTTGAGTGTGATTGCGCTCGCTGCAGTCGTCGACGAGGATGATCTCCTTCAGGTATCTGGCCGGGGTCCGTTCCAGGACCTGCAGACATGAATTTAAAGCCACCGTGCCATGAAGGAAGTACCGAATGCACAGTACGAATCAGTACACTCCAAGCCTCGTTGTGGAAGGTGATGATCACCGAGGTGTCGGGCAGATCGCGGGGGTACTTTTCCTGTTGGCACCTATGAACGTGAGGTTAGGGAGAGAGAGAGCGAGAGAAAGAGAGAGAGTGACAGAGGGAGAGAGAGAGAGAGAGAGAGAGAGAGAGAGAAAGGGAGAGAGAAAGGGAGAGAGATCAATAGAACTCCTACTCTTCATCCAGCGGTCTCGGCAGGGCTCTGTGGATCGAGATCATCTCGGAGGCGTACTCGTTGAAGGCGTTGTTCTGGAACCCGCGGTCGTACTTGGCGCGCTCGATGTCGGAGAGGGACTGGAATTAAAAAATATTTTTGCCGTGGTTTGTTAATAGTGAATAATGAATTTTTATAGCGTTTTCGGTAGTTTTTGGCTGCTGGAAATTTAATTTAAAAGCTGAAATTTAAATAAATTAATGTAAACATGAAAATCGTTTCAACTTGACGCTGTCCCGTTAATTTATACCTTCGGATCGATGTTTACTGCCGTGCCGAGCTCGCCCGGCTGGCCCGGGATGGCGCGTCGGTAGATGGGCAACGAGGCGTTGAGGACGTCGTGGGGGGTTTCTGGGAATTCCGGAAGTCGAGCGGCACGCGCCTCCCGTTCAAGCCGTTCGGCCACCAGAGGGTCCTCGTGCTAAAGCACAAATTTTGAAATGAAAAAATCGAGAAATGTTTCTCGAAAAATCTGCAAAAAAGCGAACTGGTTACCGTAGCAAAGTAGACCATCGAGAGGCACCACAACGCCGGCAACAACAGGAACATCTTCAGCGCGACGGCCTTCCGGCGACCAGATATCATCTGGAATTTGAATTTGAAGCGAAATTTGCATGGCAAAGTGGAATTCTGAAACCGGAAATCGGGATCACTCACCTTCCACCTGTTTGGGCAAAGTTGACACCGAAAAATGAGGGAACATTTTATCTTCTCGCCGTTCTAAGATTATGCAAATTAGGGCGGTGCAAATTTTTGACGCTGATTTTAAATTGTTTTTTTTTGTTAAAGTTAATGTGCACTCGCTCTCTCGCGCTCTCTCTCTCTCTCTCTCTCTCTCTCTCTCTCTCTGTCCTCTCTCTCTCGCCCTCTCTCCTTGACTTCTGACTTTTGTGGTTTTTTTGTATGATACAGTATGTGGCGTAAAATACGGTTTATTTATTTTATTTATTCAATACAAAAAAGCGGAATAAAAATGGCAATGGAAGCAATTGCAGAGGGAACCGATCATAAGCTTCTTGTGAGCAGCAACGTCCAGATGAAGTTGAGGTCGGCGCGGCCGCTGCAATGCGTAAATCAACATAGTTTTGAACAGCGAAAGAGTCGGAGCGAGAAATAAAGAGAGCGAGAAAGAGTGACAGAGAGAGAGAGACAGAGATAGGGTGAGAGTGAGAGTGAGAGAGAGCAAGATTCTCAAAACCAACCTTTAATAAAATTTAATCGAAGGCGAGAACATCAGACTCTCAACCTTTCTTGCCCATGATGTAGCCGACTGAAAACACGGAATTTTGTGAATTGAGAAGATATGGAAAGGCATTAATGAATAAGACTGGCTATTAGAAAGCCAACCAATCCCAGCGATAATCGAGAAGATGACCGCCGGCACGAACATGACGCTAGTGATGACGACGATCAGAAGGAGGTAGCCGCTGTAGCCGGGCTCCTCGCCGTCGCGACCCGGATGATGGCCACTCCTGGAATAGAGGAGGGTGTTTCTCGCATCACAGATATTTGGTATTGACAACGCTAATGAAGAGAGAGAGAGAGAGAGAGAGAGAGAGAGCGTACCATCCCTTGCAGCACCCGTCGATGCCCCAGCTGTAGTCTTCGCGCTTCGGACGGCGAGACGGCCGGGCCGGCACCATCGCGGATTCGGAAAGGAGAATATTCATGTTCTTGAAGCTCATCAAAAAACCGGAAGTGGTGTGATTTGGATTATCAAAAAAAATGCAAATTTGCAGTTTTTAACAAGAATCTTTACCCATCGCCCTTTTGCCGGATTAAATTTGCGATGCGTCTTTCTCTTCCCCCTCTATCTCTCTCCCTCCCTCTCTCTCTCTCTCTCTCTCTCTCTCTCTCTCTCTCTATCTATCTCTCTCTCTCTATCTCTCGCCTTCGCATGCTCTCTCGCTACCTCTCACGCTCTCTCCCACGCTCTCTCCTTCGCATGCTCTCTCTCGCTATCTCTCACGCTCTCTCCCACTCTCTCCCTTCTGAAACCATTTAAAATCAAAATGAAGCAATTTGAAGTTTTTGTGAGGTTTTTTAGAGCGTAGTGTTTAGGTCGTATATCGTATATCGTAGATCGCATGAGGCATTGGCAACTTTCCAACCATTTACCCGTGTTTTGCTATTACCCGGCTTTTTGGGTTGAGTACCAGCGGTCGGGCGAGCATCGGCTGCAAAATCGGATCCAATTTGTATTTGCTTGTGTGTGTCGGTTGGCTGTTTGTCTGTCCATATCTCTCACCCTCACTCTCTCTCTCTCTCTCTCTCTCTCTCTCTTTCTCTCTACATATCTTGCTTATTTCAACTCCCCAAAACGGTCGGCCCCGATTTTCCGCGGCGCCACGTTTGAACAGGCGCATATGCGGGACGTTCAAGCGCGGCTTTTGCCAGGCCTGTCCCCCCGTCCCGAATCGCATCCGAATCGCCCTCCACTGGCGGCACATCGAAATCGATTCCCCAATTCCCATATTTCCAGTCGACAGCCGTTTTTGCGCCCTTTCCACTCCTTCTTTCCGGTCTGGCCGATCCTGGGGGTCGGATATCGACTTATTTTTTGATGGCTGAATGGAATAACGATGCATGCGTCGATGGATGCCTGTCGGCATTTCCTGAAAATTCATAGAAAATTTCTCAATTTTTGTTCGGGGTCCTAGAACGATATAAACCCTTTTTATGGGATTTTACGCAGCTATAATCAATCGTTGAAAATTTTTTAGCCTCGCAAAACCTTGGTTTTTCATAAAATTCCTAGATTTTTAGGTTTTCCCAAATTTTTATTTTTTGCAACCTGGAAGCATCAAAATTTGCCTATTTTGTGCTATTTCTTCCTTCCTTTCTTTTGCCAAATTCCGCCCATTTGATATTCATGAATTTATGGTCAGGCGGTCTGGCCCGGCGGGGTCATTTTGGACCCAAAATTAGACGCATCCCAATTTCGGGGCCCGGGCAACGTTTCATTCCTCCCGACGTCTGTTGTGTCTCATCAATTCGTGTTTTATGATAAAACACGATACGTAAAATAGTGTGTTTTAGATGTCTACCGAGGACTTGGCGATTCCGGGATCTGCCCGATACAAGCCAAAAGTTGGCCAGGGTGTTCCGGGGAATTATTTGACGGTAAGAATTGGAAGTGTATTATGCCTGAAAAATCACCTAAGGCTTTTGATTTTAATTTTTTTATTTCATATAAATATATATATAACGAATATCAATTCAATATTTTTGGTGTGCTGTTTGTGATATTTTTATGAGAGATAAAAAATCTCGGGGCAACTGTGGAAGCGGGTTTTCGAACAGAAATAGTACGTTCAAAAAAGCAAGAGTTCGTCCCGTTTTTCGATATTTTTAGAAAGATTGCTCAAATATTTTAGCTTTTAACGGTCTTTAACTTTTTTCAGCCTCCCGGAGACTCAGATGGTGAGCGCGGAAAGATTCTTACCCACCAGCACTCTTTCGATACCGTCTCGATCGCCACGTCTTCGCCAGATGAGCTGTTGCACGAGCAGGTGAGCTTTGAACCTGAGGTTTTGGAGGTTTTAATTTTAAAAAAAAGTAAATTCCGATGTTTTCCTAGGGACGAAATGATTTTTCAAAAGTGACTCCACAAGGTCCACTCCCCAGGGATAAGCGTAGTGGGATGGGTTGACACGTTCCGTATCGCTTTTTCGAGTTGTCAAAGAGAAAGGCCAGCGGCTTGCGGAAATTCGGAACTTTCGGGCGCTGAATTGAGATGCTTAATTTTAAAGTAAAATCCAAATCTTTTGCTTCTAATTTATGAATTCTAAATGCAAGACATAAAATAACGGACATTTTATGCTCAATATAAAAATCGAGAATATGAAAAGTACGCTAAAATTCCAGTTAAATGGAGAACCTTCAATTAGTTTGAGACTATATTTTTCGAAAATTATCTTTTGGAAAAATCAAATTTCGATAAACACTTTTCAAAAAATCATACTTTCAAAAAATGTGCGATGCAATAGGAAATAACCTAAAGGTCAGAAAATAGCCATTCGAACTTTGCGAAAACCAGCTTTTCGAAAAGTGTGTTTCGAAAATAGCAGTAATTACAACCTTCACTCGATGATTGTGAAAGAGAAAAAGAAAGAAAAACCGCCCTTTTCTTTAATTGCGTTTCCTTTAATTCCCATCAGCTGATCTCGGTCAATTTCCCCCTGCCAGTCTGGAAACCCTTCACCAGCCAGTCGGCAAACAAAATAGCATCGTGGCGTCGTCGCGGGGCGTGCCCAACATAATATCTCAAAATTCGCCAATTTCCACTTTCCCGAGAAGCGCCGTTCATTTTTTGGGTCTTTCGTGGGTCTTTTAGGGCCCGCCGCGCCCGCCGCGACGATGTATCGGATGACAAAAAAGGACAAATCGGCTGCCAAAGCCCCGGGCCCAGGGGCTATGCCACATTACCCAAATTGCGACGACGTCCCGGGCCCTGTTTTTGGGTGTTTCTGGGCCTCCAGACGGCCGTGTCTCTGCGGGTTATTGAGTTTATGGGGTGATTAAAGGGGCTGGGAAGTCGTAACATTCTTTTGCCGTCTTGGAAATCCGTCCGAAATCCGAATTCGAACTTTTTTGCGGTGTTGACCCGTTGGTTTGGTTTTTTCGACGTTGGTTGGCGCCTGCTTGATGTTTTTACGTTCTAGAAAACAATAAACAGTATGCTAAAATTCTCACAATTCGAAAAATTTGGATTTTTTCGTGTTATTCATACGTTTTCCGCCAAAAGACGGGGTGCCCCAAAATTTCTATAATTTTTACATAGTTTTCCGCATAAAAACAATGTAGATGTTAATATATATTATTATATTATATTTTATACTGTATCCGTTACTTTTGTTAAAAGGTTGCCCCCGCTAATCCCCCACCTGCCAAGGCACCAGAACCAACTATAAAATTCGACCTATCAGCTTTAAAATTTCCATCTATAATATTTCGGCTTTAAAAAACGCTACGGCGCAACTTTTAAAGCTTCACTTTCGGCTTCTCCCTACCCCATCCCTCGGCTAAACCTCATAAAATCGAATATTCTAGGATGGTTCTTGAGGGGGCTGAGGGAACGGGGGAGAAGTCCCCAGCTGGAGCAGCACTTTTTCGGCACTTCAGAATATCTTACTTTGCAACGAGTCCTCAATTTTCGCATTTTCCTGACGAATTTTTGGTATTCCAGGCGCGGAAGCTCTTCAGAATCTGCGACGACGATGGCAAGGGATTTGTCGTGAAGATGGATATGCAAAAGCTGGCTGACTATTTGACAGGTTGAATTCGTCAAAATTCTGGGGGGAATTTTGTACTTTGTAGCCTACGAATTGGATCAGCTGGAGTCGAAACTGGAGCGGTCAGATGAAAAATATTTTTCGGAGTCTCAATTTGTAAGAACTGTTGGTAGGTGTCATTTGTAAACTTTCGGAACTTCAGTTTAGAACCAATTTTACTGCAAAAGACGATGGAGAGCGATATCGAGAGCTCGAACGGGAAGGTGGGCCTTAATTTGTATAACGATTTCTGGAGCTTTCGCATTAGCGGAGGGGACAAACTATTTTGTATGCTCCGATCTTTTGCATACGAATACTATCAGTAAGCATAAAACCTTTAAATTGTTATAAAAAAGTATCAACCTAACAAGTTTTAAACCGAAATAACGATATTTTGTTATTTTTAGATGGATTATTTTGGTTTTTCCGTTTGAAATAAGTTAAATTTACTAAAACCACTATTAAAGCACTTGTTTCTGGTATTTTCAGACCTATGCTTTACCATAGCTTTAAGATCGACCTCCCAGCCACCTTATTCGAGACAGGAGAACATTCGCTAGCCGACGAGCTAGCGATCCTGGATATCGGGAAGAGCGATGAAGCGGCTGAGGCTCAGCGTGAAATCCAGAGATCCCAAATCGAGCGGCCAACAGAATATGGTGGTCATCCACTGGTTGAGGAAGATGAGCGGTAAGTAACGCTGTACTACGCCAATCTCCGTTATCAAGCCTATTTCTCCATTCCAGAGACATCACCTCAGCTCGTGTTCAACAGTACGTCGACGCCTACTCCCCAAGGCCAATACAGGTACCGTCTCAAATAACGACTGGAACTCGGCTGAAGGCGCATTAATGAAAACATTAATCATGGAGATTTTACAACCTTAAAAGCACAGGCCAGGCATAACATTGGTTTTTTGACATTCTGAAAATATTAATTTGCCGTCCGGCGATATACAGCGCGCGCACCGAATTTTCCATCGCATAAACGATTAAGGACCCGAAATGATGTAAAAAACATGAAAAAATTTTTGTCTAAATTATTAAATTTAACTTTGAAAGTGGCGCATCAGTAAAACGAGTGGGGAAAGGGCGCGATTTTCGGCGGCGTAGTGAGCCAGGTCGTGCGCGTTTTGGCGAGGCAGAGGGAGGGCAGGGGTAGCCCGAAGTTCAGTCTGTAAACGGCTGATAACAATCGAATCGTGTACTCTAGTATTAATGGGATGGATAAAGGAATAAAAGAGAGGCATGCGCGTCACCTGTCGCATTCGCGGCAAAATGCGTAGGAGATCCGTAGCGCAAAACCCCTAGGCGTGAATTGTAGATGCCTTTAAAAACTGCTAAATTGTGTCAGAAGGCTTCTCAAAATTTCGAAAACTTCACAACACCCGCTAAATCAGCTGACCAACCCGGGATTCCCTATACCCCAGCCTCCTCTGCGATTTCTGAGCCGCTCCTTAAAGTGAATGGACTGACCGGGACGTAGACAGAGATGCACTGAAGCTATTCTTAAGAGGCCGAGGTCGCCCCAACACCCCCAAGGCATCTCATTTCCCGAGTGAAGTGGCCCGTTTTCCGGCGCCTCCGCTGGGGGGCCGGTGGATCGCATGGGCCATTCCCCCCTCCGCGCCGCTCCAGATGACACCCCCCAATACCCTTAAAAAGCGCCCATTTATTCGTCAAACAAGCCCCCGATTTTATGGCCCCAATCTCATGCTCATCGCATGGGGAGCCGCAGCCATTTTTCGAGTCGTTTTTGCTCGAAGAACCTGAAAAATAATCTACCGTAAGGAAAATAGGGAATTCTCTCTCTCTCTTTTTCTGATTATCTCTCGTCACGCTCTCTTTATCTCTCTCTCTCTCTCTCTCTCTCTCTCTCTCTCTCTCTCTCTCTCTCTTGCTCTAGCTCTCTTTCTCTTTGGCATAAAAAATGTAGCAATTTCTCACGGTTCTTGACAAAGTGCCAGAGTTGAAGCAGTTCGAGCTATTTCTCATTTTCCCTTTCGTGCGGCTTTTGTGTGTTTTTTGATATTTGCCCATTAAATTTACATGATTTCTATCTTGCTTAAATTAGCAAACCCTGCCTCATGCTCGAAGACTCCCCCTCCACCTCGATCGAGGAGGAGCTCCAGGTGCACAGCTCCGAGAACTGGTACTTTAAGGGGAACATCCTGGTGAGTAGATGCTAAAAATCCGCCTGAAAAATGCAACCCATGGAAACAACAATATTAGTCAAAATGTTAAAGATCCTGATTAAATTCAAATTCAATTTTCAGAACAAGAAATTCCGGCCCATCATCCCGGACGAGGTTGACGATTTTCACGCAGATGGTGGTGGGCGATCGTTGGCGGATGTGAGTTGAATCTAAGATTTTATAGTGCAAAAATAGTGGAAAACGAAAAAAAGAATTACACAATTTTGAATACATTGTGCAACTCAGAAAATCAAAATTAAATCCAATAAAATAGAAAACAGTATTTTTTTAGCTATAAAACGATAGTTCCGTTTTTTAGGAACTCAGCCAGGTCGGCATCCAGAGCAGCAGCGGCAATAGGATTCCGCCGGAATTGGTATTGCATTGTAGCGTAACGCAACCTGATTTTAGGACATGCGCGCTCCAGATCGGATCTTCAAAGTCGTATTCGTTGGAGATTCAGCCGTCGGCAAGACCTGCTTTTTGCATAGGTAATTTTTTTCACCCGGTACGTATCCCTCTAATTGTTAAAAAGCCTCTTACAAGCATTTTTATTAAAATACTCCTTCAGATTTTGTCACAACCGCTTCAAGCCCCTATTCAATGCGACGATTGGGGTCGATTTCACAGTCAAATCGATTCAACTACGAGACCGTCTTATTGCCGTTCAACTTTGGGACACGGCCGGTCAGGAGAGGTATACTTTTAAAGGGATCGTAACGGGAGAAAAACGATGTTGGCTTAATTAACTCCTGTCACCTTACATACTATGTCTTCATACCTCCCCTAAAACATGCAGCTTGATCTTCAGATCGAATTTTTATTCAGGTTCCGTTCAATCACCAAACAGTACTTCCGGAAGGCGGATGGTGTCGTATTAATGTATGATGTGACATCAGAACAGTCTTTCCTTCATGTTAGGTATATTTAACGAGTTACTATGCACTTATTTTTTAGGAATTGGATAGCGTCAGTGAAGGCGGGAGTCGATGAAAACGTGGTGATGTGCCTCGTTGGGAATAAAGTAATTGAGAGAGAGAGAGAGAAAGAGAGAGAGAGAGAGAGAGAGAGGGAGAGCGAGAGCGAGAGTGAGAGTGAGAGTGAGAGAAAGGAGAGAGAAAGATAGAACCTAGCCACTTTTCAGGTAGACCTCTTCGCTTCCGAAAACCAAAGAGAACTGACCCGAAAGGCCGGGCGTCAAATAGCTGACGAATTCGGGATGCTGTACTACGAAACTTCAGCCTATACCGGATTCGGCATTACGGAATGTATGACAGCGATGGCTGAGTAAGTCTTAATCGATTGCGCCCTTAAAAGTTAACCGATTACGCAATGTAAACTTTACAAACTGACGGAATACTTAACGAAAATAGAAATTCATACGAAAAGAAAAAATTGTTCGCCCGGTCTCTCTAACCGAACCCATTATGCCATCAAATTTCCAGTTCTTGCGTTCAATGGCCCTTTAGACGCCTCCAGAAACGAGAGCAAGACCACCTAGAAGAAGCCCTTCGACTCGAGATGGAAGTCACGAAGAAGAAGAGCTGGTGTTGTGTATAATTTAAGTTATCTTTCTCGCTCTCTTTCTATCTCTCTCGCTCTCTCTCTCTCTCTCTCTCTTTCTCTCTTTCTTTTTCTCTCTCTCTCTTTCGCTCTCTCTCTCTCGCTCTCCAATTATTTATTCCCATTCTACGATCTACTAGTCTTCCGCTAGTCATAATCCTTCGAAAAGTCTAGCCAGGACCATGATACGGTATCGGGGTTGTGTATTTTTGGTTGTATTCTGCCGCCAGTGCCAAGAATGAATTTTGTTTTTGCTGATAATAATAAATATTTGAGTTTACTATTAAACGCGAAGTATTTAAAAAAAAATATGCATCACGCGAAACGCTTGTGTAAAACCGATTTTAAGAATAATAAATTTTCTTAGTAAATTAAAAGATGATTGTATATAAATTGGATGACTAATTTTAGGCCCTAAAACTGTATAATGACTTGCAATAAACAGTATACCATCTTATGAACTCCAGAGTCTTGTTTTTGCTTGCCTATATAGGGCCCGACCGCCTCCCATTCATCTTGCCAAGTTGATAAGAATATTCAGTGACCAGGTACAGACCACAATGTATCGCGCGCCCAAATATGATTTTGCCTGTTCCATTGATCATGTCTTAAATTAATTTCGTTTTCATCTATTCCAATTTTACCGTCTAAAAGAAGCTGAGCTGCGTCAGTATTTCCAGTTTTTACGAGACGTTTAATACTGTTCTAGTTACCTTTTGATTTTCTGGTTTTTCCTGATTCGGGGTAGGTCTGGAAACCGCTAGAAATCCCTTTTTTACCCAAGGATTAAAATAACGTTATTTGCATGGCCAACATTAATGAAACCACGCCATAGCTGCCAGGTAAATAACCGGCTACTAAGTGAATAAAAAAATAGCATGTGATACGGTGTCCTTTGGAGTCTGGAAGTTTGATGGAAGATTGGCCGGAGCCAGTGATAAGAAGATTTTACTAGAGCTGGTTAGTCTGAACTTGGAATTATGATTTTAGACAAAGAGAATGAGAGAGAGAGCGAAAGAGAGAGAGAGAGAGAGAGAGAGAGAGAGAGAGAGAGAGAAATAGCGGCCCGAACTTCACCGGAATTCCGATCATCCACAGTTCCGTGCTGTACCCCTGTAGCCAGACCGTTCCCGTGCGTCTGGGAAAATTAGGAATCAGAAAATTCAGATAAGACGAGGTACGGGAAGCGGCTTTTTGTGAGAATATAAAGTCGGCCGAAGGGTCCCGTCGGGGTCAGGGCTCATAGTTTGACTTATAAGTTTATGATTTATACCCGATTTCCGGTCACATTTGCATCATCTAGGCCTCGATCCTTCAAATAAGAAAAGTTTGTTGTATTTTCAATGCGTCCTGTCATAATTTTGCTTTTTGCATCTTAGTATTTTTGATCGGTAATGTTAAAAGTATTTGAAATATCATATTTTGAAAAGGGCTTCGTATATTTTCGCAGCTCTATAAACTTTCTCTACAATCCCGAAAAAAAAGGAAATTGTTTCGAGAAATCGTAATTCGAAGGTCGTGTCTGGAAATAGCGTATGCTTGTAAAAAGTAGCTTTCTGATTTCTGGAAGCACGAAAACGCAAAAAATTGTAGCTCAGAGAACGGGCAAGTCGCATTTTCGAAATGCCTCCTTCGGCTAGACCCTCTCCCACTGTCTTATCACTTCGTCATTATTTTCGGAAATCGGGTGGTTATAAGAGGGCGAGTTCCTCGAGCCGTCGGCATTAAAATGTTTATATTTCTTAGACATTTTTTTACCCTAAGACCTCGTGTATAGTTCCGGTACAATTTGGTTACATACCAAAACCAATGACACCAAATAATGTGCGTAGGGACAACTTGCCGCGAAAGCTGTGTAAGGTCAAGGAGATGGTTCTCAAGATCTCCACCATCAATTTCGTTCATTAAACTACTTAAAACGTTGGAAATAATCGAAATGGGACCAATAATTCAAACCAAATCGCAAAAAGCCCACCCGCGAACCAAGTTATTTGCAAAAATGCGAAAAACGAAACACACCAATTTACGGTCATACGGAATGACGGACGGTTCGTATTTTTACCCGGAACTATACACGAGGTTTTAGGGCAGTTCCACGTCCTAAACTATAAAATGCGAATAGATTCGGGCATGTCGAAAATTTAAAGTTATTTCGAAAACGTTGATTTTGTCGATTTTTTCGGAAAGGTTTGTCTAGACGCTTTTCTTCTGGTATTTTTAACTTTAAACTACAATTTATTGCAACTAATTTAATATTGTGTCTTTTTATATGTAAAATAAACTCTAATGATTTTTCCAGTTTAACATGCGGATACAACTTCTACTCTTACTCTCTTCATTCTGCTTTGCCGATTCCCTCAAAATTCTAATGTTCAACCCGGGCTTCGGCCACAGTCATATGCGATTTATGGGCGGGATTGCGGATATTTTAATAGAAGCCGGGCATGAGATTGTAAGCACTTAAGTTTTTCACAACACTGATTAAAAAACGAAACTTCATTAACAAAAATGTCGATTCACGTTTTAGACCGAAATCCGTTCTACACTCGACACAACCGCCAGATGGCAGGGTATTTCAAAGAGCCAGGAAATTCTGCTCTATCCAGTGCATCCGGAGGTTGAGGAGATGATGGTAAGTAATAACGGCTTTTGAATTAAATTGTCGATGTGTAATTCAACAATCTGGATGCGTTAATACAGAATCATATATTTAATTTAATTTAAATAGACGATTATGATGGTCTCCCTTTATAATGGCGAAACAAACACTAAATTTAGGCCGATATGCACTCGGGTCGCGAGGGCGGCTTCATGTCCCAAATCTGGACCCAAGTCATGTCTCCGGCTAAGATGTCGAAGGTTGGTATCATCAGTATTAACTGATTTAAATTCTACAGCACCTAAAAATATAAATTTTAACTAATAAAAATAAATTTTCACGACGTGCAATTCGAATCAAACTTTTAGATGGCCGTCAACATGACCAAGGCTTTTGCCAAGGCCTGCGAGCACGTAGTTTTCGAGACCGATCTGCTCCAGACATTAAAAGGGCGCCACTTTGACCTCGGCATCAGCGAGAGCTTCGACGACTGCGGGCATGGTTTGACTGCCATCGTCGAGTTGATGAGCATGAATTTTTCAGGAATTTTCGAGGTTCTCGGCATCAAAACCGTGATCACCACCTCGAGCTCGAACCTGATGGAGCATCAGGCGATCCTTATTGGAGTTCCGCGAGTTCCCAGCTACGTTCCAGGTACAGAACTTGCGTTTTAAAGGGCTGTCGAAGTCAAAAAGGGAAAAATTTCGCCAATTTTTCAGGCGTAGCTTAATTTAAAGGGCCGCTGAACTCAACTACAAGGCCTATGAGAAGCTGAAACCTGACTCGGCAGCACAGCTCATCTCCAATTTTCTAGGAGCCCTGGCCGATACCTCTGAAAAAATGACAATCACCCAACGCGCCTTCAACGCTATTGGATCGTATTTTGGCGCGAAAATGTTCCTAACGTTGTTGGACGGGCAGACGGAAGTCTTCAGGAAGCACATGGGACCGGATTTCACGGATCTGAGGGTAAAGCTTGCTTTTTATGTTTTAACCTGCACTTGCTTCTTAAAGCGCACGGTCAGGGAGGGGCCGTATACTCTGTCCAACGTATACACCCTATGGACGAAGGGACGGCGCGCACGGCCTGCCCGTGGAGTGGGAGGCAATTCCCCTCCTTTCCGGCGTGAGGCGCCCCACGGCCCCTCGCCAGGTTGCACCCGTGGCTAACTGGTATGCGATCGCGCCTCACGATCGGGAGGCCCGGGTTCGACCCCCGGCCGCGGCAAAAGTCTTTGCTTTCTTGCCCAAAAACCTCTAATGGTTTTCGGCGAGATGGTTTTTCGGCGAGATGGTTTTCGGCGAACTGGTCCGATACCCCCAAAAACGTCCCTGAACGTGCCCTTTAAGTGCCGACTAAAAAATCTCGTAAAATGCGTTGATTTATTTTAGGAGCTTATCTCCCGCTCCGCCGTCGTCTTCACCAACACGCAGCCCTACATCGACTTCCCGAAGCCGACCATCTACAAGGTCATCGACATTGGCGGCATTCACATCAAGGACACGTCGAATCAGAGGCTGGATGAGGTATTGGGAGACTGGTGCTGTAGTGGAACTGAACGGCTCGGAATCGGCGCGAGGAGTGAACTTAAGCGCCGGAAGTCTTGGTGGTCGGCTAAGATTGCTGAAGTCATGTCTGAGCTTTGCTGAACTGCTCGAAGTCGCTTGGCCAAACTTTCTAAACTGCTCCAATCGAGTCGGCAGCTTTGCCAAACAGCTAAAAGTCGGCTCCAAATCGCTAGAGTGTTGATTTGTCTTGACCTAGACGATGCGTTTTTCCTTGAAACCTTGCTACAGCAAGGTTTCAAGGAAAAACGCATTTCCTAAATTTTAGCCAGTTTTATGCTCCCTTTTCAGGAATGGAACAAGATCCTCAACAAGAAAAAGAAAACCGTATTGATCTCCTTCGGCTCGGTGGCCAAGTCGTTCGCCATGCCCGTCAGCTACAAGAAGTCAATCATCGAGGTGGTTAAGGGCATGCCAGGTTCGAAATTAATCTCTTTACATGATGTTTTCAACTCTGTAATAGATTAAAAGTAAAGCTAAGTTGACTTCCGTTTTTCAGATGTCCAATTCATCTGGAAGTACGAGAAGGACGACCTGAACACCTGGGAGCTGCCGGAAAATCTGTACTTGAGCAAGTGGACCCCGCAGAATGCCTTGCTAGGTATAGATAACTTACCAGAAATTATAAAGAGCAAAAAATAACTGGATTTTCAATTTAACAAGTTATTTTTAAGTGCAAGCCTCCTAAAAAATTAAAAAAGACAATTTTTAGCTGATCCCCGCCTGAGCCTCTTCGTGACGCACGGAGGGTTGGCGAGTACGATGGAGATTGCTTACAGGTTTGTTCTCTCTTTGCCTCTCTCTCGCTCTGTCTCTCTCTTTCTCTCTCTCTCGCTGGCTTTGTCTCTCACTCTAGTTCTTGAAAAATCCTGATTTTTCTTATTCCAGTGGAACCCCAGCCCTCGTCGTTCCCCTCTTCGCCGACCAATCTCGGAACGCCCAAGTCCTCATGCGACAGGGCGTTGCTGAAAAGATCCTGAAATTCGACTTGGAAAATACCCAAAAGCTGTCCGAAGTCATCAAAGGAATGCTGGCTGATGCTAGGTAATTCCCTAGATTTTTCCAATTAGACCAATTCCAAATTTTAGCTACAAGCAAAAAGCGCAACCCCTCTCGGCCATGTTGAAAAACACCCCATTCCGGCCCAAGGACTTGCTGCTGAAGAATTTGGAGTTTGTGGCAAAGTAAGGAATCTTCAGTTGTATTTTTGAGTCTGAGCCCTCGATGGTGCCAAAAAAGGCAAAAACTAGTAACGTTTTTTTTGTGGCAAACTCGGAATCTATGCCTTTTTATTACGTTTTTTTGTCAGTTTGAGTTTGGTCTTTTAGCCTGGAATTTGGTTGTAAGTGGTAGATTTTTACGGTTTAGAAAAAGCCTTAGAAAAAAGCAGGCTAGCAAAGTTCATTGTGGAAATGTTATCATTAGCAAAACAACGAAAAAGGATTTATTGAATTTTTCAGGTTCGGCTCCCTGCCTCAACTCGACCCATATGGCCGTCAGCTCTCTTTTATCCAATACTACCTGCTTGACGTCTTTGCTGCTTTCGTTCTCGCCGCCATCTCTGTACTTGTCATCGCCTTTTTCGTGCTCCGCTTCCTTTTCCGACTCTGCTTCCAAAAGTCGAAGCCTAAGAGGGACTAAATTACAACCCCTTCAACGCGTTTTTTTGATGCTTTACTGCCCCTTAAGTGAATATGGGTCATGAATCTTTTAAATTATACCTTGAAAAATGTGCCTTTTTCGCGATTTTTGTGATTTTTATACGAAAAAATAAGCTCACGGGAAACGCTCACGGCATGAAAATCCGGAAAGTATGCAGTTACTATACATTGGCTAATACACCGAATAGAAACACCAAAATGCCCTCAACTGTCACTCTAGTTCAAATGCGATTAGCCAATTTGAGGCGAGCCAAGGCCGTTGGGTGATCGGTGTGACACGGAAATACGGATGGGAAATGCAACAATAAAGCATCCTCCAAAAGTCGCTGAACTTCGTTCCTTCAAATTTCTTAAGTTTATCAGAGATACCTTATTAATAGTATCTTGACAAGGGAATGTTTTCCGGCGGACATCGGACCCAGATATGTGAGTATGCTCATCTTGTAGAGCTCGCCGAGACGAGTAGATTGATGTAACTTTTAGCTGCTGATACCTTATTTTAACAAAGTTACAGCGATTAAAAGATTTTGCAATTGGGTTCATAAGCCCCTGCCACGGCCGCAACGGCATCGGTTGGTCGCTCAGTCGGTAGCGCATTGGTCTCTGAATCTTGGGGTGGTGGGTTCGGATCCTGTCACAATTTTATCTTTTGCTTTTTGGCCCTGTACCCTCACAGCGACCTCCCATAACTGTAACATATTTGATTTTTATCTAATTGATTTTAAGCCGCCGACATGATAGGCATTATACTTGAAGAGTGCGTCAGATCGTCTTTTGAGCCTACACATCTGACCACTTTCTTGACGCCGACCGGAGCCAGACTACGGTCAGACACGAGTTCCTTGTTGATCCCACATTGGTCGAAGTTCAGCACAAGTTTGAGAGAAATATTCGAGATTTCTGTGCGGACAAGTTGCTGAAAGTCTTTTCCAGCCTTCTGGATCGTATCAGCGGATCTCATCGATATTTTCGTCGTGAAGGTCGTTATTCTCCTCGACCTTATCCCAGCAAAACGTTTGAAGTTCGTGACCCAACTCGGAGAAGCCTTGAAGCCATCGATTTTGTACGTCGAAGTATTGAGCTCCAGTGCCAAGATTCGGATGTTTAGATCGTGAATGATCCTACCCTGTTCCATCTGATCGAAGACAACGTTCTTCAACTCATCGGAGAGCCGACGGAGCAGGCTTACCCTGTCCGCGTGAATTTCGGCCGTGCGCTCAAAATCGAGCAAACGTGTCCAGTGGCGCGGTGTCTTCAGCCAGCGAAAGCGGTTGGCGACCGTATTCCTAGAGTAGTTTCCTCGGTTTTTGTATTCGATAGCGGACTCGACTTGCTCTCGTGTCACAATGCTGTCCCCGAATAAAATCTCGTCTGGGCCTAACAAGGGTGGCGTGATATGAAAATCATCGATAGATACATCCTCTTCATAATCTTCGTCCATGGCGAATTGTCGCTCTTCATCAATATCAATGTCGCCGTCTTGAATGTCTCCGAAAAGTGTCAAGAGTCGGCCATACAGCTTTTGTTCTTCTCGGCTCATTTATCGGCGTTGGCCGTGAAACGGTATAGCGAGCGAGAGTTCCGACAAAACAAATGAAACATCGAGCAACAAACTGGCCATATCACACAAAAAAAAAGAGAACGGCAACTATCCCTTTTGTCGGCTCTATTTACGAGGGAATAGTGGGCTAGATGGAGGGTGAGTCGGAGGCCCCCAACTAGTGCAGAATCGTTTTCATTTAACCGTAGAATTTCATGAAAAATGTTGATTGTGATGCATAAAGTTTTAGCGAAATAGTAAAAAAAATAAAAATCAAATATGTTACAGTTATGGGAGGTCGCTGTGAGGGTACAGGGCCAAAAAGCAAAAGATAAAATTGTGACGGGATCCGAACCCACCACCCCCAGATTCAGAGACCAATGCGCTACCGACTGAGCGACCAACCGATGCCGTTGCGGCCGTGGCAGGGGCTTATGAACCAATTGCAAAATCTTTTAATCGCTGTAACTTTGTTAAAATAAGGTATCAGCAGCTAAAAGTTACATCAATCTACTCGTCTCGGCGAGCTCTACAAGATGAGCATACTCACATATCTGGGTCCGATGTCCGCCGGAAAACATTCCCTTGTGAGGGTAAGACTCCAGATAACCCCCCCAGCCGGCACCCAACTTTTGGTATCTCGGCTCCCTGTTCATCTACAGGTGTGTAAAGTATACCAAAATGTTTGTCTTGCTCTGGCGAGTATTTTGGTATACTTTACACACCTGTAGATGAACAGGGAGGGAGCCGAGATACGGTAGGTGGGGGTCGACTGGGGGGGGTTATCTGGAGTTTAGCCATCTTGAGGGCCTCTCCCTCACCCTTTCTCCCTCTCTTTCTCTCTCTCTCTCCTCTCTCTCTCTCTCTCTCTCTCTCTCTCTCTCTCTCTCTCTCTCGTTCTCTCACTCCCCCTCCACGTTTTTCCACGACCGCGCAAAACCCAATTCTTTTACGTTCCAGCTTTTAATCCAGTACGTCTTCGATTTTTCGAGCCTGTTCCAAGATAGTTCGTAGTATCGTGGCGTACCCTTAGGCCGAATAGCCACGCTGTGCCTCCACACAAAGCACAATACAGTCCAGGTCAAGACCGGCAGAGTAAATAGAGACGCCAGACAACCGAACTCCCCCCGGAAACATTTTACCTCTTCCTGGGCCGGCCAAAACATTCTGCGGCTTCTCTATTCAAGAATTGCTTTATTATTTTATATTAGTTTGGGTGGTAAAATAACCTACACGGCTGTTGATAGCTTTTTTGATTAGATTGTATTTGCAACTACCACTATTTTGTCAACAGCTAATTTTTTTTCGGGATTATGACTAAAGCGTAGCCTACGGATGTTTTCCCCGAATTCCCGACATTTTTTTAAATTGTTGCCTCTGCCATTCGTTCATTTAGAGCAATTTTTCTATTTCCAATTTTCGATATTTCTATTTTTAGGGCCAGGATGAAGCTGTTAATATTATTGTTAGCAGTACTACAATGCACAGCTTCTCTAAAAATCCTCCTTTATAACCCGGGATTCGGTCATAGCCATATGCGATTTATGGGCAGAATCTCGACTGTGTTAACGGAAGCTGGCCATGCTTTGGTGGGTGTATTTAGAGACAGCGAGGGAGAGAGACAGATAGAGAGAGAGAAAGAGATAGAGAAAGAGAGAGAGAGAGAGAGAGAGAGAGTGAGAGAGGGTGAGGGAGAGTGAGAGAGCGAGAGATTCAGACCGAAGTACGCCCCGCCGTCGACAGCGCTCTGAAATGGGAAGGGGTCTCCAAGACGAAGGACGTTCTGGTGTACCCTGAAGATCCGCTCGTCGCCGAGCTTGTCGTACGTTAAAAAACCGGTTCAGAAAATTTTGGTTTCTTAGAAACGTATGAACGATGAGGATGGCTTCCTGGGCGGGTTGTGGACCAAGGAGATGACTCCTCAACAAATGTCTAGCGTAGGTATTAAGCATAAGCTACGCCTACGCCTTAGCTAGGCCTAAGCTAAGTCTACGCTAAGCCTATGCATAAGCCCCAGCTTAGGCCAAATCTAAACTAGTCTAAGCCTCAGCTAAGCCTCTGCTAACCCTAAGCTAAGCTTAGAAGCTTCCCTAGTAAGCAAAACTTAGTCTACGTAAATTCAGATGATGGGCAACATGACGAAGATGTTCGTTAGGTCCTGTGACCACATCCTTTATGAGACGGATCTCGTCGCGACTCTGAAGAAGCGGAAATTCGATCTAGGAATTACCGAAGCGTTCGATCCATGTGGCTTCGGTAGCGAAAAATCTTGTAAAAATTACGACAGATTTCAGCAATCTTCAAGCTCGCTGGAGTCGAAAATTGGGTGTCGACGTCGAGCAGCAACTTATTGGATCATCAGGCCATGTTGCTGGGCGTTCCACTCGTTCCTAGCTACGTCCCGGGTGGGTTACGCTCGTTTTAAAGATAAAATAAGATAAAAAATAAAGGGGAATAGCACCATTTAAAACAAGAAAAATCTATAATTTCAGGTCCGATGACCGAAAGCACCGAGAAAATGACGCTTTTTGAGAAGACAATGAACGCCGTCGGGACGTATTTTGGCGGAAAAATCTTCCTAGATATTTTCGAAGCATTTACGGAGAATTTCAAGAAACGCATGGGTACGGAATACATTGACGTCAAAGTAAGTTAATGCCTAAGATCTTGCGAGATTAACAATTTAGGCATTGGCCTCTAGATCGGCCATGCTATTTACGAATACGCAGAATCTGATCGATTTCCCGAAGCCGACTTTGCATAAGATTGTTGATATCGGCGGGATCCATATCAAGGACACTTCGAAGGAAAAGTTGGATGAGGTTGGTTTCAAAAGTCCCTCTCTCTCCCTCTCTCTCCCTCTCTCTCCCTCTCTCTTTCTCTCTGATTCTGTCGCTCTCTCTTTTTCTCGCTATCGCATCTCTTGCCTTAGTCCCTCTCTATTTCTGTGGCACTAAGTCGTTTTCGAGGAATGGAACAAAATCCTCAACCGAAAAAAGAAAAACGTACTGATCTCGTTCGGATCCGTGGCCAAGTCGTCTAATATGCCCCAACCGTACAAGAAAGCGATTATCAAGGCAGCACGAGAAATGCCAGGTATGATTTCCTTATCTCTCTCGCTCACTCTCTCGCTCTCTCCTCTCTCTCTCTCTCTCTCTCTCTCTCTCTCTCTCTCTCTCTCTCTCTTTCTCTTTCGCTCGTCCCTGTCCTTTAATCTCTTACCAATTTTAGATGTCCTAATCATCTGGAAGTACGAAGCAGACGATTTGCCAAAGTCCGAGTTGCCAGAAAATTTGTATTTGAGCAAATGGACACCGCAAAATGCGTTGTTAGGTGGGGATCCTCAAAGGAAGCAGATTTAAAACATTTTAGCCGATCCTCGACTGAACCTGTTCCTGACACACGGAGGACTGGCGAGTACGACCGAAATTGCTTACAGGTCTGATTCTGATCTCCCTCTCTCTCTCTCTCTCTCTCTCTCTCTCTCTTACTTAGATGCCGCAATAACTTATTTTTTTAGTGGAACTCCCTCCATCGTCACCCCACTTTTTGCCGATCAGCCTAGGAATGCGAAGGTACTCCTCCGACATGGGGGAGCCGAAAAATTAAGAAAATTCGACCTGGCGAATAGTGAGAAGATTAAGACGACCATCATGAAGATTCTGGACGATCCTAGGTATACTCGACTTTAAGACAAGACTAGAAGATCCTTTGACGTCATCAATACCCAATTTTTAGCTACGAAACGAAGGCCAAGGAACTGTCGATAATGCTGAAAAATCCGCCTTTTACCCCGAAAGAACTACTGGTTCGGAACGTGGAGTTTGTTGGAAGGTGCGTTAAAAATTTGGGGACGTATGCGCCGAACCGTTGCGTCCGCGTTGAGGTCAGCGCCGAAGCGCCAGATGGCCCTTAGATTCCGCTTTGCTGCGCCGGAACGCGCACGCCACGCGTTCAAGTGTAACAAAGGAAAAATGGCTTTATTAGAACCACTTTAAGAGGCTAGCAAAGATCATTAGAGAACACCGCAAACTTAAAACATTATACTTTATGTTTTTAGATTTGGCTCGCTGCCTCAACTCGACCCCTATGGCCGCCAGCTCTCCTTCTTCCAATATTACCTATTGGATATTATCTCAATTTTCCTTGTCGTAACAATTTCTGTAATTTTACTAGCCGTGTATTTGATCAAATCCTGCCTGGCTCTGGTGACCGGCGCCGCCAAGATGAAGAGCGATTAAAACCCATGCAAATTCATGGTCTGGTGACTTTTGTATAGGATTTTCTGATGAGAAGCAGAGTGATATGGGTTGTACTTATGAAAAAATTATACTTGGTGTACTCGAATGCATAAATAGAGCAATAAAACTTTGAAAACAACCGGAAAACAAACAAGCTTAGAAAAGTGAAACTAAAAAATTTTTTCAAGGCTTTGTGCATTCTCAAAAATGTCAAAATTCGGAATTTTTTTTGTTCATTCCGTCATGTCATTGAACGATTGAAATTTTAATTGACGATACAGACACTTTTTAAACCTTAAGCTGACGTCTTGGAAAATCGCAAAAAGTTTTACGTTTTAGCGCATACCGAAAAAATGGCATCAAAAGGAGACCGGTGCACCGAAATCGGTGCCTCGGACCGTCCGACCTTTTGCCGTTTCTTCGCTATTCCTAATCCATTTTTGCCAGCCGCTCTGTGTCTCTCTTTCCTCTATACACTCCCTTCCTCCGCCCCATTCACCAGGGGAGCACAGGTCAGAAAGTGGCATGAATCATAGCGAGCGGTTAGACCTTGTAACGGGCCGTTTTCGAACCGCTGTACTTTAAAAAACACTTGCTCTATATCTCTCTATCTCTTTATCTCTCTATCTCTATCTCTCTCTCTCTCTCTCTCTCTCTCTCTCTCTCTCTCTTGCACAGAAATCCACAAGTCACAAAATACCACAAATGACTCGGTTCGGCGGTCCAGTGTGCGATTTTCAAACCATACAAAACGATTTTTTTTCGTTGCTGCCAGCTAAGCTAGCTCTTTGCTTTTGCATAGTTCCTTAGGTTTGATTATTGAATTTATTTATTGTATAGCTGCCACCTCCAGATATTATTCTCGTTTTTCGTTTTTCTACGCTTTTTCAGGAGATGCGATTAATTATCTTCACATTTGCTATATTAAACTATGGAAATTCCCTGAAAATCCTGCTCTACAACAGCGGCTTCGGGCACAGCCATATGCGATTTATGGGCAGCATCGCTGATATTTTATTGGAGGCTGGGCACCATGTGGTAAATTTAGCCGAGTTGTAGTTGGAAAAAGAGGACACGTTTAGCAAAGATACACGATTTTAATAACAACAATAAACTATAAGTGAATTCGAACGTTAAAAAATTTGTGCAATCTAGAAATCCTAAAAAAAACTGTAGTAAATATTATAGACCGAAATCCGGACAACGATGGACCCGGGGTTGAAGTGGGAGGGGATTTCGAATTCCAAGGATATACACGTTTACGGGCCAGATGCCGAGGTGGAAGCATTAATGGTAAGCCTGGCTGATTCTCTATATATCCCGCTCTCCCCTTTGCGCTCGTGCTCACTCGGTCTCTCTCTCTCTCTCTCTCTCTCTCTCTCTCTCTCTCGCTTTCGCGCTCTCTGTCTCGCGCTCCCTCTTTCTCTCTCCCCTATCTCTCTCTCTCTCTCTCTCTCTCTCTCTCTCTCTCTCTCTCTCTCTCTCTCTCTCTTGCTTTCACCTTACTGGCAGATTCTTCTAGGCAAGTCTCCACGATGAAAATGGGTTCCTGGGTCAGCAGTGGGTCCGGGATATGTCAACCCGGGAGATGACCACGGTTTTGATTTCAATGTTAATTTTATTAAACATTTTAGATGCTTGTAAACATGACCCAAATGCTCGTCCGATCCTGTGAACACGCCGTTTTTGAAACGGATTTATTGGAAAAACTGAAGACTCAAGATTTCGACTTGGGAATTACGGAAGCGCTGGATCCATGCGGATTAGGTGAGAGAGTTAGAGAGTGAGAAAGAGAGGGTTAAAGAGAGAGAGAGAGAGAGATAGAGAGAGAGCGGGAGAGGGAGAGGGAGAGAAACTGATGTCTGCATCATTCTCGTTTCAGCAATATTCCACCTCCTCAACCTCAAAACCTGGGTCTCCGCCTCGAGCAGCAACTTGCTGGAGCACCAGGCTGTACTCCTTGGAGTCCCGCTCGTTCCTAGCTATGTTCCTGGTACGCTAAATTTACTTATGTGCCGTTTTAAAGGGACAGAAAAGCCATGATTTACTCTTTTCACCTCCTGTTTTGATAAAACCCAAGTTTTATAGGTTTTTTCGAATTTTCAAGTTGCCTGGTGAAATCTGCATTTTCCTGTTTAATAAAAATCAATTTCTATATGGCTTTTAATGGCTCTAATTTTACTAAAAAATATTTTTAGGGCCAATGGGCGCGAGCTCGGATCGAATGACCTTATTTGATAGGGCACTAAATGCCGTTTCGATGTATTTCGGCAGCAAGGTCTTTGTCGACATTTTCGCGGCTTCTACCGAAAATTTCCGAAAGCATTTGGGCAAGGATTTTGTGGATATTTCGGTAATTTAAAAGATTGACAATATATTAATGTATTCTCCAGAGCCTCATCCCGAAATCCGCCCTGTTTTTCACAAACTCGCAGAGCCTAATCGATTTCCCCAAGCCCACTTTGCATAAAGTGATCGATGTTGGAGGGATTCACCTAAAAGAGGGAGACGCAGAGAAGCTGGACGCAGTATTTTCGCTGCTCTTTTTTAATAGATCTTTAGAATTGGGAGAAGATCCTCAAAAATCGCCCGAAAACGGTGCTGATCTCGTTTGGATCGGCCGTCAAATCATGGAGGATGCCGGAAAGCTTCAAGAAAGCTATTATTCAGGCCGTTAAAGAAATTCCGGGTAAGTTTTCCCAATGTGTTTTCAAAATGTCACATATTTTTAATTCGGCTCAAAGTGCACTTTCGAGTAAAAAACTTTTAAAATTTTTTAGTAATTATAGATGGTTTTTTTAGACGTGCAATTTATATGGAAGTACGAAAAAGACGATCTGACCGCCTGGGGACTGCCGGAAAATTTGCATCTGAGCAAGTGGACCCCGCAGAATGCTTTGCTAGGTCAGTTTGCGTTGTGAAAAAGTGAAAATGGCTGAAAACAAAATAATGTCGAAGTATTTCAGCTGATCCTCGGCTCAGCCTTTTTATCACGCATGGTGGCTTGGGGAGCACGACCGAAATTGCATACAGGTACAGTTATCTCTCTCATCATTTCTCTATCTCTCTCTCTCTCTCAGTCTGCTCTCTGTCTCTCTCGCTCTCCTTTACTCTCTCAATCTCTCTCCGTCTGTCCCAAAATTGACACAAACAAAGTTTATTTTTTAGTGGAACCCCAGCAATTGTCATCCCCCTCTTCGCCGACCAACACCGAAACGCTCAAGTCCTGCTCCGACATGGTGCGACCGAGAAAATGAACCGCTTCGACTTGTCGAGCTCTGAAAAAATCAAGGCGACGATCAGGAAGTTTTTGGATGATCCGAGGTATCCTGAATATCTTGTAAAAACCCACCGAGAAATTTAGTTACGACAGAAAGGCAAAAGATTTGGCAACCATGCTAAAGAATGCTCCTTTCAAACCCAAGGAGCTGCTGCTGAGGAACATCGAATTTGTTGGAAGGTATAATGAAGCTTGCTAGATGTTTTCCGCAAAAAATCTCTGCTGGTTCACCCTTGCTCTTGCTGGTTTCATCAAGTTTCTCTGCTAGCCTGCCCTTTTCAGATACGGCGCCTTGCCACAGCTCGACCCCTACGGCCGTCATTTGTCTTTTGTGGAATATTATCTATTGGATATTATCGGAATTTTGGTGCTTATTGTACTTGCAATTTCGGCTTGTTTATATTTTGTAATGCGAAAGTGTTTTACGCTCTGTTTTTCATCGGGTAAGAACAAAAAGGAATAAAGATATGCAATTTAAGTGCAGGACTACCCAAGGAAACACTGAAAGATTACAAAAACTTGCTGCCTCTTTCTCTCTCTGCTTCTCTCTGTGTCTCTCTCGCGCTCTGTCTCTCTCCCTCTCCTTTCTCTCTCTCTCACGCTCTCTCTTCTCTCCCTCTCTATCTTTCGCTCTCTTTCTCTTATCCTCCTTACAACGGTAAAACAAGAACCATAAATCCTATACCTCCCGTGACTTTATCTATCATGACCAAATTATCGCTAATTTAAATTCAGAAGCAAAAACACTGATCGTTCGCCTCGAATTCCATGATTTTCAGCGGTTTTTGGTGCCTACAATGATCCAAGAGGCCCTCTAGGGTATTGCGCTTTTCAGTTCATTTTCAGTTCATTGCCTATTTTGGTAGTTCGCTCGCTTTGCGTCTCTAGCCGATACGTTATAGTTATTCTTCCTTGACTCTCAAACTAAACTAAATTTAAGAGTTTTCAGTAGCAATTTGGATGGTATTACTTTTTTGCATGCCGTTATTTTTCCCCAAGAATAATTTTTCGGCGGGTTTTTGGCACTTAAATCAGGCGGATCAAAAAAGCTGAAAGCAGCTGCTGCCAGATCGGTAAAAAAAATAAGCGCGGCAAAACAGAAAAAAAAGTTTGGACCCTATAGTTAATTTGAAGTTAAAAATAAAAATCGTGGAATTTTCTATGTGACGCCTATTTCTACATAATTTTTTAACATTTGGTAATTTTTGCCTTGCCAATCGTCCCAATTCTTTACAATTAATACACCATTAGCAATCAATAAAATGGCCATAAAAATACTGTTTACGGTTTCAAAACGAAAACTGCACTTGTTGGGCCTAGACCGCGACGCCTGATAAAATCGCATCGAAACCCAAGCCTGGGTTTCGATGCGATTATTATTGGGTGTCAATGGCGGGATTTTCTATGTAAAAAGAGCATACTAACCGGGTGATTGTGGTTTGGTGGCGAACCGAATTACCCCGGAATTATTCCCAAATGCCCGTAATGCAGACTAGCTTTTCCAGAGAACAAGGCCAACACCCGCCCCCTCACTTTATTAGGTCATATTCCCATGTTTTTTATAGGTCCAGACATTTCGTCGGAAAGCTGTGTTCCTGTTTTAAAAATTTACGCCGTTTCAAAACCTTAATGGGTACATAGCAGCAACTAATAGCAAAATTCCGATGTTATATGGACCAATGGCTGATTTTTCGGGTTTGATGATCTGGATATTTCCGATAGATTCTTTGAATTTAGTGAATTCTGTGTGATTCCAGAAAGAGATGTTGCTCAGTGTCGTGCTCAGTGAGAGTCTCTATCACTCTCTCTTTTTCTCTCGCTCTCTCGCTCTCTAGCTCGATCTCTCTCTCCCTCCGCATTCTCTTGTATTTTGTTCAAAGGTTCCGGTGCCGCTTGCAAATTAACTTTTGATCCTTTGGCGCGAGACGGAAAGGAGAATACGGCGACTAACCGAACAAAATCGAGTTAAACATTACATCGAAAATGAAAAGGTCAATAGTGAGGAGAGGGATACAGAGAGACAGAGAGACAGAGAGACAGCGAGAGAGAGAGAGAGGGAGAGGGAGAGAGAGCGAGAAAGCTCGAAAATAAATTGCATTTTAAAGGCACATTTCTGCAGAGGCCCTTGAAAATACCTTTTTCCCTATACCATTCACAAAATTTTTCCTTCCGCAGCGAGGCTCAAGGGAATCCAATACCAGTTATGATTTTTGTAGTCCGGATGCATACGCGGCTACCGGGGCAGATTAGTACTTTTTTTATGGTGTACCCAAAAACGGGCGCCCTGAGAATTTGGTGACTTCACACCGTTTTCAAAATTTTCCTGTCCGCCGGCTACAAAACCCGGAAATCTAATAAAAAGTGTTATTATTCGAGAGGTTACAGTATTAACGTGGAATTGTTATTGCCTAGATTTTAAGGATTTTCGTTTAGCTTCTTGGAAATTGGGGTGGTAGAGTTAGAAAGTTTATGCGCATACTATTTTATCACGCTTGATTTCTCTCTCTCTCTCTCCTCTCTCTTCTCTCTCTCACGCTCTCTCTCTCTCCCTCGCTCTCTAAAATCATTTACAGATATGGATTCGAGGTCCGACTTGTCCGACAAGTGCCAAGCCGACTACGATTTAGTGATGACCTGGCAGTACCGTACAGCTCAAATCTGTCATCTGATCGGAAACCTAACCTGCACTCTGACAGCTACCTATTTACTTATTCGAGTTATGCCCCGGGTGGTGATGCACAGCGGGTTACGGGTAAGTTAAGAAATAGAGAGAGAGGGAGAGAGAGCGAGAGAGAGAGAGAGAGAGAGGGAGCGAGCGAGAGATAGAAAGAGAAAGTGAGCTAGTGAACGAGATATTTCCGTGGTTTTCAGTGGCTAATCGGGCTCGAATTCTCCTTCGCCGTCATGCACGCATTTACAGAAACTGTTTTTCAGGTTGCATCTTAGGTTTAATATTGATTTTCTACAAATTTTCAGGTTCACCACTTTATTCGTTGGTCTATATCCCAGACACCTTGTGATATCCAGATGGCGAACAGCTTTTGTGTATTTTTCCACTCGCCCTTACTTAGTAGGTCCTTCTCACTGCCTCTCTCTCTCTCTCTCTCTCTCTCTCTCTCTCTCTCTCTCGCTCTCTCGCTTTTTCTCACACCCTCTCTCTATTTTTAGCCGGCTACGAAATCTATCATTCTAGCTTGTAATTTCGGACTGACCTATACAGCACTGGCAATTACCGTAGAACGAGTCTGGGCAACGAAACACCGGACTAACTGTACTTGTGGTAAGTTTTAGAGAGAGAGAGAGAGAGAGAGAGAGAGAGAGAGAGAGAGAGAGAGAGTGAGAAGAGACAGACAGAGAGAGTGACAAGAGAGAGAGAGACAGGGAGACAGAGAGAGAGACAGGGAAAGACAGAGAGAGAAATTGTTTTTAGATCCTCATCGCAGCCAGCACAACGATAGCTGTCTACAGTAACGTTGCTTGGAACGAAACAAGAGCCAGCTGCGGGACGGCTTCTCCAAATATTCAAGAAAACCTGATGCACTTGTATAAAGGGCTATTTGGAATCGATGTTTTTATCCTGCTCGCCATGTTCATCATCTACAAGTCGAACCAGCGGGAGACAAGGTTAGCTTTAGGGTGTGGGGTAGAGCAAGGCAAGCTAGCATAAAGGCTTAGGGAAGATTCTAGGGCTTGCAAGGACGTAGATAAAACTTTATGCCTTATTGATGCACCCAGAAAGCCTACCGAACTGCTCGAACCCGCTGTCACACACCCTTCAATTCCCCAATTTTTAGCCGTCGCATCGACATCTGGTACACCGTCTCCAGTCGATATCAAATTCACGAGAACATCATCGTCGTCAAGCTGATCTGTCCTCTCGTGGCGATGCACGGTTTCGGGTTTGGCTTCTACTGCCTGTGCTACAATTTCGTGGCCGGTCAGGGAGTTTGGGACCCTTATACGACGAAGTTGATACTGGTTTTTATCTATGTAAGTTGGGAAAGCGAGAAAAACAGGGATAGAAAGCGACAAAGCGAGGGCGAGAAAGAGAGAAACGGTTTTTCAGACTCCGCCCTACTACGTGGCTATTGCGCCAGCTCTTTTTATCTACACGATACGAAAATTTATTATCGAAAAAAATCGAGAACGAGTGGAGAGTGGAGCTTCAAAGGAAGTATCCGCTAATGTATACTTTACGGCCCTTGAAAAGCAATGGAAATAAACGCTCAACAATTTTGCAGGATAAAGAGAGAGAGAGAGAAAGAGGGAGAGAGACCGAACGAGAGAGAAACCCTCTCAAAAACCCACAGATCGAAAATTGCCCTTTTTATGCCTTTGTTTTTCACCATCTGCAGCCGTTCTCCAGCGTGTCCCAGATTCTTCTCGGACCCATAGTCGTAAGCAGGGCCATAAATCGGTGGGTGTCGCTTGGAAAGAACGGAGCATTCCCCCGGGCAAACAGTGCACGGATTTCTGGCCGGTAAACGCGAAAACAGCCATCCTATCACGTCGATAAATCACGGTTTTGCGATGTGTGATCGGTTTTTTAGCGTTTTTTCATGGATCGTGTAATTTCTCATTATTGGTGTAACTTGAATATTTCTCTATATCTCTCTCACTAGCTCTCTCTCGCTCTCTCTCTCTCTCTCTCGCTCTCCCTCTCGCTCTCTTTCTCCCTCTCTCTCTTTTTTCCTTAGTTTTGATTACCAGGCAGTAGCTTCTCTTTGCGCGTCTATCAATTTTTCGTTGCTAGCTCCTAGCTTCTAGAAACCGCGCTTTTCGGCTCCAGCCTGCTCCTAGCTCCTAGTTCTCAGCCTTCGGATTCTGGAGCTGGGAACTGTAAGCTAGGCGCTCCTTCAATGGTGACCGAGCTGGGCGTTCCGAAAATTGTACCAATTTCGAGTTCTGGTAATTTGAAGCATTTGACTAGATTAGCTCCCAACTCCCATCGTCCCCCGTCCCCAATCTGAGCACGAGGTCTCCCGGGAAATAGCTTTCCCCCGCTCCGAAGCTGCCCGAATTTTGCCTATGCTACCGAGTTTGGAAATGCAGCTGGGAAGTAGGAGCAAGAAATTAAGAAATCAGCTTGTTAACCTACGAGCTCAAATTGCTGCTCGAAAAACCCCAGCGGTCCCACCGATCCCCACCACCTCATCTGCACTTTCATCAGCCCCACCTGAACCGTTTCTCCCTGCCGTATCAGTCAGAAACTGTCCGCCTACGTGTGTGGGCCCTATTTTCCGGCTACCAAACCCCCCTCAGCCTGCAAGCTGCACTATAAAAAATGGGTCCGCTCTTCGATCAGCTCCCCCCAAAATTTTTCCACCCCAGAAAACAACAAGCCGCCGGGACAGCGGGCGGCTGCAGCCAACCCACCCTTCTTCCACTATCAGCAGCCGCAAAAAATGGAAGAAAACAACGGGTTGGGACCGATCTCTCTCCGTTTCTCACTCCCTCTTTCTCTCTCTGTCTCTCTCTGGCTCTTTTCTCCCTAATCAGTGCCCTTTTAGCTACCGTACCCCCCGGCCCGGGTGGGTCTGTCGAGTGGGGAGCCTTGTTATTATGGCACCAGCACCTAGGGGCCGACTAGATTCGAGTGCTCCTGGCCGTGTCAGCAGTGTTTTCATTACGGTTGCCCTATAGCCATCAAAAATCTGGGGGACACCTCATCCTTTTGGCCAAATTACTGCTTTTAAAAATTTCGTGATTTTTTGATCTATAACGGCATGGGCAAGGCAGGGCCTTCGATTTTTATACATTGATATTTTATGTATTTTCATGAACCACACGCAACGGTCCACACGCTCTGTCTCCCATCAGGTCTGGGGTACGGTATCGAAGTGTCAAAAAATGGGGGCTGTGGTTCAGTTTGCCCCCCCCCCCCCCCCCCACCCCGCCGACCCCACCTACTGTAGCTCGACGCCCCTGTGTCGTAAGTATACCAAAATACTCGCCAGAGCAATGCGAACATTTTGGTATACTTGACACGCCTGTAGATGAACAGGTGGCCGAGATACAAAAGTTAGGGGCCGGCTGGTGCGGGGGTGGGGGGGTAAACCGACCTCTTACCAAAAATGTCCTGGTTCTCACAAGGCGCACGCACAAAACTTTGTAAAGTCTCGCTCTTACCCTGGTTGACTATATGAATGTTTTTATTTGTATTTTGATTTTGCACTTTTTTGTCATTTTAGAATACAGTAGGTTTGTCACCTTGAAAATTCCAAAGCAAATTTGATCGCGATATTTCTCTATCGCTAAAATTTCAAAGTTATTACAAATTAAGTAGACTTTACCCTCGTGTCTCCTACTATAAGTTGTCGTGTACGCAAGATAAACCCACCCAAATCAACACATACCCGTGTTATACCCGACCTGTTGTCCTTTGCGTTCGCCCTATTTTCGCCACTGTTTGTCGCGGGGATGATTAGTCGGTGAGTGCCGCCGTCAGGCACTCACCGACTGATCATCCCCGCGAAAAAACTGTTTCCACAGCCGAGTTGCTATTTTTGCTTATTACGTAATATGTCGAAACTTTCGAAATTTTGCCGATTTTCGCGAAAGTAAATCTTGTTAATTCGGATTTTTATGTGTTCTACCACAATTTCGGTAATTTTCTGATTTTAGCAATGTTTTGAGACTACAGTAACCAGGATAAATGTCAAAATTAAAACCGTTAAAATAAAATTTACGTCATATATCGAACGCTAGCTAATCCAAATTTTGTAGCCTATAGTTTCCCTGCCACATTTCCAGGGCTTTTCAATCGCCAGGGAACCCTTCAAACACCTTTAAAAATTGTTCATTTTGACTTCTTTTTTCCAATATTTTCTAGCTGTTTTCGCTTGCCGTTTCTGAACGCCCGCCCCTGCCAAACCAAATTTCCACAAATTTGATTCTGCACGGCGCCCGGGCCCAGATGCGCACTTTTCGTCCCCCAATTTTTGTGGCTACAGTACCCGGCAAGTCCGACTCTTTTCTCCCCAAAGCCCAATTTTTAATTGATAGGGGTGCCACGCTTTGATAGGCGCGCCACATCTCTCTCTCTCCCTCTCTCTCTCTCTCTCTCTCTCTCACGCTCTTTCCTCGCTAAAGAACACTCGGACCAGAAAAGGCCGATTTGCACGCAGACTCGCCAGCGGCAGCTCTGCAAAAGGGGTGACGAGAGAGAGAGAGAGCCAGAGAGAGAGAGCCAGAGAGAGAAGGAGAGAGAGGGAGAGAGACAAAAACGGGCCTCGCCTCCAGCTAGACGTAAACAACTTGGCTGCTCCGTCTCCGCCTCGGCCACAAAGAGGGGGTTCGTCCCGGGTGCCGCCATACTCCACTTGGCTTGTTTTCATTCGTGCTGATCTTTATGGCGCTCTTTCTCTCGCTTTACTGTTCTACCGCTCTTTCTCTCTCTATTTCTCTCGCCTACCCTCCCCAAAGTATCAAAATCATCTGATAAAGATGCGCCTTATAAAGTTTCTCCGGTGCCCACCCAGGAGCCGATCAGAAAACGGTAGACAGGATGGATGGATGGATAGATTGTGCTGGATTATTAGGATTTCTGCATTCCCTCTCTCGCCTCGTCTCTCTCTCACGCGCTCTCTCGCTCTCGCTCTCGCCCTCTCTCTCCCTCACTCTTTCTCTCTCTCGCTCGGACCTACCGTATCCCCCGCTTGAAATCGTACTTAAGCAGAAAAAGTCCACAAAACCACAGGTTCTCGAAATCCTAACCTTCTGTCCAGCGTTTAGAGCAGCGTAATGTAGCTATAATTTTTTGTTATGCCGAAACTATGCAAATCTACTAAATCTAAGGAATACATAGAGAAAACCGAAAAAAAAAACCTACTTTACTTTCAGCTTTAAGGTATCCGGAGGTAGCTGATAAATTTTGGCTTCGTGTTCGCCTTTTCGCTGTCGGATCAGGCTTTCGGTCGCGGGAGGGTTACGGTAAAAAACGGGTCGATTACAGTGAATCCGGCTGAAAGTGTTATATGCTCTTTCGTCTCACAGACGTTACGTTAAGCTACTTTAGACGTATTGGAACGTACATTTGGCTTTCATTTCGTCTGTTTATATCGGAACCCTGGCTTTTCAAATGCCGTGCAGGCAATTTAAGCAAGCGGCTAATTCCTGTAAAGCATACGCTAAACTCCTTTTTATGTATCGGCTCGCCATTTACTGATTTCCTCGGTTTGCTCGTTTAGGAGGCCTAGCTGTCCGTATCCCCCCACAAACACGTAAACCGTGAAAACAATCGCGTCGCACTGTTCCGATCCAGCTGGGGTCGACTGCCATCAGAAGTAAACACCCTGATCTGTGCTCCCAGGGCCAGTTGTTTTTCTGGGTCTTGCCGGTCCGCCCAGGCCGCCCGGCTCGAGACGCCACTTTCCGTACATTACCTTCCTGACAACAGTTTCTCCGATAAAGGGCTGGGCGCCTATAAAATAATATGCTGAGCCTCGCCGATATTCATTCGCTCAAGAAACTGGGCGTTCGCGTCGCACCTTGTTTTCCGATTTTTCCTGCGGGTTTTGTTAAATGTCTGATTTTCTTTAAACATTCACTTGAGTTTGAAGTTTGTTTAAAAAAAACAGCATTCTTAACTAATTTTTAGCGACAGAATCAGATAAATAAACAACTATTTTTATTCAGACATCAGTTGCTAGGTTTCCTGCAGATTTGGAGGCTCGAATTCTTAGATTTTCGAAAAAAGATTTTTAGACTTTTTGGTATCATAATTTTAAAAATATTAAAATATATAATTCTTGATATACCGTAGCTTTAGTTAACACTATTTGGCATAGGTTTTAAAAGCGTTTTGGAGATTTTATGGCTGAGAGTGGACGATTTTTCCAAATTTTTTTTGTTGAGTTTCACGTCCAAACCTCTAATCCTCGATTCTCACTTTTTAAAATATTCATACCGTAATTTACCAGATACATCTATTCTATAGAGTTTTATATTTTTTTAGATTTTATCCATCTAGACGCTTTTTACAATCATTGTTGGTTGTCCTTATTAGTGTCATGTTTCTGGCGTCTGCACGGCCAAGCAAAAAATCCCTTGGGGACCCGGAAACTCGTATTATGTAGCCAGGGTGGGAATAGAGCCTCGCCGCCGCGCAATTATGCTGTTATCTGATGCGCATATCAAGATTGGTGCCAAGATCCAGGGCGGCAAAGGCCTAGAAAATATTTGAGTGAGCGGAAAACTTACCTTGCTTGATTTCCTTCCTATTTTTTTTCGTAGAAATGGCATTTTTATTTTTTTTATTCAGATCTTATTTTTCCCCTTAATAAAAATTTTTTATCGTTTGATTTTAAGAATGCCGAGCGCCGGTCCGTTGGCCATCAGTTCGTACGCGTGTACGTCGGAATATCCGCTACAAGATATCATCCTTCGCATCGATGCCCCCTACGCCAATTTGTATAGCGACAACGACCCGAATAGTGAGTTTTTCAATCATTAAGTTAGTTCAGATAATTTTAGAACCCCTTTCCCCTTCTTCAATCATCAAAAGTGTCAAGACGCTGTTTGAGAAGCCGGTGAGTGTTTTTAACGGGTTATGGAAAGCATAACAGCAAAGTCATCTCTGTCTTTCCCTCTCTCTCTCGCTCTCTCTCTCAGTCTCTCGCGCTCTCGCTCTCGTTCTCTCTATCTTTCTTCCTCTCGGCTCTCATCGTCTCTGCCACTCACGTTCTCTCTCTCTCTCTCTCTCTCTCTCTCTCCCCTCTCTCTCTCTCTCTCTCTCTCTCTCTCGCTATTTTGCTCTTTCTCTCTCGCTCTCTCCCCTCCTGCTCTTTCGACCACGCTTCCTCGCCGGCCTGAAATCGAAAGACAATCTTACTTATCTTAAAATTACATACGGTAACCATTTAGACATACTGCTTTCTGAAAGCGTAGCTTTGCAGGCTCCCCTGAAACGCGTCCGATTTTCTGATGATAATGGAGCTGATCTCTGCACAGTTTGGAGCTACGAAAAGCAAGAACCCCGCCGCCATACCATGGACATGAACTACCGCTACTACCAGCCGAATAACCAGGGGAGAATCGTATGGCAAATCCAGCGCGGCCCCAGGAACGAGCCGGCGGAAGCTAAGGTAAGCAGAAATTTCGATTATAATCACGATTGACCCTAGATCCATTTTGATCTTATTTTAGTTAAAAAAAACCTCTCAAATAAAAAATTACAGATCTCCCTCGAAAAATTGGAAATTCAAGACGGCACCTCTCCAAAAATCTGCGGAATTATAAAGGTAAAAATTTGGCTATTTTTGATTTTCCATAAAACGATAAACTCAAATTTTTGCAACTAGGTGGTTTTGCTAGCCTGAAAGTCTACAGCGATGGCTAAGAAATTCTCATATTCTTTTCCAGATCGCCAACCTCGGCTTCAACAAGGACGTCCAGCTACGCTATACTACTAATGACTGGTTCTCCAGCCTCGATCACCCAGCAAAATATTCCGCATCTCCGAGCGCCGACTACGATCTTTTCGAGTTTACGATGGATCTGCCGAGCCGCAATTCGGTGAGTATCTCGATCTTTATCTCTCTCTCTCTCTCGCTCTCTCTCCCTCTGTCCCGCTCTCTCTCATTCTCTCTATTTCTTTCTTTCTCCTAAACCACAGTATAACCAGACCAATTTTAGCATCCCCGCCTCGACTTTTGCCTATTTTGCGACATGGAAGGCGCTCGGCACTGGGATTCCCGGGATTCACTGAACTACTCGCTGACGTGGAGCAGGGCGAAATGATGAACTCATCATTATTATTTTGGACGTATGAAAAAACTGGAATAAACGAGTCGTATTAGAAACTGCAAGTCGCATTAAAGATCGCGTTAAGCCCTCTCTCCCTCTCCCTCTCTCTCGCGCGCTCTCTCTATCCCCTGTCATTCTTATTCTCTGTACCTGTCTGTCTCCCCTGTCGCTCGCTCTCTCTCTCGTTCGCCCGCTCTCTCTCTCTCCCTCTCGCTCTCTCTCGCTCTCTCTCTCTCGCTCGCTCTCTCTCTCTCTCAGCTGTGCAAAATTATTTATTCCGAAATACGCATCAGTAAGTATACCAGTCAACAATATCATCACCATATAAAGTACAACGTCAATCAGTGAGAGATCAACATATAGTAAAATAAATACAAAAATCGTTCAGTAATATGCAAATTAGTGGTCATGGTTCTTCACGCATCCGCGCATCGAACATCGCGTAGGGAAACAGCTAAAAAATCAAGTTTAAAAAAAATTTGGTGAAAATTACCTCAACAGCTTGGCACATGGCCGCCGTGGCCCATTGGCAGCCCCAGGACTGGTCGGAGATGCGGGCGAGGTGGTTGCAGAAGCTGGAAAATGGCGTTTAAAGGGGTGGTGACAGTAAATTTGACAAAATCCATTCCACTATTAAATTAAATTGAATTAAAAAAAAATTGAATTGAACTGAAATTGAGTGGGTTGCGGAGTCCTTTAGAACGGGGAGAGAAAGCGAGAGATATAGATGGAGAGAAAGATACATAATGTCTTTTTTTTCTCCATCCAGACAACGACAGAGATAGCGAGAGAGAGAGAGAGAGAGAGAGAGAGATAGCGAGAGATAGAGAGAGAGACGGAGAGAACGAGGGGGATAGTGACAGAGAGTGAGATAAAGAGAGAGAGAGAGAGAGAGAGAGAGAGAGAGAGAGAGAGAGACACAGAGAGAGATTCGTCAACCCACAGTCGATCACAAAACGTCTTCCGCTCGACGGGCATCGGGTCGACGTCGTAGCACGTGTCGTGTATGAAGCAGGCCGCGTCGACTTGGTCTGGAAAATCATGTCGTAATGGAATAAACGTCAGCTGCGCCCATATGTTAAGGTACCTTGAGGTGACTTACCGTAAACATGCGGACAGAACCCGCTGACAAAACCCGAGAGGAAGTCGATCGAGCCGGGGACGAACACGGTGCCGCAGTGGAAGCTAGCCGAGGTTTTCTGAAAGGACATTCTGAATTAAACCCAACTAGTAGCGTGTTTTTGAAGCAAAACTCGGTCGTTGGGGTCCGCTTAAAGGAATTTAAATATTACGCGTTTGAACGTCCAACTAAAATATTTTGATTTAAAGGTTAGTAATGGCATTTTAAGGAAAAGCTAAGAAAACACGCCACTTCCGGATAATCATTTCCGGACCAGTTGCTGCCCAATTCGCCGGCAAAACATGACTGGAAGTGAAGATGACTAGATTCTATGTCAAAGCAGTGATTCAGTTCCAAACTTTGCGAATTTTTGTTTGAAAGAATCAGACGTTTTCGACTACGAAAAACCCCATGTCGGTCTTTCATTGATTAAAGCTTGCTCCTACAGCTTTTTCGTAGCTCTCCAGGGCGACCGTCATCGTGACGTCCGGTCGTAGTACTCGGCCCAGGTCGTCGTAGAGGAACGGGTGCTAAGAAAACAAAATAAAACGGAAAACAAAAACGATAAGTACCGTATCCCGGTAAAATGGGTCGATCAGCCGTTGTGGCTGGGCCTGTGGCTCGTAGGTGACGTTGGAGGGGTTTTCTGAAAATGTATAAAATCTTTTTTTGGTAAGAGTCTAGAAAACCCCCCCCAGCCGGCACCAACTTTTCTATCTCGGCCCTCCTTTGCGCTAGCGAGCTTTAAAGCATACCAAAATGTTCGCCGTAGGCTAATTAGTCAGACTACATTGCAGTTCAGTCGAAAAAAGTAGTGAAAAATAAAAATAAGGAAGGTAGAAAAGTTGAAAATCGGCTGGGGGGGGTTTCCTAGATTTGAGCCCTTTTTTAGTTGGGTATTTTCTCAATTTTCCGCATAAATCTATTTAATCTGCTGTTTTTAAAAACAAGAAAAATTAGGATTTGTAATCCTTCATTTTTTTGCTGAATTTCCATAACTTTCCAAACGGCGTACCAAATTTCGGCTCTCGAACGGCCCCAGATATCAGATGGCGAGGTAGAAATTCGGTCCCTCGATCGCAAGTCAGTGGCGGCTGGAATTTGAAATTTGCATCCCAAAATTTGCAGATTTCCCACCCAACTGGCCATAGTTAGTAGGGGAAAGAAGACGAGTAGGTAGAGCACCACACGGGAATTCATTTTTGGGGGGAGTCAGTGAATGATTTTGGGGAATTTTTCGATTTTTGGGAGTTAAATATGCAAATTTTTGACACGTAAATTCAACACCCTAATTCAAGTTCCGATTAGTTTGGGGATTTTTCAATTTTTTTTGGGATCGCACCTTTTCACCAATTTCGAAAAAAAAACAGCACATTATGTGAGTTTTCTTTTACATTAAACTTTTTAACCTATGAAAAAGTAGTTTTGCGACAAAAATTTTTCTTGATTTTTATCCCAAAAGCGTTTTTTAAGCTATTTTTTACATGTTCCACTGGTCGGAGTATTCCCTCAAAAACCTGTTATTTCGATCAGCTACAGTAAACTCCAACTTTCCAGCCATTTTTGTGTTTGTTTTGTGGACGTTGCAAGTTCGGTGCTACTCCGGTCGTTTTCTTTACAGTACGGGCCTGCATAAATGTCCCACGCACCCCATTTTTGCTCTATATTTAATATTACTCCCCAGAATTGGCATCAAACATTCGCGAAACGCCTTCGGTTCCGATCCTCGGACTTTCAATTTTTATCTTCAGAATTTTGGGGGGAAGCAACTGGGAATAAAAAGGGAAATCGCCAGCACATTTTTGATAAGCCCGCCGGCCGGGTCGTTGCAACTTTCACTCTCTTTCCCCTTTGTCGAAAATATATACAAAAACAAGCGGTTTAGATGCTGAAGCTCTTCGTGTTTTTGGCTGTTAGCCTGCAGGTGAGCTTCTCGGGCTTTTATGGACCGACAAAAGATCAGAAAAGAGGGAAAATTGGAGGCTTAAAGGCGCCGGAAAGTGGTTTGCATAGCATTTTCATTTCCAGGTTTGCGCGAGAACCGATATTAATTTTTCGCCGGTCCGGTTTTTCCCCAATTACCGTATTTTGAGGAAGGTTTTAGGGCGGCAGTTCGTATTTTCGCGGAAAGAGACTTCGTGGTGAAAAAATATCGTGCCCTGGAGCAATTCGTAAGGAGTCGCGCGTATTATGGCGGAATTATATTTTGGTGGTTGACTTCCTAGCCCCTTTAAATTCTGATTACTTGATCATGACATACAGTGAGCAATTTTAAGGTTTCTAAAGGGGATTCCGTAAGGTTAGCACTGTGCATTTTAAGATATTTGTAAACGCGTACTGCAGCATAACTTATACAGTCAGTGGACAATTTCATTGAGGTTAAAGGCGATCTGGCTCGACCTTTTTTACTTTTAGCACCCACTAGCAACGCTTTTTTAAAAATTCGGGTACGGCAGCGTATTGGAGCGTACTCCAGCGTACTCCAACTTAAAATTCCAGACCCGCGCCCTGTTCGACCCGTCGACTTGCGGCAGTGGAAAAACTTGCCTGATGATTCCGGCAAATTGCACAACAAATTGTCAACAAGGACTGTCGTACAAGCGAGTAGTGAGTTTTCTAAGAGCTTTTACTGACGTTATTTTTCAGTCAGCCTCATACTTGGAAATCGAACTTTTCTCCAATAACCTCCCGAACACTGCCACCTACGATTCCTACATGGCCATCGGGTTCCAGCCAGAGGCTTGTGCGGAGATTGAGTCTGACTCAAAGACGCCGTGCATGGTGGGGAAGATCGATCGATTTAAGGGGACTAGGAAGCGATGGAATTGACCCCGACCCTTAGACTAGGTCTAGACAACTACGAGAAGCTCCAAATGACGATTGAGTGTCTGCTTCATCCCGCTTCTTTTTCATGCGGTTTTTCATGCCGTCATAGCGCCACATGGAATCGCAACCTCAGAAAAGCTTAAAACGTCTCAGGTGCCTATTGGAATCGCGCGTAGTTGTCGAGACCTAGCCCCGCAGAGGGTCGATTTTTGCAATGTTTAACCTCTTTAAAGGGAGGGTGTCATCATCAATAATTACGGGAGCTCCCCTGAATGGTGTTGCTAATGCCGATAAGGTATTTTTGAGAAAATACAGTAGATGTAAATGAAAAGGGAGGGTGTCATCAAGGTTAGAGCCCGCAAAAATCCAACTTTAGGCTTCGGCCCCGGTCATCGAGTGCTCGGCCCTGAACGGCCAGCTGATGGCCCCAGCCGTGTCGTGGAACACCGCCGACCCGCAGAACGTTCGAATCGACAATGCTGCTGTAAGTCGGTAGTTTGTAGTTTGTTGTATAAGTTGAGTAAGAATTCGGCGCAGGAGCATATATTGATTTTTAGGAGCTCGCCAAGGCTGTCGGCCTGACAATGTCCGCTTTGGAGAGCAATAACGGCCAGACCTATTGCAAGCTGATGCAACGAATTACGGGAGCTCCCCTGAATGGTGTTGCTAATGCAGATAAGGTATTTTTGGGAAAATACAATAAATGTAAATGGTAAAATATGAACTTTTTGTAAGAACACAAATTCCAAACAATCTAAGATCATATAACAAAGCATTTTAAATTGGTGATGACTTTGTAAATTTGCAGAAAATTGTGCATTTGCGGATCCTCAGGTTTCCGGATTCAATTTTTCCATCTTCTAGGTCTTCCAAAACGACCCGACCGTCTCCTACGGCATCCTGATGGCTACTGGCGCTACGAATGGATCTGGTAGATCTCGAATTTTTTTTAATACCTTGTTTTTTAGTCCTCACCCACCACCCCCACCCGAACGCCATGGTCGCCCCCGGGCGCGTCAAATTCTAAACGAAAACGGGATAGGCAATGAATAAATTGTATATATTTTTCTGGCTCATGCTGCTGCACCACACCATTTACCTCCAAAAAACATGTCGGAAATAAAGGAGCTTCAGCAACTGAACCATGTCCAATGTCTGGTGAGACCCAAGCGGCATAAAGGGTCGATACTCGCGCTTCTACGGCCCTTTAAAGTGACTTGGCGAAGCTAGAATCACGCAGCTTTCACAGAAGAATTGGAAAACGCTACTGCGCAAGTCGGCAAGCAAGCAGAGAATCTTTAGGAACTTGAGGAGAGAAAATCCTCACCAGACCGAATCTAGGTCGAGACCTGCACTTTTAAAAGCAGGTTTGGCGAATTAATTACATCTACTAGGTGGTATATAGCCCGAATAAATCTCGCATTTTGTTCTCAGATAAATCCAATAGAATCTAGGCCGTAACTCGACTGACAAGGAGTTCAAGCAGTTCAGCACTAGGAGAAGACGCCGGGTACTGCTACGGAAGAACAACGCATTCTCAAGGTCCTCCACCTTTTATACTTCTCTCCAATTCTCATCTGCTCATAAAGGAAAATCATAAAATATAAAAACCGCTTTCCAGCCCCCTTCACTTTGGCGTAGCAACCACCCAGCTACCTGGCCGTCACGAGCTACAGAGACCAAAAGAGATAGAATATCAGTAGTAGAAAGAGGGCTGGGGCCACTTTCCCTTTTCCTCCGACTTTCCCTTGCCCTAATCCACGAATTATCAGTGGAAATGACGGGAGTATAGGGGGGATTTAACGAGTGAAAGTGGCAGATAAAGCGACCACTTGCACCCGGACGGGACTCGAAAACTCGAACTCAAGGAAGAAGCTGAACATGAGGACCTTCGTCGTTGCCGTTTGTCTATTGGCCCAGGTTTGTGGATTTGGGTATTAAACGGGTCGGCTAGCAGAGATTCTTCAGGCAATGGCAAACCAGCAGTGATTCTTGGGGGAAACAAGCTAGCAAAGATTTTTGAGATAGGCTAGCAGAGACGTTTGGGGAAAAGCAAACTGGCATAGATTTTCCGAGGTTCCTGAAGTGACTGGCAAGGCAGGGCAAGCAAGCAAAGATCCTTGATGAACGTTAGGCTAGTAGAGGTCTTGCAGGATCATGGGGCAAGTGAGGAACCTTTAGAAGTTTTGGCCTCACCTTGGCTTGTTTTAACCTTAAATTATGCCGTTCTTTCAGGCCTACGCCCAGTTCGACTTCACGACGTGCGGCAGCGGAAAGACGTGCGTGCTGAAGCCGGCCAACTGCGGTGCTTCTCCTTCCACATGTACCCAGGGAGTCTCCTTCAAGAGGGCGGTCAGTTTTTACGTTGAAGAAAGGGGAGAGCGAGAGAAAGAGAGAGAGAGAGAGAGAGAGAGAGAGATAGTGGGTGAGAGAGATAGAGAGAGAAGAGAGAGAGCGACGCCTATTCAAGACCTCCCCCTCAAAAATTAGGTTCAGTCGGCATCGTTCCTCGAGATCGAGATGTTCGCCAACAACCTCCCCGCCACGGCCACTTACGACTCGTACATGGCCATCGCCTTCCAGCCCAATAAGTGCGACGACTACGAGAGCAACGGAGTCCCGTGCATGGTAAGTGGCTTAAGTCGTAAGCTGCCCGAGCAAAACCTATGCCATGCCTAAGCCAAGTCTGAGCTAACTCGGTCTTGTAAGCCTAAACCTAAAAAGCATACACATAAGACAAAGCCTTAGCTGAGCCTAATTTTAAGTGGCCATTTCAGGCGAACTCTTCGGTGACGGAGTGCTCGGCGTTGAACGGCAAGCTGATGACCGCCTCGCTGTCGTGGAACAACCTTGACCCCAAGAACGTCCGCATCGACAACGCTGCTGACCTCGCCAAGGCCGTCTCCCTGTCCCTGTCCGCCCTGACGAGCAGCAACGGCCAGACCTACTGCAAGACGATGCAGCGCATCACGGGAGCTCCGCTGAATGGTGTTGCTAACTCTGATAAGGTGAGCATGAACTATCGTTTTTCGACCTGGTCGAGTTGTTGTATTTATCTGACATAACCGGCTTGACTTGATTGTCTTGTCCCACTTAGCGCAGCAAGTCCGCCGACTTGTCGAACTTGATCGCCTTATTCTATGTCACTTTTTAGGTCTTCCAACTCGTCTCCGGCACCCAGTACGCCGTGATGATGGCCGTCGGCCCGGCCAATGGCACCGTCATCGCCCATCACACCGGTGTCGCCATGTCGACCGCCAGGATGATGATCCAGTAGATGAACATCCGCCAAAAATTTCATTGAATTTCCCGATGATCTGTATATACGAATAAAGGGTATGGCTTTTGCCAAGAGTGGAGAGAGCAGTTGTGAACTGCTTGGAGTTCTTGGGGTTTTGCTGAAAACGACGAGGTAGAAGAAAAAATCGGCAGAGCGGAGAGAGCGAGAGACGGAGAGAGAGAGAGAGCGAGAGAGAGAGAGAGAGAGAGAGAGAGAGAGAGAGAGAAGGAGAGCGAGAAAGCAAGAGTGAGAGATAGGGAGAAAGCGAGAGTGAGAGAGAGCGAGAGAGAGAGAGAGAGAGAGAGAGAGAGAGAGAGAGAGAGAGACACAGAGGGAGAAAACAGGTGCTAGAGAAAAGTGATGTTGAAAGTGCCACAGAGAGAGAGAGCGAGAGCGGGAGAGAGCGAGCGAGAGAGAGAGAGAGAGAGCGAGAGACCGAGAAAGGCCATTTTCGCAACGCTCTGTCTCGATAAAAGTTTCCTCTTGTCTCGTCCGGAATATACCAGAATTTACAACCACCCCCGGATTGCCACTTTGCCCCTAAACTCTAATCTCCACGAGAGGGTTCATCGTCAGACCCCGAAAAACCCGTCATTTCGCATGTAATCTTTCAGCGACCAGCAAGCAAAATCCTCGATCCGCCGCTCTCCCTCGAATTCAAAGGTGATAAGCGATCCGCACCCGCCGGCCTCCGAATTTTGGCCCCTATCTTCACGTTTTCGGGGAAAGCGGGAAAGCTTCTAGCCACCTGGATGCTGCGGTCACAAAATACTGGCGTAAGGGCGAAGCGTTCTTTGGCACAAGAAGAAAAAGAATTAGGCGTTCAAGGAACGTGGTAAATTAGGATAGGAAAAGCAGCCGCTGAAACCCGCAAAAACAGAAGGCCAGATGGAATGCACGGCAGTGTAAACACCTCTTCCAGAAAATCCTAAAAAAAGTAAAGTATAATAAAAACCGGCTAATTCATTAGCAGCAAATTCTTAGCTGTTTAGAATTCAAAATTTTCAAAAAAACGGGATTAAAATGTGAAGAGATCACCATCGCTAGAAAACCTGGAAAGAAAAAACGTCGGGTTTTGGCGCCCAAATGCTCATCAAGTTTTGCGTTGTTTTACACAAGCTTAATTCGGGTTCCTCGTCGACATTTTTTAGCTAATAACCGAAAGAACTGCTCGAATGCATAACCAAGAACTATCGCAGGAAGCAGCGCATTTCACGGTTCTCCATGCCTTGCGTCGCCTGCCCCCTTTGCATATGACCTGGAACACTTGCAATGACCCCCGTGCTCAAACATTCTCATGCTCCTCTTGCTCTTTCTCTGGACCTCGACCTCCCCTACGATGCCTGGGGCATTGAGAATTCTCACCTAGCAAAGCGGGCAGCTCAACCGTCCCACAGTGGTGTGACCGTAAATCGGCTCCCGGTGTAGGGTAGGGGAGGGGGGCAAGTCGAGACTTTTTGGGGGACGCATACAAAAACGTGATTTTTCACGCAGTGTCCCTGAACGGAAGGCAAGGGCAGCAGCAGCCAGGCCAGTCAAGGGGGGGGATCAAAGTTGAACCCGGGGTATTTAAGCAGGGGTAGGGAGAGGGTTGAAAGCTCAAATTCACGCAGAGCCACCTGGAATTTCCTCAAAATTCTATTTTTCTCTGAGTTACTTCGTCGAGTCATGAGAAGCTTGATTACTGTATTTTCGGTGCTTCAAATTGTGGGTTTTTGGCCATTTTTGGGAAAAGAGAGAAAAAGAGATAGAGAGAGAGAGAGAGAGAGAGAGAGAGAGAGGGAGAGAAATCAGTTTCGAATTCAGGTCTTCGCGGCCTTCGATCCGTCAGATTGTGGACAAAGCAAAACCTGCCTTGATCACCCAACTGGTTGCTTGGCTGCTGGCATTGCCACCTGTGCTAGTGGCATCGCTTTTAGATCAATTGTAAGTTTTCTTAGCTCCTAGAAGTTCTCTAAAGGAATGCGACTTTTCCTTTAGAGAGTCTCTCTCACACACACTCTCTCTCTCTCTCTCTCTCTCTCTCTCTCTCTCTCTTTCCATGGTAGCTATGCTTTCTCAATTTAAGAAGGAGAGGACAAGGAGGTAATTGTTCCGCTTTGCAGTCCGAAACCGACATCAAAATCGAGTTGTTCTGGAACCCAGATGACGCTACACAAGATGATAATGCTTATTTGGCGGTGGCATTTACCGAGACGTGCGAGGAAAAGTGCATGGTATAAATTAAATCGTATTTTTCGAGGTCTAACTCGGTTAACCTCAATTTCGTATCATAATAGTTAATGAACATAGTTCATGATGATTTTCAAAATTCGCGCAATCCTCATGTAGTAAATTTCAGAAAAACACGAAAGTCTCGGAGTGCTCGCAGTTGATCGGCCAGAGCCCGTCGCTGAAATTCTCGTGGAATAACGATCGGCCGGACAATGAGAGGTTCCCGAATTCAGATGTGGGTGAATTTTGCGGTCACTGGCCCTTTAAAAGCGCTTTTTCATGACTTGAGTCCTGTAAACGTGAAAAGCACTTTTTAAGGACCTCAGCAAGCACATCTTGAAAAATCTAACGTACGGCGTTGAAGGGAAACAGGTAAAATTACCTCGAAATTCAAAAAGGTTGTGTTTTTTTAGATTTACTGTAGCTACCAGCAGACTGTGCTTGGCGTGCCGAGATTGCTGAACGGAATTCAAAATTCAGACAAAGTGGGATTTTTGCAAAATTATCAAAAACGCAAAAAATTTAGGTTTTTGCGGCCGTGAAGGGCAAAAAGTACATGGTGCTGATGGCTGCGGGACCCACGGATGAAAAAGGTATTTGAAATTTAGTAATAACCGTTTTAAATTTTTTAAATCTCTACAAATACTATTATTACAAAGGGCAACAAAGCTTTAGAAAAATTTTTTGAAGTGGAATTTTCTAACTTTAAACTTTGAAACTTAAAAAATTCGGTTTTAGGGTTTAAAACATTCACTAAATCGTCTCGCTACTAACTCCATTTTCAAAAATGCAACCGGTGCTATTTTTAAGATTTCCGCTGTTCTCTAAACCCTAAAACTAATAAAAAGCGATTGCCAGCGACAGGAAGCCCTAGAATTCTTGTACTAACTTAAGAGGCTCTCTAACCTCTCACAAGACACTCTCTAAAGACCATCAATTCCGATGGACAATGTTCTTTCAGGGATGAAGCACCACAAATCGAAGATCTTGAGCAACGAAGCTTTTGAGCTATTCCCTGCTGAAGCTGCGCCGACCACTGTGGTTGCACCGGTTACGGTAGTTGGAGCAGTTTTTAGACAAACGGAAAAGCAATTTTTAGACAACAACCGGCTCGGCTGGCCTGCCTTCGACCTGGATCTCGATGTTGCTTTCATTAATGTGTGTTGTTTTTGGTGTGCTGTAAGAAAATCGATACTTGATATCAAGTCTGCATAAAATAGCGTGGTTTTGGGTATGTAATAAATGAACTATGCCGTTTTAAATCTGAATTACTATTTCAAGGTGAGAGAGCGCAGAGAGATAGATACAGAGAAATAGAGAGAACGAGAGAGAAGAGAGAGCAAAAGAGAGAGAGAGAGAGAGCGAGAGAGAGGCACAGCGAGAACGCGAGCTTTGCTGTCGACGTTTATTTGAGTATTTCTTTTACTATTACTTTTCTATTTTTAAAATCTATATCAACGGGTTTTATCCGGCTAGACGCTGTCAAGACCTAGTCGACGAATAGGTCGATTCTGGCGCTGTCTAATCCCTTTAAAAAAAATTGTAATAATCAAGCGACTCGTAGTGGTTTGACTGTTTTGTGGCATTCTCTCTCTCTCTCTCTCTCTCTCTCTCTCTCTCTCTCTCTCTCTCCCTCTCTCTCTCCCTCTCTGCCTCTCTCTCTTACTCTTGCCTCTCTCTTTCTCTCCTTGTCTTTCTCTCTCTCTATCTCTCTCTCTCTCCCCTCTCTCGCTCGTTCTCTCTCCCTCCAGACAAACACAAACCATATTATTCAAATTTCGAACCCTCCTAGACTCCATTTAAAATCCTCAAAAAACCAGTTTGATCACCTGTGAAGCCGGCCGGGGGTGGGTGTGTTGTGACGGGGGCCCTGGGGCCTAATCCCCGGGGGCCCAAGCGCTAATTGTTCACCTGGGTACTTTTTCGACTACCGCCGGTGCTGAGCAAAGAAAATCACCGCCCCGAGGCAGTTCCACTCATTTCCACCGCCCCTACCTGTCCGCGTTTTTTCCAATTTCCGGGGGACGACCTGGGTGCTCGGTGTGGGAGATTTCTAGTTTTGGAACTTCCGCTTTTGGCTCTTGGCCTCAGAAATCGGTTTCTCACAAGTTTCGGAACTATTTTTGGGTCCTGAGAAAAACGTGCCGATCGTCATTGACAGAACTAGGTGGATTTTGAGTCATGTAGGCATAATTATGCGGGTCTAAGGCTTAGGGCTAAGCCTAAACATAAGCCTAAGCCGAAGCTTTACCAAAGCCTAAGCGATACCTAAGCCTTAGCCGAAGCCTAGAGCCACGCAAGCTTAATCCTAGGACCAAGCCTAAGCCCAAGCCTAAGCCCAAGCCTAAGCCCAAGCCTAAGCCCAAGCCTAAGCCCAAGCCTAAGCCCAAGCCTAAGCCCAAGCCTAAGCCCAAGCCTAAGCCCAAGCCTAAGCCCAAGCCTAAGCCCAAGCCTAAGCCCAAGCCTAAGCCCAAGCCTAAGCCCAAGCCTACGCCCAAGCCTAAGCCCTAGAACGAACTCTAAGCCCTTGCGTGTCTATGGTTCTATTCACTTATTCTTTTTTCATCCTTTCGTTCTTTCCTTTTCTGCCTATAGCGTCCCAAATTAAAAAAAAATGTTGTTGAAGAGAGTTTTGGCCAGTCGAATCACACACAATATAGGCGCCCAGAACACATAGTATTTTTTGTGCAAATTCTTCGACTCTTGTGCACCGAAATCTAGTGACGGGAGCCTGTCTGGGATGTACCGTCTGCGCACAAAAACTCGGCGACAGTCGGGTTAAGTTTTACGACCAGCCGGCGCTTAAAAACACCCAAAAGTCCATTACCGGAGTGAGTACTGTTCCGTAACTCCTGTGAATGGCAGGTGCTTGTCGGAATTTTGATAGTTTTTGCCATTCGTATGCGTCTCGTCAACTTTTTCCTTACTATGTAATTTTTTTGTAGGTCTCTCCAAAATTGGTTTCGCTGCTTATAAACGTCTAAACTTCACAAATCTGATTTTGACGAACAATTAAAAAGTTCAATTTCTGGGATTTCATCGAAGTTTTTGAATAGTGGTTCTACTCGCAGTATAATGAAATTTTATTAAAAAAATTTTTTGGAACACTGCTATTATACTAGTCATTTCTCTATACAAACATACCCCCCCCCCGATAATGGGAAAGAACGGTGTCGCTTAAATCCAAATTTCGACACCGTTTTCCCGAGTGATTCTGAGGGTAGAACTCTTATACTGCTTGACTAGTTAAAAAGAGAAACAGAGAGAGAGAGAGAGCGAGACAGAGAGAGAGAGAGAGAGAGAGAGAGAGAGAGAGAGAGAGAGAGAGAGAAAGAGAGAGAGGCAGGCACATAAAAAGCAATTTATCCAGACATCCCCGATACCTAGATTCGCCTATGGCTTCCCAATATTTTTGCCAAGTCTTGTGTTTGGTGGGGCATGGCGGGCAGAAGCGACTACGTTGCCTTCGGAGATGTCAAACGGAATTTCATGTAAATATTTTTACTGAAAGGTGCAAGTTCCACAGGTTTCTTCTTCTTGCAGATTGTGAAAAATCTCAAACCTTGCTGAAAGCTTGGCAAAGAATTTTTGTGTGAATTTTAATGCTAGTTTCAAACAGAAAATGATTTTAAACTTTATAGCGTTACAAAGCTTTAAAGCACAGGATATTTTTGTAAAATTATGGTTTGAAACCATTCTCTGCATTTTTATAATTTGGCTTATCCGTTTCAAGGTAAGGTTTTCGGAACTTTTTTTATAATTTTTTAAAGCTTTTTCTTTCACTTTGCCTTTTTTATCAAATGTTATAAATGCCTTACTCCCATTTCGAATTTTACGAAACCCCAAAATTCATTAGGCGAGATGTCAGTAATTTCAGTGCTCCCGCCGTCCCCAGCGATTTGAGGTGATTCAGATTTCCGGCTGGTCCGCCTGCGCAAACAAATCCGGCTGAACCCCCGATCCGGAAAAACTGTTCCAAAATTCGATTTGTCATTACTTCTAAAGCCACGCGATGCGGCTGCTTACTTTTGTCGTTTTCTGAATACTTTTTCACTGAATTTTTCTTAATTCTAGGTCCCCCAGGACCCCCTAATTTTCGGTGTTTTCGAATTTACGGACTTTTAGAAGTACAAAGCCTGGTTTTCGGCACAGCTACGCAATGAGGAGCCACGCGGAAATGCTGGGATTGATATTGTCGGCATTAATCGGAATGGTGAGTATTTTAAAGGACACACTCTCGCTCTCTCTAACTTTCTCTGTCTCTTTCCATATCACTCTCTCTCCCGCTCTCTCTGCGCGCTCTCTCTCTCTCTCACGCTCTCTCTCGCTCTGCTCAAAATAGAATGCTTGCAGCCACAGCTAGTTCGCGTCATTCCTGATATTTTTGGGGTGCTTGCCGAGTAATTTCATTTTTACCGAACGCGACGGGCATTAAGAGAGAGAGGCAGAGAGAGAGAGAGAGAGAGAGAGAGAGAGAGAGAGAGAGAGCAGAGATAGGTGGAAGGGAGCCAGACAACGATAGAAAGAGAAAATGAGAACTAGATAGAAAAAACCCTGTCTAGGTCCTCGCTGACGGCGAAGCCAGCTTCAACTTCACCGAATGCTCCACCGGCGTAAAGACCTGTATTTTGAAACCGCTTGGCTGTGAGGTCAATTCAACGAACTGTCTACACGGCGTCTCATTGAGACAAACGGTAAGAAGAGCGAGAGAACGAGAGAGCGAGAGAGAGAGAAGGAGCGTCAAGTTTCAGGGCCAGAAAACGCTGGAAATCGAGATGTTCGCTAACAACCTGACGCAAAATGGCTGGATGGCGGTTGCTTTTCAGGGACAGGCCTGCAAGCAGATTGAGAATGAGGGCGGCGCATGCATGGTAAATACAGAGCAATTAGTGGGATCAAATGGACAAAAATCCAAGTATTATACGTTACACTACGTTATACAAAACACCGAAGGGCAGACGCCTAATCAAATAAAAAAAATCAAGCCTAATCAAAGCAGGACTTCCGCTGGGAAAATTGCTAACTAATATTGCAGTTGGAAAAATCCTGAAAATTTTTGTTTGAGGCTTCAACCCCAGTCACCGAGTGCTCATGGGTGAACCAGAACAACCTGATGGGGTCGCTGTCTTGGAATGACGCTCAGCCTAAGAATGTCAGGATCGCCAATGTTGATGTGAGTTGTCGAATACGTCTGAAACTGCACACTAAAGATACCTTGGAGGTTGCGAGGCAGCGAGGGCGAGGGGAGAGGAAGCGAGAGAGAGAGAGAGAGGGAGAGAGCGAGAGAGAGAGAGAGAGAGAGGGAGAAAGAGAGAGAGAGAGAGAGAGAGAGAGAGAGAGAGAGAAAGCGGGCAAGAGAGAAATCTATCGAGACAGAGAGAAGGACAGTGAGACAGGAGGAGCGAGAAAGAAAGAACCAGAATTAGAGAAACTGAAAATATTCACAACGTCTAGGAAGTCTTTATATATTTCCATTTCCAGGGCCTGATGAAAGCCGCCAACTTCACGACCCTTATCGCCACCCAAATAGGGTCTATGACGTATTGTAAAGTTTCTCAGCTTGTATCGCAGGCTCCTTTGACGGGGGTGGCCGACATGGATAAGGTGAGGAACAGCGTCTCTTCCAAAACTGCTTTTTTTTGAGGTATTCCAAGCGAACCCAGCCCTGAACTACACAATTTTAAATGCTGTTGGGCCCGGCAATGGGACAGGTAGGTTCTCGCTCTCTCTCTCTCTCTCACTCTCTCGCTCACCCTCTGCATCCTGTCGTTCTTGTCTCTCACGCATAGGCAGACTCTTTATAGGTAACACACTCGCATTACTAATCTCGGTCCCTCTTTCGTTTCAATTCTCAAGCTCATTCTCACTCTCAGGCTCGTCCTCACCCTCTCGCTCTCTCTCTCTCTGTCTTGCTCGCCCCCCCGATATAAACCTTTTTGCAGTGCTGGCCATCCACACATCCACCAATCTCTCGCCAACCCGGATCCCCATCGTGTTCGCCAATTCCAATGAGACTACGGTCGCCTCAACGCCTGAAACGACAACCCCAGTGACGGCAGCAATAACGGAAGTGACCACACCCATTCCGCTTGTCACCACCACAAAAATTGCAGCTAATTTATTCCATTTCTGGCCAATTTCTATGATTGTATTTTTATGCTTTCAGGTTCGATAAATTTTAAGCGTCAAAGAAGGGCAGGAGTGGGACAAGAGAGCGAGAGAGAGAGAGAGAGAGAAAGAAAGTGATAGATAGTGAGACTAATAGAGGGTGAGGGAGTGTGAGGAGAGGGTGATGAGAGAGAAAGCGAGAGTGGATGAGGTAGCACAAGAGAGCGAGAGAGAGGGCGAAAAGAGAGAGAGAGAAATAGAGGGAGAAAGATAGAGAGAGAGTATAGGCGAGAGAGAGTGCGAGAGTGCAACGCAATTTATACCGGAAATCAAAATTTAGACGACGAATTAACTAGAACTTACGCTTTTTTGAATTGGATTTTCTTGACGGCGCTCCTCGACTGGTCGTGCCCCGGCGCGAACCTGTTGGGGTCGAGAAGCTGGACACCAATCTCTATCCCCCTCTCTTTCTCTCTCTCGCTCCACCTCTCTCTCTCTCACTCTCTCTCTCTCTTTCTCGCTCGCTCTCTCGCTCTATCGCACTCTCTCTTACGCTTGCTCGCGAGAAAACCAAAAAATCTAAATCTCGAAAAAATCCGAAAAATCATGATTACTAAATCTCGGTTGGGCTCCTTTTCGACCAAACGCATTTCCGCACTACTTCTGGTGTTCTTTCGCTCTTGCAAATACAAAAACGCCGAAAATATGCCTGAAGTTTGCGTACACCAGGTGTTCCCAAAATTTGCAGGCGATTCCGATATTTGCATCCACATTTGCGTGGGTTCCTGTCCCAAAACGCCAAAATTTTCCTCGTCGACCATTCAACGCCTCGCCGACTTGCTCAAGATGGTCTCCTGCCTGGCGCCGCTTCTGCTGCTCGTCTTCGCCGGTTCTGTCGTCCCTGATGATGAACCGACCGTGGGTCTCGCCGACCAAACCAAGGCTTAGGCTTGGGTTTGGGCTTAGGCTTAGGCTTAGGCTTAGGCTTAGGCTTAGGCTTAGGTTAGGCTTAGGCTTAGGCTTAGGCTTAGGGCTTAGGCTTAAACTTATGTTTAGGCTGAGGCTTCGGCCAAGGCTTTGGCTTAGCTTTAGGCTTATGTTTATGCTTCGGCATAAGCTTAGGTTGAGGCTTAGGTTGAGGCTTGAGCTTAGGTTTCTTTAGAGCAAGCAAAACCGCCCATTCCAGCTTCTCGTCTGCGACATCACCGGCTGGCCGTGGCACCCGGAACGCGGATGTAAGGGGGTGGAGCGTAAACTCGTCCCCGTCACCGAGACACGGCCGCTTGGCGACTGGGGAGTCGCGTTCAACGAAAGGGTCACCACTGCTGATGGCAAAAAGTATAGCATCGCCTACGGTGGGTGGCAGTCTCCGCGGAAACCGACTTTTCGATGCCGGGCGAATTGGTCTAAAACGTTTATAACTTTTGGTTAAAAGCGAGTCCGAATCGTCTTTCAACGGGAAACGCAAGAACTCGACCAGATCTATCGATTCCAGTCGAAAAATCGACATTTTGTTTAGTTACCGTAAAGTGAAATTTAGCCAAAATCTAGGCTTGGGCCGAAAAAGTTCGGTCCCCCCCCCCCCCCCCCGGAATACTCAAGCACCCTAAAACGATATAAAACGCAATCAAAATGGTTTTGATTTGTGTCATAGGGAATCACAGGGAAAAATCTAGGTCCAGAACCGATTTGACTTTGATTCGATTGCAGCTTGCGCTCTACACCCGCAGAAGGACTCCGTGAGCTACTGCCGCACCATCTGGACCGGGGAGTAATTGTTAGCTCACCGAAAGACCCTTTTGTTCAGGCAAAAAAAGAAACAAAAAACCTTTCAGGCCACGAGGACATTGATGCCGATCCGCGCGGATGCTATAAATATGTTTGGAAGGAAAAGCCGCACCGCTGGGCCGATTGTGGTAGGGGGCAGATCCTATCCTATAAGCGAGAAAAGTATGTCTGTTTTCTGTAATGAGGATTTCTCGGCCGTGAGGCCGAATTTCGAGCTGATTTTTGGCATGAAGGTGGAGAAACACATTTTTCAGACACGTATTTTTTTTGTTTTGCGAAATTCTTTCATTTAACGGTTTTACAAGCAAAATAGTGAAAATCCTTAACAAAATGGGCCAATGGCCGTGGTGTCCGGGGCATAACTCGATTCGCATTTGGAATTTCGAGCTGAAATTTGGACCAGTTATGTATTCGATGGTGGGGATCACGCGCATCTTATTATCTTTACAAATTTTTTGCAGATTCAGACCAAAAAACTTAATTTTGTAAAGTGACCAGAAGGCCTCCCTTCCGGGCAGGCCCGTACGAGGGGAGGGGCACCGGGGGCACGGTGCCCCCCCCCGAAATCGGTCGAGGTCCGAAAAGTTCATAAGGGGGGACCCTTATGTTTTTTTTCGCAAAAATTTTTCTGTCTGCGGCGCTGTTTATCACTGTTTCGACACAATTTTTGCTTCTAGAAAACCTATTTTTCTAAAATTTTTTGCCTGCGGCGCTAGTTTTCATTTTGAAAGTGGCGACCGGGGGGAGGTCGCCAAAATTTTTTTGGGTGGGTGCCCCCCGAAATCTCGGCTCCCGTACGGGCCTGGCTCTCGGTATGCGAGGTTTAGGCCTGGCTCTCGCTCTAGCGCCGCAGGCCCAAGGGAAAGTCCTTGCCCAGGGCCCCCCCCCCGCGCCGCACGCCAGATCCTGGAGAAAAAGCGGTAACTAGCGCCGCAGGCTCAAAGGTTCTAGCGGAACGCTGGCTCTAGCGCCGCAGGCTAAAAGAAGAATGTATTCAAATTCATGATTTCTAGACGGGGTCCAGTGGAAAATGGCCGCGAAGCGGTCTTTTTCCACTGGTGTTTTTATAAATGCTTAATCCTACCTTTGGCTACGGTTTACTTTACCCCTTTTTTCTATAGTTTCGCTATTTTTTTGGACATTTTCGATACGCCATTTGATAGAGCATCAAAAAATATACTCAGTTTTAATTTCAGCCCAAAATAATGCAATATAAAATAGTTACAGCAAAAACATGATTTAAACGCGATTTCCCCTATAGGAACACGACGCGCAAAGCTAGTTTTCGACATTTTCGACATTTTTACATAATTTCTTTAGCGCCATTCGATAGAGCGTCAAAAAATAAACTAACAAGGAGTGCCTTTGGGTGTCATCGGCAAATCCCTTCGAGACCTAGCTCATTCCATAGAGAATTGAATTCTGAACAACCCCTCGTCGTCCATTTTTGCAGAATGCCTTTCTTTGATTTTATAAAATTAAAAAACTAGAGTGCGAAAATCCAATAGTTCCTCGGTTGCTGTCGCCAGACAAGCGCCCAGCAGCCCTAGGTGAAGTGCCCACGGGTGCGCCCTCACTCATCATCGCCGATGGCGCAGCGGTTAACGCATCTGCCTACGAAGTTTTTTTTGCCTTTGGTTGAAGGTTCAGTTCTTTTATGCGTGTTTCCTTTTGCGTTTTGAACCTTAATTATATTTCCACACCTTTTAGGCATTTCTGGGTCACGGTGGAGGCATTAGCAACGTTTCCACGTTGGGCTAGGACAAGAAATCAGGACATTTCTCTGGTCAAAATTTTCGCTGGGACTGTGACGGCCAATTTCAATTATTCAGATTCTGAAAACGCTCTGAAAGTGACAAGTGTTTTTAAAAAACAAAAAGCAAAAGTAATTACCAATAACCGAATCGAACTAGCAACCCGAAGCAAAAAAAAGTTTGGAAGACCGACGCTCTAGCCACTGTGCCACGTCTAGCGGTGGGAAGAGGGGACCGGAGGGCCTCTTCCCCTTGGGGCTCGCTCGGGGCAGCAACGTGCCGACGTGGACGCATAAATTCTTTTTTTAGTTTTTTAATTTTATAAAATCAAAGAAAGGCATTCTGCAAAAATGGACGCCGAGAGGTTGTTCAGAATTCAATTCTCTATCGAATGAGCTAGGTCTTGAAGGGGATTTGCCGATGACACTCAAAAGGCACCCCTTGTAAGAGTGATGTCACAAGGACCATATTTCAGCCTTCGAATAGCGGGGAGAGCAGACTTGTCGGCACACAACATTTATTCAGAAGTGGCCCCGGTGGGGGCGCACCTCGTAGGTCCATGTGAGGCCGGGGGAAGAGACGGGGGGCGAGTGGTAGCAGATGACTGGACGCTGATCACATCGAGAAGCGGGCTTATTATATACCAGACAACACACGCAAATCAACGTGTAAACGAAGGGGATAAATGGTAATCGGGTTTGGTCTTCCGGTATTCGGCGCGCGGATGCAGTCGCGGGATCGCGACAAGTAAAGACTAACAAGGGAAGTGCACGACCGGCCCACGAGAAATCGACACGAGACATAGTGGATCTGATAGAATCGGCCACGAGGATTCCGAATCTGTAATCAGAATTTGCTAAATAAAACGGAGAAAAAAGTTATGAAGCATCAAAGTTGGCCAAATCGCCAAAAACGGTACATTTAAGAGCCCGTAAAAACCGGGGGAACGGAATTGAGGAGAAAAGAATTAGTGCAGCTTGTTCAGCAGAAAAAGCGCTTTCGAATGAGCTGTAATACGTAGCATTTGCAAACAATTCACTGAAAAAAGTTTTTTTGGATTCACGGGCAAGGGTATGGCCTGTCAAGTTCATTGAAGAGATTTTCGCGAAATCATCGTAAACTTGAAGTAAGATAGCTCATTCGAAAGCGCTTTTTCTGCTGAACAATATGCACTAATGGGTTGTGGCAAATTTCCATTCCCTGGGCTTTTACAGGCCCATAAAAGTCCGATTTTGGGCGATTTTACCAACTTTGAAGCCTCATAACTTTTTTCTCCGTTTTATTTAGCAAATTCTGATTACAGATTCGGAATCCCCGTGTCCGATTCTATCAGATCCACTATGTCTCGTGTCGATTTCTCGTGGGCCGGTCCTGCACTTCCCTTGTAAGAGTAAGAGTACTAAGCGGAATCGATCCTCCTCTTTCCGATGGTGTTTTCAGAATTTTGACAAAATACAAGTTTACAAAGTTAAAGCCCGTTTTATTCATTTCTCTCAGTAATTTGCATAATGTGAAAAAATATAAATTTCCTCTATCTTGTAAGTTGCACTCGCGGGTTTGGTCGGGAGAGGGGAGGGCTCCGAAGGACTCGAGCTACCGGAAAGTCAAATTCCTTAAGCAAATACAGCATTCCAGCGCCCAATCACCGCGAAGCGGGTTTCCTCTATCTTGTAAGTTGAGTTAGAGTGCAGTTTACTTCCAGAAGCGTCTAACTCGAAGCGTGACGACCAAGTGAAGGAGGATGGTGTTACCAAGGGGCCTCTGACGTTTGTCGAAGGCGCCAGGGAGAGCCCGGCCATGGCGGAGCTGCACAACCTCTATATTGACAACCGGGTTGGTGGCTTTGCGCAAAGCTTAGGCTGACAAGGGAAGGGCGCGGGCGCTTTTTTCGATTTTTTTCAATTTGGATTATATTTCCATTTTCCGATTTTTTGTGATAGCTAAATCGGTACTGTTCCATTTCGAGATACGATCGTTCTAGAGGCTTTTAGAGCCTAGGCCTAGATCTGCCCCTAGCCCAAACCAAACCCACCAAACATTTGGCCTCTGATGTTCCCCAACGGTCCGATATGATGACCAAATGAACCCTTGCAGACTGAATTGGGCTACGCCAAGTACTTCGACCGAGCTGCCGACTTCGTATATAAGGTTGATGCTCATGGACCAGGGCTTAATTGTTTTTAATGATAGGATGAATGGCTGCCGACAACGACGACCACCACCACGGAAGCCACGACCACCACCACGGAAGAGACGACCACGACGGAAGAGACGACGACCACGGAAGAGACGACCACGACGGAAGAGTCAACCAGTGTTACTGCTCCCCTGGATACCGCAACGAACACCTCGCAGACGGCCGGCAATGAAGAGAAGTGGGTAAAGACGCGGTGCTGGGCCGTTAGCGGCGGGGCGTGCCAATTTTTATAATATTTTTTATTGGGATTTAACTGTAATTCAAGTAGTAAAACTTTCAAAAAGCTGTAACATTGTTTGAAAAAGGCGAAAATTTGGTCATTTTGGGTCGAAAAAAATCAATTTTTCGGCCGAAGATTCTTAATCAAAATTTTGAAAATTTTGAAGCAGAAATAGTTAGTAAAAATCCAGGACCGCCACGTTTAAAAAAAAACTTTTAAAGCAAAACCCGGGAACAAGAAATAATATTTTCACCCCACTGACCCCCGCTAATAGTATCATCCCCATCCCAGATCGGAGGACGACCCGACGATGATCATCGTGGGCGTCGGCGTGGTTGTCCTGATCGTCGTCGTCGTCATCATCATTGTTGTCGTCCTGAAGGGAAAAGGTGAGCAGCAGCCACTTAACTCTCATGCTCGCATTTTCCAGGCGGCGGCAAGCAGGGCGACAAGGCCAAGACGGAGTCGAATACGGAGAGCGGCGAGAACCCGCCGGCCCCTGACGCCCCTGACGGTATGCCGCCCGTCGTGATGTAGACGCAAGGAGGGACGTCGTCTACTCGCCGTCCGACATGACCGACGCGACGTCCCCGCGACGCTAGAGAACCATCAAACAACCGAGTTTTCTAGAGCTCCCACGCCCCGCCCCCTATGTTTTGTGCATCTTTTCTTGCCCCGCACCCGGCCCTCTCTTTTTTGCTAGTCATCATTTCTTCGTTGTGTAATGTTGTGTGTATGGTGTTAAATGATAAAGTGTCCCCTCCTCAGGAAGTGGAATGTATGAATGATACTACCGCAATGCTCTAATCCGTGGTCTGTGCTTGCCAAGTAATTTCATTTTTACCGAACGCGACGGGCATTAAGAGAGAGAGAGAGAGAGAGAGAGAGAGAGAGAGAGAGATCAGGGGCAGAGAGCGAGACAGCGATAGAAAGAGAAAATGAGAACTAAATAGAAAAAACCCTGACTAGGTTCTCGCTGACGGCGAAGCCAGCTTCAACTTCACCGAATGCACCACCGGCGTAAAGACGTGTATTTTGAAACCGCTCGGCTGTGAGGTCAATTCAACCAACTGTCTACACGGCGTCACGTTGAGACAAACGGTAAGGAGAGCGAGAGAACTTCCATGCATGTATGCAGGCCCGTAGCGGAACCGAAATTTCGGGGGCCCAAAAATTTTGGTGACCCCCCGGTCGCCACTTTTAAAACATCCGAAAATCGCGTCAATAATAGCGCCGCAGGCAAAAAAAAAGCGAAAAAGCGTTCGATATACTCAAATTCGTGTGAAAACACGGCCGAAAACGCGCCGCAGGCGAAAATTTTTTAAGAACAATTGATTCACCAATGAAAAACCAGCGCCGCAGGCAAAAAATTTTGAAAAAATAGGCTTCAAAGAAGCAAAAACTGTTAGAAAAACAGTAATAAACAGCGCCGCAGGCAGAAAAATTTTTGTAACTAAAAATCATAAGGGTCCCCCCTTATGAATTTTTCGGACCTCGACCGATTTCGGGGGGGGCAGGGCCACTGCCCCCTCCTACGGGCCTGCATGTATGCATGCGACTTCCGTCAGCGTGTTCCAGTAGCATCTCAGTAAGGGGGGTAGTTAGGGTTATGTATGATACGTCATTAGGTGCACAATGATCCGGAGATGACTGCACACTTATAAGATTTTACAAAATCAGCTATTTTCAACGTTACATTTAAGTTTTTGTAAAAATTTCGGACACCCTCTTTGTTAGGAAATAAGTAACATACACCGGAAGTGATGATATCGTCAAAACAAGAAATTTTATAAACTTTTGACCGCCACTGTAAACCCCGGGGTTATATTAGACGAAATACGGTATGTAATAAAATCAACGGGAGCGCACTACGGTCAACGGTTATGAATTCAAAGTTCAAAGACGGCAAAATGGCGAAAAACAGTCTCTTTGAGATGAGATGGAATTTAGCCTAAACTGATTAATGTTCCATGTTAAACCAAGAAATCGCTCTCAAATAAGCCGTATTTCATATGACTGCCCAAATTTCCGCAAAAAATCTTTTTTTTAATGGCAGTGTAAGGGTAAGGCCAGTTTGCCGAAGACTTTTCGAGAATTTCACGTAAAGTAAGATGGCTCATTCGAAAGTGAATTTTCTGCTCAGTAAGATGTACTGTTCCTTTTTTTTGACAAATTACATTCTTGGAATTCTTACAGTCTTAAAGTGGTGGTTTTTGCCGATTTTGCCAACTTTAAGTTAGAGTGCGTCCAATTCTGAATCCCCGGTCGTTATTTTTATCACCGCTGGCCCTTTTTAGGTGTCCCACAGTCAAGGAAAACTTATTGCCGAGTTTGGAAATGCAAAAGGAAGAAACCGGTCCAAAAGCAAAAAATTAAAGGCGTGAGTGAATCCGAAGCTATAAAAACTTAAACTTAAAACTTTCCCATAACGTTTTTTCGTTTTCGGCATTTTTGATGCTCTTTCTGATCCAAAATCAAGAGCGCCGCCTAAGTGAAAACACTGTAATTAGAGCCCGAAATTTGCATGCACCGGAAGTGTCCGAAATTTACAGGTGAATGCGCCGTTTGCATCTTCATTTGCGTCTTGCTGTTCCAAAAAGCAAAAATTTTGCGGGTCGGCCATTGATCGCCTCGCCGACTTGGTCAAGATGGTCACCCGCCTGGCGCCGCTTCTGCTGCTCGTCTTCGCCGGTTCTGTCGTCCCTGATGATGCACCGACCGTGGGTCTCGCTGTCCAAGCCCAGGCTTAGGCTTGGGCTTAGGCTGATGCTGAAGCTTAAGCCGGGGCTTGGGCTTGGGCTTAGGCTTAGGCTTGGGCTTATGTTTAAGCTTAGGCATAAGCTTAGGTTGAGGCTTTAGTTGCAGCTTAGGTTGCGGCTTAGGCTGAGGCACATGCTTAGGTTTAGCTTTAGGCTTAGGCTTAAGCTTATGTTTAGGCTTAGGCTTAAGCTTAGGCTAAGGCTTAGGTTGAGGCTTGGGCTTAGGCTTCTTTAGATTCTACAAATACAAAACCGCCCATTCCAGCTGCTCGTCTGTGACATCACCGGCTGGCCGTGGCACCCGGAACGCGGATGTAAGGGGGTGGACCGTAAACTCGTCCCCGTCAATAAGACACGGCCGCTTGGCGACTGGGGAGTCGCGTTCAACGAAAGGGTCACCACTGCTGATGGGAAAAAGTATAGCATCGCCTACGGTGGGTGACAGTTGTCGAAAAAAATTGATTTTTCGACCTAAAATTAAATTTTTAAGCTAAACTCCAGATAACCCCCCCCCCCCCCCCCAGCCGACCCCCAACTACCGTATCTCGTCTCCCTGTTCATCTACAGGTGTATAAAGTATCCCAAAATACTCGCCACTGCAAGACGAACATTTTGGTATACTTTACACACCTGTAGATGAACAGGGAGCCGAGATACAAAAGTTGGGTGCTGGCTGGGGGGGGGGGGTTATCTGGAGTGTTACCAATTTTTAAATTAAAGTTTGTAAAGTTTTTATGCTGCTGCACTTCCACTATTTATATATAAAAGGGGGGGGGGGCCCGGCCGCTTCGCTGGCCTTGGCGCACCCATTTCGATACCTTGTACAAGCTCGCACCCATCCGAAGCGACTAGGCCCCCGGTGGCACGAAGCCTTTTTCTAGTCGCAGAGCGGAAGAAGTAGCGATCACTTGCCTCCAAAGCTTTTCCTACGCCTTTTGCATCGGTCCCATATTTGGTATCCCAGTACGTTCACAACTATTACGTTTTTTGCCGTGCAAAGGAGTCCCTCGTAGCCGAAACCGACTTTTCGATGCAGGTCGAATTGGTTTAAAATGTTTATAACTTTCTTTAGAAGCGAGTCCCGATAGTTTTTTCTACTGGAAACGCAAGAACTCGACGAGATCTATCGATTCCAGTCGAGTCAAACATTTTTAGTTACCGTAAAGTGAAATTTAGCCAAAATCTTGGCTTGGGCCGAAAAAGTTCGGTCCCCCCCCCCCCCCGGAATACTCAAGCACCCTAAAACGATATAAAACGCAATCAAAGTGGTTTTCATTTGTGTCATAGGGAACGACAAGGAAAAATCGAGGTCCAGAAACGATTTGACTTTGATTCGATTGCAGCTTGCGCTCTACACCCGCAGAAGCCCGACTACGTGAGCTACTGCCGCACCATCTGGAACGGGGAGTAATTGTTAGCTCACCGAAAAACCCTTTTGTTCAGAAAAAAAAAGAAAACAAAAAACCTTTCAGGCCAGAAGAGCATTCCTGCCGTTCCGCGCGGATGCTGGAAACATGCTTGGAAACGGGATCCGGACCGCTGGGCTGAATGTGGTAGGAGCAGTTTTTATTAATGCTTAATCCTACCTTATATAATTTTGGCGTGTCTGTAGGTGTGTGTGTGTCTGTCTCTGTCACTTTAAGGGCCTTACCCGATTTAAGGGCCTTCCCGTGCATAAAATTCGCTAATTATCCGTCACTAGGAGGAATCTACCCACCTCTTTCCGATGGCCAGCACAGAATTTTGATAAAATTTTTTTGGCCCTAAATTTTTTTCCTAAATAGCGCATGCGTTTCTAAATGGTTTTTAACTATTCGTGAGCATAAAAACTATCCACACTTTAATTAACATTTAATTTTAGGCCGGAAAATCCTCTAAAACTATTAGGATTAGCGTGGCGGAAAGACCCTGGTCAAAATTTCCACCTTTTCAAACATTTTTCTAACACTTTCGAAAATTTTTCTGCTTTAAATATAGTTAAAATTTACTAAAAACAATGTGAAAACACTCTATATTTGATTACTAGGTCAAGGGAAAACCAGTAAAAAATTTGGGTTCCCCCCCCTCCCCCGGAAATCCTAAAGAACCAGTAGGATTACTTAATACGACTTTTGGTTAGAGTGCCGTTTACTTCCAGAATCGGCTAACACGCAGAGTCAGAGCGTCGTCGACAAGGATGGTGTTATCAAGGGGGGATCTGACTTTTGTCGAAGGCGCCAGGGAGAGCCCGGCCATGGCGGAGCTGCACAACCTCTATATTGGCGGCCAGGTTGGTGGCTTTGCGCAAAGCTTAGACTTACAAGGGAAGGGCGCGGAGGCTTTTTTTCAATTTTTTCAATTCGGATTATATCAGGTTGGAAAGAAAGTAAGCACAAAATCTTTAAACCGCTGTAAAAACCCACAGGAACGTCCGATTTGAAAGTATGTTATATGGTTTGGTAGATCTTCGGATGCTCTATCACGAGACGACCCTCAAAACACCCAAAAACTAATGTACGCGAAAATAAAGGCCTCAGAAGTTTCGCAGAAAATTCGGTTAAAGCTTCCAAGCGAGATATCTCTGCATACAGGCATTTGCATACGATACTTTTAACACCAATCGATAGCCTTCGAGGAGTAGATATCGATAGATGTTGAGACCATCAAAATCGGACACTGGATGGCCGAGATATGGGCCTTCAATGCATTTTCTGAATTTTGGTTCGGGAGCTGAAGCAAACGCAGCAGTTTTTGGCTCGCGCAGGCCAAAATGTATGGGATTTAGAGAAAAGTTCTAACAGGTGATTGTAAATTTCTAGGGGGCATATTTCGGCCATCCAGTGTCCGATTTTGATGATCTCAACAGCTATCGAAATCTACTCCTCGAGGGCTATCGATTGGTGTTAAAAGTATCGTATGCAAATGCCTGTATGCAGAGATATCTCGCTTGGAAGCTTTAACCGAATTTTCTGCGAAACTTCTGAGGCCTTTATTTTTGCGTACATTAGTTTTTGAGTGTTTTGACGGTCGTCTCGTGATAGAGCATCCGAAGATCTACCAAACCATATAACATACTTTCAAATCGGACGTTCCTGTGGGTTTTTACAGCGGTTTAAAGATTTTGTGCCATTACTTTCTTTCCAACCTGAGATTTCCATTTTCCGATTTTTCGTGATAGTTAAATGGGTACTGTTCCATTTCGAGATACGATCGTTCTAGAGGCCTTTAAAGCCTAGGCCTAGCCTTAGCCCAAACCAAAACCACCAACAGTTTGGCCTCTGATGTTCCCCAACGGTCCGATACGCTGACCAATGAACCCTTGCAGACTCAATTGGGCTACGCCAAGTACTTCGACCGAGCTGCCGACTTTGTATATAAGGTTGATGCTCATGGACCAGGGCTTAATTGTTTTTGATGATAGGATCATTGGCTGCCGACAACGACGACCACCACCACGGAAGCCACGACCACCACCACGGAAGAGACGACCACGACGGAAGAGACGACGACCACGGAAGTGACCACCACCACGGAAGAGCCAACCAGTGTTACTGCTCCGTTGGATACCGCCACGAACACCTCGCAGACGGCCGGCAATGAAGAGAAGTGGGTAAAGACGCGGTGCTGGGCCGTTAGCGGCGGGGCGTGCCAATTTTTATAATATTTTTTATTGGGATTTAACTATAATTCAAGTAGTAAAACTTTCAAAAAGCTGTAACATTGTTTGAAAAAGGCGAAAATTTGGTCATTTTGGGTCGAAAAAAATCAATTTTTCGGCCGAAGATTCTTAATCAAAATTTTGAAAATTTTGAAGCAGAAATAGTTAGTAAAAATCCAGGACCGCCACGTTTAAAAAAAAACTTTTAAAGCAAAACCCGGGAACAAAAAAATAATATTTTAACCCCACAGACCCCCGCTAATAGTACAGTACCAACCCTATCATCCCCATCCCAGATCGGAGGACGACCCGACGATGATCATCGTGGGCGTCGGCGTGGTTGTCGTGCTCGTCGTCGTCGTCATCATCATTGTTGTCGTCCTGAAGGGAAAAGGTGAGCAGCAGCCACCGAACCCTTATGCTCCCATTTGCCAGGCGGCGGCAAGAAGGGCAAGAAGGGCGACAAGACCAAGACCGAGTCGAACACGGAGAGCGGCGAGAACCCGCCGGCCCCTGACGCCCCTGACGGTATGCCGCCCGTCGTGATGTAGAAGCAAGGAGGGACGTCGTCTACTCGCCGTCCGACATGACCGACACGACGTCCCCGCGACGCTAGAGAACCATCGAACAACCGAGTTTTCTAGAGCTCCCACTTCCCGCCCCCTATGTCTTGTGTATCTTTTCTTGCCCCGCACCCGGCCCTCTCTTTTTTTGCTAGTCATCATTTCTTCGTTGTGTAATGTTGTGTGTATGGTGCTAAATGATAAAGTGTTCCCTCCCAAGGAAATGGAAGATATGAATGATACTACTGCAACGCTCCACTCCGTGGTCTCTCTCTCTCTCTCTCTCTGTCTCTCTCTCTCTCTCGAATCTCATCTGAAGTAGGTAGCCAGAGTCATTTAATTCCGGCGAATCATTTATTACCATTACATCACAATATCGTATTTTACAAACATTTTCTTGGTTAATACAGCCGCTTATTTCTTGAGTGCGATTCCGTTGAAGTTTTGGGCTGAAAATACTTGTTATTTAGTCGAAACGAAGCTACGCCTTAAGCCTATGCCTAAGCCCAAGCTTATGCCTAAGGCTAGGGCTACGCGCCGGAGACTGCTTACCCTGGCAAGTCAGTGCCAGCACGCATTGGCCGCTCTGGTTGCGCGCGAATCCGGGGATGCACTCGCACACGCCGCTCTGCTGCAACGACACCGAGCCGGTCAGCCCGCACAGCTGGACGAGGGGGCACGACTGAAATGGGTGGTGAGCGGATTTCCGTGTGAGAAAGACATGGAGAGTGAGAAAAAAAGAGAGATAGAGAGTGGGAGGGAGAAAGCGAGGGGGGGGCGAGAGGGAGAGCGAAAGAGAAACTACATAGGACATCTGCAACTTACAGCCTGCTGTCCACCGCATGTCTGCTCGCACTTCTGGCCGCACGTGTTGCACCGCTCGCCGACGCCGCACAGCGTGGTGGCGCTGCACTGGCGCGTTTGGCTGGTCTGCTGCTGCTGCTGCTGGCGGTTGATCCCGCTACCATACTGTCCAGATTGTTGGCCGTATTGCTGCTGTCCGAGCTGTCCGTTGAGTCCGAACTGACCCTGTCCCTGAAGTCCCTGCTGTCCGTACTGCTGGTTCAGGCCTCCATTGAGGTTCTGCTGTCCGAGGGGGAGCCCTTGGTTTCCGAAATGTCCGTTCTGCTGTCCGTACTGTCCGTATTGTTGTCCGTACTGCTGGTTGCCGAAGGGCTGATTACCGTAGCCGCCGAGCCCGTTGAGTCCAAACGGTCCGTTCTGTCCGTACTGCTGACCGTACTGGCCTTGTTGGCCGTACTGCTGGCCGTTCAGGCCGAACTGGCCGTTCTGCTGTCCGTTAATTCCATTCAGTCCGTACTGTCCGGATTGTTGTCCGTACTGGCCGTTGAGAGGATTGATCCCGTACTGGCCCTGCTGGCCTCCGTATTGGGAGTTCAGGCCGATCTGGCCGAACGGCAGCTGCTGCGACGTCGACGTCTGGCCGTACAGTTCTGAAATTTAGTTCTCTCTACTAAGTCCTGTCTTTAGCACTTCCACTCCCTCTCTCTCTCCCTCTCTCTCTCTCACTCTCTCTCTCTATCTCTCTCTCGCTCTCTTTCTTTCTTGTTTCTGTGTCTCTCTCGTTCTCGCTTTTCTCTCCCACTCTCCCCTTTCTCGCCCTCTCTCTCACTCGCCCCCTCTCTCTCTCGCTCGCGATCGCTATGGCTCTCTCTCCTCTCTCTCTCTCCCTCTCGAACCCAAATGTTTCAAAAAGTCCAAGTCAAGATTTAATTATACCCTAAAAACTTACGCGAAGACGTCACGCCGAAGAGAGCCAGACAGATGGCGAGCTTTGCCATGTTTTAGGGAGGAGTATTAGTGGTGGTTTACGTTTAGCCAATATTCTACTAATAAAATTGAAGGCTTATATACGAATGGCAACGGTGTTTATGCTTTTTCTGTTTATCTAGACCACCAAAATTAGGTGCTGTTTTTGGCAACGCCCCCCGAAAAGATACACCGCTAGCCAGCGGCTATGCAAATAGAGTCTACATGCCGACGACAACTTGTTGTTGCGTAGGTTTTTGGTCGCGAAGAGACGTACGGTTTTAAGGAGTATGTAAATTACAACAAGGCAAAATTTAAAATTATCGAAACTTTCTTGCAATCGCCCTCATTAAAGAAATTTTTATATGCTTGGAAGCTTCTCAACTTCTCGGAGAGACGCGTTTTACCAGATTGTTTCGAAATCACGCCCGCCGGTTTTCGAATCTTCTCTGCTATTTTCGAAACCGTAAGGCTAATGACGGTTTTTATTTTAAAAATCTTTCTAATCACCTGAAATAGGCCAAAAATTATGAAAAACACGATGTTCCATCTGAACACATTATTTGCTCAGCTGGCCGTTACAAGCCGCGTTCTAATTTTTGCCTGAACCGCCGTTCTTTGAATAGTTAGCAAAATATTATTCGGAAAATTGGGTATAAAAGTACGCAAAAATTGTGGCTAGCCATCGGCTCAGTTCTCCAAAACTTTCCACCGAACGCTTCCAGCCGGCTTGAGATGGCCAAGCTCGTCCTGCTCGTCGCTCTCTTCGGAGTCGCCGTTGCTCGTGGGTTTTTTTAATGAGAGAGAGAGAGAGAGAGAGAGAGAGAGAGAGAGAGAGACAGAGAGAGAGAGAGAGAGAGAGAGCTCAAGACATATACGTTTCAGAATTCACCTCCCCCACCTACCTCTCCGGCCAATGGGGCGTCGGTGGCCTGCAGGGCCAATATAGCCTCGGCAGCACGTACCCGGGTTACGGTATCGGATCTCCATATGGGATGAACCCGCTGAGCGGATACGGTATCCCATACCCAGGACAGTACGGCCAATACCCCTACGGCCCCCTGAGCTCTGCCCTCGGCCTCGGTGGATACGGTAGCCAGTACGGCCTCGGCGGTCTCCAGGGATACGGTGGCCCGTACGGCATGCTGCCCGGTTACGGTAACCAGTATGGTCTCGGAGGGATGACGTCGATGTATGGATATCCTTACGGAATGTCGGGCATTGGAATGAATGGAATGTACGGGATGAACCAACTGACGATGGGACCGATGATGGGAGGCATGGGATTGACTGGGCCTTATCGTTTTGGTAGGTTTAGGTAGCAAGAGAGACAGAGAGACAGAGAGAGAGAGAGAGAGAGAGAGAGAGAGAGAGAGAGAGGGAGAGAGAGAGAGCGAGTTAGCGAGAGAGACAGAGAGAGGGGGAAAGCGAGAGAGGGAAAGAGAGAGGGAGAAACAGAGGGAGAAATCAAGGAGAGAGGGGGGGGCGAGTGAGATCGAAACAGATAGAGCTAGCCTTCGAAACACTGCGATTTTCAGCCCAACCTTACCCTGGTGTCGCGATGCTGAAGAAGTAAGCTGAAAAGTTCACTCTTTGAAATTGCTGCCGAGTAGTGCCTGCATTTTCTGTAAATTTTCACGCGTAATAAACGTTTTGCAGCCAATTTTATATATTTTTTATCTGCACTCTTTTTACGATACCCCATCGTTTTCTATAGAATTGAGATCTTTTTTTTGATGCTGTAACAAGTTTTAACAATTTTAAGCGTATTTTAACAATTCGCAGCAAGGGGTTTGCTGAAAACATTTTATTAAACAGCGCTCTCATCAGTGGCCGGGTCTCTGTAATACGCCGCCGGCCTATTCGCTTCGATCAGGATTTGGCGATCGCTAAATGACCATTAAAAGGGCGAGAAACGCCATGATCGGCCCCTTCGCGTCGACTAGGTCTAGACAGCTACGGACGTTCCAAATTGCTCTTAACTCAATTTTCATAGAAACGAACGACTTAATTTTTGTCCAAAAATCGAAGAATCTAGCACGTGTCTTTGGGCCTGGGTCATAGTAGTCAGAGTTCTGGATTGCTAGCGGGGGGGTTTAGCAAGGACTTTTTGTTTTTCCACCTATACTTGCCTCGTAAGTATTATGAATATTTATAGTGTTTTTGAATTGTTTTTGCTGACTATAAATCCATAAAAATTTGAGAACTGGAAATTTCAAAATCTCGGAAATTTCCATTATTTTTGTTTTTTTTTTATTAAAGAACTATGTAAGGTGTTTCAAAAATAGATAATATTGTCTCTAGGGCCGTAGAGAATCATAGGGAAAAATTTGGTTCCCCTCCGCTAACGTTCCAGAACTGTTGTCGGCGCCTAGCTGCGGAAGAGTCGGTTTTGACGCTTTAGAGGGCCTCAAAAAGTCGCGGAGCCTGCATACCGTATGTATCGATAGTAGATGATGATCACCGACGACAGCCTGATCATATAAAGCAGATGTAGTGACAACCAAACCCAGGCATCTACAGTACCTTATCGTTGGGTAAAGTATGACGACTTACAAAAATATAGTTCCGGTGCATGCACGTCCTCCAAAACCGTTCCGGGTATCCCGATCAGGCTAATATTAAAAATATAAGATCTAGCTCGTGCTCAACTCACTCTGCGCTTTTTAATATCATCAGGGTCACGGAGATGAGCAGCCAACCGATGCGATACGCAAAGAAGCTGAACTAAACCCGTTACAAAAAGCCTAAAACTCTTGGGATACACCTACAAAAATTAGCATGTGAATCTGCATATAGAACGGCAGCTCAAGCGCCAGAACAAGTCCTGCGGTGCTGGAGCCGATCCAAAGGTAGATGGCCGGGAAGAGCTGGAAAAATTGTTTTAATCTTGGGTTTAGAGAAAATTCGCAAGGTTATGGAAGATGTCGTCAAACTACCTGACAGAAACTTACGAGGTATAACTCCCTGTTCATACAATAATGATAGGTGGCAATGATGGCAAACGCAACGGTGCAGAGAAAGCCAATGATGAAGCCAATCTTAAGAAAAAAACGGATTTTTATCAAAATAAAAACTATTCACCTCAAACAGCACTGTTTCCAGCTGCCCTTATTTTGCTTTTATTCGAATTTAATTGCGTCGTATCCAATTTCGATACTTCGTTTCTACCATAACGTTCGTGAGTTTTGGTGTTATACCCCAAACGACGTGTTTTTTCTGTATGAAAAACCGTAATTTGGAAGGCAATCCTAATAGCGAGAACGGAGCTTTTAACCGATACCTTGACGGGGACCATGTTGAAGCAGCATCGATAATCCTCAGGTTTCACCTGCCGTTTGAAGCAAACCCGTCGAGGTCGCCAGCACCAAATCTGGCGCTTCAGAAAATCGAAAGGGCGCATTTTTACGAATTTTTTTGGGTCGCAAGTTTTTATAACCCGGGTAATACCGCGCCCTATTGTCATAACAACTCAAAAGACGGTTTGAATCACTTCGAAGTACTCTATTGTAATAAAGTTGTCGCGGCGGGACGGAAAATTGGGAAAAACCAGGAAAACCTGCTTTTACAGTAAGGTGTAATGGTTGGAAAATATGCTGCACTTTCTGTAAAAAACTAACCGAAATTGATTTAAACCGTTAAAATCTGATTCATTTATTGAAATGAAAGTTATTAAAATTTTTTTTTTAGTTTGTAATTTGTTGAATTAATGGTATCATTCCAGCGGGAATTCAAGAGGCAATTGCATTGATGTAGAACGCAGGAGGACGATTCGCTTCCATATGTACTTGGCGATCACTGGAAGTTCAAAAACTTAAAAACATGCAGTTTGATAGTTAATTTAAAAAATAAATTGATATAGGCCAAACCGCATGGAAGGCTAAATAATAAAAGTGAAAATTCGATGAATAAGAATAACAAAACTATACCGTATGTATCTATAATAAACGACCACCACAGCCGACTGCCAGATCATATAAAGTAGATGTACCGTGGCATGGCACCAATAAACTAAAGAAATCACTTAAAAACAAATTACTTCCACACCAAAGTATTGTCCAGGGACTCCAAATTGTCGAAAAAGCTGATCGGAATCCGCGATCAACCTGAAAATTAAGCCAAAAAAATTACTCTCGGTTTCTGGAGTACTTTGCACTTTTTAGTATCATTACAACGCCAGCAACACCCAACCAGATGATGCGGAAACCGAAGAAGCTAAAAAAAAACGTAAAAACGGCAAAATCAAACACTAGAAAAACCTGACAAAGATAATGATGTAAATTTGCATATGGAATGGCCGCTCGGTGGCTAGGACGCAGATAGCTACGAGAGCTGCAGACCAGAGAAAAATTGGAGGGAAGCTCTAAAAATATTATGTTTAGGTTAGGGTTTATATAAATACAAATCGATAAAATCGGATCATGCAACGCATAGTAAATCAAATAATTAATAACTAATCAATAAATTTATAGCGGTAATTCTATGATCTTCACGAAAGAAAACAGAGCAGGCAGTGTTTTTCCAGCTACGGCATCGATTATATCACGATAACGTCAAGGTATTTAAATATACTAATATGTTGAATAATATACTTTTTATTTATCATATTTCCGTATTCTAGTATATTAATTATAACATTACGTAAATTAGTCCCTTGTCGTTCGCGTAAAACTGATTGGTGGTGAAGATGGCTGTGGCCAGGGTGACCAAGAAGCCAATTTCGAAGCCTAGCTGCAAATAGGTGACTGTAAAGGTGCTGGGGGTTGGTACTCACGTAATCTCCGATAGGTTTAAGGTATCGTTATAACCGTTAAACCAATTCTCCGCGTTTCTAACACCGACCTTCACGCTCATCAAGTCGAAGCAGCACCGATAGTTCTCGATGTTGACGCCGCGTCTCGCCGCTGGCCTGTGCCTTGGCCGCCAGCACCATATTTTGTCTCGCAGGAAATTCAGGCTTAGCATTGTTAGGCGACGATTTAGCGATTTGATAATTTGGCGATCTTATCTAACAAAGCAGAAAAGATTTTACTAAAAAATATTATCCTTTTTTGCGCCACAATACCGTCGTCGATTTTTTTCAACTTTCAAAAGCCTTGCCTGAATCATAGCCGAATGCTATTCAAGTGTCACAGATTTTTGCCCTGCCGAGTACCTCCGAAAAATTATAAAAATCATGATGTTTTTATCTGGTTTTAAAAAGCTAGAACTAATACATTTTAATAACCCTAAATTTCAAATAAAAAAATACACGTGTTCTTCACTTTTGTATACCCAGCTGGAACCCCTAGCCGCTACATGGTTCGGTGTAATTTACAGGCAAACACCGCAAGTTTTTGGTGTTCCCAAATAGACTGACAGCTAGTAAAACAATAATATTATGCGTCAAAAATTAGTATAAAAGCTGAGGCTGTGAGTTAAGCATATCGGCTCCAGCCTCTGCTACAGCTTCATCTTCACTCCCAACTTCGACTTCGCTACTTCAAAATGGCCAAGCTCGCCGTGCTTCTGGCTCTCCTTGGCTTGACTACAGCACGTAAGTTAATAGGGTTTAGAGAGAGAGAGAGAGAGAGAGAGAGAGAGAGAGAGAGAGAGAGAGAGAGGGAGAGATAAGAATGCGTGAATACCAACCCAGGCTCCCTAGAAAGCTGATTTCAGAACTCACCACCAACTCCTACGGCGTCAACGGCCAGTACGGACTCAATGGCCTGCAGGGCCAGTACGGTATCCAATCGCAGTATGGCATGAACCCACTGAGCGGATACGGTAGCCAGTACCCCGGTCAGTACGGCCAATACCCCTACGGCCCCCTGAGCTCTGCCCTTGGCCTCGGAGGATACGGTAGCCAGTACGCTATGGGCGGACTCCAGGGATACGGTCGCCAGTACGGAATGATGCCCGGTTACGGTAGCCAGTACGGTCTCGGAGGGATGACGTCGATGTATGGATATCCTTACGGAATGTCGGGCATTGGAATGAATGGAATGTACGGGATGAACCAAATGACGATGGGAGGCAATGGAATGATGGGACCGATGATGGGTGGCATGAACGGAATGAACCCGATGATGTCTGGTTACGGTAGCCAGTACGGAGCGATGCCGTATGGCCAGATGATGCCCGCGCAGACCGGATTCGGAACGACGGGTGTTGGCATGAATGGAATTAGCGGATATGGAATGAACCAGATCCGTCCGGGTTAGTTTGTTATGGTTACCGGAGACAGAGAGAGAGGGGGACAGCGAGAGAGAAAGAGAGAGAAAGAGAGAGAAAGAGAGAGAGAGCGAGAGGCAGAGAGAGAGAAAGAAATCGAATATTCCCTAATCGTTCTACTATTTTAGCTTACAACATGGTCGGAAAGAAATAGACGAAAGCTTCGCAAATGACAACCAACTCCAGCTTCCTGAAAAACCCCATTGCATTTTTTGTATAGTTTGGGTGATAATAAACGCATGAATTTCATTCCCATCGGCCCTAGTTACGCAACGAAAATCCCACAAAACCCTACAAAAAAATATTGAAAAAACCCAGCCACGAGCAGGTTAAAAAGAGTTCAAGTCCGCCAAAATAAAAAAACCTTAGTAAATCTCACGTGCTACTGTGACATTTTACCAGGGTTGTTCATTTTGAGTCCGGTCCGCGTCCGTCCGCGTCCGGGACGGGACGCGTCCCGTCCGTCTCATTAGCATAAAATTTTGCGGACGGACGCGGACGCGTCCCGGACGGACGGGACGGACGCCTGGCGGACGGGGACGCGGAGCGTCCGCGCGTCCGAGATGCAAATTAATTCATGGTTATCTTAAAATGAAAACTAGGAAATTCACAATAATTTTGCAGGTTTTGCGGTGAATTTGATTTTACTGGACAGTAGATTGCCATGTACAAGTAGACATGCTAAAAACCAGACCCTACCAAAGGCTTTACGCCCAACAATGAAAAACTAGGCGCTTCATTATGATTTGAATCGGGTTTTCTCATTTGCATCGCGGACGCAGTTACTTCCGGCGTCCGCCGTCCGTCCCGTCCGTCCGGGACGCGTCCCCGTCCGTCCGCTAAAATTTATGTAAATGAGCGGACGGGGACGCGTCCGCGTCCCGGACCGTCCGCGTCCGTCCGCGAACAACCCTGCATTTTACAGAGGCGAAAAACTTCAGATTGACGTGGGGCTTGGGCTCGTTTTACTCCCCGGCTTGCAGTGGGAGGAGCTTTTTGATTTTTAATTAAACAAATTTACACAGTATTTAAACTTAATTTATACAAAAAATCAGACATGATCTTTAAGTAAACTTCCTTATTTGGAATACCAATAACATCGAAGCTCACTATCGTGGCCCTTTTTGAATTTGCGTCGAGGCTGTATTGGATTGTAAAGAGCACATAAGAGCCTCTTCGCTTTTTGCGATGTTTTACCAAATATAAAAAAATAGCATGCGTAATATTAAATGTGCTTCTTTTGAGTGGCTAGACTTTTTCTCCGGCAGAAAGAAAATATCGGGGAAATGTGGATGAAGCCCGAATAAAAACGCGTCGCTGCTCATTAGGATTGTGTGAGTGAGGTATTGATGATTCTATTAAAGTGTGAAGGCGCAAATTTTTATTTAATGATTATTGTTTAACGTTGCTAGACATCTTGGTGCCTTGAGTTCCAAACCGTCTACCCAATATCTAACAAGCCGCTAGACGCCCCAAAACCAACAGTTTACGATGTTCTTCGACCTTGTATGGCCAGCTGCCGCTTACACGGGTCTGTTCGATTTTTAACCATAAGCAAACGAGTAGCACTGGTGTTCCCCAAATAGTTTCCATTCCTTGGATAACAAAAATATTGACCAGAAATGGGTATAAAATCCTGTACAACATCTCGAAAGTATCGGCTTGGCGTCACTTCTTCCACATCGACTTCATCGGCTTCAAAAATGGCCAAGCTTGCTGTGTGTCTGGCGCTTTTCGGGATTAGCTTGGCTCGTAAGTTGTCATTTTTCGGATTCAAAAACTCGCAAAGTATAAATTTGGAACTTTGCATGCTTTTAAAGGGAGTGTGACACCTAGCTTAATACCCGGTTACCAGTTACTATCCCTTTAATCGGCAAATTCTGGATTTGGAAGTTCTACAGTGATCGTAATTTTCCAGAATACACCTCCCCCTATGTCTCGAGCCAATTCGGCCTCAACGGACTGCAGGGACAGTACAGTATCGGAGGCGGATACCCGGGCTACGGTATCGGATCCCAATATGGGATAAGCCCACTCGGCGGATACGGGAGCCAGTACGGCAACCAGTACGGTATCTACCCCTACGGGCAGATGAGCCCCGCCTACGGACTTCAGGGATACGGCGGAAGCCCGTACGCTCTCGGAGGCATCCAAGGATACGGTAGCCCATACGGACAGCTATCCGGTTACGGTAGCCAGTACGGTCTTGGAGGACTGCAGGGATACGGTAACCAGTACTCGACACTGCCCTACTACGGCACTAACGGGCTTACGGGCGTCTACGGATTGACAGGACTGCAAGGTGGAGTGTCGCGTAGCTGCTCTCTTCTGTCTGGCTGTGGAATCGGAGAACGATGCAACACTTGTGGAATCAGGTGTGAACAGCAGTGCTATGGACCTCAGAAGGTAAGTAAAGGGGACTGGAGATAATTTTAAAGGGATGGTTACATCTAGAAAATATCCATTTTAGTCCTGCCCTCTCGTGAACCTGTGCAGCAACAGCTTGTCGGCTACAGCAACGGGAGTCTGCGAATGCCTGCCCGGATTTGCGCGTAATATGAATGGACAGTGTGTTGCTCAGCTGAGCTGCCAAGGTATGTTTTGAATGCTTAGGGAGCTGGGAGCAGGAAGCTTTGAGCTTGAAGCAGGGAGCTTGGAGCAGTTGAAATCAATCGCTTTGCATGGCGTGCGCCTCGCGGCTAGGATTTTTTTAAAGCTAGCTCCTGCTCAGAGCACGAAAGGAGGAAAATACAGTAATTCTGGAGGATGACCGCGATGCAATTTTTTCGTGCTTTTGGGCTCTGGCTTTGAATAAGCAATTAATGGTATTATTATGGGGTTTTTTTCAGCTCAAACCTACCCGGGACTGGCCCTCCGCAAGTGAGGCGGAGCTTGAACTTCCCGCCGATGAATCCCCGGTTTTTGTACAGTCTCGTACTACTAATAAACCCTTCAAGCAGCATTTCCACAACCACCTCATCCTACAGTATTCCCAGAAATATCACATTTTGCCGCCTAGTTTTTCCTTAAATCAGGGCACATTTTTCATTTTCCATTAACGAAAAAACAGGACTGCTATGTCCAGCGGAAATCGCGCGGTTAATATGAAAATTGCACCTTTCTCCTGCCAAAATTGCGACGGGCCGCCCATCAAATTCGCTTTGGTTCCCACAAAACAATGTATTTTGATACTAAGCTACTTGATAAAAACTATATATGGTTCCCAAACCCATATCAGCAACGCAACTTTACAAACGCCACCATGGTTTTGAGCAACGAGCAGCGATTTGTAAGTTTAGTGGGCCAGAGAGAGAGAGAGAGAGAGAGAGAGAGAGAGAGAGAGAGAGAGAGAGAGAGAGAGAGGAGAGAAGAGATAGGGAGAGGGTTCGTGAGAGAGTGAGTGGGAGCGAGAGAGAGAAAGAGAGCGTGAGAGGGGGAGGGAGAGGGAGGGAGAGATTTCAACGACAAATATATTTTAGTTCTGTGGCATCATCAAATTCCCGCTTGCGTTGCTGTTATTCATGCTACAGCTTGCCTACTTATTGGTAGGATTTAGAAATTGTTTTGGAGCCAAGAAGATGTATGAAATTTGCCAGTTTTAGGCACTGCGCCGACGTACCGGCTTCGAATCCAATTTTTCCTTCACGCTGCTTTTTTGGATTGGTATCGCTGATCTGATGCAGCTTTTTGTTCACGCCGTTTCCGGAATTAGGTTTTGGTCCCACGCGGGGGTTAATGAGTTGGATTATGTAAGTTTTCAAATTAAATGAAAGTTGGTCCGAAACTCGCGAATTCACAAAGCCAACCGGGTTACTACACACAGCTTGTTAATGGTATAATCAGAAAATTGGCTAGGCTCGCTAGAACTTTTGTTTCAGATGTTAGGCGCACTACTAGAAACGAGCTACTTCTCGGCAGGTTACCTAACTTTTCTCCTTCCTATCCATCGTTTCATCTACGTTTTGTGGCCGTCCCGAGCTGCAACAATTGCAACACCGCCGATTTTAAAGGTTAAAATATTGATAATCTTTTTTAATAGTTGAACTTGTTATACGGTACCTTTTCTTATTGGTTTTAGGGAATATTATGGTGTCTAATTTTCTATACAGCATTTTGGTTGCTCTTCTTCCTTGTCGTGAAACCGTTTGTCTTCATCCCGGAATGGGTAGGTCAATTTAATACACTATTCTAAAGGTATCTTAAATCGATTTTTTTAGTTAAACTTAAGTTAGTTAAATCATGGATTTTAGGCAGAATACTCACCGGGATCAAAACTCCAACTTACATTTATGGATCCCGTGTTTCAATGGGGTGAGAAGTTCAGCGTTGCGGGGCCCATGTTGATCGGAATCCCATTATATTGTGGGATTATCCTGTTCCTTTATCATAAGGTCAGAATGGAAAATTCACAATTAGTTTCCCTTTTAGACACCGGCGCAGAGGACTCGAGAGCTGAAGCTCACTGCACAGGTAAAATTAACTTTTTTTTTTATTATGCAAACTTTTGTTTGCTTTTCTATTAATTATATAATTGTCATTTTCAGTTCTTAAGCGGCCACGTATTTTAGGTTTTTGTCATCCTCACTATCAGCACAATTGCCTATATAACTTGGTATCAACTTCTGCCCATTGCCTTGGAGGTATTTTACTCTACCTAGATCGCTCCACCTTTCTCTCTCTCTCTCTCTCTCTCTTTCTCTCTCTCTCTCTTTCTCTTTCTCTCTCTTCCCCACTATCGGTAATTTTTTGGGCTTCATGGTGACTTTTAGCACGATCAGCACGATCAACTTATCATCACCTACTGGGCGGACATCGTGTGGGTGATGTACAATGGAGCCAACGCCATCGTATACATGGTTTTTCATAAGTAGGGATCTGATTGGGTAAAAAATAAAACCGGCCTAGAGACATACGCCACCAAATGGTGAACTACTTGAAGTTGAGGCGATCACGGAAAGCGAAGGATAGCTCGGTAGGAATCGAGGTTCTTTTCACGCTTGCAAATTCCTCTGGCGTTCTCAAGACGCTTCACCAAGGGCGGCTCCACGGTATTATGAAAAATTAGGGATCGTTAATACGCCAATCTAACACCTTAATTTCAGCACAGTACCACGAGCGCCCAGGTGCATCCGATCGGCACGAAATGCAAGCGACCAAGTCTTATCGGTGTTCTGAAGGGCCAATTTGCTTGAATAAATATTTACAACTGAAATTTACCTAGAACTAAACCAAACAAAAATTTCTAGCTAGAATAAAACGATTCTGTCCTGTTTTTGGTCACAGAAACATCGACGAGAAGTTCAAAGGGATGCATGATTGCCAAAAACGGAGTAAATCGTGTGTAAAAACTAAAATTAATAAAAAGCAACTAAGCACGAACAACAAAAAGCAAATTTCAACCTTTTCTCTCTGTCCCAAATGCCCGAATGCCATTAAAACAACTGGAATTGGCACGTTGCATCGGATTCCAGCGCGCGCTCGGGGGATGAAATTGGGCATTGGCCCCACGTGTGGTTTCCCCAAATTCCTGTTCTAATTCTCTGGATGGGTTATGAATTTTGATTTTTTAACGTCAAATATCGGCTTTGATCCGACCCTACTTGACAAAGAATGGTTTTGGTTCCCGAATCCGTATCAACAGCACAACTTTACAAACGAATCGGTTGTGCTGTCAATCGGCGAAAGAGTGGTAGGCTCGAAAATTTGATTTTCACGTATAAAAATTTAGTTTTGTGGTGCTACAAAATTTGCGCTCTCTTTGCTATTAACGGTGCTGCAGGCCGCTTACTTAATGGTATAAAATCTGAGCATATTTGGGGTTCTGAAAAATTCGTGTATTTCCTGAAACGAAGAGATGTTTAGGCGCTTCGCAGACGAACCGGCTACGAGTCCAATTTTTCCTTTATGCTACTCTTCTGGATTGGCGTTGTTGACCTAGTCCAGTTGATCGGTCACACGTATACCGGACTCTTGTATCTGTCAATGCGCGGAACTGATGAATTTACTTGCGTGAGTGCTTTCATGAGGTCAAACGTGGTAAAAAAAACAGATAATTTGACGTACCGGCTTTAAGAAGTAAAGTTTTTATTCGTTATTATTTTTAACAGTAATGATTTTAGAAATCAGGATCGTCCCGCTTTAATAGCCTATAGAAACGATTGACTATTAAAAATCTCCTAAAAATTCCTCAAAAATTATTGTCATAAATTTTATGTTTGTAATTTGGTCAAAAAGACTTTTGAAAATGAAGCTTTAAAAGTCATTGGTTTTGTTTATAATAATGAAGAACTCCCAACATACCCTAGAGAAATTCGTAAAAAAACGCGAAGAGATCAAAACAATCGCGTTTAAAAATAAAATTGTTATTCCTAAAACTTTTGATCCAGGTAATCGGCGCGTTCGTGGAGACCGGCTTTTTCCTGACCGGATACCTGACGATGCTACTTCCGGTCCACCGGGTCATCTACATTCTATGGGCCGTCAGAGCGTCCAGAATAGCAAAACCTTGGATCCTAAAGGTATTTTTAACTTTAAAAACGAATTTTTTCAATTTTCTGGAATTTTGATCCCTATGCTCTTTCAGGCATTGCTAAAGGGGTACCTGATCTTTGCCATATTCTGGCTGCTATTTTTCCTGATCATCAGCCCGGTCGTTTTTCTGCCGGAACGGGTCAGTGATCCGGCGAAACAAAATGATCCAATTTTACGGAGCCTTTACCTCGGGCAGACGCTATGATTGGCCCACTGTCATCGCGGTTTTTCGATTTTTCGAAAAGTGGAGCGTCGTGGCACCGCTATTGGTCGCGTTTCCAGCATATACGCTTATCATAGCTTTTCTGATTTTTAAGGTAAAAACAAGGAATTTTTGTGCTTACGCTGCCCTTAGACTGGTAGCTGTCGAACGCGAGAGCTAAAGTTGACAGCACAAGTAAGATGGCGGGTTTTTAGACGAAATTCGTGTTTTTGTAGGTTTTCATTGTTCTGGCGATAGGCGGTGTTTCCTACGCTACTTGGTACTACCTATTGCCATTGGCACCGCAGGTTTGAAGCTTCTTTAAAGGGATGATGGATGCCTCTGTGGGTCTAACGGAGAGAGAGAGAGAGAGAGAGAGAGAGAGAGAGAGAAGGAGACTGAGAGACTGACAAAGGCAGCAAGATCTTATAGGCCGAACCACACGATAAATTGATCATCGCCTATGTTTCCGACATGGTGTGGGTGCTGTACAACGGGGCGAACCCGGTCATCTACTTGGTTTTTCATCGGTAAAGCTCATAATTACCAGTTTGTAAATGCGTTTAATGTTTCAAGAGAAATCCGCCGGCAAATGTTCGACTACCTGCGGTTCCGGAAGCCACGTCCGATGGAGAATTCGACGTTGGGGGTCGGTATTAAGCTATAACAAGTTATTGCGAATTTATTAAACAAAATGAACGTTGTTACGTAAATTTTCAGTTAATCACTTATACTTCAGTTGTTCACTTTTAATTTTCAGGTCACAACAACGACGAGCGTCCGCGAGCAAGTCCAGATGCAGCATGTCAATCGCAAAAAGTCATCGCCCTTCAGCTCTCTCAGGGGCAAAGGCGCCTGAATAAATGTTTTTATAACTTTTGAATGTTTTTAGGCTCGATCGTAGCTTAGTAGGTTTTCCGGAAATTCTAAAAATACCGTCAGAAAATTGCAAAAATTGCAACGATCGCGAATGTGTTGAGAAAAAGACCCGTGCCGGTCCCAAATTATGCAAAATTGCGTTTAAGGTATCAACCAATGAAACTCTTGAAAACGCAATTGCGCCAGGACAGCTGTAAAAAGAACGAAAAACCAATTTCGATGCGTTTCCAAATTACGGGGTGTCCGCTGAAATTGCTCACCACGCGGAAACCTACGCTCTGACCTGTTCCTGACCAAAAATTAATACATGTTTCTGCTTTTATAGAAAACGATGAGTTTCGATACTGCCGTGCTCGACAAAGAACTATTTTGGTTCCCGAACATGTATCGACGTCAGAATTTCACGAACGACACGGTGGTGCTGGCCGACGGGGAGCGCTTTGAAGGGCGGGCTTATTGTTAGGCCGAGTGAGGCCTAGATTTAGGCTTAAGCTTAGGCTTAAGCTTAGGCCTAGGCTTAGGCTTAGGCTTAGGCTTAGGCCGAGTGAGGCCTAGATTTAGGCTTAGGCTTAGGCTTAAGCTTAGGCTTAGGCTTAGGCTTAGGCTTAGGCTTAGGCTTAGGCTTAGGCTTAGGCTTAAGTTTAGGTTTAGGCTTAGGCTTAGGGCTTAGGGCTTAGGCTTAGGCTTAGGCTTAGGCTTAGGCTTAGGCTTAGGCTTAGGCTCAGGCTTAGGCTTAGGGCTTAGGCTTAGGGCTTAGGCATAGGCTTCGGCTTAGGGCTTTGGCTTAGGCTTCGGCTTAGAGTTAGGGCTTAGGCTTAGGCTTAGACTTACGTTTAAAAATATGTAGGTTTGCGGTGCCGCCATGTTTTCGTTTGCCTTTCCATTGATGCTCCTTCAGATGGCCTATATCATGGTAGGTCTTTCCATTTGGTAAATTCAATTCTAGCCGTTTTTTAGGCGCTCCGCAAGCGCACCGGCTACGACTCGAGCTTTTCCTTCACGCTCCTTTTCTGGATCGGCGTCGTGGACCTGGTGCAGCTGTTCGGTCATACGCATGCGGCGATCATGTTGCTCACGCTGGGGAGGATCAACGAATTGGCATTTGTGAGTGCCGATGTTTTTGACTGAAATCAGATTTTTGAGAGCGACATAGTAAAAACGTTAGGGCAAATTTTCACAAACCGTAGCAGCTCCAAACGAGCGCAGAATAGCATTTTTACCTATAAAAAGTTGCTCCTACGGATGCTATGGATATGACTTTTCCCAGCGCGACTTTTTGGGTGTCTGCGTCAAAATTTTTCATAAATTTTCCGCTACGTTCTAACGGGGCTCGAGCAAAAATATGTGATCTATTTCGTGCTCCCTTATTTCGTAGAAAACTTTATAAAGATCTCGAAGGTGAAAGGAGGTATGCGAAACCCAAGCTTATTTGAAAGCGCTGGCTTGAAAGTAGAAGACAAAAGTAAAACGAGTCAAGAAAAAGTTGACATGTGCGGAGGAGCCCCTCTTCTTCGAGTCCTAGTATATGTATTTTGCTCTTAAAGGGTATGCAAAAGCATTCTGGAGGAGGGATCAAAAGCTGGCAAATTGCCTGACGGAGGAGAGAGCGCGCCCACGCGAAAGGCGCAGAGAAATCCCCTTTCCCTGGCGTAACCGATTTCCGCTATGCCCGCGCACCCTCTTTAAAAGTCTATAGCAAGGCTCTGCAACTCCACTTTTCCAGATAATCGGCGCATTTGTGGAGGCCGGCTTTTTCATGACCGGGTTCCTAACGATGCTCCTCCCGATCCACCGATTTATTTACATCCTTTGGGCCGTCCGGGCCCCAATGATTGCGAAACCTGGGATTCTGAGGGTATTTGAAGGATTCTAAAACCAAACATCCGTAAACATTCAGGTAATTCTGCGATTTTATCTCGGCGTTGCTATATTTTGGGTGCCCTACTTCTTGCCCGTCACCCCGATTGCCTTTCTCCCGGAAATAGTATGAATTTTATTTTCCTTCTTCTATCTTCTTCCTTCATTTAATTGTAATTTGTTTTAAAACCTTTTTCCTTCGTATAATTTTTTCATTTTTTCTACTACCTTTTGCGTAGGGCGGCTTCCACTGCGCCAGGAAATACGAGGATAGGGCTGCTGTTGCGTTTTTTCAATTTTTCGAAAAATGGAGCGTTGTGGCGCCGCTCCTCGTAGGTGTCCCGGCATACGCGACGATACTGGCATTTGTGATTTTGATGATAACGGGAAATAGTTAAGCAAATAGAGAACTCACTTCAGACGCACCAACGTCACGCACGGGAGCTGAAGCTGACCGCACAGGTTAAAAATAACCTCGGTTCTGACGTCCGACGTCTCTCTCTTGCTCTCTCGCTCTCGCTGTCTCTCCCTCTCTCTCACGCTCTCTTTGACTCTCTATCATTCTGGCTCTCTCGTTCGCCTCTCGCTCTCCTGCTCTGACTTCTCGCTTTCTCTCACTCTCTGTCTCACAGTCACTTGCCTACACTCTTTCTCTGTTTCAGTCTCTCCCTCTCGTTTTTTATATCTCTCACGCTCTCTCTCTTTCTCTCACTCTCTCTCTCTTTCCCTCGCTCTCTCTCTCTCTCTCTCTCTCTCTCTCTCTCTGTCCTTCTTTCACTGTTTCTTTCCGCCTAGCTCTCATCTCTTGCTCCCGTATCTTCCCAGTGCACACTCACGATACTCCCATCTTAATTTGACAGGTATTTGTCGTTCTGACCATGGGCGCGTTTTCCTACACCATATGGTATCACCTGCTGCCTCTCGCACCTCAGGCCCCTTGAATTATAACGAGGTCGATAGTTTTAGTCCCACCCTCGTAATCGCCTGATTATACACTTCGTCTCCGAGATGGTGTGGGTCATGTACAACGGGGCCAACCCGGTCATCTACCTGGTGTTTCATAGGTCCGCGTCGCGCAGTTAACCTTACGCATTTACCATTAAAGAGACATCCGGCGCCAAATGCTTGACTACTTACGCTTCAGGACCTCACGGCCTGCGGAGCGCTCACAGGGAGTGGGTTTTAGGAAGCATTTTTAACTCAGTTAAAAACGTAGCCAGCTATTTTTTTAGGTGAGCAACACTAGTGCAAATCAGCAGGTCCAGATGCACCATGTCGTCCGGAAAAAGTCGCCTTCATTCTGTTCATTAAAGGGAAAATATGCCTGACGAAATCTTGCCTAAATGCGTCGCTCGAACTTTGCGATTGAGCAATCGAGAGATCGAAAGAGAGAGAGCGAGAGAGCGAGAGAGCGAGAGAGAGAGAGCGAGAGAGAGAGAGAGAGAGAGAAAGCTGTTTTTTGACCTTGAAACGCACTAAATCTAAGAATCTGGTAGCATAATTATAATTGGTAGGTTAAAAAATTCCAGGGCTGGATCTCAAATTTCTCGTCAAGCGGAAGCACCTCGGGTCCAATTTCGGACCAAAAATTCGCGAGGAATTGATCCTTTAAAGGTGTGAGTTTTATGGCTTTTGACCCGGCACTACTTGACGCCAAATTCCTCTTATACCCAAATCCATACCGACAGAAAAATTTCACGAATGAATCGATTGCTCTGGGTGATGCTCAAAGGATGGTATGTTCATTGCACTTTGATATTTTTCAGGTTTTCTGTGTTTTTTAGGGTTTTTTTCCATAGCTTTTGTAAGTTGAAAGCGCTACTTTTTTGTTTTCGTGTTTTTTTTAGATCGGCGGTGCCGTCAAGATCCCAATTACCATCGGGCTGGCAATGCTTGAGGTTGCGTATTTAATGGTAATTATAAAGAAATTTTCTCAACTTTTTACATTTTTGCCAATACTAAATATCACGGGTTTTTCGACTTGCTCGCCTAGAAAGCAAAAATAAAATATTCTTTCCGGCACTCCGGAAACGTACCGGCTACGAATCGAATTTCTCCTTCACACTTCTCTTCTGGATCGGCCTAGCGGACCTATGCCAACTGCTCTGCCACAGCTTCACCGGATTTCAGCTTTTGACGTTGTCCCATGCGAGTGAAGTAGGATATGTGAGTTTGAATTTTGTGGAGCTTCCTGGTTCTTTGGCATTATCGGAAGGGGGGTCGAGGGCGAGACAATTTATTTGTGTTAGCGAAAGTCTTGCAATTTAATAACAGGCATCTTAAAGTGCTTAGCAAAATTCATCTATGTTTAAACTGGCCAAATTTGCAAAAAAAAATAGAAACGCTTTCGGAAGCTTTTTGTCGCAAAATCCATATTTTACTTATTTTATAAAAATTTAAAAAGTTGACGTTGAAAAATTCATCTAGAATAACCATAGTTATTGTTTATTAGAAAACCCCTTATTTTATAAAACGCCAATTAGATAGTCGGCGCAATCGCTGAAGCCGGTTTCTTCCTTACCGGTTACATGACCACGCTTCTGCCAATCCATCGATTTATTTATACCCTATGGCCCACGAAAGCCATTCATATCGCAAGACCCGAGGTTTTAAAGGTATCTCAAGCATATTAAAATTTCTAAAATACAAATGAATGCATTCCCGATTCATGAAAAGCCAAAAATTGAGGCAATCCTCTGGTTTTATCTCTTATTCGGCATATTCTGGCTTCTCTTCTTCCTCTTCCACAAACCGCTCATCTACATCCCGGAATGGGTAAGGTATTTTTAATATTATTAAGGCTAAAGCAGCCAATTTAACGTTTAATATACTAATTTAATGCGCTTAATTATAGACGTACACATATTCTGTCACCCGATCCGAGCGCCCCTTCCTGGAAGCCCTTTTTCACTACGTCGAACAGTTCAGCGCAGCAGCCCCGATTCTGGCAGGATTCCCATTATATTTTATTATCCTGGGATTTGTGATGTTCAGGGTTGGGAGTTTCTATTTTAACCTCAAGTCACTTTTTCAATTTTAGACAAAATCCTACAGACAACGAGAGCTGAAGCTTACCGCACAGGTGCTCTGACTTTTCCTCGGTCGCGCTCTCTCTCTCTCTCTCTCTCTCTCTCTCTCTCTCTCTCTCTCTCTCTCTCTCTTTCTCTCCCTCTCTCTCAGTCGCTCTCTCTTCCTTTCTCTTTCTATCGGGCTCTCTCGCTCATTCATACTTTTTAAATGCTAGAATTTTACGTTATTCAGGTTTTCGCGGTTCTGGCGATGGGTGCGATCGCTTACATCGCGTGGTATTTTATCCTTCCACTGGTAAGTTAACAGATCTCTCTCTCTCTCTCTCTCTATCTCGCTCTCTCTCTTTTCACTATCTCATCTCTATCTCTCTCTCGCACAAGAGTTTCAGGTCAGTGATCAAAAACTCCTAGTGGTCGATTATACCACCGACCTGGTATGGGTTTTTTATAATGGCGCCAACCCGGTCATATATTTTGTTTTTCACCGGTACAATTATAAACAATTTTGATTCATAATTTGATAACATTCAGAGACATTCGCCGGCAAATGGTTGATTATTTAAAGTGCCGAAGTTCCAGACCTAACGAAAACTCAGGAGCTGTACGTTTCAACGATCTTGTGGCAGGCCAACTGTTTTTGGAGCCAACTGTTGTTCTTAATAAGGAGATATTGTAGGTATTGATTAAACTTTAGGTGAGCACAACGAGCGTCCATAATTACGTCCAGACGAAGCGTTTTCAATTCAAGAGACCAAGCACTTTTGGGGCGATGAAGGGAAAATCGCAATGAATAAAACTGTGGCAACGAGAGTTTTTCATCGTCCAAAATGCTAACTGATTTGATTATCTTGTTTATTTTTTGCTGGTAAGAGGATGCAAATAATGCGAAAACAAACATTTGAGTTGAATCTAATTTTAACCTTTTGAAAAAGGTTCGAATTTTGTGACGAATTTTAATACAGCAGGTCCGAACAACAGGAAAAGCCTTGTTGTTTACGTTATTTCCATTAGCGTTCTGATGGCTCGAGTTGGATGTAATTACCTAAATATCAGAAAAATTGAAGAATTTGAAAGGCAAATATTTCAGGGATCCCTTACCCCAATCTCTAGAGAATTGAGTCACCCACCTTAGAATTTTCTTTGTTATGCTTTTGCCATTGTCACACAAAACAGCACAACACCAGGGGAACAAGAAGAGAAGATTCGTGTAGATTCAGATTTCCGACACTCAAAAAATCTCAACGGATTTTTCAACTTGGTGTCCAAAACTGGTTTGCATGGTTCCCTTTTTCAGCTTTATTTGAATTCTCAGAAATCAAATTACCGGATACAATCCTGAGACCCTTGGCGATGTGAGGCCTTCAAAGATGCCTCGAACCGAAGGGTTGCCCCGGATTTTTCGCACGAGCCGTTCTTACACGACATTGTCAAATCGCGAGCTGGCAAGCTTTAACTTTACAAGTATTAAAAATCAGTTGAAAAATTGATTGCTAAAATTTCTAATTTTGCCTTTACCAATTCCTGAAAACAGCCTTTGTTCCGGTGCACTCCAGCTTACGGTTGCCCCCAGTTTCCCGTAAACTTAGTACGCTCTCATGCATTCCTTATCGTGATTTTGTCAGAATTCATATTTCGGCACGAAAACCGACAAACATCGCCGACGCCGGGTACAAAATACTAGCAGCTGTGACTTTCTGCTACCAATAGCCGCACGAATTTGACCAATTGCACTTCAAAAAATCCCCACTCCACTCCCACGCCAAAAAACAATGCCCCTCCCCCCTCCAGATTCGTGCACGCATGTTCAGAGAGCAAATTTTTGGGCGGCCACCGGCTCGACCCCCACAATTTCAATAATTGCAATGAGGGAAGAGTTACTGGGGGTACGTCTTCACGTTTTTCAACAAAACACTTGATGAGTGCTGCTCGGTTTTGTAGCGGAAAGACCGGTAATTTGGCGTTTCACGAGTAGCCTGTTCTTTGAAGGGGGAATTCGGAGAGGTTTCAACAGCCATTTTCGAGAATATTTTGCATCTTTAAGCTTTCTCAAAGTTGGGAGCTCGTAGGAGTTCGAATTCTACGTTTTTCATCTCATCAGTATGCATCAATTTGCATAAGTAACTACAAATAAAGCTACTTCTTTTAGCTAGTGCTTTTCCTGAAATCGTTGAACAATGGTCGCCAAAATTCATTGAAAGCTGGAGAAATGATCTAATAAATCTCCCAGAACCTCCGTATAAGGAAAATTTATAACTAGCTTTTATTATTCAGTTTTTTTTTCCAATAAAAGTACCCAAATTCTGATTTTTTTCCCCAAAATATAGCTTCAAACACGCACATTCTTAGGGTTTAACGGAGTTGCTTCTCATTCGAAGTTTTTCACAAGCTTTTAGAAATTTTGTTGTCTTTTATGAACTACCATCGGGATAAAAAGCCTTACTTTTAAAGGTCATTTGATTTTGCTGCTGACTCAGCATTATTTTTTTTGGACTTTTCACACTTTTGAAAATGAAATCGATGAACAAATTTTACCCAGATTCGATTTAAATCTTTAACTCCGGTTTTTCGACGTGGTCAGAAATGGCACCAGAAATTAGACACGAACGTACGCAATCACTGCAGCCATTTTTTAATTTTTACAACGTGACTGGCTATTTGTCTCTAGACCGATCCCTCCTACTGCCGCTCCGTTTTTCTCGGATGACATTAGCAAGGGGACTAATTTCCTACGGTAGCGGGGGAAGTCCCCGGGGAATTAATCGCACCACACTGAGTCGACTCCTCCTTGCAATTTAGGTCATATTGTGGCCCAACCCAAAGAAATGCACCCGCAAAGGTTGTTTGCTGTTCGTTACGGTAGTTTTCGGATTTCGGAATGTCCGAATTTTGTTTTTTTTGATCTGAAAGACGCATACTTTGATTTTTTTGATTTTTGATTTACCACAATCCCATTCGCGATCTCTCTCTCTCTCTCGCTCTCTCTCTCTGTGTCTCTCGCTATCTTTCTCTCTTTAACCCTGACTCTCTGACATAGACCCTTTGGAGCTCATTCTCCCTCTTCCGTCCTAGCTCGCGCTCTCTCTCTCGCTTTCTTTCTCTCCCCCCTCTCCCTCTCCTACCTAAGCCTACAAATTTCAGGTCGATGAGCTTCAACTCCGACCTCCTGAAGGCAAATTATATCTGGTTCCCAAATCCGTACATTTACTACAATTTTACGAATGGGACGCAAATTGCAACGGTCGAGGCGAGATTGGTAAGTATTAAAAATATTTTTTATTTTGCATTTAATCGTTTTATCATTTCAGAAGTTACCGAAAGTAATATTCATTTTTAGGCATACGGAAGCATTAAATTCGTCCTCTCCCTAGTGCTGTTTATTTTCGAAATCGCATACTTAATGGTAAGCTTATTTGCCTGGGTTCGCTACGCTTTCAGTCCCTACGCAAACGAATGGGGTACGACTCGAAGTTCTCGTTCACATTGTTGTTCTACATCGGGATTGCCGACTTATTGCAGCTGTTGTGTCATTTGATTAGCGGCTTTATGCTAATGTGCTTGATGAGCAGCTCGGAGTGGACTTATGTGAGTTGAAGGTCTTTTATTCTGTTTCTCTCTCTCCCTCTCTCTCTTTATCTCTCTCTCGCTCTCCGTTTTTTCTCTCGCTCTCTCTCTCCCTCATGCACTCTCGCTCTCTCACTACTTCTTTCATTCTGTTGCTCGTTCTCTCTCACTCGCTCTCGCTCTCTCTCACGCTCTCTCACGCTCTCTCACTGTCCATCTCGCTCTCTCCCTCCCTCGCTCTCTCCCTCTCAAAATCCTGTATTTTTAGATCATGGGCCCATTCCTGGAAGCTGGCTTCTTCATTACTGGCTATGTCACTGCCGCTCTCCCTATCCACCGCTCAATTTACATCATTTTCCCAACACGTGCCGAGAAAATCGCTCGCCCAATAGTTTTAAAGGTATTTTTAATACCAAAAACTTGGGGAGAAGGTTTTACATTTGGGATGACAGATTGCTAGGGCCAATTTGTGGGCAGATAGACGTACAAAACGTCCCGAAAATTGCAGGTTCTGCTGGTACTCTACCTCATATTCGGTCTCTGTTCGTTCGGGTATTTCTGGAACTGTGATGCTGGCATTGCGTATATACCGGAATCGGTGAGAGAGAGCGAGCGAGAGAGCTAGGGACAGGGACGTGGTGAGAGTGTGAGAGAGAAGGAGAGAGAGAATTTTACAGAGAACAAAAGAATTTTTAGGTTTATTGGGGCTTCACCTACAACAAACTAAAGCCCGACTTGAACACGTACATGCGTATCGTAGAGGAATGGAGCGTGTTGGCGCCGATTGTTATCGGAGCGTTCTTGTATTCTTGTATTATCGTCACGCTTTGTTATAGGGTAAGGTTACCTTATTTTCTCTCTCTCTCCGCTCTCTCGTCTCTGAGCTATTCTGAAATTCAAGAAGTTCACGGAAAGTTTTGAACAGAATTGAATCTTCTGCGTTTCGAAACACCGCCTTCTGATTTGAGCATTGTTGCTAAATCCAATGTTTTGCCAAAAGAAATTTGAGCACAAAAAAGTTAGTCCCTAGAGACAGACAACTAGCTGTAGGCCGTGACAAAATTCCCAAAATACTTGCGCTCTTGGAATTATACTTACACTTTCAGATCGGCAAATACAAGGCGAGAGAGCTGAGGTTAACTGCGCAGGTGAATAAAATTTTGTAGCTAAAAAATTTCCAAAAAAAAAGAAGCACCGATTTCGTGAGTTGTGGTAACAAAGCGTTGAAAAACAATTTACATCTGGAACGTTTAAAAACAAAACGTTGCGAGAATAGCTGTTATGACACCCAAAAACCATAGAATTCTATCGAATTCCAGATTTTCGCGGTCCTGATCGTCTGCACAATTTGCTACGTGATGTGGTATCGGTTTTTGGATGCGGTAAGTTGTTTTTGGGTTATATTTTGTTAACTAATTTTTCAAGCTTTTTGCCTTATTTATTATCTAGCAAAAGCTAAGAGTAAGGCTACGGTCATGAGATCACAGATTTGCAATGTGTCGGGATTTGATTTTTCTACCTTTCTCTGCTCTTATCTCAAAGGAGAACGCACTGTACAAAGTCCTCACTAGGGCCTGCAAAAAAGCTCATGCTCTGTGCTCATTTTTGGAGCAACACGTGCTTCGTACGACCATGCTAACCAATTCTCCAAATCTGTATCCTAATTCACCCTCCAGGGATTTTTACGGGGGCGAAAACAAAAGCCATTCATGATCCCCCATTTCCGTGTTGCCGCAGGGATCACGGTCCAAAAATTGTAATTAGTATTCCCCGTAAGTTCGAGCCGCACTTAGGGTTTTTATTCAAAAGAAAACCGCCGAAATTATATGCCGAAATTGTATCACCGGGGGATTCTTAGGGGAGAATGGCACGATAGCTTCAAAATGGTGAAAATAGCATATTGTAGCTTGTAGCATATTAAAAGTATCGTTTCCAGATACGCACCGATGACCAGCACTTCAAGCGCTTCTTGTCGGACCTCGTTTTTGTCGTTTATAACGGCATGAATCCGCTGATCTACTTTTTATTCCATAGGTAAGTTATAGAAAATCATGGTTACGTTAACGCGACATTCTAAAGTTTTAAGTTTCCTTATGCTTGTTTTAAAGCGGTGGTGAAGCTAAGAAAAATTTGTCTAAAAGTATGCTACAGTACCTTCCCGCATTATATTATACGACTCCTAGCGCACTAGAGCGTATCGTAGCGTACTGTATCCTATTGTTACGTCGTGGCGTAGCGCATTGATACGTATCATACCATGAAATACAGTACTTAGTCGCACGAAATCATAACGGAAAGAGACGCATCAAAAAACACAGTATCGTACCGTATCGTATGAGGCGTAAAGCACCCAAAAACGCTTTCAAACGCACGTAACGAACTGTAGCGTAGCGTAGCTTACTTTTTATTATAACCAACACTAGCGTATTACAGTGTACGACCGTAAGGAATCGTAAAATCCCGTATTGAGACGTACTGTACTCTCCCAATGATCCTGATTTTCAGAGACATCCGCCGACAAATGCAAAACCTGTTGACGTTCCAATTTGCCCGCGATCAAAATGCCGAGCCCACGGTAGTGAGTTTACAACGCGTGGCCGTTCAGTGAAAAGTTCAAATAATCACGGCGTGAACCGGTTCCTACGGTAATTTCCAGGTGACTGGCGTGTTCACGGGGGGTCAACGGCGTCCCGAGGAGAGTTCGACCAGTCGCGTACTCGATACAAATCGCATCTCTGTTGCATACAAGCGATAGAGAATTTACAGCGAATTTTCAAATTTTTGATGGCTTAGTCCCTGTAATAAATGTGTTTTTCACCAGTGTCTTCTTACAAACATGTGTTTTATTAGGAAATTGAGAATTCTGTATTTTGGCGAATTGTGACTTCCGAAATCTTGAAACATCCTTTTCCTTTTCGTCGCTTTTGACTTTGTCAAATTTTAATTTATTAGAGAATTTAGGTAAGCAATTTTTACAAGTTAACGAGCCTAAATAAAATTTGTTTATTCTTTGTTTGAATTACTTTAATACTCAGTCAACCATATTAAAATTAAGATTCGGTTGTTTTAAAATCTAATTAAATAACCCAAAAACCAATTTTGCCCTAGTTAGTGCAACATTTATTGGTTGTTTTAATCAAGTGCCTTAATCTTTACCTCAAAAACGAGTTATTTTTAATTTACCAAATATCAGCACGCCTAAATTCACGTTTCGAAAATCATTTTGTCGAAAAGTCTTTTTTGCATCTTTGATTTTTCGTACATTTTGTCGAAGCTTGAATCAAATAGGCTAAAATTTCAGGCTGTCTGAAATGAATAAACTTTGCCAAATCAAAACATTTAACAAAATTCTTTTCCTCTTCCACCCCATAAAAGGGAAATAGGCATCATTATTCAATGCATTTCATACTTCGAAATTCTGAATTTTGAAATCGCTGTCAAATAGATTGTTTTTTTTCAGATGCAACTCCAATCTAGCCACCCAAAAGGCGTCGGTCCATAAGCAGACGCTTCGATTTGTGTAAATTTGGTGAAAAGGCTGTGGTTTTGGCTGTGATTGGACACGTCAGCCCCCTCTCAAATGATCCCGGCTATTTCAATTCACTTTTGAAAAGTCGTCATTCTTTTCGATGAGCTTTTGGCTCTTGGTTTCGGCTGTTTTTCTGATTTCGGACGTCGAAAGTGTCAAAAGGTTCCAGGTAATTTATATAAGCCATGTTTATTATGTTGATTTTATAATTTTAAAGGCGTTTTTCTGTAATTCGTGGTTAAAAATTTTTAGGCTTAGGGAAGACGTTAAAATCCTAAAATAACGACCGCCAAAATCCCGACCTGCCGAATCCCGGAAAAATGGCATTCGAAATAGAGTCAAGAAAATTAACTTTTTCCTTTCCGTTTTGAATTCAATAAATAAAAATGATTTAATGAATTTCGTGAAGAGTTTTGTAAAAAATTGCTCAAAAAATTGTTTACAACAAGCCCGACAATTTTGCAGGGTGTTTGCAAATTCCGCTGCACCTCTAAAACGCGCTATTTTTGGCTACCACCCCTAGGATCTAGTGCGTACATTCACCTCTATAATGATTACCCTGCAAGCCACCTAACCCCCAAATTAAAAGGCCAGGGTCAGCTTTCCATTTTTTCAATGTGATACCTTTAAAATTGCAGCCCTACTGGAATGTACCGTCTTCGAAATGCCAAAATCTGTCGCTAGCTGACGGTCATGTAATTGTCAATAGAAACCATGCGTATTATGGAGAGGATGCGGATCGGTGGGTCCAGGTTATCGAGTTTAAAGGGGCTCCGAAATCTGGTCCACGGCCCCCTGCTGTGATTCCTGGCAAATAACCAGATGCGACCGCAACGCGACCGCGTCGCATGATCTTTTTACCCCTGTTTGGAAGCGAATACGCTTGAATTTCAAAATTCTGACGTTATCTTTGGGATCCTCAAAGAATTTTGATCAGTGCAGGCTTTTAAATTATAAAAACTGATCAGAGGATCGCCGAGATCGAGAAATTGGGTGCCTTACGAGGCATTACGACATGTAATCGCCGCCCACTCAAACGGTCGTTTTCGCCCCAAAAGAATTCGGTTTTTCTCAAATATTTTACGTTTTTTTTCGCAATCAAATCACTTTTCTGGTACTTCTCGGCAGTGGCTCTTTCGTTTTTTGACCAGTAGGTTCGATCTTTCCACGCTTGAATTTTCACTTCCGAGCCCCTTTAATGGGATGGACAAGGCAAATCTATACCTGCTCTAGTCTCGCGTCATAGCCGCACTGAACCGGAAATATATAGCGTTTCAGGATCGTCGTCCTCTATGAAAACAAGTTCGGCTTATGGCCCGAGATCGAGGGTGGGGTTAATGGCGGGATACCTCAGGTCTGTAACCAAGTTTTATGTATAAAAAATACCAGAAAAATTTAGCGGCAATTCGTTTAGAAAGCCGACCTCGATGCACATCTGAAAAAAGCGAAAACCGACTTGAAGACGCTGGTTCCGGACCCAAATTTCGATGGAATTATCGTAATCGGTAGCGTTTTCACCAGATTCGTCGTGTAGTGCCTCCATGCTGATTTTTAAATGTATTCTTCATAGCTTGATCCGAATTTTCCAGACATGGAGCACTGGCTGCCCGTTTTCGAGATGAATTGGGACAAGAAAGAGCCGTACCGAGTCGCGTCGATGAAGTACGCACGCGCCAAATATGACGTTGAAGAGATGAGCAAGTCGAAGCACACGAAATACGCCAAAAAGGAGTTTGACAAGGCGGCAAGGTAAGTGGGGAAAACTTGCTTACCTTACTTGATCAAAATCAAAAAGTTTGGGGCGCATTTTCTTTTTAGGCTCCTCATAAAATCAACAATAAAATCGATACGAAAGTGGAGGCCAAAAGCGAAGATCGGGTTCTACGGATTTCCGTATGTGACGACGGCGATCGGAAAAGCCGGGGCCAGCTCGCACGCGTCAGATATCACGCGAAAGGGGAATGATCAGTGAGTTTTAAGAATATCATGATATCACAAAGCTGGCTTAAACTACCTACGTAAAATACGCTACGTAATTCCGTCTGCATCGGACCGCCGCGCGCCGGCAATGCGTTCACGCAAAAAGTTTTTATAGCAAAGAGTCTCTAGAAGGATGCCTGGAAAATTTGCAGCTTTTTTCTGGATTCTATAAGACCGCGACGCATGCGTGACGCGTGCACACAAAGATTCAAAACCAAAACAAGCTTCGGAAACCCCGCTATATTTTCACTTTCTAGACTCGACTGGCTGTTCGACCTCCTCGATTACCTGATGCCAAGTATTTACCACTACCAGGACAAGGTACATACCACAAAGTTCTCCTAAAACGCTTGTTTCCAGAAATTCAACGATTTCATCCATGTCCGGGGGACTCTAGAAGAAACCCTTCGTGTCCAGAAGACGCACAACAAGCCGATATTGGCATATACCAAATTTGAGAGAATTCCATATGGGAAAACGAGCCAGATGTATTATGATGAGGTGTGTAGTAAGATTACTTTCATCAAAAATTTGGTTTCAGCTTTATTAAAATTTTATTTATCTTAGAGCGCCTTGTGTTCTAGCATCCAGCTAGCTTGGCAAATGGGAGCTGCGGGTCAGTTTTTACGATTTTTCTTCCCGTTGCATCTTTTAAAAGATACGGAGAGGGAGAGAGACAGAGAGAAAGATACGGAGACAGAGAGAGAGAGAGAGAGAGAGAGAGAGAGAGAGAGAGAGAGGAAAAGCGCGAGAGAGAGTGAGAGAGAGCGAGAGAGATGACAAAATTATCACTTTCCAGGCCTGATCTTCTGGTCCACCGACAAGGCTATGAAGGAAAGATGCCCGGCTTTGTCCACATATGTAAATGACAAACTCATACCGTTAGTTAAACGCTAGAAACCAAAAATTATGTAAGCTCTTAGATACTTGAAAAAGGAAGTGAACGCGGCAGAAGATTGCGCCCAGGAAATGTGCGGCGGTCACGGGAGGTGTTATACGGAAAAAGTAAGTATAGCATTTTTCATCGGATCCGGTAAACCCTGTCATGAATCTGGACTATATAAGCTCTATATTTTTTTAATATATTGATTCAATGCGATTGATCTTGAAAGTTCAGGTCTACAACCTCGATAGCTGCAGAACTTTCAAAAATAGTGAGATGAAATGTCGATGTGATAAGGGTAAATTTTCTATTCGGGCTTTGTGCAGTTGTTAAAGGGCACGTTCAGGGACATCTTTGGAAAAAGCAAAGATTTATGCCGCGGCCGGGGGTCGAACCCGGTCCTCCCGCTCGAGAGGCGCGGATAGATACCATTCAGCCACAGCTACAACCTGACGAACGGGTGAGGGGCGCCCCACGCCTCAAAAGAGGGAAATTGCCTGTGAGGGCACGGACAGGCGGTGCGCGCGGTCGCTACGTCCATAGGGTGTACACGTTGGGACGAGTACACGATCCCCTCCCTGAGCGTGCTCTTTAATATCTTTTTAGATACCCGTATACTTGATGGCAGTAATTTTCAGGTCGGCGCGGGTCGAAATGCGAGAAGCAGACCATGCTATAAAGCCTCGACATGTGGATTGTGACTTTTGACTGTGGTCACTGTTTTTTGACTGACCTTCTTGTTATTTCCGCGCATAAAACAGCTCCTTCTCCTCAAGCATCGTCATTCAATAACAGACATTTACAAGCAGACTACACAATAGTTCGGACGAAACATGTAGCAAAAGGCTTGAAAAAGCTTTGCACCTAGGGATCTCGATGATTTTGCTAAGCAAAAGCATCTAAAATTCTTGATTTTGAGCGCGAGTAGTTTGTATTTTTGAGCGTGTTTCGGGTACGCCGGATAGCCCACCTATCAGTTTCCAAGGTCAGCCCACTGATCCAATTTGCAGTGTTGGTTTGTTGGTGTTTTCTGCAGGCATCAGAAACTTCAATGCTACCTAATTTTCAGCTATCTAAATGCCATTTTTCTTAATTTAGTTCACTTGCGTTTGTCACTTGCCTTTCTATGTTTCACCCCTTAAATCCTCATCCCGTGTAAATTTCCCACGTCCCCAGCCATCCCAGGGGATCAGCAAGGCTTTCCCATTCCGCAACGCTGCGCTGGCCAGATGGGAAAAGTTGCTAAAAGGCCTTTCCAGAGCTCCTCGTCCACCTCAAAAAGGCATACATTACATAGGAAAGGCCGAGTAAGAAACACACAGCTCAAATCGTCATTTTATCAAAATCTCAGAGCTCCAATCTGCTATCTGCGATCGTTTCTCGGGTCAAAGATCCATTCAGCCCCCCTCCCCCGGAAAAAAAACGAAAAGATAGCGAGAATGCCGCAATAATGCTGACTAAATAGTCTCGGCGAATGCCATGTTTTGAATTGAGACTTGCCTTCATTGATTGTCCCTTTTCGGAAGTTGATGTAACCAGAAATTCGAACAGCAGACTCTAAATTCCATAGTCCAGCAATAAACTATTACTAAAATTTAAATTGTCGAAGGTCACTCTAGCATTTTTTTACACTCAAACAACAAAAATGAAGTGGGCTTTACTTGAATGTACTATGCATTAATGATCGGTCCTCTTGTACAGATACCAACTGCGTTTGATACCGATGTGTCGATTGATAAGATTAGCAACCAATAAGTTGCCTTTTTTCCCTGTTCCTCAATTTTTTCTTACCTTGTTTTTTACCTTGTTCCTCAATTTGATTACCTTGCTTTGTTATCGCTTTTGCTTTGCGTTTTCGAAGCTTGTTTTGGCTTTCTGCAAGCTTCCGGAGTTTAAAAAATATAAAATCAAACCATAAAACTTACAGATTTTTGCGGATCCTGATTTGACCTCGAATCTCCGGCTTTCCTTTGTTCACAGATTTTTTACGTTAGGTTGGCAAATCCGGTCGTCTAAATTATGAATTTCAAAAAATTATGCGCTCGAAAAACTTTTAAAAACGATGATTTGACGAATGATTTTTTCAGGTAATCATGGAGCTACAGGATCACTGGTGGACCTTGTGGTTCACTTTCCAGCTTTTTCTCTCCGACCTCGTGAATTTTGTGTGGAACTTTGCGGTCTATGTTTGGAACATCAGAAAGGAAAGAGTGGTAGGTCGTAAAAGTTAGTCATTTGGGCTTTAAGAAAGCCGATCAACTTATCAGCAACCAAAATTGTTGGTCGACCAGAGCGCTTTTATCCTTACGATGCCTTACGTAATATAAACATGCGATACCTAAAATACTAATAGAATTGCGATATCTTAGATACCTTATGCAAAAGTATCCTTTCCAGCCCCTTCCACCCATCACCAACCCCCTACTCCTGAAATCAGCCACCCAGTTGGCCAAAGAAATCCGGGAGAAGAAGGTCACTTCCGAGGAGGTGGTACGAGCTTTTGCGGAGAGGATTAAAGAGGTAGGGATCATAAAATATGTCTAAATATCGTTAATTCAAAGGTGAACCCGATTACTAATGCGTGCGCCGAGATCTACACGAACCAGGCTATCGAAAACGCAAAAGAAGTGGACGAGGAGCTGGCCAAAGCTAGTGAAGGCGATTTGGAAAAGGTAGGGGTTACGATATCGTTGTTAAAGGAGCATGTAAAACATTGTACACATGTTATACTCTAGGATTCCCACCATGTTTTGCACTGATGCTCCCGTAAAATCAAAAAATATCTGACTTTTTAGATCCGCACGGAACGCCCTCTACTCGGCGTGCCCTTCTCCTGCAAGGATCAATGCGAAATTGAAGGTCCGCAAAACCTGACAAATAAAAACAATACTAAAAATTAGAATGAATAACTATAAGAGAAAAATAGAAGATAGACATAATCGATAATATAAAAACTAGAATTTTTTTTAGGCACCACCACGACATTCGGTGCCTGGAGCCAAAGGGACCACGTCAGCGAGAAGACCGATTTGATGGCTGGACTGTAAAAGGCTCCAAAATTAAAAAAAACAACACGTATTTTTAGGTACCTAAAAGCTGGTGCGATTCTCATCGCCAAGACTACGGTGCCTGAGATGTGCATGTGGCTCGAGTCGAACAATGCCATCCACGGGACGACTGGGAACCCTTATGATAATAGGTAAAGAATCGAGATGGTAAAACGACGGTATTAGCATGATAATTTCAAGATCCTGCATTCCAAAATGATATTAGTGTACTGTAAACTAGGGTATTTAAAAGACCGTCGAAAAACGACCATTTCGTAAATCGCTACATTTTCAGGAGGAATGCCGGTGGATCCTCCGGAGGTGAAGGATCGCTATTGGGTTCTGGAGGAAGTGCGGTAAGTGTATTGTATTTACATCGAATTGTTTGCTCTCTCTTCCTCTTCTCTTCCTCCCTTCCCCCCTATCTCTCTCTCTCTCTCTCTCTCTCTCTCTCTCTCTCTCTCTCTCTGACGCTCTTCCGTGCTGCGGCGGCGGTTTGATACTCTACCTATCCCATCTAACTTTTCCGTCAGGTCGGCTTGGGCAGCGACATCGGCGGCAGCATCCGGATTCCCTCCTCCCTCAACGGCATCTACGGGCTGAAGCCGAGTCCAGGTAACAAATTACGATAGCTAACCTATTCCCGTCTGACATCTTTATCTTCATCTGACGATTACTGTCTCATTTTAGGCGTATTTCCAATGGACGGCGGTTTCGGCAACCCCGCCGAGAGCTTGCTAGCTGTTTTCGGACCAATGAGTCGTTATGTAGAGGATTTGGAGACCGTTTTGAAGGTAGTATCTAAACCTTAAGGTGACTATTTTTTATTTAGTTCATCCCGGACTTAAAATCCGAGGACGTGTCTAAGTTCTCGGTGAAAAATGTGTTGGTCCCCGGCGAGTACAATTTGCCATGGGTGCCGAGGATGAGTCAGGAGCAGAGGGACGCTACGAAGAAGGTAAGAATAGAGAGCGAGTGAAAGAGAGAGAGAGAGAGAGAGAGAGCGTGAGAGAGATGAAAAAATATACGTGCTCGTTTAGGTCGTCGACTTCCTGCTGGAGGAGTATAAGCTGTCCGTCGAGGGCTGCATTGACCTGAACCCGGTACGCCAAGGTTTTGTAGACAACTTCCTCGGCGTGTTCAACGACTTCGGAATCCGCAACAACAAGCCCGAGACGACGATGGACGGCATCTTCAGCATGGCTAATGTGAGTCTCGCTTTCTCTCTCTATCTCTCTTTCTCTCTCTCTCTCTCTCTCTCTCTCTCTCTCTCTTTCTCTCTCTCTCGCTTTCTCTCCCATAAATACTTTTTCCAGGGCAAATTCAACACGCTCACCGAGTTGCCAAAGTACCTTCTGGGCCGCTCGCATCATACTTTGGCATCTTGCCTTCAGATCACTCACCTGAACCGCCGGTACTCGCTGGAGACGTTGGATATGGTAATTTTTCCTGGCGATTCCAATCAAGATAAGATTACCCTTTTTTTCAACACCATATTACGCCTCTTCAAAAACCTTTAATCTTCCCCTTTCTAGTACAAAGAAAAGCTGACGAACCTTCGAGATCACTACGACACGCTCCTATCAACGACGGGTATCATCGTGCAGCCCGGATGGCCGACTGTAGCAAAGCTGATGCACGCCGAACTGGCCTGTCTGGATTTTGCTTATACTGGTAAGCCTTAACATCAATTAACAAAATTCAATCGACTTAATTTGGAAATCTTGAAAAATCAAATTTTTTTCCAGGAGTTTTCAATTACCTGGGCTTACCGTCGATTATCTGTCCGATCGGCCTGAACGAGGATGGGCTTCCCTTGAACGTTTCGGTATGCCAATTTCTGATTTTTTGCTGGTGCTTACACTTCGGCTTTTAATCTTCTACCTTTATTTAGATCACCGGCCCACGCTACAGCGAGCTGCATCTCATCGACATTGCGAAGAAAATTGACAAAAAGTTCGGCGGCTGGGTCCCGCCTCCAAGTTGTAGCAAGGAGAAGGGGCAGTAGTAGACAAAACAGATGCTACACGAGCACTTTAAATTCTTACCTTGTTTTTAAAGTGCTAGGTCGTTACTTTAATAATAAATATTCCAAGGTTCACACGACAAATTTTAAAACCTACAAATTACCTCTCTGTCTCTCCGCCGCTCTCTTGCTCTCTCTCTCTCTCTCTCTCTCTCTCTCTCTCTCTCTGTCTCTCTCGCTCTCTCTCTCTCTGTCTCTCTTGCTCTCTCTCTCTCTCTCTCTCTGTCTCTCTATTTACCAAACAAAAAAGGCCTCGGCACTATTACACTCGCATTCGCATCTATTACGGAAGGTCAGGTTGGTCATTAGCTCATGTTTGATACGATAAGCGCCTGGACCTGACCCAAGTGCGCCATTTCTTCTTTTGGCAAGTATACTCTGTCCTACAGTAACTCCCTAATTTTCCTCAGCCCACAAAGCTGTTTATAAAAGCCATAAAAAATGATTGCTCGGACTTGCCGATGCCTACTAGCCATGGTGCTGGTGACCGCACTCCTGTGCGAACCAACTAAGGCGGTATGTTTCCGGATATTTCAGAGTTTTAGTATGCGTTTAATGTCCAAGCTTTTCTAGTGAGTTTTCAGGTGTATGAAGTCCATCAGCCTCTGAAGATACCATTTAAGGCGTCCGTACGCCCGGAAACTCGCTACGACGCCGAGCAACTGGGCCGGGACGTAGCCCGTCGCGTCAATGAGACAGCGAATCAGCTTGACGGTATCTTATGACTGTATTAAATGTAATCTAAATATCTTAGTTGATAAAAAAGGACAATCGATCTCTTTAGACCCGGAACTGATGATGAATTTCTGGGCCGGCTACCTCAGCAATGATCCGGCGCCCCGGTTCGCGGAGTTGTTGGAAGAAGCACGACGGATTAAGGTATAGTTTTCTTTCTGTCTTTCTGTCTATCTCTGTCATTTTTCTCTCTTTCTCTCTCTCTCGCTCTCCGTTCTGTCTCTCTCCCTTCCTTTCACTCTAAAATCTCACAAGTTACGTAACCCACATTCTGATTTTACAGGGCATCGAGGAGCAGATCCGCTTCAATGCCGAAAACGGGTTCTTCGCCCGGATCGGGAATCAGATCCGGAGACAATGGAGGAAACTCACTTAGATTTTCTCGAACATCATTTGGTGCTATTTTATTTTTTGGTTTCTCAAATTGATTCGTGTACAGACTCTCATGAACTTTCCACTTTTCAGCATATTTTTGGCTCTTGGAATTGTGGTGCGAATAAATTGTCTTATTAAAGCTAATGAAACAGAGATCCAATAAAACGTCAAAAAGCATTTTAAGTACACAAACAGACATTAAACTTTCCTTTTCTGATCAAGGTATTTGGTTTTTATGTCTAACAATAGATAAATCGGAGCAACTCCCGATTTTTTTACATTAGTTGGGGAACGAAGTTTTTCAGATTCTTCAGGAATTAGGAGAACAACTTAATCTTCCGATTTTTACCAATCTAATTCTACTTAATCTAATTAGCTTTTATCATGATGCTGATGTATCATTAAACGTCCATCGTCGACGTCAATTGTCGATCCATCAAACGAACAGCTGCGGAAATGGCCAAATCAACGGGGAGGAATTTCCGAAATGACCCTGTCAGCTGGGCAAACATCGCGATGACTTGGAAAATAAATTCCACCAAGCTAAAATACGCAATGAAATTCGATGCCCTAAACATTGCCCACAACATTTCCTGACCCTCCCGAAAACATAGTGTCGCCATAAAATGCCAGTCATCGCGGCCAGCTGGATGCTGAATATCAATTGTTTTCTGAATTGCTAATTCTTTTGCCTTGCAATTAATTACTTTTTGCACAAAACTTACGGCATTCACAAGCTGTTTAAAAACTCAAAATTGTTATTTTTATTTTATTGCTTTTATCACGCAAAGCGATTTCCGCGCTATATTGCGTAACGGATTACATGGAATCCCTGATTTCTTTATCTCTCGCTCGCGCCCTAATTCTCTCTCTCTCCCCCCCTCACTCTCTCTCTTTCTCTCTCTCTCGATCTTTCTTTCTTTCTTTCTCTCTCTATCTCTGGCTCTCTCACGCACAGGAGTTTCAGGTCAGTGATCAAAAACTCCTAGTGGTCGATTATACCACCGACTTGGTTTGGGTTTTTTACAATGGCGGCAACCCGGTCATATATTTTGTTTTTCACCGGTAAAATCATCAAAAATTTTGATTCATAATTTAATAACATTCTCTTTCGCTCTCGCCCTAGCTCTTTCTCTCTCTCTCTCTCTCTATCTCTCCTTTGCAAATAATTAATGTTTAAAGATTAACAAAGATCAGATCTTTTCAAAAAAGGTTGAGAGCAGCGCAAAAAACCGGCCGCTCTCTAATTCGCTCGCTCAATGAATTGCTTTCTCTCTCTCTCTCTCTCTCTCTCTCTCTCTCTCTCTCTCTCTTTCCCTCTACTTCTCTCTCGCCCTTTATTTCTCTGGTACTCTCTCTACCCCTATCTCTCGGTCGCTCTCATTGTCTCTTACCCGCTCGCATTCTCTCTTCTATTACTTTTGTAAGTTCCAAAAACATTGAATTAATGACAAGCGTAAATATTTTTCCTTAACGCTAGCTAGCCATAAATTTGGCTACCATTAATGTGCCGATCTGCTCTTTACTGATTCTAAAGTTCAAAGCGCGGCAGGATAATTTGCATGAAGATTGAGTCAGGCAGATGGAGGGACGCGGCCTCAGAAGACCGGTCCGCTATAATTCCCGTGGCTAATGGCCTAGGCAAGCATAATTTCCTTGAAAACGCCAGCTAATTAGCATATATCCCGCCTCGGATGACAATTTAGGCATTACCCTTCTCAAAGAGCATTTCATTTGCTAGCCAATACCCCAATCGAATTCGCCTTTTGACTAAATCGGATTAAATCTTTTGCTCTTGCTCGCGTTCGCGGTCCTTCTGTCTCTTGCTCTCTCTCTCTCTCTCTCTCATTCTCGTTCGCACTTGTTTTACACATTCCATTAAATTTTTGTAGTGACCATGACGGCGGTGTTGTTCAAGACCATCACCAACCTGCAGTTCAACCTGGATATTGAGCCCGAGATTACGGTAAGGCTTCTTGATAGCGCAATTTGTTTTTTTTTCGATTTTTCACCTATCTTTCTCCAAATCGTATCACCTAGATCACCAAATCGTTTCACCTAGATCGGCGCCGTCAAGGAACGGATCCAAGAGGCGAGGGGTGTCGACGACTACCCGGCCGAGCGCCTAAAGCTCATCTACAATGGAAAGGTGAGCGCGAGCTAGGCTGACCCTTAATCGCGTTTTTTCAGATCCTGACCGATGAGATGACGTTTAACGAAGTTGGCTACGACGCCAAGAAGTTCATCGTGGTGATGCCGATGAAGGTAACTTGACGAATTTTGTAGTCTCTCACACTCTCTTTCTCTCGCTCTCTTCCATTGCTCACGATCACGCTCTTGCTCTCTCACTAGCTAGTACATTCTTGAAGTTTAAATTCCAGAAGCCAGCTCCAGCCCCAACACCGGCTCCTTCTACACCGGCGGTTGAAGCTCCTTCTACAAGCCAAACCCCGACACTATCTTCTGAAGCGGGCAACAACGATGCTTCGTCGCTTGTGACGCCGGCCCCGGCTTCCGGTTCCCTCGTCACCCCTGCTGCTCCGAAGAAGAAGAAGGGTACTTTGCAGAATCTTTCTCCTTATGTGTCCCTTCCACTTTTTTACCCTTGATGCCTTCTCCAGTCCTTTAAATCGGTCTCCAGGCTCCAATTTCTCATTTTCAGAGCTCACCCCCGAGCAGGAGCAACAAGTCGATGCTCTGCTGGCCATGGGCTACCCACGGCGTCAGATCGTTCGTGCTCTCCGCTCGGCCTACTGGGACTCGAACCGTGCCGTCGAGTACCTCATCAACGGCCTCCCAGATGATCTGATCTCGCAGGCTGCACTTGTCGACCGCCAGCTGACGGAGCGTGAGTAACTTAGGCTTGGGCTTGGGCTTAGGCTTAGGCTTAGGCTTAAGCTTAGGCTTAGGCTTAGGCTTAGTCTTAGTCTTAGGCTTAGGCTTAGGCTTAGGCTTAGGCTTAGGCTTAGGCTTAGGCTTAGGCTTAGGCTTAGTCTTAGTCTTAGTCTTAGGCTTAGTCTTAGGCTTAGGCTTAGGCTTAGGCTTAGTCTTAGTCTAAGTCGTAGGCTTAGTCTTAGGCTTAGACTTAGGCTTAGGCTTAGGCTTAGGCTTATGTGAACCTGATCGTCAGAAGCAGTCAACTAAGCCGCTTTATGATTCCTTAACCAATGCCGAAAGTTGATTTTAAGAAGAAGCAGCCAACGCCGAGCCCGGCGAACCGATCGGCGATGCTGCCACCGCGGAGCCGAACCGCTTCGCGGGCCTCGCCGCGATGCCCGAGTTCCAAGCGCTGCGCCAGATGGTGCAGCAGAACCCGGAGATGCTCCCGCAGGTCCTGCAAGTGGTAGGATGAATGCGTGGAGATGAAGTTAACGCTTAATTCTAGTTGACCGAGGTGCAGCCCGGGTTGGCCCAACTCATTCAGGAGAATCCCGACGCTCTGTTACGACTTTTAAACGGCGAGGACCCGACGGTGGGGCAATTTTCAGTATTTTTTTAAAGCTGAACCCGCCGTTATGGACTTTTTCGTCTTCGTCCAGTTAAATAGTCAGAAGCTAAAGCCTAAGCGAAGCCTGAGCGAAGCCCAGGCACAAGCCTCAGCCTTAGCCTAAGCCTACGCTTAGATTAAGCCAAAGCCTAACAATAAGTCAACCAAGAGCGCAAACCTAAGCGTAAGCCCAAGCCCAAGCCTAAGCCTAAACCCAAGCCTTAGACCAGTCTAAGCCTAAGCCCACTCCTAAAGCTCCTAGCTCAAGTCGACCCAGCTTTGGAATGCCAAAATTATGGGATCATGCGTCGAAATGTATGCTAAAAATCCCACCTTACCTGGATTCTACAGGCTGCCGCTCCCGCTTTGCCGCCAGGTGCCCCGCGAAACTCGGTAGTGGTGTCGATGACGCACGACGAAGTGGCCGCCGTGCAGCGTCTGAAGAACATGGGCTTCCAAGAGCAGCTATGCATCGAAGCGTTCATCGCCTGCGACAAGAACGAAGAGCACGCCGTCAACTACATCCTCAGTCGCATGGACGAGGACTATGGACATTAGACCAGAGGCCGATTTTTCACGCTGCTTTCCTCTAACCCGCTTATCTTACAACCACATTTTAATCGTACTGTTTATCTGAAGTTTCAAATCCAATAAATTTTTACAATGAATTCATTTTCGCCAATTTTTCCAATGCTTTGATCAGTTAAAAATATGCAAGAAACCGAATGAGGGGATATCATTCTCCTAGGATTCGTCGAAGACGTCATCTAGTCAGAACTTCTGCTTACAACTGCCCCTGATAGACATTTTTTGCTGATTCCAAATATCGTAACGCCATCGCTCTATCTCTTTACCCCGATCCTCAATCCACCGAATAAGAAATATGCAAATGTCAAGGGAGTGGATCCTAGGAAACCTTAAAAACGTCGTCGACGAATCCAAGGAAAAAGATATCCCCTCAGTCGGTCTTTGCAATTTCGTATTGGGTGGACTGAAAATTGGAGAAAAGAGATAGATCAGGATCAACCGAAGGACCCGAGCTATCGGAAAGTCACATCTTGTATGCAAAGGCCCAATTCCAGCGCCCTACGCCCGCGCGGCTCTTGGGCGCTGGTTCTTTATAAATACAAAAATTGTCTCCACCCCTGTTATTTATCCCCCCCCCGTTAAGCGGCTTTTACCCACTTGCGGCCGGGCTGATTGTTGGTGCAATGCATTGACGACTTTATATTCTTTATTCATATCCTGGCGTCACACAACGCGACAGTATCATATACACAGAGCAAAACGAGTTATTAGCAATGAGCCTGAAGTTAATGCATAAAACGGTAGTCGAGTAAATCTTAAATATGCGGGTTATATCGTGGCTTAATTAACATTTAACGTAATAGCTGAAGAATGGGGTCCGGGTTTAAATCGGAGGCGGTTATCAGGTCGGCCGTCTATCTTCTGGGCGTGGCGTGGCATCTTCGGTGTCATTTCTTGAAGCGGTCCTTGTTCTTGCATCGAAGGCTCTTCCGGATCGGGGCGACACGCACAGCTCGGGCGCATCCCAGGTTCTCCCATTCGCGGAAGGAGCACGAGGGGCAGGTGCCTAAAAAGAGCTGGGTTGAAGGCTTTGCAGTTATAAGCAAAATGTTGCAAAACAAAGTTTGAAAAATTTATTTTTATTTACATTTGGATTGAACGAATGGTATCTGGCGTACCGTTCTGCTTGCTGGCACGCGTAGTGGTCAGACGTCGCGAGCAGGGAACGGCAGGCGCGGCTGAACGGATCAGTTTATTACAGCTTATCCCAAAAGCAGAACATTCCGCCCTTTACCAGTTGTGTTCGTTTGACTGGGGCAGGATGGCAGGCAAACAGGGGGAAGGGAGAATCTGCGCTCTGGGCCCGCCCCCTGTTCTCTTCCCCCGTGCCCTATAGTCTAATCTCACTCTCTCGCCGCCTATTCCGCGCCCCACCCCACTCCTGTGTGTCTGCACCCCGCCGTCTGGCGCACGATCCGCCAGCCTACTCACGAACACCGCGGAATCATGTGAAAAGGAAACGATTGTTACCGAATACAACACCCCCCCCACTAACTTGACGCGGAAGTATCGGATTGGAACCTCAGTTACACCATTCGAAAGCCCTTTAAACTGCAAATTAAAAATTGGTACACATATGATAACGGGGGGTGGGATAACGGGGGGCACTCAAACTTTTTATATGATAAAAGTATTTTTATATATGCTTTTTTCCGGCTGTAAAAAAGCTCTTAGTATATTTTTTGATGTTCTATCGATTCGCGTTTTCAAAACATCGAAAATCTCAAAAATTTGCCCTTCCCCTCCCCCCGTTAACATATGTGCTGCCCATGGATTTTGACCAATTTTTGCTTATCGATAAAAAATTTCATTTACATTATTTCGGGCTGAAATTAATTCTCCTATTAATCCAATTCACCGAGACTGGTCCGAAGTCGCGGGTGCACTTGCTGCACAAAGCTGGCCCGTTCGCAGATGAGACGCGAGTACGACGGCGACATCTGCTGCACTGGCCGTCCTGGGTAAGCGTTTTTGAGGGCAAAATGCTGACAGGAACCTATTGTGACCCAGGCTGTCCACGGCTACGGGCGGAGCGCAGTCCGAGCTCCACTGAAAATACGAGTTTTGCAAAGTGCAGTCTAGTTGTGAGATAGCGAGGTTGAGTTGGGTTGAAAAGCCGCGCAGCGGTTTTAAGCCATATTTTTATTCTATGAAAACACTATTCGAAAGCGTCGTAGGGAATAATTCAAAAACTATGTAACAACCCACCGTCACATTGATGCCCGCTTGTCGAGCCGTAGTTGAGTTCGAGGACGGGAGGTAGGTGGGATCGTCATCATGGGTACTGTCGTTCACCTGGCGGGGGGGGGAACCAATTTTTTTCGGCAAAAGCCTAAGCTTTTTTATAAAAAGCGCATGCGTTTCTAAATGGTTTTTAACTATTCCTGAGCATAAAAACTACCCACCGTTTAATTAAAAAAATTAATTTTAGGTCGAAAAATCCTATAGAACTTCAAGGATTAGCGGGGGGGCGGAAGACCCAAAATGACTAAATTTTCGACTTTTTCAAACCTTTTTCTAACTTTTTGGAAGGTTTTTCTACTTTAAGTATAGTTAAAATTTACTAAAAACAATGTGAAAACACTTTATATTTCATTACTAGGTCAACCGGGAAAACCAGGAAAAAATTTGGTTCCCCCTCCCCCGAAATCCTACAGAACCCAGAACTGTAAAATGAAATCTGCTTAAAAAAGCTTTTGGGTGCTGTCGCACGCGCGCGTGCAACTTACAAAAGTGACCACAGATTGATTTTCTGCGGTATTTAAATAAGATTTCACGGACCATCCAAATAGTGACGCGCCAAAAGTGATCAAAAATGGGCTAATGCGAAAAGAAGCCAAGCTTCGTACGCCAGAATTGTCTCTCCAAGGTTTGGTGCTAAATGTCGGCCCACCGCTACAAACAGCCATTTCTTTTGCGACACATTAATATAGAAAAACAGTCGGACCTGCGTGGTCCTGGTAGTCACAATGGTGGTTGGACGCGCACAGCTTGTCTGGGGTCGTACCTTTTGCCGGCCATCTTCCTGGAATGATTCTCCATAGTTACAGTGAGAGAGAGAGAGAGAGAGCGAGAGATAGCGCTTAAGAGCAGGGTAGAGCGTACCTGAGAGCATATGACGTCAATGTACTTGCTGGGGTCGAAACCGATGTCCCTCACCAGCTGCCGGTCTTCCCGCTGCTAAAAAAACAAAAATCAATCCTTTTTGTAAAATTGAAACCTTTCCCTCGTAGAAGAGTTTCGGGAAGCTTAGCGGGTAGAGTTGAGCGTCCTCTTCTTTGATGTCCTCCTTGAGCCACGCAATCTTTAAGAAAGGTGAGACAGAGCAAGCGAGAGAGGGAGAGCGAGAGAGAGAGAGAGAGAGAGAGAGAGAGAGAGAAAGAGAGAGAGAGAAAGCAAGCAAAAAGGGGGGAGAGAGGCCGGCTTTGTGGGCCCGAGAAACACCTACCGTATGTGGGGGGAAGAGGTTTGGCGGCTTCAGGTTGCGCGGGCTTTGCAGCGTGATTGGATCCTGTTGTAGGCTTCGACGATTGGTGGTAGCTGAAGAGAATTTTGGTTAAGATCCCTATATAAGATAAGGTTAAAATTTGGTTAAGATCTAACCGGAAATAGAATTCCCGGGGAGCAGGGAAGAGATGGGCAGCGCCTTGGCGGACTCGGTCGAATTCCTCTTTCCTCCACTCGTCAACGAGGAAGTTTTCGCCTTCGGCCCACAGGTGGAGCACCCGGGTGCCCAGACACGCGTGTAGAATTTCCTGAAAATAAACTATTTTTGAGACTTCCCGCGGTCCATATTTTGATTGTGCTTTGCGACTTTTTAACCCTGGTTTAATTTTTTAATTAATAGGTTAGGATTACAATTAAGGAGAAAATCGACGCTATATCGAATGGCACAAAATGAAATTTTGAAAAAATACCGAAAATATCGAAACATTGCTTTGGGTTATTTCATCATTGGAAATGTCGTTTAATACTTTTAGTTTCATAACTACGACATGATGATCAGCACGGTCGATTCTAGCTGTGTGTAAATTTTCAGCCAATTTTGCGTCGTCAGACGACAAACCCTTTCGCCAATCTGCCGGGAACGGAACCGAAACGTACTTGTACGAAGAACGCTTTGATCGCATCAGCTTCTGCCATGACCGCCATGTAGAATGTGAAAAGAAGCCGACCTTCCGTAGACTGTTCCCTCGGCAGTTGACAACCCTGTAAAGCTCGGCCATCAAAGAGAAGGATGGGTGACTGGATATTTGCTGCTCATGTGGGCGAGCCAAATACAGCGCGTCACAAGAAAGGCGCAGTAAGAGTTCATGGTTAGAGTGCAGTTTACCCCCCCGCCCAGCCGGCACCCAACTTTTGTATCTCGGCCGTCTGTTCGTCTACAGGTTTGTAAAGGCTCTGGTTTGTAAGAGCTTGTAAGGTTCGTCTTGCTCTGGCGAGTATTTTGGTATACTTTACACACCTGTAGATGAACAGGGAGCCGAGATACGGTAGGTGGGTGCCGGCTGGGGGGGTAAACTGCACTTTAGCCGAGTTCATATTACCCCCGGCCGGCACCCAACTTTTATATCTCGGCTCGCTGTTTATCAACAGGTGTGCAAAGTATACCAAAAGGTTCGTCTTGCTTCGGGGAATATTTTGGTATACTTTACGCACCTGTAGATGAACAGCGAGCCGAGATACGGTAAGTGGAGGTTGGCTGGGGGGACGAATTTTTGTCACTCCCGACTCTGATCCAAGTTACGTTTTTCAGCTTTTTATGAAACTATTAGTGCACCAGCCATCCTTATTCTACTGGGCAAGCGCTACATTTTTTGTACCATTGACCGCCAGCCCTCCCCGCGCCCTAACTTTTTAGCCATACGTCCTATTGATGCGTGGAGTATCTTTAAATGTTCGCGACATCAAGAGCTACATTTTGGTATCCTTGCCAGCCCCGTACCTCCACGGACCTCCGAGATACGAAAACTCACGTTATACCACGAAAAATTAATTAAAGGAAACCCAGAGTTATAATTGGTATAAAAATTGTTCTAATAATTTTTGAAATAAAGAAACGACTTTGACAATAATTCAAACACGGCGAAAATTTTGAGATGCTCGACGCATTAATAGGACACACGGCCGAAAAGTTACGACTGGTGGTGTTTCCTAGCCGATCGTGGCATGACACCGACCTTTTTTTTTGATTCGCCTAACAGCTTCGTCGACTGCGGATGTCGACATCCTCGACGGCAAGCCGGTGGTGACCCGGCGAGTACGAGGAGTGACCGGATTTCTCGCCCCGTGGTTCAGACCAAAACCAGTATGCTAATTATATGTTAGTAACGTAAATGCTAATATGCTTTGATTGTCGCAGCGTAGTTTTGGGTACATACTTTTGCAGTGAAACCTTATCGCCGTTTTTCCACCAATCCTGTTTAGGCAAGAGTTTATATTACCCCCCCCCCCCTCATCCGGCACAATTTTGTGTCTCGGCCGCCTGTTCATCTACAGGTGTGTAAAGTATTGCAAAATGTTCGTTTTGCTCTGGCTCTCTCTCGCTCTCTCTCTCTCTCTCTTTGTCTCTCTCTTTGTCTCTCTCTTTCGCTCTCTCGCTCTCTCTATCCCCCTCTCACTCGCTCTCTCCTCTCTGTCTCTCTCCCTCTCTCTCTCTCTCGCTTTTTCTCAAAGGATACAATACAAAGAATAAGAAGGTGGGGTCGTTCATTTGCGGAGCTCCGCGTAGGCAGTCAGGATCGGGTCGCCGCGCAGGATGAACTCGTCGCGACTCTGAATCGATAAGGTATAGCTAGAGAGAGAAAGAGAGCAAGAGAGAGAGAGAGAGAGAGAGAGAGAGAGAGAGAGAGCGAGAGAGAGCGAGAGAGAGAGCGAGAGAGAGAGAGGAAGATGATCAAAAGCTGCGCAAGCTGCCCTACGCTGTCGATGATGCGCTCCGGGGTCGGGATCGTGTTGTACGGCTCCGCGGCGGCCCACTCGTCAAGAATAGCCTTGCATTGGTGCTGAACTGTCGGTTTAATGCCTATGGACTTGGGTGACTTAATATGACTTATGACGCTTTGACTTGGCCACTTTAAAGGGACCCGAGCTCAAGTTCATTTCAGACCCAAATCAATTTTTGGAATTTCTGGACCACTTCAGCGGAAGTTAATGGAACATGCCTGCTGCTGTTGCAGAAACTGCTCCTTCGGCTCTCCTTCCTTGGGCTTCGCGTACACGGCTTTCCCGATTCTCCCTCGAACGTCGTCGAACGCCTCCGCCACTTTAACGAGTCAGACGCCGTGCGATGGCTAAAAGTGGGAAATGCGGATCCGTGGGGGGAGGGGAACCTGCGAAAGGCGTGCTCGCTCCCCCAAAATACTCAATGTCCCTGTTTTGATGCGTCTTTGAATTAGTAATAAACGCTCGGGAGCCATCAGACGCTGACCAGGGTCCGGAATTAGCGCGAGAGAGGGAGCGAGAGAGAGAGAGAGACAGTGAGAGAAAGAGACGCAGGTTTGCAGACCTTCATTAAAAAGTCGGCACTCATGTAAAAGAAGCTTTGAGGAACTCGACGATCCCCTATTTAGTGGAAGTGCTCACCGGCCAACCAAACTAGGGAACCGAGCTTCCGGGATCACATTCAACGGGCTTTTTTCAGGTATCCCAGATTTGCGTGAGCGAGCCATCCGATCCCAGAGCGACTCCTGAAAATAAGGCTTAATCGAAAAATTGTACTTATCCTCCTTCGTCGGGGCTGCACCTTAACTTGGGGGACCGGTGACCGACACCAATGAAACAAACTCAAGAAGGTCTGGAGCCGAGGCAGGCTGGCCGAGCTGATGCTTTTAAATGTGTTTTAACTTTACGTGTTTAAAGGAAAGAAGACTATGAAGATTGATCTAAACCTGCCGTTTCAAGGGCTTTCGAATGGTGCAACTATCGTTCCGCGCAAAAATGCTATGTTTTCGACGTAACTTTTGCAGATCATGACGCAAAATGCGCACACAATTCGAGATACCACACCTTGGCGAACGGTCTAAAAACATGTCTGCAAGCACAGTTCAAAGCCGCCTTCAGCAAGCAGGGCAGCACGGTAGTTCGGCAAATGGACAAAACGGGCTGAAGAGAGTGAAAAAGGAAAAAGGCTGCGGGGGTGGGCGAGGGTGGATCTCGGCGAATGCAAGCGCGTCAAACCGTTTTCACCATCTAATTTGGTCTGTCTATCTTTTCTTTCGGTCTCTCTCTCTCTTGCTCTCTATCTCTCTCTCGCCCTTTTCGCCATTTTTCGGAGAACATTCCTTATATAAGGGGTCGTTGATTGAGTGGTGGGAACAGTGTCTCTTCAGTCTACCCCCTGAAATCCCCGTATTTTCCGCCAGTTTACTATCAACAACCACTTTACGGCCGTTTATATTTACAGGTTGGTAATTTATCGCTGATAAATGTCGCAATAGATTGGTGATAAATAGCTCGGGTATACTTTGGCGTAGTGGTTTATGGAATAAGCGATACTTTTAAGGGACTCGCTAGGCTAAGCTAGAGAAAAGTTCGAAAAACAGACATTAGGATCCAGTACGAGATCGGAAAGTTGCCTGCTTTAAATTTATAACGAAAAAAGCGATACTTCTGCCTTGCTTGTCCCTTTAAAAATTTCATTTATTTCCCTTAGAATTAATAAACGCATTAATAGGAGCTTTTTCACTTCCCGCCCCCTTTAATTTACGTGCAATTCTTAAGATCTGGTGATCCGAAAATCGCTTCTCTCAAAAATCGGGGCGAATTTTTCACATAATTTTGAATGGCGTTGTAAATTGGGTTGACCTTGCTGGGCGGGTAGAAAACATCGCATTTCCGAGGCTATGCAAATTCCTCGGTTTCCGTATCGAATCTCTATCCCACCATTTTCAGAAATGACCGACGAACGCAAACTCAGCTCGCCCAATGGAAGCATCCACAAGCCGGAGAAGAAGTGAGTTGGGGGTCATAATTATGCGATTAAATTTTATTACTTAATTTTACACCTTTATTAGTATGTTTATTTGAAAGTAATACGATAAAAAATTTTTAAGAAACGTTAAATCACAAAAAACGCGGTTTTGAAGCCTCGCTGATTAATTTTGCTACTTCTTTAAAATCATACTGGGTTTAGTGTTGACCATTTTCTAACTTTCAAAACAACCAGCAAGTCTTAATCACGCTATTGGTGTCGAAAAAAATACTTTAAAACAGTATAATTTGCCTTTTTTCAGGGTCAGCTTCGCCAAGGACCTCGGCCGGATCTTTTTGCTGCGGCAAAGAGAGTGAGTTTTCAAGCTCACCTATTTTTTTAAATTGAGCCTAAATTTCCTACTTAATTTCTGTTATAAATTTATTGAAACCCTTGCAGAGCCGGCTCCACCGAGAGCGCAAGCAGCAACGGAAGCGGCGGCGTGGCAGCGAAAAAAGAGCCCATCCAGCTGGTCACCGCCCGGAAGAAGCACGTCTATTGGTGAAAAATGAAGCTGTTGCTGACGTCGCTGTCGTTTCAAAGTTCAAAAGTCGCAGAAGACGTCTATTATTGTAATACATATTAAAAAACCTTTGTCCAGCCCCGAATTCCATTTGTTTTGTGCCCAGCAGTCAATTTTTACCGGCAATTCCTTGTGATCTCACTTTATTCTCATGTTTTTTTAATGTGTAGAAGTCTCGGAAACAGCTCGAGTTAATAAAGATTAGCTTATAGACTTTATTTACAATTCAATAAATTAAATACAAGAAGTTTTAAAGCTGAACTTTCCGAAAATCAGAAACGAAGCAAGGAAAAGTCGGGAAATCGATGCAAAAGGTCTGTTAAGCATCAACCAGGGTATCGAACATTGGTCATTAAAAGGAATAAATATAATATGGTTAAAATAAAAACTAAAAAACCGATTATTTTCCAAGTGGGCATCTACAGAAGCCTTGCCGACACGGCAGCCCGAAGCAGCCAAGGTTGCAGTTGCGCACGCCGCAGAGGCGTTGCTGCTGGTCGAGGATTGTAGGGTAGCCGAGGCGATCGAAGGCCTTAAATACGATATTTTACCTCTTTATTATTTTTTCAATTGTCAGTACTAGATTTTAAATCGTTCTTTTTTGTTGTCAATTTTACATCAATACCAAAAAACGGTTTTTTTCAAGGGTGTTAGCTCAAAGGATCACTTTTTCAGGGTCACGGCCAAGGTTTTGGCTATAACTTTGTTATTTTACATTATGTTAGGCTAAAATTAAAATCCTTAGTATATTTTTCGACGCTCTATTGAATGGCCATGAGAAAATCCCGAACAGTAGCGCATAAGCCTTCCGGGGAACTGAGGAAACTTTTAAGCCTGTAAACTGTACTTCAGGTACCATCCAGACATACCCGTTAAAACGAAATAAGGCTCACTTATTGCGATCTACAAAGCCAAAAAACCATAGCACTTCGAAATCAACAGACATCACTTGTCAAGGGCATCCCTTTAGCCCCCCGACCCGAACCAAAAAACCGCCCCACGCGCCTGACTCACGATAATTTGCACTAAAAATAGTCGTAGTAGCAGCGGCGTGTTTTTCACGGGTTTTTGAGGAATGGGTTCTTGTTGATATTTTGCAGACAAATGACGGCAATTAGATTGCTGGGCGAAACGAGTTCGTGGAACTTCTCAATTTTTGCACTGTTTTCTATAGGCGTCAACATGAAAAACTGTCTAATCATGTGGTTACGGATCACGAATTTCACAAAAAGTGTCATAAACAATTTTGGTACCAAAAATTGCTGTTTTAGAAGTTAAAAATTTGCTGAATTTTGCACGTTGAAAAACAAAATTCCTAGGCCATTTTCATCGGCAATTGATAGCAAAATGCTTGTTATTTTTCACTGGGTCTCTCTAATTAAACCTTGTCATTTTTAGGTATTGCGAATTTACCGTTTACAAATGTAATAAAAATAATAATAAATAATAGTGTTGCCACGTATTGTTTTTGATACCTTTTGGCACTGGCACGTGCGGAGGAGCAGATTGCAGGCGCCGAGCAGCCCACCACAATCCCGGTCGCCATCACAGTGTTTTAGGTTGATGCAAGCGGAGCAGTTGCACCTGAAAATGCTCATTTAGAGTTTGGAAACTTTGGAAATTGCGCTAACGCTTGTAAATTTAATAAGAGCTCACGTTCCAGCTCCTGCTCCAACGCACTCGCCGGTTAGGCCGCATTCGAGGTCGCGGTCGCACTTAAAAAAATTTTAGCAATTTAGGCCGTTTTGTCTAGCGACGCAAAGGGAGGGGGGTGAGCGAGAGAGAGAGCGAGAGAGAGAGAGAGAGAGAAAGAGAGAGATAGGACGACAAAGCTTTACCTGTGATCCTGTCGAGCAAGTCCCTCCGAGAGCGCTTCCTCTCGGGTCCGAATTCGCGTTGATGAGAGGGTTGTACTGCTGCGCACCGACGTAGCGACACTGTAAATACGTGCGTACTACTACCTACCACAGCCAAAAAATCTATTTAGCTGCCTTGCCGATCCCCTTAAAACCCACTTACCTCACAAACGTACTTCCCGGAAGCCTGAGCTTCTTGAACTTGTTGGAAGGTGACGGCCTGGGCGTAGGAGAGGCCGAAAAATACGGCAAGCGTCAGAAATTGCAACATTTTGGGGTTGTTGTTGTCGTAACCTCACTGATCGAGCTTCTTATAGCAATTCTAAAAAGCCGGTTTTTCATGACCCGAGGCCGCGCTATCAAACAATGTGTGCATAAACAAGGCGAAGGAGGGCTGGATTTTTCTGGGGGTTGCTGGTGGACGAACAGACAGAGGCAAGGGACAGACAGACAGACAGACGAACTGATCGCCAAAACAGACACCTGCCCCAAGGCTATATATGCTGCATAGCACGAGAATACCCTGATTCATATCAGTGATCGCGCTGAACCTGGTGACGTTTCTCGGTCTGGATAGGCTTGAGAGCAAAGAACAGGAATTTGCATAGCGTGATTTATGCAACGTAAATGACGCAAGTCTAGGAGAATCGGCATACATTTTGTCGAAATTGGTTTTGTAGTAATTTCCATGCGCCGACATTTCAATTTTTCTACCTGTTTGAGATCACTGAATTTCGGGGTCACTGAAATCTCCGTAATGGGTGTTCTTTTAAACAGCCCGTCGCCTGGCGCTCCAGCAGAGTTCATTAGGGAATTCGGCGTGCTTTGAATTGCTAGGAAGCATATTTCACAACAACGCTTTATTCCCAATCGGAGGGCGCTTTCGATCCATCTAAGATTCCGCAACCCAAGGAAATCCACGTGGGTAGCTGGTTTCCCCGTTGGCTTGCAGCTCACTTCCGGCATCGCACGGCGTGCATTGGTGTTCACTGAAAGGTAATGGTCGAAGTTATAGCACCAAAAAGTCAAGAACTAAACTAAACTAACTACGCATTAAAAAGCAGAAAAATGAAGTCCTTTACTTCCAAAAAAAAGCAAAGAGCATTACCCGAGTTTGCAATATGGTGACGTGCTCATGATCTCAAGGCGGAGGTCGGGCATGTCTAAAAAGTACAGAATCATGATCTAAAAACCAGAACCTACAAATTCCAGCGCCACTCCGCTTAAAATCGACGCAGTATTGCGTTCGACCCTCGGTCCCGTGGCGACCGTACTAAAAATAGTGATCGAAAACCGCGAACTTTTAGGCTTTTTCTACTCACTAAAAGCTTGCTTTTCCTGAGTCAATCAACAAGATTTAAGCCTGAATAAAATAGCTTTTTAGCCTAAAGAATGAGACTTACGAGCAAATAAGCGTGCATGAAGACAATCGCGCGCAGAATCGCTTCCGGATCGCTTCCGACGCCATGGAGGTGGCATGGCTCCGCTAAAAAGAAATTTTTATGACCAATTATCCTCATTTTCTCACCTCCTGGCTCAAATACGTTCTTGACCACGCAACGATCCAAATAGCCTCCATCGTGAATCACGAGTCCGATCGTCTTCGACATGTTCTCTTTCACCTTAACGAGTTAGCGTCTGCATCTCTCTCCCTCTCTCTCGTGTTTTCTCTCTCTCTATCTCTCTCTCTCTCTCTCACTTCCCAAGTCAATTTACGGAATATTACCGCGTCTCCGGCGAACTCGCCACTGTAGCTAATTTCCTTGAGCGAGATCGTGACGTCATCAACGGCTAGGTTAAAGCTGCAGAATTGGGACCACTTTTAACCAGGAAAAAACGCACCTAAAAATTGTCCAAAACAGGATTACGACCAACATCTTTGGAGTGTATCTTAAGAATCGAAAAGCGGAACGGAGGAACGAGAGCTTTATAAGCCTCGCTGGCGAATCTCAAAATAGACGTCGGGATAGGACGGAATATTAATTTTATTCAGATTGAAAACGCTTTAAATGCGTAGTTTAAATAGACCTAGGCTAGCAGAAAAATACGAATTTTGGTAGCTTAAAATTAGTATTCAGATTTGTTTAGGTGTCAAATTTACTGGTAATATTTCACTTTAATAAATAAGAATTAGTTTTAACCTTTTTCTTAAAATTAAAGTTTATTGGAAAACTAACGGCATAAGCGTGTTTTTATTAATTTTGCAATTATAAATTTATTAATCCACTGAGTCCACGAAAAGTTCCTCGCGCCCACCAACCCAAATTTGTTTCTAGGCACCCATTAACGACTTCGACAAACTGCAGGTGCATTCTGTAGTTTTTTCCTGAATTGGTTGGTATTAACACCGTAATGGAGAGCAGCTGAATTTTAGTGAAAACTCTAAGTGATTGTTCCAAGCGAAAGAAAGCACGTTTGCCATGACAAGTGTGAAAGCTCAGCTTTGGGAGCTCTTAACTACAAATTATAGAATTTAACTAAATCCATTAAATGGCTATATTCCAAGGTCCATCTCTAAATTTAACGCTAAGCATTGAAAGGCCAGCGTATCTAACGATATTCCTGTATGTTAATGGTATAATTTGTATAATTATTAACGCCTTTGCGGGTTATTGTATTCTCTACAAATCGACAAAAGATATGCATCAATATAAGTGGTTCTTGTTTAATATATGGGTAAGTGACTCGAATTTTAACGAAACCATGAAGAGATAAAAAGAAAACACAAGAAAGTAACAGACGCACAAAATTCGTAGGGTAATCTGAGTGTCGCGTAGTCCCGTGGAATTTGGTACTACAAGAATGCTAATAATTCAAATATAGAAAATCAGAAGTCTAGTTAAAGAAAATAGATCAATAGCGAAAACGAAAAGAAGAGAAGTAGCGGGAAACAAAGCAAATTCAAGGAAAGCTGAGCCTTAAATTAGTAAAAACCAAGAACGCACCGAATTCAGGCGTGTAGCGTAGCAACTTGTAGTCCACTAAAAATACTACGTTTTAGTTCTGGGCCTTCCTACTCGATTTCGCGATCAACATATTCTCACAACCCTTAACGTTTTTTCCACTAAAGGGAGGATGCAGCACCGGGCCGGCGATGAACGCTCTTTTTGAAGATGCTCAATTTTTCGGAGCGGTATGTTTTAGAATCAGGCCTGGATTGCCGTTATCAGAGAATTCAAAAAATTAAAAAGCCAAAAATGTGTTTGAAAATCGTAAAATCATAATATAGAAGCTATTCCAAGTTTAGTCCCTCTGCATCACGATTATCATCAACTTATCGGTCTCGATATTTTGCGGATTTCTATACCGTGCCCTCGTATTAGCGCAGGATCCTTGGATTCTCTCGTCGGACAAAACGCTATTTCGGGTAAAAATTTCGATGGATTTTCTTATCCCACTGAAATATACTTAAAAAAGCTTCAATTTTTCAGTTCATGGCAGCCATGCACCTCCAAGGGCTGCCTGGTTCCGTCCTGTTTTATCTCGCCAAGCCCCCGAAGCCATTGTTAAATGAATATTTTTGCTTTGTAAGTGTATAGCATTTTTCTACGTTTAACAACTTTATGAATTATAAAAATTTAACCAGGAAGAACTTTTTAGCACGTGAAAAACGGCCAAGAAATCCTCGACACCGGCTATGCCGTGCTGGTGATGAGCCCCGAATTGAATTCTTTCATCGTCCCGACGGTGATATCATGGGGATGTTGTAAGTTGGAGAGCTTCGTATTTTTAATGCTCACTTTACTGCTTTTATTTCAAACATTCAACGTTATAAATCCTGACAATTTCCAAAAACTGTAACTCCAGGCCGAGATAAGGTAGTCAACCGGTAGCGCTGTCAATCAGCATGCCCCAGGTATTCCCGTACCTTGATAGCCCTCCCTCCCCCTTGCCTACCGGCCCGGTTAGCTCAGTCGGTAGAGCACCAGACTCTTAATCTGGTTGTCGCGGGTTCGAGCCCCGCATCGGGCTTACTTTTTGCTTTTTGAACGGGGATTAGGAGAATCGTTTCCATTTACAGCCGCAATCTATAAATTTGTTTTTTTTTGCTCCCAGTTTTTAAACTTTAATGATCCCTTGATTTATACGCTATCAATTACAGTAATCTTCACGCAAGTTGGGGGAGACGTCGCCGCTGTTAATTATTGCTATTGGAAGCTGTTTATAATGGGGAACAAGTTAAAGATGAGCGAGAGAAGCAAGGCGATGCATAAGAGACTATTGATCGCGTTGATGGTTCAGGTAATGGCGAATTCGGAAATTCCTAAAGACTCGCTGCTAGCTTGCCTCTACAGCGATTAACCGACTTTCTAATTACTACTGCTTACTAATTCCAGGCAACCTGCCCCCTGATCGCCTACGCGCTGCCACTTTTTGCAATGATGTTCATGATGGCTGCGCCGGTATTGCCGGACAATTCGCAAGGTGAGAGAGAGAGAGATAGAGATAGAGAGAGAGAGAGAGAGAGAGATAAAGAGAGAGAAAACAGAATCTAAGAATTTTTAGACATCTGTAACTTCCTTTTTTCGCTGATGGGATGCCACTCAACGATAAATTCCTTGGCGACAATATTTGGGTATACGAGCTATCGCGAGTTTTTCTTTGCGACAATTCGACTCCGGAAATTCCTTCCCAACTCTTCAACGAGCTCAGTTGTAACGGTGGAAGGGACGAGCGCGTATTAGAATTTAATAAACGTTTTTTCATGAATTGTCGGAATGCACTTACCGACACTTGACGATTTTCTCTAGTTCCGGCACTTTCCCCAGCTTCTATTTTTGTAGTATTCTATGAATAAATTCCAAGAAAAGCTGGCTGGGTTCTGGCAGATTGAAGAAAAAAATAATTCATTAAAATCACAATGTATGTCGTTCTTCTTGGAGCAGCTCGATGGCCTCGAAGATTGCTTTGAAATTGCCGGCGCCGAAGCCCTGAAAGAGTACTGCGTTGAAAAGAATTTTGCCCATCGTACCGATTATTGACAACTTTTCAAATACTTTACATAAACTCATACCTTGTAGTTGTGCCTCTGAATAATCTCGATAAAGAGCGTCGGGCGGTCATCAAGTGGCTTTGTGAATTTTTGCAGCAAATACCCCTCCTCGTCAAAGTCGACGAAAATTTTGAGGTCCTGGAGTCGCTGGAGGTCTTCGGAGATCTGAAACAACATTTTCCCAAGCTTAGAAAAGGCACGAGAGAGAGAGAGGGGGAGAGAGAGATGGAGGAAGAATGAGAGAGACAGCGAAAAAGGTCACCTTAATTTTAGTGCCACTCAGTCGCTCCTTGATCAAATCGTAGTATTTATCAGGTACGTCCATCAACTCGACGCCTCTGAAATTGCATGAATGCACTGTTTTAATTTTTGGGGTATCTTGCTTATTAAAACGCCTAGAACTACTGCAAAAGCTTCATTCATTTTTGAAATTATTTCAATTTTAGTGTTCCAAATTCCCACCTGTCTTTTAACGCCTGCACGGAGCCGACAATGTCCTCAGTTGTGAAGGCAATGTGTTGAACACCTGCGCCGCCGTTGTAGTCGACAAATTCCTTAAAAATTATCCTACTATATATAAAAAAATAGTGTCTGTGTGTGTGTGCCACTTTGCATGCAACTTCCGTCAGGCTGTCCGGAGGATATCTCAAGAAGGGAAGGGTATTAGCCTACGTATGATACGCCATTAGGTGCGTAATGGCCACGAGATGACTGCGCGCATATCAGATTTTACAAAATCAGCAGTTTTCGACGTTAAAATTATGTTTTTTTGTAAAGTCGGGAACCCTCTTTGGTAGGAAACAATTTAAATAAACCGGAAGTGGCGGGGGCCTATATGAAGAGCTAGAGAGTGACATTTTTCATTATTCACATCGGAATGGAGAACCGTATGCAGAATGCAAGTAAAAAATATTATTGGTTTAGACGGGGCCAGGGTTGAAAAGTCGCGAAGCGGCTTTTCAACACTGGTCATTCATTAATTTAACTGGAGAGTACTAGACATAGACAAGGCCACGATATCGAAACTTGGCTTAAATCGAACCAAAAATAAAAAACTATTTACAAAAAATAGATCCTAATCGAGCCAGCTGAAACCTAGCCTAGGTCTAAACCCTGACCAATCTACCGTACCTGAATCTGTGACAGTCCTTTCCCTTCGATGTTCACCCCTTCAGAAATGACAGCCTTGATCGTCGAGTTTTCATTAGCTTCGTATTTTGCGGTCAGCGCTGATTTTCCAGTGTCCACCACTGCATCTCCGTCGGTCCAGAATCTAAAAAATTGTATCGAGTTGGTTTTCCTCCAAAATCTTTGCTAGCTTGCCTTTGGAATCTCTATTTTCTTTTGTAGAAGACAAACCTGTGAAATTGAAGAATCCGCTCGTACCACTCGGCCACCGTGGCCATCTCCATCTCCGGCTGGGCCCCGACAAAGTGGTCGACCACGAGGAAATCTGTCTGAAAATGGGGGTTGAGAGAGAGAAAAGAGAGCGACAGAGGTAGAGAAAGAGAGCACGGTAGATCATGAGGGAGCACGAGAAAAAGCTGCTTAAAAACCTACCGACGGCAACTTCTCGAAGAACTCTCCATCCCACGGATGCGCCTTGAAACCGGGCATAAAAAGACCGTGATAATTCTTCCGCTCGACGAGCGTATGGAGCACATCTCCAAACTACAGAAAATCATGAAATTATTCAGCTTGTATTTACAGTTCTCAAAGCAGCCGTCTTGATCGTGCCATCATCATCCGATTCCGCAGTAACGTCCCGGATTACGGTAGTGCCTTTCATTTTGGCTTGGCGGACCAGAGCATCAACGTCGTCAACCTAAAAAGCCGAGGTAAGGAAGAGAGAGAGAGAGAGAGAGAGAGAGAGAGAGCGGGGGGAGAGAGGGAGAGAGAGCGAGAAAGCGAGAGAGCGCAAGAGAGGGATAGCGAGAGAGAAATGACGCACCTCAAAAGCCACATCACGAACTGAATCACTGTGCGTTGATAGGAAATTCCCGTATTCTGGATCGTTTGGCCGAATGGCGGACTCGAAGACGAGCACGATCTGAAAAGGTATATGGCTGGTAAATTACGAGCCGAACCTCTCCCTGCTTTATCGCATGCGCTGCTACCCGAGTGCTGCCCGTCTCCAGGCCCTTGTATGCAAATGGCCGGAATCCGAAATTGGCGCAGTACCAGTAGGCCGCCTAAAATACGATTTTGTCGTCTGTTTTAGAGAAACTGCGGCACTCGTCCAATCCTTTCAAAACAGAGCGGAAAACCGGCAAGTTCTGACCTGCTTGGCGTTGCCGACGATGAATTTGATGTGGTCGAAGCCGATTGGAGAGCGAGGAGACTAAAAGTGAGTAGCAAAAGATCAGCAAAAAAATTCTGAGCTTCATCTGAGAGCGATAGCAAACAATAGCCGTTATCAGAATCGATAAAATGTTAAAAAGTGGGATTCTAAAGGGTGAGCCTCGGGGGTAAAAATGCGAAATTCAGCGAGATAAAAGATCTTGGGCAAAGGTTCAGAATTAAGACCGAGCGCAAAAAATTCTCACCCACCTCTTCTCCAACCTTCCCTGGGATCACGTCCATTTTCGGGGTCATTAAAAGGTCAAAACCAAGTGTGGTAGTCACAATAAACAAATTAAGCTATGCTTGGCGGCCAATTCCCGGCTGACCGTATTTATACAAAACTGTGGCTGGCGGGCGGGCAGGCGGGCAAGTACCGCGAGTATCGTGACGTCGTCCGGCCAAACCCTGAACATCCGCCTTGTTTCTCGTCGGCCAGCCAGCCGGGGCGGGACCCACGCGTTTTTTGCCCGTTTTTTTCAGGTGAACGCGAAAAAGGCAGACTCCGAGTTTCAAACACAGGGCTCAAAAAGCTCCCACTCTCCTCATTTTGAGCGGTCAACGCCAACAGGTTCACTGGCCAGTAGTGGCTAGCCGGGGGGATTGTGACGTACCGTGGGAAGGCCAAATTTGTGATGATGCACCCCGGTTACACGTGAATACTATCGACGTAACCAGGGAAGACTAGACTGGCTCGAATCGGCACCAGGTTGTCGTCGTGGTTTTGGAGTGGTTCTTGCACCTGAGTTTTTTAGGTTAGCAGGGATCAAGCAGGAATCGAGCTTCATTATAGTTTCATTGTACATGCTTTGCGTACATTTTCGTAGATGTAGTTTTTACAACAAGAAGCCTCGCTATAGCTAAAATTTTGTAGTCGTTCAATTTTTTTTTTGCAAATTAATAACACTTTAAGGCATAGTTCAATCCGATCACGTACGATACTGTCCCGGCACCCTTAAGCTTCGTTTTTCCTAACGGATCAAATTTCGCCTTCTTTTTTACTTTGTGCTGCTTTGTTTTTTTTTCATAATCAACGGTTCCTCACCACCACTTTAGGCACCACTGTTTCCCTGATCGGTCCAAGTTCAGGTCAACATTTTGTTTTCCTCCCCACATTGCACCAAAAATTACCATCCCCTATTTCGCGCCAGAGCCCACAGCGCTTCACTCGCAACTGTAGTTTCTGCGTTTGTGTGTGTTTGTCGGAGGGGAGTACAAGAAGCGGCCGGCTAAGTGCATTGTGGTGTGTCGCCGGGGGTTAAAGCTATCGAAAATACGTGTCACACCGCCCAGGCCAACCAGGCGAGAGGTGGGGGTAATCGCCCTGTTAGCCCCTCCGTGGTCCCCTCGATCCGCATCGACGCCAACACCCCACCCGGACGCTCGGAACCGTCTGTAGCTTTTGACGGGAGCTGGTAATTTGGTTAATTGGGTGATGAAAGTAATAGTACAGGGTGCTATCCTCAAAAATGATGATCCACTTTTAAGATCATTTCCACCATGTAAATTTCGAAGGAAATCCAAGACGGCGTTGGAACCATGAAAACCCTAAATAATTTAGCGGGGAAGCAAGGCAATTTTTTTTCTTGAGCTGATGCCTGCCGAGTAATTAATTAAAACATGCTATAATATTTTTTGGCAGTTTCCAATCGATAAAACAATAGTAAAGCTTTTGAAAAGAGGAACACAGCTTTCACTTACAAAATATATCAGAAAACGCTACGGATTTGGCTAGGGAGGTATCGAAAAACCTCTGCTAATTCGCGGTTCTCATCAAATCCCTCCATTTAGAAAATTTTGACTTCCTAGCGCCATCATGTTTTGACCGTTTTTTCCTGGCCGCATGAAAAAGTTGTGTGTCACTTTGTAAACAATGCGAAATGCCCACGCATGGCGAATTTTGCTGCAAACGACGAAACATTCTGAAATTCCGGGCGCTTGAGAAGCACACGGATGATATGAAAGGGCTAATTTTACTTCTAGTTCCCATCTTTGCAAGGTAAATCCGCGTTGTGACATCCAAAAATTAAAGCAAATTCTTTAGTTTTGCGGCTGCCGATAATGACGTTTACATTGGATTCGACAACATCACCTATTTGGGCCGTTATCGAAGACATGTAACACTTAATTGAACTATAAAAATACAAACTATACAACGTATAAAGGCAACAACCATCGCCGAGCGGATGATCGGTCTCGTCTTGTACGACTACGACTACATCAGCGCCAACGATTACCTGAATCGATGCGTAGTGCACGATATCTTTGCGCCAAGTAAGTTTTGCAGCAAAAAAAAAGTTAAATATCAGATTTATAGCCTAATTGGATAAACTAAGTGTAAATATAGAGAGTCGCAGCGCGAAGACACATTTCGGGAAACAAATATCTGAAAAAAGAATGCTTTGCCTTGCGTTTAAAGTTGATCAAGATCGAACAAAGCTTCCTAAAAACCTTTCAAAAAAAATATACCTAAGATGTATACTATGAAATACAAAATTCAGGGATTTTTACCTATAACATTGATTCAGAAAAAGGAGACGTCTACTGCTCGCTGCAGGGCAACGCCCAGGAGCCCTACTGGGAGCCCCGGATTATGGTCATGATCCACCCCACATTGATTGTAAGCTAATTTCTTTGATTTTTAATCAGAAAATCTTGCAAATGCCTAAAGCTCTAATTTATAGGTTGGAAAGAACAACGATCACGGAACGCACGGCACCTATTGCGTTAAATTCCCGAAAGAGGGCTCAACCAACGGGCCAATCTGTGAGGTTTATGCAATAATCACTAAAAAATCTGTATAAAAAGTATAGGATAATATTTTTATCTAAAAATCCCTCATTTTAAAATAACCATTCAATAAACCGCTAAAACACGCCATCCTACTTTAGTCCGCCCAGCCGTGCGCATGGAAATCTTCAGCGACAACGAGCCGTACTGCAAAATCTACTACATGAGTCGCACCAGTCGTGATATGGAGTAAGGCACCGGCGGAATTAAGATAATTAATTTAAATAAGCTCATGACAATAAAACATGCTTCTAGGTGGACCGGCTGCTATCCGTGCACCTCATCGGAGTTCCTGTGGCCCGACTACGACCACAGCTACCCGCCCGGTTTTCCATGGGTCACCGAATAAAGCGTTGTGTTCGTAAAATCTTGCACTGTCGGAAAAAGTCATGCAAAAAGGCAAAGAATTTTGTTGCTACAAGCGCAAGGAGAGGTTGTTCCATGTATTTTTTTACACTTTTTGGACCTAATCTTGCGCCGAATTACAGAAAGGCCTTGAAACTCTACAAAAGCCCCATTTTCCTACAAAACCTGCAAAGAAACGAACAAAAGAATTGCTGCAGAACATTCTAAGTTATCTAATAAAGGCCGGATTTTACAGCTGATCTACCGTTTTTGTTTATTTGGACGCTCGGATGACAAAACCCTAATTTTAAAGCGCGCTTTCTGAGATACGGTTAACGGTTAGCTATTTTGGAAGGTGGAATTTCAAACTATCTCGAATAAACTTCCTTTCCTCACAAAACACGATTGTAATCTAAAGTGGCATCCTTGATCGCAATTTACGCGTGAAACAGCAGAAAAATCGGCACATATCTGACATTTTTAACAGTCGTAGGATCTAATAGCGTAATAAGTCTAGACTATTTTAATCTATCAAATTGTTGATAATTTAAAAATTGCAATTCGGTGCGCGCTTTCCCAAAAAAACTGCCATTAATGTGCGCTTTGCTGTTTTTCGCGCACATCTGCACGAGATCTTTATCAGCGCCCGGGGCGCTTCCCACTCATCATTTTTTGCGCTGATGTGTGCGGATCGTTTCTACTTCACACTATTTACGTTATTTACATTTACAACTTTCACGTCATTTAGCTTCATCATCCAAACAACTCAACAATGCCGTCCACCCTTGGCAACACCGACCTCTCCATTTTTGAAGAGGAGCCTGTAATCGAGGCAAAGCCGCTGCTGATGAAGGACGACCAGATCGCCGAGTTGGCGGTATGTTTTCTTTCAAAATTTGGGTGTTACAGATCAAGAAAAAGTTTATCAGACGCTGATTGTATTATAATTAACTGTAAGGCCCTTTGGCTTGTCGTTTAGGCTCAAGGAATTCTCAAATTATCTAGGCGTTATTCAGTAGTCCCTTTTCTAAAATTTGGTGCTATTAGGCTTACAAATTAATCTCTAAAATTTAAACGCTGTTGAAATATATTAGCTAGGTGATATATACGGCATTAGGCTTTCTCAGCATTTTAAAATGTCTAGTAGTTCATTAGAAAACGGGTAACCAAAAATTGAATGCATTTTAGGCAACGATCAGGGCCCGCTTCAACTTGGAGGGCGAACTGTGCCGGCTCCTTCGCAAATGCTTCAAAAGCCAGAAAGGTGCCCTCGAGTTGTACAGACGTGCGCAGAGGGAACGTTGCCAGCGCAAAGCCTGGGAGATGTACAACGACGCCACGCGCAAGGCATCGGAAATCAAAGTGAAGGTGGGTTTATTTTTTAGCTCTCTTTCCTAATTTTTTCTCGAATTTAGCATTCCTAGGCACATTTTGAAATTCTTAACGAAAAGAGCACGCTTATCCGTTACAGCGCCTAGAAAACTTGAACTTGAGCAAGTCATAGCGAAGTGTATACTTCTAAAAGTCCCCGACTTTTTTCTATTTGAAGGTTATTTTGTGAAGGTGTTGACTAACGGGGCTAATCTTCTTATATCAGCTCAACAACAACAAGGAAAAGATGCTGCGCGCCGAGGAGCTGTTGAAGGAGTACAAGCGTCAGCAGCAGACCGACTCCACCGCCATCTAAACGACTTCCACAACCCACAAGGTCTATTTATACTCACCGACACCTTTCTCATACCTGAATCTCCCCTTGAATCTGGTATGACTGACTTTTTATGACTTATTTCTCGTCATTTGCCCATGCGCCACTGTTGTATACTTTAAAAAAACTCCCAAAACCATGCTTTATTTTTCTCCGAGCCATTCGTTAGTATTACAATAGTTAGCTGAATTGTTGCTTTTGTTGCTTGTGTGGTCAGATTCCCGGTAGTCCCTGTTAGTCTATTTTCGGGTATAAATGTTGTCAAATATATTGTCCCTAACACGGAAAGTCGCATAACTTTGCAATTATCGCAAAAGTGTTATAATCTCATTTATTGGCTTCGTTTCGCATTTGCTTATTGAGTTCGATTTGCTTGGCGCACAGAGTGGCCAGGCTTATTTTTCGCTTCGGCGGCATTGGAACCGGTATGGGCTTCAGTGGTGCTCGTGGAGTTCGCGTCGTCATCACGAAAACTGTTAGGGAACCTAGGCTGGTAGGCCCTAAACTGTTTTTATCGAAAATCTATGAAAACTCACCTTGTTTCTGCGGAATAAAGCCAAAGATCTTCCTTCTGACATACCGGCGATAGCTTCGAAATAGAATAAAGTTGAGCACGGTCATCGCTGTGCCTTGCTGTGAAAAGAGAACCGTGCCCCAGATTGTGAAAGCTTAAAAATCAAATTTGTTTGTTTTATGTTCTTTTTTGAAGCGGAATATCAATTTAGAAAACGAGGTATGCTAGATTTGCAAAGAGTCTAAGTCAAAGGGGCTTAGGCAAACACTACGCTCCTATGTACACCGCGTGGTTGGTTTGTAGTATCGCAAGCTTTTAATAGGGTTTATGATATTTTTATCCTCTTCCACCCACCAGCCAAATATATCCGCTGCGTCAAATACACAACCACCCCATAGAAGATTGGCGTCAGCACCATCGCGCAAAGCAGCATCGTCTGAAAATGCGCTATTTTTAAAGTCGGTCGGTTCCGGGGAGGATTTCCAAAATTAACTGTAGTCTAGGCCGCTGAATCACGTTTCCAATTGCGAAAATTAGGAATTAGGAAAAAAATGGCACCTGGATACATAAATTGCCGAGCCACCGCTTTTGCATCTGCAGCGTGCGTTCGCTGAGAATGAGTTGCTGCGTTTTAAAGGCGTGGAAGGAAGGAAGGGTTGTCGCTAAAGAATTATGGTGTTTATGATATGATAACGGTAAAATTTTATTGTTTTAAGGTATAGATATGCGTACTCACCAGCTATAATCACGCCCGCTCCGGCGACAACGAAAAATAGGTAAAGCGTGATAAGCAAATCATAGCCGCGTTGAAAGCCCAGATAGGCTGGGTTTAGGATAAATTGGCGGAGTGCTGGGTATTTCTAGAAGCAACATACGCTTAAAATAGCTATTTCGCACCTGAAGAGAATCAACGACGGCTTGCGAGACATTATTGTAGTAGCAAACGATGCAAACAAATGTGGCATTCCCGAATGGGGCCAGATACATGAAATATGTCGTGAATTTGTGGAAACTGAAAAAAGGTGGTTGTATTTTCAGGAAACAATGGCAACAAAACCGGACTTACCACGTCATATTTTTTTAAGACAGAAAAAGGCAAAAAATGATGCCTGAAACTTCCGCCTACCTTCTCGATAACCGAAAATAATGCGTTTGATGCAAGGCAGCTTGCTGTCTTTCCAAAAATATAACAATTTTTGCGCCAAATAACCCGGAGATCAGCATCAGTCCGATCACCTAGTAAGGTCTGCAACCCATCTGGGCTCAATTTCCTACCAACTGCATTTGCGTCGGCACTCCACAATCCGTGAATAGCCCAATCGAGTAGCCGCCCGTATTCGGAAACGCAAGGATCGGGAAGGCCAACCCGCCAAGTATCGCATCGGTGATCGTGGAGTAGATCTGAGGTTAAAAGCGTGAAAAAAAAACAATGTAAAAGCTGTCTGAAGATCCTTTGACGCTTTTACGCTTCGAAATGCTGCTCTTTTTTTGGGCAATCATTTTGCCAATTGTCAAAACTTATGAGGCTATTGAAAAAGCCAATCTCACTAAAAACACAGTCGAAATGGAATTTTAGGGTTCCCAGATGAAAACTACAAAGCATTTCCAACCTGATAAATAATAAGGTATCGCCTGTAATGCGCCAATACCGCCGGGTTTCCATAGGCAACGGCAGCCAGGCCGATGATGTTTAGCACAAAAGCAAACGCTGGAAAATTTTAGTGGAAAATAGTCTTTTTTTCTTTTCAAACCCTCCTCGTCTACTTCCAACAAACCGGAAACGTTTTGACAACTTACCAGAAAAGATCCGGACCCAGAAAGCAATTGTCGGATACGAGGATATATCGATTACCCCATCGAAATCCATAAAAATATGACGAGTAAAAACTCGATATTTTGAAGAAAATATCTCCGTTACCGGGGAGCGGTCGTCTACCTACCAAATCAACACACGGCGCGTCCCGGCCGGCGCCAAAGCAGGTGGTTTTTTAGAGCCGCCCCAAGAAAACGGGGTGACGTTCCCCCGCCTTTCCACCACTTAATTTATTTGGCCACTTGGAAAAGCCAAAAAATGTAGTCAGGTGACCGATTAGCCGGCCGGGCGGAAAAGCTGGTGGTCACCGAAAAGGGATAATTTATGTACGATTGTAAATTTCAGCGCTTTTTGGAGGGCGTTAAAATGTGGATCGGGGTCTACGCTACGGAAAACGTGATAAAAGATTCCCACGCCCGATGAGGTACATAATTTCCGGAATTAAGTTTTGTAACTTTTGTGCATAGACTTCCAGGATTTCTTCAATTCGATCTTCAATCTCGGCAAATACAAAAAGAAAGAAACTGTGCTCGGGAAGTAGAAGGGTGATGTTTTTTGGTTCCCAGTCGAATTTAGCGCAACCTACAAAGAAAATGTGGTTAATTTAAGGTTTTTGTGCGAAAAAGATTCAACTACGCTTTGCTCCAAACGCCAGTCACTTCCGCCCTTCTCCATCCTGAATCCCGCGCTTTTCTTTTCATTTCCGCTTCAAACTCGTTCTCAAGATTCACGTCATTTTTCTCGTTTTTCCATTACAACTTTTCCAAATTTATTTTCAGGAAGCCATGACGAGTGCCCCGGTACAAGTCTTGGGAGGATTTGAATGTCGCGAGCCGATGGATTACATCCACCTGGCGCTGGTTTCCGACAGAATGTGGAAAATTGTCGAAGCGGCGCCGAAGAAATACGAATCCGTGCCGTTCGACACGACGTGCAACTTGGGTTTCGGCCTCTCCGACCGATGGTTCAATCAGCTGGCCGTATCCGAGCTACCAAGGTATGCATTTTTCATAAGATAACCCATAACTCCGGGGATCTAACTACAATCTAAAGATCATTTCCAGGGAGCAGTGCCAGACTCACCCTCCCTCGCAACTAGTAGACGGACCTTGGGGGGAAGAAACGCGTCTTGTGATCAGCGTCTATATGAAGCTGCTGCTTTCAAACGCGACGATTGACAAGGTATTGACAATGAATTACTCGCTAACTTTTTAAATTTCAGCTCAAATACCCGCCGTTGCACTTCGGGAATCAGTTCTGGTTCTCTCTGAACATGCGCGTTAATTGCATTTTTGATCCGCGAGGCTTATTTTCGGCTGCTGAACTGCTGGAGTTTATTGGTAGGAAAAAGAGGTTTCTCAGCAATAATATTTCAATTTTAGACCACTTCAAGCCGAAAGCCTTTGTCTGCAGCGATCTAACAGCCTTGGCAAACTATCGGTCGCAAATCCCAGCGTTCCTGACAGATCCGATCGTGAGTTTTCTTTAATATTGTAAGAAAATTGTAAGTGCCTTAGTCTGAGAGCGAAACCTTGGAATTACCGGATACGATTCGCCCAAAAGAACCAATTTAGGTGCGCTCGCTGGAGAAGGTGGATATCGGCTTCCCGAGGGACTACTATCAATTCGCAAAAGGACTCCGAGCCAAGGATCTGGTGATTCGAACTCCGGCCCGACACGGATGCGCTCTATTGAGCGGGGGAAACACTCCAGTGGGCGAAGTGCTTGCTTTTTTCGAGTGGAAAATTACGGTATGCAGATTCTTGATTAAGATTAACGTTCGACTATATCAAAAAACCCTTTTTTTTCAGGCATGGCTTGATGGGACGGATGAAATCGAGAAGTTTTTCATTTATAATGGCCCGGTCAGATGGAATGATCCAGAACCTGACGACCTTTTCGGATGTGGTAGGAATAGATAACTTATGTTTATTTTTATTTAGTGATGGGCAGACTCAAGAGCCTTTTGACTCCCAATCGCGGACGGGTCGAGCAGATGAGCAATGGTTTTGATTTGATTGTCAGGGAATTTGATGTGAGTTGGCTTTGCGTCAGCGCTGTACTCGACACTTGCCAGAAACTCTACTCGTATTTAGGGACAATCCCTCCTAGTCTACTCTGACGATAAGCTCCACCGCGTGAATTTTCTGCGCACCGAATATAACTTCAGAATGTGGGTTTTTTTCTTAAGTTTAGGGGAACAATGTGCTTTTAGGAGCCGTTCCCCGGACAGCCTTCAGACGAATGATGAAACTCTCGCCAGCATCATCAAATACATGGTGGGCTTGTTTTTAGAAGATTTTCACGTTGTTAGGAGCCATTTTCAAGTTGAATTTTCAGCACCACCAGCGTAACGCCAACCCCCAGCTTGCTGCCGAGGCGAGAGAGCGTCTGAAGGAGGAATGCGCGAAATTCATCGAATACAATAAAGAGGCCACCAATATGGACTTGATAATTGAGACGGTAGTGTATGCGTTAAAGGGTCATTTTCTTTTTAGCTTTTGTACATGCATGATAACCCTTCCTCGCGGCCTGAATATGATCGAGCCTGGGCGATGTGTAAGTGGGATCGGCCCCTAGAACACGTTCCGTGCCCGGTGAGTTTCGGAAACCTTCAGGCCTTCCAATTAAGCTATATTTCTAGCAAACTTTCCCTTTTGGTAAGAGTTCAGTACCTTTTAGGTCAAGACGACCGATCGCCACGCCTACGAGTTTGCCAGAGCCTTCGAGTCGAGCGGTAAACTGCCAAATCCCGACGACTTCGAGCCATATGCCTACCGCGTCATCTTCGTCGACACTTCACGCGCAAGAAGAACATGAACGCCTTATTTATCTGTTAGAATAATACTAAATAAACGTTTAAAGTGCTAGTCTTGAATAAAACAGCAGTGCACAATTCGAAAACTTATATGATCGATTTTTCGGCTTTTGAATAAATTGTTGGGTATTTGGAATAACAGAACCTAGGGTTTTTTCGCCCATTATCCAAATATATTTCCATTCGTTAAAAGGATGATTCAATTACAAATTTTACGGTCTGCTTAGCCAATGAGAACGAAACAGCTTGCCCTCCCAAGCAACTTCAAGAGCATGAAAAACTAGTAGTGTTTAATTTCATTTCTTCGAGATTACAGTGCAGCTTTTGGTAGTTTCAACAGCTGGAAAGCGTTTTGATTCTTCCAATCCATTGTAATTACAGAAAACGATGCTGGACAAGCTGCCTCAACTTCCGCCAAAGATCATGGAGCAATTTCTGCACTGCCTCCGGCCAAAGGACTACTTACAACTGGCGTTGGTGTCCGACGAAATGTGGACGGCGGTGGAAGCGACCCCGAAGCGCTACGGAGTTGTGCGATTCATGGAGGCTCCGGAGCATCTCGGCCCCGGATTGTGCATCGCCTTCGCCACCGGTCTCGACGCCCTCGAAGAAGATGTCATCGGGCTCTGCGTGCTGCCGACGTCTGTTTTAATTATTTTCTTATTTTTGTTTTTGTTTTAGGAAACCTTACAAGAAGCGACGCCCTGGCGTACTCATCGACTTGCCCGTCATCGGCAAAGCCAACCAAATCCACTTTTCGTCCTATTTTAGGCTGTTTCTTGCTAATGCGACCCTGGTGCAGGTTGGTTTTTGCGTAATGGCATTTTTGACGGGATTCGGGTTCGAGTTGGGGAAGCAGGCACAAACCGTTGACTAGTAAAGAAGGAAAATTTCAGTTCGAATTCCCGCAGGAATGCTTCGGCAACCAGTTTTGGTTTTCGCTGAACATGAAAATGGAACGTGCCGTCAGCAATACTGGAGTGCTGTGGGACCCGGAGCTGCTCAGATTTTTTGGTTTGGCTGTTTTGAATGATCGGATCTTTGTAGATCATTTCAAGCCCAAGGCGTTCATCTATTCAAGTGTCGTGCAAATTATTGCTGGATCGCCCAAGACGCTGGCTCCGTTCTTTCAGCACCCAGTCGTAGGTTCTCAATGCTTTGATCGGTACTACTGGACTGTTCGCAGGGGGAAACTAACTTTCCCCAGTGATCCTGTACGGCCCTATAACAAAATATAGATCATTTCTATAGCATTTACCACACCTTTTAGATCTAAGAAGCTCTTAAACACACATGAAATTTTTCAAGTGCCAAAAAAGCAACACTTTCGAATTTTCAAAAATATTGTAGCATTTTTGAGTGATCAAAAGCTTTAAAAAATTACAAAATTTATGATTGGCAGGTAGGTCTAGATCAAAAACAAAAATCCCCCTGCTAACTGTTCAGAATTCCTTGCTTAAAACGAGGGTATGCTTTTTTGGTATCGCTAGCTGCGTCCGATTAGCTGTGAGTATAAAATGTCCATAGGTGCGCTCGTTCGAGATGCTGCACATCATGTTCAATATGGACGGGTTCAAGGAGCTTGAGGGACTTCAAGCAAAAGATTTATTCATCGGCGTCGCCAGCCAGTCAACGTCTGTGCGCCAGCGGCGGATGAAGGAGTTTTTGTGGAGAAAGATTAAGGTAAACTATGTGCGCGGTTTATTGGCAACGTTCGTTTTTAGGGTTGGTTGGCTGGGACGGACGAGATCCGCAAGATCCAGATTTGGACAGGGCTGCACGGCGGTTTTGCCCACATTTTTGAGAATCGTAGGTTCTTATTTTTTTTGTTGGCTACCGCGAAATTTAGTGACTCACAAGCTTTCACTGCTGTTGACGCCCGAACAAGGTTGGATCGATCGGACCTACGATGGAATGCATCTGATTCTCAGGGCCAGCGATGTAATTTTAATTTTAGCATCCAAATTCTGCACGCTTAGGGAGAAACGCTGCTCGTCTTTTGGGACACCTCGGACAGCTGCTTCTACTTATTGGCTTGCAACTATAATTTCAGGAGGTAAGCGCGGATTCCTTAACTTCATTATCTTTAGGGGTCGGTGCCTCGGAAGTTATCAGCAAAATCAGACGTCTCTTTACAAGATCCGCAACCTGTTGGTCGGTTTTTCAAGATTTCACACTATCGCCGTGTGCTGGTATTAAAATTCTTGAGATTTCAGGCCCTCTACGATGCGCAAAATGAGGATCTATCCGACCGCGTCAAAGCTAGGCTGAAGGAGGAGTGTTGGAAGTTCAACAAATACAACAGGGACGCCTCCGAAATGGATTTGACGCTCGATGCCGTATGGCAACAAATTGATACGTTCAATTAATTTTTTAGATTTGGCGGCCGAAAGGAAAGCGCCACTCGCCCTGGAGACTGATGGGGGCCAACTGTGTGCGTGATGGGATTTATCCAGTGAGTTTTCGGCCTCTATTTAGGAGTATCAACGGTTTCTTGAGCGCCGACGCATCAAACTATTTTTAGCTACACTTCGAACTCCGGCACGCCTACCAATTCACGAAAGCCTACGAGGCAAGAGGCGTCCTACCCGAACCCCACGAGTTCAAAAGCGCTACCGACGAAGCCATTGCGCTGGCGAAAATTGTCTTACCCCAATTCTATCTTTAAGAAACTGTTGTTTAATAAATTTTTGGGCAGATTTTGTTGTTATGTGCATGTTTGTTGAATAAGCGCATAAATCGGAGTAATTATGTAGAATACGTAGGATCGCATTAGGTCTGGAAAAATCCGTCTCTGCAAATTCAGTAGTAGTATCAGTAGGGTCGAAATGGGACCGAAAACCTTGCAAAAAGAGTATATCTCCCTGCCGTCACCCCCAAAAAGCGCAAAAAGCCTACGACACTCGGGATTCCCAAGCCGTCTCCGATCCAAGTACTAACCGAGCCCAACGTTGCTTAACTTGGCAGATCGGACGGGATGCCGTGCTTTCAACGTGGTATGGTCGTAGGCGAAAGGGCAGCGGGGAGGCAGGGTGAAGTTATGGGGGTAAGCGAGGGAGGGGGTGGATAGCACAGGTCCCAGACGACGGCAGCCCGTAACGGTGAGGGCAAGGTAGTGGAGGTATCGGACTAGCAGATGCTCGCTCTTTGGAGGGTTGCCCTGCAAGAGAGCGCTATCTCCTCCTCGGCTAGGACGGAAAAGCAGCCACCCCTCCACAGCTTCGGTTTAATTACCCAAGTTTGAGGTTAGCATCAACCCCGAGACCTCCTCAAAAGGGTGTTTCGAACAAATTTTGGAACGCATTCCCCCAAAAGGGAGTGCACAAATCAAGTTAGATAATCAATAAAACCCTTCACGAGGCTAATTTCTCGATTAGCAGGGTCCCCGCTACCGCCCGGGACCCCTCACGCAAAAATTGGAAAGCACACGGTCCCTTAGTCCAGGATCGTGTTGTGCATCAGCCCGGCCGGGGAGTGCAATGGCCGGGCCTCAACACAGAATCTCCTCCTTCTTGATCGAGGATCATCACTTCCAGGTAGGTACGGAATCATGGTTACTGTAGGTGGTCAAGGAAAATAGTGAACCAGGTGGGGGAAGACCGAGGAACCGGAAGTGGAATTTGGCGGATGCATGCAAATTTGTGATGCACATAACGGCTTATTTATTACCTCGGTTGACTTAAATTTTGCCTTTTTCGCTCGTTTAATTTTTTTGGTTCCCCCTAAGAATCACTGCTAGCTTGCTTGCTTGCTTTTACTTTCATAGGCTGCTGGGACGAAGCGGAAAAAGCTGGTGCAGGGTTGGTACCCATAGCAACCATCCCTAGTGCCGGTGCAAGCAAGACTGGACTACGCCCAATAATTAGCCCGTTATTCTATTAAAGTCATATTCAGGGACGTAGCGTAATACCGGCCCCGGGGGCCCGGGGCCCCCCCCCCCGAAATCGGCCGGGGCCCGAAAATTTCATATGGGGGGACCCTTATGATTTTTATTTTCTCAAAAATTTTGCTGCCTGCGGCGCTATTTTTTTCACGTTTTTAGGGCTATTTGTAGAGCTATGTAACCTTTTTTTCAAAAAATTTTGCCTGCGGCGCTGTTTGCTCGTTAATGTTTTGAGCTTTTTGGAAAAAATTTTTGGGGGCCCCCCCCGAAATTTTTTTCTGGCTACGCCCCTGGTCATATTTAAGCCATATTAAAAAGATATAGTATAATCACTAACATTTCTAAACTATGGTCGAAGTCTTCGTGAGCGGCCAAATCTATTCGGCGAGCGGCTTCGCGGACCCGAAGCTTTGCGTCGCGTGGCGGCTTCAACTTGGTGGGTCTTTCTGAGCACCTTAAGGTTTATATTCTTCATTTCTTGTTTCAGGAGGCGGCTGGAGGGTAGTCGAGGGTCCATCAGAAGGCCAGACGCAAGTCGATATCGCCAAGGCTTTTTCTAAAAATTATTTTTCCTACCCGATGGATATTCATCTAGCGACGAGGACTTTGCAAGGTAAGAGGACGCTTGGAAATCGCCTTTTTATTCGAAAGAACTGGATCAGTGAAGACTAAAACTTCGTTTCAGATTGGCCCCGGTTAAACTTTGAAGTATGGCACCACGACCAGTACGGTCGTCAAGAAATTTACGGCTACGGCTCCGTATTTCTGCCAAATTTACCCGGAATGCATGAGGTTTAGACTTCAAATTCCTCTAAAAATCTTCGATTTAAGGTATCCTGCAATTTCTGGCGGCCCAAGGGCTCGCTGCGGGACGAGCTGAAGCAGAAATTTATCGGAGGAGGCTTACAGGTCAGTTAAAAAATACCTTAAACTTAAAAAAAATTAGGTAACAAACCCCGACCATTCGGCCGAGACCCCAGAGCGTATGATGGTGAACGGTAAGCATACTAATTGAAAAAAAACTGCAAATTTATTTGAGGCACGCTCCAACTCAAGCTCAACATCATCACCCGGCATTTTGACCGCTTCGGAATCGCGGCATAACAAACACATTTGCTCATACTATCGCTCTTTCACTTGATAAACACTTCAGGAACTGTTTTAAGGGATTTCAGCACAAAATTGCAAGTTTTAATGCATTTTTTATGTTTTTTACAAAATTTTGGCCCGGCGGGGACTGGGCTGCTGCCTAAAGCGTGCCCCTGCCCGCGTGTACTCTGTGGTTTGTCCAAAAGAGAGACCAGAAACCATCGCGGCGCTCGATAGCCCGACCCCGAAACGGCCGCTTTCCGGCTGGTTTCTGCGCAAGTTATCGTAAATTTTGGTACAATAACACTTCAGAATGATCGAAGGGCGCGAAAGGCGCCTTTTTGACGTGTTTTGGGGCCCATTAATTCGCAAATTGGTGTCATTTAACGTTGTCTCGCGGAAAACCGAAGATCGGCATTTGGTCTGCCGCGTTGCCGGCGTTGAACTAAAAATTTCTGGGATTTTTTCGTTTCTTATTAGGACAAACTTCGATCCTTTTTCTGATTTTTTTTTGTCGAAAAACGCTTTCCGTTTAGCTTTGCGCAAGTTCTCGCAAATTTTGTAGACTTCGGATTAGATCGAACGAAGCTTTTGAGTCCTGGATTTCCTTTCTTTCTTGTAGTGTTTTTCCGAGTTCCGTGTCCTTTTTCTGTTCCTTATTTGGCGTAATACCTCCTACATAACTTTTTCGATTTCAGGAAATGGCGGCCTCGCTGGGGGAAATGTGGCTAGTTTCGGTGCCCGGAGAGAGCAAATCGGGCGACGCCTGGGAGAAGCTGAACCGCGGAACCGGCACCCTGTCCCAGAACTCGCGCTTCACCATCCCGGATTTGAAGGTGAATTTTGGCCCTGTTTCTATAGCTTTTAATGAGGGCACGAAGGTTTAGAAAATATCTAATCGATTTTTCCAGGTCGGCACGCTCGACCAGCTCGTCGGCCTGTCCGATGATCTCGGAAAATTGGACACGACCGCTGAGGCGTAAGTTTCAAATAGTTTTGTAATTTATTTTTCTTAGAATCACGCGCAAGCTCGTCCAATACTTTGGCGAGGTGCTGGAGGATGATCGCGACAAGCTGCCGGAGCACTTGGTCATCGGAAACAGTGCGTTTTTGTCAAAATAACGTTTTCCACTAATTTTTTTTGTCTGTAGCTGTATTCTTTCTTGTCCACAGCGATAGTTTCGCGTTATCTTGTCTTTTTCAGAGGACATCCGCTCGTACGTGACTAAGTTCCAATGGGAGAGCGCCAAGTACCCGCTGAAGCAGTCGCTGAAGGTGCTCTCCGAGATTATTGGAAAGGTTTGGAAATTGTTTTTTTTAGTATTTCATGTTTTTAGCAAGTAACGCAAATTGACAACGACCTCAAGACCAAATCGATCGGCTACAACAACCTGAAGAACACGCTGAACGCCATCGACCGCAAGGCCCAGTGCGTAATTTTTGTTTTTAAGTTTGAATTTTTGTAATTCTACTGTTTTTGGTCCTTCTAGAAACAAAAATCAAGCGTATTCATTTTCTTTGCATTAATTTTTCTTTTTCAGGGGATCTTTGATCACGAAAGATCTGGCCGACATCGTCAAGGCGGAGGACTTTGTGCTGAACAGCGAGTACCTCCAAACGCTGCTCGTCGTCGTCCCAAAGTCAGCTTGCCGTTGCTTTGCTTCAAAATATCGTTTTTACAGGGTCAACGCCAAGGAGTGGGAGCAAAAGTACTCGGCGATGCACCAGATGGTCGTCCCCGGCTCGTCGAAGTTGATCACGGAAGAAGGTTAGCAATTTTTTGGATGTTGATCGTTAGACAATTATTGAAAAGCTTATTGGCTCTTTTTTTTAGGTGAACACGCGCTCTACTCGGTGACCCTCTTCAAGAAGATCATCGACGAGTTCAAGAATTCGGCCCGTGAAAACCGGTTCTTTTTTGCTAGTTTTGGATTTGGTAGCTGATTCTTGAAATTTCTCGTAGAAGTTTACAATGTCGAAATTCCGCCTGTAGAAGTTTATAATGTCGACATTCTATGATGTCACAATTTCAGGATATACAAATTACGAAGAAAAACCCACGAAAAACCTCCCAAATTGTCAGCTAATGCCAAAATTTCGCCCTATTGAAATGCCGACAGCATGAAGTTTCCAAACTACGAACGTCAACAATTTTAAAACATCTATTTTCACTAGTAGCTTTGTATTATTCGTTTTTATATTCGAGCGACTTTATGTATATTATAAAACTCTCCGTTTCCAGCTTCATTGTGCGCGACTTTGTATACGACGAGGAGTCGCTGAAGGCCGGCAAGAACGAGCGGGACAAGCTCGTCGCCGAGAAGCAGCGCCAATACGCCCCCCTCATCCGTTGGTTGAAGATCAACTTTGGGGAGATTTTCGCCGCCTACATCCACATCAAAGCCCTCCGCATCTTTGTCGAATCCGTCCTTAGGTATTGTGGTGTGGTTTTGCCCGTTATTTCTTAATTTAGGTATGGGTTACCTGTGAATTTCCAAGCCGCCATCCTCGAGCCGACCAAGGGCAGCCAGGTTCGTTTTTATCGCTTGTTATATTATTTTTGCTTTAGAAAAAAACTCCGAACCGAACTCCAAAAGTTGTACGTTCACCTGGACGGCTCGGCAGCAGGGCCGGTTGATGTAAGTTTTATAGTTTTAGCTGGAAGTTAGCAAATTTAATGTAGTTTCTTGCTGATTTGGTATATGTAACTTACAAGGAGACGTTTTTAGGTGGGCACGGAGTTTCGGAACGGGGCCTAGCCTATCTTGTGCAGAATTTTTTGCTGATTAAAACGTACTTTGTAGAATTTGCGAAACGACCGGGAAACCAAAGTTATGAGGGTTTAAAGTGTGAAAAAGGCCCAAAATGGCCTACTTTCGACACCTATAAAATATAGCAGAATAAGTTTCCACGAAAACTAATTGGTGCAACTTGCTCAGAAAATCACGTTCTTTCGAATCAGCCATCTCATGAAACAAGTTCGAACATTTTTTCAAAAAGATCAATTTAGACGACATGGTCCCCCATGAGAAATTTCAGAAATTTGACGAAATTTTGAAATTTCCGCGTGACATGGCTCATTCGAAAGAGCGTAATTTTCTGAGCAAGTTGCACTAATTAGTTTTCGTGGAAACTTATTCTGCTATATTGTATAGGTGTCGAAAGTAGGCCATTTTGGGCCTTTTTCACACTTTAAACCCTCATAACTTTGGTTTCCCGGTCGTTTCGCAAATTCTACAAAGTACGTTTTAATCAGCAAAAAATTCTGCACAAGATAGGCTAGGCCCCGTTTCGAAACTCCGTGCCCACCTAAAAACGTCTCCTTGTTAGCTGTAGTTTTTCTAGCTAATTTAGTTTATGCAATTTATCTAGATGTTCTAGTATTAATTGGCATGGTTAATTGGAGCTAATTTTAGCTTTTAAAGCAATTAGCTATTTTAACAAGTTTTGTTTAGTTAATTCCCGCTAATTTATTATACATAGGTTAGCGGGTTCTAACTTTTTCCAGGGTTTATTTAGCGATATGGTTTATTTAGAGGATTCGAGCTAATTTAGTATATTTATTCTAGCTGCCTCAGTAGTAATTTTGTAACTTCTAATTAGATATATTTATTTGGTCCAAATTTTTCACCGAATTTTACATATATTTTCCAGAACTTCGAGGACAGCCCGGCGTTGATGTCGTTGGGTATGGGCGAGTACTACCCGTACGTCTTCTTCAAGCTCAACGTCGACCTGATCGACCACAAGCGTTAAAAATAGTAACCGTAGCGTGTATAGGCGTCCCGCGTAGTTCACCCCGTATTCCCTGACTGCCTTGCCGAAATTTGTGTGTTTTTCGGGCGTGAAGAGTTGTGTTTTCAACGGGACGGTGACAGTAATTTCTCTAATACTGTGAATTCTAGCTTTTCATAGTGTCACTATCCCTTTAAAATCTACGCCTCTCCAGGTCCTTTGCACTAGAAGTAGCCCCCTGTATGTGTGGTCGTCGTTTTTCTGGCACTCCTCATTCCAATTTTTTGCCCAAATTTCTATACCGTTTTCTCTTACGATTCCACCGCCGCCCGTTGTGTGATAATTGCCCCTAGTGACCCCCCGCCCACAGCCCGACGTTCCATGAATTTGTGATATTTCTCGGCCCCACCACTCTCTAATCCTCTCCCTGGTTGTCGTCTGTAATTGGTAACAAGCTCCCCTTTCTCTGTCTATCTATCACTCTCACACCACCCGTTTTTTTTGGCCCGCCCCCGACATTTTTTCTAATCGACTCTCTCTGCGATATGCATGCTCTCCACAAACACACAGTACGCCCGCGCGAGGAGCAGGAGGAGGAGGATATGTAATAAATATTCATTGAATAGGAAATTGGGTTTTTTGATCTATGAAAGTGTGTTTTACCAAGAACCGATGAACGAACAAACGACGCTGAGAAACAGTGCGGTGAGCAAAATATTCGGAACTTCGCGAGGGGCCGGAGCAGCCCATGTAGAAAATATTTCTTGAATAGGAAATTGGGTGTTATTTCGTATTACGAAAAATCTGATTTTACAGGATATTGAATACCCGAAAATGTACGCTTGAAAACGTAACGAAAAATGACGTAGCGTGACGTACTTGTGCTTTCTAGTATATCAAAAATTAGGGTATACAAAATACTGAAAAACGAATACCTGACGCTCCGGAAAAACGCGAAAACACAGCGACGATCGATTTTATGGGGTTGGAGGCATTAGGAGCTGGTCTGCCTTACGCGAGGCTATGGCTCTATCTAGCCCCCAGCGCCGCTCTGCCCTCGAGCGTCGGTGGTTCAGTGGTAGAATGCTCGCCTGCCACGCGGGCGACCCGGGTTCGATTCCCGGCCGACGCAAGTCTTTTTGCTTTTTGAGAATTTGATGCGGGCAGTGGTTCCAGAGGCCGAAGTGACTTCTTTTTCAACTTCAGACATTTACAGTATTTGGTAACTCGTTTGCTAAAGGATGCGATTTTCCAATTGGGGAAAAGGCAGATACTCCGTATTTCGGCTCGGCGTATCAATTTTAATTGAATTTATTTGAGATTTTAATCGTTAGCCGACCGCCCTGAAAATCCAGTAAAGTAATCCGGTAGACCCGACAAAATGGAACTCTAACAAGAACTGCGCCAAATAGCCGGAAGATGACCGGAACGCAAGTTCGTCGACCACATGCCATTCATATTGTTGACGGGCAAATGGGCCCGGAATTACCCCGAAGCTGTATAGGCCGGATTGGCCCATAAAATAGGGTAAAACGAGGTCGTGGCCGTCTCATCTGGGCCCAAGCACATCCACGCAAAGACCGACAGAGAAACACAGATGTCAGAAATCGGCACCACGGCCATTGCTCAATCCCGCTTCTCGAGCAGTGCACCTACACCCACATCAACAAACGACCAATTACACGTCTCTCCCTCACTCTCTCTCGCTCTCTCTCTCTCTCGCTCTCTCTCGCTCTAGTGATGTTTGTCTCTCTCGTTTTTTGCTCCATCAAGCACACACATGCGAGCCCCCAGCAATTTTCATATTCGCCGCTTCGACGAAGAAAAGGAGGAGGAGGAGCAGCAGCAGCAGCCCGGGTACATATGGCCCCAAGTGGGGAGGGCGGCGGATTGTAGCGGATTGCAGCGGAACTTGTGAGCCTGGCGGTTTATGCTATTTTTCGGGGGGGTTTCCTACAACAATTGTTTCTCTTAGTGTACGAAAACGATTAATTTAAATCCTGGGTCGCTCAGATTCCTCTTTTTATTAAATGGAATACCAGATACGTTGGGTTTCTTGGCGACAAACCTGAAAACATTTCTAAGGTTTAACGTCAGCTAGTGCTTGCAAAAATCGAAAGTGTTTCACCCCTTTCTGTAAATTGTTTCTAGCGATGTAACGATATTTGAAGAGTAAGATCGTTATAGTGTTCTGCAATGCCGAAACGCCATACTTTCAGTCCTCATAAAAACTGCCCGAAAAATATTCCGTGAGAATTAAATTACACGTTTTGCACGAAGGAAGGTCTGCTTTCAGACGTTTCTCTTTTTTTCCTCAAATGTTTGCGAAATTCCCTAACTGGAGAAGAACGCTTCCAAGTATCTTTAATTCCCCACGTGCAAGTGCAACTCCCCCCATTTTCGTGCGCTTTCTCGATTTGCCTGCCGATTTTCGACCTTGCGCCGACTTGTTCGCCTTATGCCCCGCTTTTTCCTGAATTTTGGATGGGGTGTCAGGGGCGGCGATCCGAATTTTTTATTCGCCCGTGTGCAACCGGCACCCCCGCCACTGCCGTGTCCCGCGAAAAACAATAATGCATCGCCGACGGGGCTCTGGTCTTAGTTGGAGCTTTTCTGTCTGATCGTCAAGTTGGGGATGGGTTTTTGTTGTCTTGTTCTCTTCCTAAAGGTTCAGGTCATTAATAACTTAATGTTGCCATCTTCCGGGAAGGTCATTGGGTCGGAGGGAACGCTACTGATCATTCGGCAAACGCTTTTGTCTTACGGTAGCATCTCGAATTTTTTAACGGGGCTAGGAAGGCACAATCCGAAGCAGACAACTTCTGAAAAACGCAGAAAACGACTCGAAACTATCCCACATTGGCATAAATATTGTGCTTTCTATTTTTGTCCCTTTTGATACGCGATACTCGCAATTTGTATCTTCTCGTTCCTTGTTCGAAGCACTAACTGCTATTTTGGCGCACCAGGACGTGCGGAATCCGTAATTTGTCGTTAATCTGTGCGTGCGTAACCTTGCGATCCCACTCCAATTTACAAATTATACTGTTACTGTAGCCAGAAACACAAGAATTTAGTTGACAAGAAATAAGAAACAAGAAAAACTAGGGGTTATTCAGGTATTTTGGATTTCTCTAGTTAGCCGGCTTCTCCTCCCTCACCTCATCCAAATGCTGAACTGCACGGACCTAGCGCAGAGGAACTATGATGTTTGAGCCGGAAGGGCGGCTTTCGAGCAGAACTCAACCCGAGATACGCTCTCCGAAAAGACGGCCAAATTCTAGTTTCATCCTCACACTTTGCCGCTAACTAGCGTGATGTGATTTGTGTGACCCAGACAGGCCCGTACGGGAGCCGAGATTTCGGGGGCACCCACCCAAAAATTTTTGGCGACCTCCCCCCCCGGCCGCCACTTTCAAAACATTCGAAAATAGCGACAATAACAGCGCCGCAGGCGAAAAAATTTAGAAAACCGCGTTGGTAACGCTTAAATTCGTGTGAAAACACATCGGAAACGGCGCGCGCAAGCGAAATTTTGTTCAGCAAAAATGGTGCACTACTGAAAACGAGCGCCGCAGGCAAAAATTTTTAGGAAAATAGGTTTTCTAGAAGTAAAAATGGTTTCGAAACAGTGATAAACAGCGCGGCAGGCAGAAAAATTTCTGAGGAAAAATCCTAAGGGTTCCCCCGGTAAGTTTTGCCTCGCCCCATAGATTTTGCCTCTGAAAGGTTTCGCTATTTTCGCCATTTCGATCGGGTTTTTTTAAACGCCATTCGATAGAGCGTCAAAAAATATACGTAGAGTTTTAATTTAAGCCTACAATAATGTAAAATAAGCCTCGCAGGCAAAATGTTTACAAATAAAATTGATACATTCCGGAAAACTAGCGCTGCAAGAGAAAATTTTTGGAAAAATTGGTTTTATTGCAGTTTAGATTGTTTTAAAAACAATAATAAATAGCGCCGCAGGCAGAAAATTTTTTATGAAAAAATCATAAGGGTCCCCCCTTATGAACTTCTCGGACCTCGCCCGATTTCGGGGGGCACCGTGCCCCCGGTGCCCCCTCGTACGGGCCTGGACCCAGACGACACTAGGGGCTAACGACCCAGGCGCGTCTACCAATCGGCTTTTGGTCTATAAAAACCCTTGGGGCAGACAAGTGTCACATGTCGAAGACGCCCTCGGGATTCTAGCCGCCGGGCGCCAAACGGTTTTGACGAACTTCGAACTCGGACTTTTTTGGGGCCTTGGGTTGGCTTTACTCCCTGGGGGCGCCTTATTTAGGACGGCCCCAGACGGCCTGGATATTTGTTTAGAATTTTTTTTGGAGCTTCAGCCTGGGACTATTTGAAGAATTTTATCCCAAAAAAATTAATTGCATTATATCGCATTTGTTGCGAGCAAATTTTCATATCCAACAGGACCAAGATGTCCGCTTAAAGGTTCCAACAAGCTACAATAACCACTTTTTTTGAAACGCTCTATCGGCGACTACGCGACGCGCCTAAATACGCTTACGAAAACTTGCGATTTTGACGATATTCGGAGCGACCTTTAAGCGTTTTTTAAGAGGAGTGTATCTGTCGAGAAAAATGCGATACTAGTGTAGATTTTCGATCTTTAATTGTTAGAAGTTAGAGTTGTTAACAAAATAGAAGGCTTACCTAATTCACCATGGAAGTTTTTCAATGCTACGATTTCTTGAGTTTTAATGCGGTAGTTTAAATTTTTCAGTAATTTAGATCTACTTCTCAGCGCACAGAAACGGACGCAGGATCTTTTACCAATACGAATTTGGTCGTATCTCACCAATTAATCCTCTTTTTAATTAGCCCGAGCCGCGAGTTTCTTTTCTATTTGCGGACTTTTATGCATTCAGAAGTCCAAGCTGTCTTCGCGCTTTTTTCCTTGCAGATATTTCTATTACATTCTATTGCAATTCCCTATTTCTCTTCTGTTCTATTCCAAAAGTGACCCAAAAGCTTATATAAGTGTTTAATAGCTTGCCCTCACAAAC